CAATCTAGAAAAAGAAATAACCATTAAAATCAATATATTGAACTATATTATTAGTATGCGTATGATGCAATCCAGAGAAGATGAAAAGTTAAGACTGATTACATTTCACTTAAGGAAGTTAGTTCAAGCGGAACTTAACTATAATATTTATAATAAAGAATTACTAACTATAGTAATAATATTCAAGCAATGGAGGATCTACCTTAAAAAAATAAAGCATACTATTATTATAAAGATAGACTATAAGAACTTGACTTACTTTATAACAACCAAAAAATTGACTAGAAGGCAGACATAATGAGCTAAGATTCTGTTATAATATGATTTCAGAATCATATACTGCAAGAAAATAGAGAATAAATATATAAATATGTTAAGCCATAGGCCAGACTACAAATTAAACAAGAAAACTATTAAACCGGCCATCCTGAAGCAAAACACGGATAGGTTAATAAGCTATAATAAGACTAATCTAATAATAATATTAGAAATAAATAGTAATCTAATTAAATAATTAACTGAAGACACGCAAAATAATAAAACACTCCAGAAAATAAGCAAGGACTTACTAGATAAGATCATTATTAATAAAAATAGACTAATATACTTTCACAGATTAATCTTTATATTAATTATAATAAGGATAGAGATTATAGCTAGACACTATGATAAACCGCTTAAGGATCACTTAAAAGTGGAAAAGATAACTAAACTTATTACAAGAAATTACTACATTCCAAACCTTAAACAGAAAATATATGATTATATTAAACAATATAAGACTTACATTAAAGATAAGCCTGCAAGATACTAATCCTATGAATAAATATAAGTACAGAAGACACCACAACAGCTATAAGAATGGATAATAATTAACTTTATTAATTTATTACTAGAATTAGAAAAGTTTAATATTATCATAGTCATCACTGATCGCCTTACCAAATATATCTATCTTATATTAAATAAAATAATAATAACAGTAATATAGATGGTAAAACTATTTTTAGAAAATATTATTATATACTATAAAATATTAAAGTATATTATATCAAATCAAGACAAGTTATTTATCTTAAAGTTCTAGAGATTACTTGCAGATCTTATAAAAATAGAAAAATAAATAATAACAGCTTATTACCTGCAGATAAATAAGCAAATAGAAAAAATTAACTAGATAATTAAACAATATCTGAGACATTACATGAACTACCAACAAAATAATTAAATAAATCTATTACTAATAATATAATTCTTATACAATAATACTAATCACTTAATTATTAAAGTCTTATCATTTTACACTAATTACAGATATCACCCAAGGTTTCTAGAAATATTATTAAAAAAATAACAAGTTATTAATATAGCTAAGAATATTGTTATATTCACAGAAAACATATACTTATAGTTATTCTAAGATATTAAGTTCATGAACTTGTATAATAAGATATACTATAATCACAGATACAAAAAAGAACCTGATCTTAAAAAAGAGGAGAAAGTGTTCCTACTCCACAGAAACATTAAGATAAAACAACTAAATCAGAAGCTTGACTATTATAAACTAGGACTATTTATTATTAAAGATAAGAAGGGACCAGTTAACTACAAGTTAAGATTATTAAAATTAATAAGCAAAATTCACCCAGTATTTCATATCTCATTATTAAAACCCGTACTAAAGAACACTAGAATTACAGAAAATGTGGAGATTGACAACAATATAGAAAAAGAATATAAAGTTAAAAAGATCTTAGACTACAAGAAGATTAGCAGTAAATCACAGTATCTGGTAAAATAGATAGAATATAATATCTCAGAAAATATATAAAAACCTATCAAGAACTTGACAGGCTACTACTAACTTGTAAAATAGTACTACTAGTAGACAAGTCAAAGTTCACCCAGAAAGAAGGAGAGCCAATAAGTTAAAACAAACTAAGATCAAGCTTGAATATAGCAGCTAGCTCAACACCACCCGTGATAATACTAGCCTCAACCTCAGATATTACAGCTTATTGATTACGCAGCCTTACTTACACCTCATGTTTCTTTTATTCTTACTTCTTAAGCTCTTCCAGCTCTTCGATTTCCTTTATATCACGAGCTATAAAATCACTAGCTTATTTTTATAATAACCATTTTTATTTCTGCAACCGAAGAAGTTTTGCCAGAATGACTTCTTCCTCTTCTTTAATAGAATTTTAAGCCTTGACTAAACACTTTTACTTGGTGTCAGAGAAGGAAGGATCAGGTATTTTATAATAAACACCATTTATTTTAACATATTTACTATAATAATCAGAATTTTCAGATTTAATATAAATCTTGTAAAGACAAATACAGCGCTTACAGGAAAAAACCATAAGAAAACCTTCATCCTTAATCTGCCGGTAAAGGCTCTTCTTACAAACAGAAGAACTAAATAACATGGTCAACAATCCAAACAAAGTTTTAGAAAACGACACCAGACACTTACCTCAGGAGAAAGGCACTGCAGATTTATGTTCCTTGAGAACAAGAAACCTTGAAAGAGAGAGAGTGGTGTTACAGACCCCTGCTAGCTGAATGAACTAGTAAGATAGATATATTAGGTAGAAGGCCACGTCCGGAAGGCAAGGACTCTTATCGAGTAGAATCCTGATTAGAGCAATCTACAAACCGGGATGGTTATACAATATGTGACCACGACGGACATGTCACTGACATGCTATAATATAGCAGCGCTATGACAGGACATGGCAGTGCTATGACAGGACATGGCAGCGCTACAACAGGACATGGCAGTGTTATAACATAATATATTGGCGATATGACATATCATGGCGACGCCATGATGAAGGATAGGATATAAGGATACTTTTTTATGTACTTAGCTAGTTCTGTTCTTCGTGCTTAATTTAACTGTCTTTAAGTAACCTATGTTTTGGTAGAGCTTAGTGACAACACTTGTCCGCACTTACTTACGGATAGCTGCGCGGCACTATCTGGCCTTACTTCTCTTCTTCTGTTTAGATCAAGTCATCTTTAGATAGTCAACAACCTGACTACCTTTGATTCAGTTCACAAGGTACGTATTGGAACGGGAGCTAAGCTAACAGGAACAGGGAGAAGCGATCCTAGGGTTTGACACTCTTATCAGGTAGAATCTTGGTTTGAGTAACCAATGCCTAGAACAGCTACGCATCATATGACCACAGGTATATAGGATAGTATATAAATAGATATATGGTATATAGTATACAGTATACGGAAAGGTATATAACTTAGTATATAAAGGATAGGATATATAAGGACATTCTTTCATGTACTTAGCTAGTTCTGTTCTTCATGCTCAATCTCAAAGTCTTTAAGTAACCATATGCTTGGAAGCTTAGCAACAATACTTGTCTGTACTCAGTTACGGATAGCTGCGCGGCACTATTCAGCCTTACTTCTCTTCTCTTGTCCAAGACCAGTTGTTCCTAGATAGTCATCAGTCTGATACCTCCTCGATTCAGTTCGACGGTACGTATACCAGTGAAGCTAAGCTAACCGGGACAGGGAAGCGATCCTAGGGTTTGACATAAAGATCTTTAAAAGGAAAAGAATTTAAACTACTTTATTAAAGTATTTTACTAAGACTTTTAATTAGATCCTCAAGAATTTGAAATCACGTATATAAATATTTATTCGACCCGTCCTGTATATAACTTTATTCTCTGATTAAAGCAGGGCGGATTCTATAGTTAAAGATAAGACAGATCTTGTAGTTAATTATATTTTTGACTTAATTTTCTGATATGATAAAATTATATGTAAAAAATCCTCTCCTGAAAAGAGTTACTGGCTGAATATCTTTACTATTTTAAATCTTAATCTAGTGGTGAATCTGATCTTTGATATACCACTCTGCACATTCTAAAAAAAAATATTAGGAAAAGTCTGTATAGAGAATAATATTGTATATTTAGAGTATCATAACTTTCTGCCTAGGAGGCAGTGTCAGAATCCTTGATAGTAACTAGGCAGTCACGTAATACTACACCGCTACTTCCCTTATATCAGGCCACTGTAGTGATTAGCTAGACATCATCCATGATCACTTCCTCCTACATCTTCCTCTCCCTTGAGCTGTCCTCCTGACAGTAGTTGGATGGGTGACCACCAGCGAATCCCTTCTGTTGTATGTTTTTTTTTTTACTATTCCATCTCAAGAGGTGTTCTAAGATCCATGGCTTAGTTGTATCTAGCTACTTCCTTCCTCTTGACTTTTCTTCTGCATGCCCTCACAACAATTGAATGGCCAAGCAGCTACCCAATATTCAAAATCAATAATGCATGACCGACGGCTTACCTTTGATAACAAGCGATTTTTATCTAACTTATCAGTCCAACTACCATCCGCCTACTTGGTTATCGTCCTATCGACATTTTCTCTGGTTATTACCCGAAAAAGGAAATTTTGTCTTGTGCCAGCGGCGAGTACGATTGGCTGATAAGCTGATAGCACGATAAGATAAGCGACGTGCGCGATCGGTAGCCAGGCGGTGTGATATCTGCGGTGGTGGTTGTGTAGGCAGAATAATGTGTTGTTGGTATCCTGCCGTTATGGAAATATATAGTACTTCGTACTAATCGCGGCTTTGACATTGTGTAACAATACAGGTCAGTAGTATTAAGAAACTATTTCAAAAATCATGCAATCCAACAATCCATAAGTTTGACGAACAGCAACCCAGTATTCCGACTCTACCATGGCAGAACCCGAAAGCGGTGTATACTACAATGACGGAAATCTCTCATTATTAACCTAATCGGGAAATATTTGTCTGCAGGAGCCAGAAGTCACTCTTTGGTTCATACAGTGGCAAGTCTACCAAGATCTATAGTTCGATCATGTCTTTCGGAATCCATTCCGAGGCTCTACTATATAAGCCCTCAAACAGCCCAGTTCAAACACCAGACCAGAGCTCTACCTCACACACTCTTCCTTGTATCTACCACAGTACCACAACATGACCTCCCGAGACGGATATCACTGGACCCCCGAGGTCGGACTCACGCATGGTGTCCCCTCACTCGGTGTCATATCACCACCTACCAACATAAAGAACACTGATGGACCATGGGACGTCATCGTCATTGGTGGCGGATACTGCGGGTTAACCGCAACCAGGGACCTAACGGTCGCAGGTATTCCTCATCATATCCCCACCACCATCCCCATTTCACCAGACATAAATTAACCACCAAAACCAGGCTTCAAAACCCTCCTCCTCGAAGCCAGAGACCGCATAGGCGGCCGCTCCTGGTCCTCCAACATCGACGGCTATCCCTACGAGGTATACTCCCCACCCATCCCCACCTACCAACCCAACCCTAACCTCATCCCAACTCCAGATGGGCGGCACCTGGGTCCACTGACACCAAGCGCACGTATGGCGCGAAATCACCCGCTACAAGATGTCCAACGCCCTTGCACCCTCATTCAACTTCACCCACGGAGTGAACCATTTCCAACTTCGCACTAGCCCTAACACCTCCACCCCCACCTCCACATACATGACCCACGAAGCCGAAGACGAGTTACTCCGCACCGCTCTCCACAAACTCACCAACGTCGATGGTGCCAACGGGCGAATTATCCTCCCTTTCCCGCACGATATGTTCCATGTTCCCGAGTTTCAGAAATACGATAACATGTCCTACGCGGACCGGATCAATCAAATCCAGGATGACCTGACCCCTAACGAGCGCGCCAGTCTCGAAGCATTTATCCTCCTCTGTTCCGGCGGGAAACTTGAGAATAGCTCGTTCGGAGAATTCCTCCATTGGTGGGGCATAAGCGGATACACGTACCAAGGGTGCATGGATTGTTTGATCAGTTATAAGTTCCGCGATGGTCAAAGTAACTTCGCCCGACAATTTTGGAATGAGGCGATTAGTACGGGTCGCTTGGGATATGTGTTTGATTGTCCGGTTGCGAGGGTATCGGATTCCGATGATGGAGTGAGAGTGACGGCGAGGGATGGACGGGTGTATGCTGCGAAACGCGTCATCTGCACTATACCTCTGAATGTCCTCTCTGGTGTCCAGTTCTCGCCTCCGTTGTCGGAAACCCGGGCTTTGGCTGCGAGGAATGGCCATGTGAATATGTGCACGAAGGTTCATGCCGAAGTGGATAATAAAGCTATGCGGTCTTGGACGGGGATTACGTATCCGTTAAATAAGCTGTGCTATGCTATTGGGGATGGGACGACCCCGGCGGGGAATACGCATTTGGTGTGTTTTGGGACGGATGCGAATCCTATTCAGCCTGAGGAGGATGTGCGGGAGACGTTGAGGGCGGTTGGGGAGTTGGCGCCGGGGGAGTTTGGGGTGAAGAGGTTGGTGTTTCATAATTGGGTGAAGGATGAGTTTGCGAAGGGGGCGTGGTTCTTTTCTAGGCCAGGGATGCTGGGTGATTGTCTGGAGGGGCTGAGGGAGAGGAGTGGGGGTGTGGTGTTTGCGAATTCGGATTGGGCGTTGGGGTGGAGGAGTTTTATTGATGGGGCGATTGAGGAGGGGACGAGGGCGGCGAGGGTGGTGGTCGAGGAGTTGAGGCCGGGGCGGGGGGTGAGGGCTTGTTTGTAGGGTTTAGTTTTTACAGCAGTGAATCTCAGTCCACATTATTGTATTAAACACAGTGCTAACATTTTCTATGAGGATTATCTTGGAAATAAACCATTCGAAGATATACTACAGGTGTTGATCTCTAGATGAGATTGATACGGGTCCACCCGCCGATAAGATCCGCTTTGCGGGCCTCGGAAGATTCTTGGCATTCAGCTACTCCTTATACTATGTAGCAACATTGAGGCATCCTCGTTTCAAAATCTTCATCTTGCCACTTCCTTGATATAGTATCAAGTCTAATTAAGCTCCCGAACCCCGGAAGTTAGTTCTTCGCAGTCACAAGCCAACGGGAAGCGGCGGGAAGAGGATGACCACATTGCTGCATCACCACTCAGTGACCTCATCGGTAGCTTTGTCATCGCCAGCTTTAACATAACAAGTGAAGTCTTGAATATTTAGACCCTGCCCAATTGACAAAGACCAATTACAGAACAAAGAAACATAATGGACACCATCAAGCAGACCATTGCCGAAAACTTCGGCGGACCCTCTCACGACCTTGCCGGGGAAAAGTTCGATTTAGACGATGTGCCCGACCTGAGTGGTAAGGTCGCCGTGGTTACGGGGGGTAGCGAAGGTAGGCAGCAATCATACCACCCCATCAACATACTGAGAATTGAAACTGATTCCCCATTCTTCCCCAGGAATCGGCTTCGGAGTAACCCACACTCTCCTCTCCAAGAACATTTCAAAGCTCTTCGTGACCTCCCTCCGAAAAGAGGTAGCCGACGACGCCATCTCCGCCATCGAATCCGAGTTCGGACCCGACACTCGCAAACGATTTATCTGGATCCAATGCGACCTGTCAGACTGGGAAAAGACGGCCAATGTGGCAGGCGAGATCGCCGGGCAGACCGACCGGATCGACATTCTCATCAATAACGCCGCTCGGGGTATCATGTCGCGGCAGCTGGCACCCACCAACGGGATCGACCTGCACATGGCGCTCAATCACATGGGTCACGTCGTTCTGACCTCGCACCTACTGCCGACGCTCAAAAAGACGGCTGACGCCGGTAACACCGTGCGCATCGTCAACCTCGCCTCCAACGTGGAAGCCAACGCGCCCAAAGACACCGAGTTCGCATCCGTGGAGGAGCTGAACCGTGACTATGGCCCCAATGCGCTGTACGGTCGGTCCAAGCTGGCTGTGCTCTTGCATGCCAAGTGGCTGGATGCCCATCTCAAACCCACCCATCCTAATATCATTGTCAATGCTACCCATCCGGGGGTTGTGGATACCGCCCAGACGAACGATCATATACATGAGGCGTACCCGCTGCTCGGATACGGTATGTCCGCTGCCTTGAAGCCCTTCCGGAAGAACCAATTCCAAGGAGCCGTGTCCACCATGTATGCGGCTACGATGGCCACTGAGGGCGGACAGTTCATCACTCCGCCGCGGATCGTGGAGAAGGGTAGTGACAAGGCTAATGATATGCAACTGGCTGACCGATTGATGAAGTTGACGGCGGAGGTGGTGGAGAAGAAGACACGCCAGGAGAGTAGTGCCAAGGGTTGTCCTTTCAAGGAAGACTAGGTTTAGATCGTTGTCATGTTTCCTCTCAATTCTGTGACGTCTCTCTTATGTTGTGCAAGTATCATCTGGTAGCAGATGCGTGGTGTGTCGTGGATGCCTGAGAGGAACTCTTTGTAACATACACAAATGCTATGTTAAAAGCTTTTGGATTTAGATGTTCTCGATGATATTTTTGAATGTTCGATACAGGTAAAGTACAGTAGGATATCGATTTACCTATTATTGGGTAAATTAATACCCCTTTAATCTACAGTTCTTGTTTTACTCTTCACTGGCTTGAGATGTAAGTCAAAAAACGCACATAATGTGTTGGGATCCCCGATGGGCTCCCAGGCCGGTAGGCAACGTAGGGTCACGTGACGCTCCTCCCTACACCGCTAGTTAGTCCATATAGATGGCCTACGAGGCCCCTAGCTAGATCATCATCCATCGAATTCTACACGGTTGAATCGCCTTAGTAGCCACTCCAACATAATGTAATTGAACGACAGTATCGGTTAAACGTTCGCCCCAGTATCCCTCACAGCACCCCAAATCAAAGACCATTTAGGCAGCAACCTTGGTAAGGCCAATCTGAACACAATCACTGGAGAGGGTGACACCCGAGCGACTGGCGTAGATCATGTACGTGGGAGGTCCCGCAGCATACAGGGAGACGTGAGGACAGGCGAAGAACTCTCCCTGGGCCCACTGGAGGACGTTGTTGCTGTCCGTAGTGAAACCCTCGGTCAAACCATCAGATGCAATACCGTCGGTGCTCTTGAGGTCGACGTGACCGTCACTGCCAACGTAGACTAGGCGGAATTGTTAGCATGGGCTGGTATGAAGACTAGGTGTGTTGTGAAGGTTAAGACTTACCAACGTCGCCGTTCTGAATTCCCAGAGTGCCATCACCACCGGTGAAGTTGATGCCGTGGTCACCGTTCGGGGCCACGATGAAGGCGTCGCCTTGGCTGATGAGAGCGCGGCCCTTGAGTTCGGTGGTGCTGGACTGAGCTCTGCTGATGACGAGCTGGAATGGAGTCGTGGTGGGAGCTGCGGCGGCGAGCACGCTGGCGATGAGGGCGGACAGGGCGAAGGTGGATTTCATTTTTACTGAGGTGGTGGACTTGGTGAAGTTGGATGAGCGATTGATTGATTGATTGTTTCTGATGTTGTTGGATGATGAGAATACGGACGTGTGTTGTCGTCTTTATATGTGTTCACCCATGCTTCATGACTATCAAGGTTCTCGCAATTTAATTACTACTTTGGGCAAATGTTACGAGTTACGAGGATATTCTACAACTATTTCGTTTCTCACCATTAGGGTCCTCCAAAATGTCTCAGTTTCTATTTGAGCGGTGTTACCAGAGTACCCACCGGACTCTATATCTTGATTATCAAGGTTCCCATATTGTCTCAGTTCACCTAGTAGTGAAGTGTGAGGAAATAACGTAGCTAGGGACATATCGTTTTGGCCGAGTGGTCCATTGCCAGCTACTCCACCGTCTGCTGTTTGGTTCTCACAGCATCTAGTCCTCATTTAAGAGCGTCCTGCCAGACTCCATTATCACCTTGTTTTTCCTAGAACTCCGTAGACTACACCAAAGAAAACACTTTTCGGAGAATCGACTCCGCCCAATGACAGATCTGGAGGACCTTGATGGCCAACTATTACTAGATAGGTTAATGAGATGTACCACGTCAAAATAATCATACCCACTCTTGGTCCCTACCAGCAACCCCAGCCCCCAACCCTAACATCTAAACATCCACGACCCTCCCCTCGACCACCTCCCCCAACCACCTCGGTTCACTCCTCGCCTTCTCCTCCAACACCACCGCCCCTTCCCCCGCCTCCATCCCAACAAACCGATTACACCACCCAATAACCGTCCTCCACCAAACCAACGCATTCTCCTTCCCCAGCACGAAATGATTCTCATCCGGAAAATTCAACATCCTCGTCTCAATCCCCTTCAACCTACACACCGCATAGGCCGCCCACCCAGCCGTACTCGGACACCGGTAATCCTTATCCGAATGAATAACCAATAACGGAGTGGACCAATTAGTCAAATACTCCGCGGGGTTATATTTCCTCCAGATTTCCTTCGCGCTGGCAGGATCAAGGGCTGCATTTTCCGTGTTGGTGAAGTACGGGGATCCGAACGAGCGGGTGAGTTCTTCCTTTTCGGCGAGATCGTCGCTGAGGAGTTCCGAGACGACGTCGAACACGCCGTCATGGCAGACTAGGGCTTTGAGACGCTTCGCGAGAGGTTGGCCTGCGACGTAGAGAGCCATGTATCCGCCGTAGCTTGCGCCGGCGGCGACAGCCCGATCGATATCGCATTTACTGGAGAGGTTTTGTTCGACCCAGTTGAAGCACCGCTCGATGTCGTGGTAGGGGTGTCCGCCCCATTGGAGGGAGACGGATTTGGCGAAGTGGCCGCCGAAGGAATCGGAGCCGGTGAAGTTGGGGATTGCGACGATGTAGCCTTGTTCGGCTAGGAGGAGGGCATTCCAGCGCCAGGTCCAGGCGTCGCGGTTGGCGGAGTGGGGACCGCCGTGCATGAACAGGAAGAGGGGGTGTTTGTCGGGGGTGTTGGGGTTGTACCAGGAGGGTTTGATGATCCAGGTTTGGACGGGAGTGTGGCCGTCGGGCCCGCCGGGGAAGGTTATGGAGGTGATTTGGTTGGAGGAGATGTTGAAGTAGGCGCCGTGGGAGGAGGTGGTGTGGAGGGTTTGGGTGGTGTGGAGGGTTTGGGTGGTTTGGGTGGTGGGGTTGAGGAGGGTGAAGGTGCCTTGATCGATGAAGGAGGAGGAGGTGGCGAGGAGGTGGGGGTTGGAGAGGGAGGTGCTCACGGGGTGGATTGAGGAGATGGAGCCGGGGATGTCGAGGGGGGTGGGGGTGACGAGGTGGGTTTGGGTGTCGGAGGAGGAGGTTGTGGGAATAGGGACTTGGAAGAGGCGCGTTTTGGCTTGGTGGTTGGCGGTTAGGTAGAGGGAGGAGTTATCGTTGGCCCAGAGGATTTCGTCCGGGAAGACATCCCAGGGTTGGGACTCGGAGTCGGTGGTTCGGAGGAAGGAGGTGATAGTTAGGGTTTCGACGTTCAGGAGGCCGATGTTCTTGTGGGACCATTCTTCGCTGGTCTGGTCCACAAGAAAGGCTGCTAGAGGACCGGTAGGGGCGAATGTCGGGGCGTTGACGATGTCGGCATGGTCAGGGATGTGAATTCGCTTGAGGGTTGGCGCTTCGGTCTCGTCAAAGGTCGACAATGGAACGAAGTAGAGGGACTTTTGGGTTTCGAGCCATTCGCTGTCCCCGGGCTTGGCGGTTGCGAACAGGATTCCATACTTCGATATGTCCATATCGGTGGAGCTGGCTGAATTGGAGTACAGAGGAACGACAAGGCCGGTTCCTCGTAGGGCATTGATGGGGCCATTGGTTGACAGATGCCACTTCTGGGAGGTCTCCTCGAACTTTAGGACTGTGTACCAGATGACTGAGCGGTACTGGTCGACGTAGGTATCCCATCGTTTGGGCCGACTCTTGGTCCATTCCCGAGCGGTGCTGTGGGACTTGTCTGTTTTGGATGTGTTGTACAGATTCTGCTCGGCATCCGCTGCAGCAGTGAAGACCAGGGCAATGTCTCCGTTGTCCAATCGGTGTGTCTTGACGTTGTCTAGATTGGCGTCGATGGTGCCCGCCAAGTATGGTCTGGATTTGTCAGTCGCCCCCGATTATTAAAGGCTTTCAGTCGTACCTAATGCTGTGGTTGGCATCTCCAATCCAGAGCTCAGTAGCCTTGCTTTCTGCTTCGCGTTGCCACAAGAGAAATGACTTGCGTAGCCACCGGAACGAACTTTCCTTGGGATTGTTGCTGTACCGACTCGATGTTCCGGTTTCCAAGTCCAGCAGCTTGACGTCGGTGAAGTTTGTGTGCGAGTCTAGATCATAAGTCGAGACGGTGTACAGGGCTAGTTTGCCCTCATCGTTGGGAACCGCGGCTGACGGTCTTGGAGCCGTGATCAAGGCTCTGTCCAAGATAATCAGTACTCATTATGACAGATATCCATCTGGATAGAAGTAGCGCGACATACTCTGGGGTGAATTTGCGATTTTCGGCCATGTTGGATGATGATAATGTCAGGAAGGGAAAATGACCGTTGAAGGAATGAGGGGAACTAATAAATAGCGGGCAAAAGCGGTTCACAATCGGAGCTCCGACGCTGATTGACTCGTAAACCCGACAGACTAACCCACCGCAGTTAAGCCGAGGGATGCACTGCATAAGCACTTGTGAGTCATCTTGATTCATGGCCCTAATTCACCAATAGAATTTACTTTCGTGTCCTGTTCAGGGATTTGAAAGTAGTGCCGAAGATAACGTGCTTGAGACCCGGATTTGTCAGATTTCATAGCGGTGCTTGTTTGACTAATCAGGTGTTCGTATAGGGCTTTGTCGATGAGGACTATAAATTATGTTGCCTGATTTTGCCTTGGCATGGTGCACGCTGAATGTCATGTAATAGATGTATATATATCTGCATGGGATTACCTGGCCCAGACATTTTTAGACCTAGATAGTATACCCATCATTCCCATTAAATCAGCCGAGACATTATCAAGGTACCTACAGCATGTCACTGCTCCGCCCTTGACACTTCTTGCAACCCAAACTCCGTATGCAACTCCTCACTCAACACAAGCTGCTTAATCGGAATCGAAAGAATCAACCCAACAACCCCAAACGGAATCGCCATCCACCACACCCACCTCAAGCTCTCCTCATAAACCCCCAGCACTTCCGCCTCCAGGCCGGGAGTATCACTGAGCGTGCGCATGAGCCCGTCACTAGCGAGTGCATACGCACCCCCATTAGCGAGCTTCTCCCGCAAAGCCTGGCTACTAACGCGATACAGCAGCGCCTGAACCCGCGTATTGAAAATAGTCGTGGGAATGGCAATCCCCCAGATACATCCGAAGCTGCGCACGAATGCCCAGGTAGCTGTGGCCGTAGCCACATCGGATTCCGGCAGAGTGGCTTGGATGGGCGGCAGAGTGCTGGAAAATATCATCCCAGAGCCGACACCAAAGAGGACCTGGAAACCGGCCCAGTCGCGCGCCGGGGAATGTCTGTTGAGAAGGGCGAGCAGTCCGCTGCCGGCTGTCAAGCAGGTGTACCCCACGAAGTGGAAGACTCGGTATTTTCCCGTCACGGCGATGAGAATACCCGTTATCACGCCGAAGGGGGCAATGGCCCCGGTGATGGGAAGGACGTGAACTCCGGATTCGGTGGCGGTTAGACTGCGGATGGCCTGGCACTGTTGATTAGAGGAATTGGTTGATGGGAGGTGAGTATAAATGGATACCTGGAAGTAGATGGGTAGGAAATATCCAACCCAGTATAGCAAGAGGTTTTGGAGGAACGAGATCCAGAGCGCACATAGAGCAGTCGCGCTAGAGAACAAGGGAAGTGGAAGGGATGGTTCGGGGCAGAATCGTGAATTCTGATGACCGTAGAAGAGAACTAGCCCTGCGAGCCCTAAGAAAAGTGGAACAAGAACACGCCCCGAAGACCAGGGATATGCAGTCCCTGCCCAGGTCAGAGCGAGCAAGATTGCGACAACTGCCATCGTAAGAATTGTATTGCCCACCACGTCCACCCTTTGGAGCTGCTGCCAGATGGTCCCGGGGCTACGTGGATGTGTGACACGCAGGAACAGCACGAGCAGGAGCAGCGACACCGCACACAGTGGCAGATTAATCAGAAACACCCATCTCCACGAAACGTACTGAGCCAATACACCCCCCAGGACTGGCCCGATTGTTGTCCCTACCGCCCATACCGACGCCATGAGCGCGACATATTTCCCTCGCTGGCGGAGGGGCACCAGGTCGCAGATGACCACATCCACCAGAGTATTGATACCACCGCCCCCGATCCCCTGCACTGTTCGTCCGGCAATGATGGCACCAACATTGTTTGCACCCCCGGCCATGGCACTTCCGACTGCAAAGATAACCACCGAGCTGATCATCATCCATCGTCGGCCGAAGATATTCGCCATCTGCCCGAAGAGCGGGAGCACCACCGTTGAGGACAGGATGTAGGAGTTAGTTATCCACATGTACAGGTTTCCGGCGTGGAGATCGAGGGCAATGGTCGGGAGGGCGGTGGAGAGAATGGACGTGTCGAGGGCTGCGAGGAAGGTTGTCATGCACAGTGCAGGGAACACGGCCCAGAAGCGCCATGTCTTTGGCGGAGGAAGAGAGAGATCATTCTGCGGTGGTTGGAGGTTAGGCTGCTGTGCCTCTCTTGCGGATTTCACTGGGTTGCATTCTCCTTTTTGTCTTTCATCTGGATCTTCTGTCGGCGCAGGAATAATGTCTTGCTTTTCCGGTTCATCCGGACTATTTGTCGGCAGGCTTTTCCTCCGTGTTAACGTTGATGTTTCACCCATGGTGTGTGAATAGCCTCAAGAGAGATAGGAGGTTCAGGCGGCGTGAGAGCGAGAAAGCAGAGAGCTATTTATAGCACATCACCAGCAGCGGGGCGTGTTACGCTAGGCTGGGGGGTGAATCCTTCAGGTTGCTGTCAGCAACTCAGCATCCCTCCGAGATCCTTCCAGCTTAGACTGGGTTATAGGAAGCTCCGATGGCATTTTGAATACTATTTCCAGGGATAGCTTGCTGTAGGGTCATCTCTGTAAAGGCCAAGATGTAAGATTCATGATAAACAAATCTTAAGGCAAATAGATACTTCCCTCCGCCACTACTGTCGCCTGGCCTGCAAGCTTCACCTCCTCTACCCTCCCCCGTCAGCATCCAACCAAATATCAACCACAATCCGACTATCCCTCCCCATCTATTCTCCCTGACTGATATTGAACCGATGAGCCCGAGATTCCCTTCCCCGCGACAGCGCCAAGTACGCACTCAACGAACACCCCCCACTTCCACACGCCGGATCCTCCAAATTAATCGCAATCATCCGAACCCGAAGATCCCAAACCATCGTCCCGCCTTCAATATACCTATCCAGCAGACGATAATACATCACCCCCGTAAGAGACGATATCCAATCTTCATCAAGCTCAAGCGTGGGACTCGCCCCCGGACCAAGCTTAGCGAAGGTATCACCCCATTGGGTAAGATCCACCAGCGCGAATGTAACCCCCTTCACTATAGAAATGACCGGATATGTTTTGTTTAGATCACAGAGATCCAATGATTCAGATATGACCCGCTGTACAGCACCAATCTGCTCAACTGTAGCTTCACGCTGATGAATATGCACATTATGTGGAACTGTCGCATACACGAGTTTCCTTTCCCGGTCATAGGTAAGTGGCACGGGCCCCGCCTTCGTAATAACAGTTAAATTCACGGTATTTGTTGCACACCGTTGGAAAAGTAAATGGCCTGTGCCGATGATCGGATGGCCCGCGAATTCCATTTCATTGACGGGGATGAAGATATCCACGTGGGGATTGGGGCCGTCGGTATAGAGGAAGACGGTTTCGGAAAGGTTGAATTCCTGGGCGATGTTCTGTTTTTGGGCGTGGCTTGGGTTGTGCGAGTTGGGGAGGGTGATGATGGAGACGGGGTTGCCGTGGAATCTGGGTTTGGGTTGGTTGGTGGGTGGGGATGTGAGGGTTCTGGAGGGGGGTCACTTTTGGTTTGTGAAGACATCGAGGATTACTGGGGTGGATGGGTCAGTCGAGTTTAGGGTTTGGGTGGGAATCTTGATAGGGGGGCTATCGAGTGAGTTCGTGGGTGGTGATAACGCCGCATCAAACGGGCCATCTGTCGTGACTTCACTATCAGGACATATCTGACTCGGATGATGGAGGATATGCTGCTCTCTATCTCTTTCCTATGGTCCAGGGTAATTTCTCGAGTTAGAAAGGGTTAAAGGGCAATCAGCAAGATCGACATGATCTTCAGATAGTGACAAGCTGACCACTTATGGATGATAAATAAATAATTCATTACTGTGTTATGTGATGCCCTACATCTCGGGGTTGATATTACTTCTTTGTGTTTTGGATACCATCTATCTACGAGGCCACAGACAACAACTCACCAGGGGCAAAATTGGGGCGATTAGGATGTGATAACCTCCACCACATTCATGGTAACATAATCCCAAGTAGCCCGAGTCCAATTTTCCCGACTGCCTTCTACTTGGCCTCATATAGATCCGACATGGGAACAACTTACAATTCCAAAATAACCCAGATAACAACCCCATCATTCTTAACCATGAAACCGGACAATATCCTCCGACAATTCCGAATGGTGTGTCCAAAAGTGCGCGACATTAGGGCTGTGGCGGGTATTATCGGTTACCGTCGGTTGTTCCGGCTGCCTGTCGAACGCAAGGCGTAGTACCTAGTTCGTCCGGACAACGACGCCTTAATCTCAAACCATATCTAAGTTATAAAACAATTCCTTGCAATTCCTAAACCTAAATCATCAAGATCCAAACCCTAACGACACCGCCCATCATGCTCCAACACGAATCCCACCACATCGTCGCCATCGAAGCCGTACATTGTCCCATTCCCACCTTCAACCTACCATGTCCCTACACCGTCGACACATACCACTGGACATCTCAGTCTGAACTCGCCCACCGAATCAAAGACGCTACAATTATCCTGACCACCACGATCCCACTCTCCGCCGAAGTCCTATCCCCAGATATCACCCCCAACCTCCAACTCATCGTGATCATGGCATCCGGCACCGATTGCGTCGACAGAGTTGCATGCCAGGCCCGAGGAATCACCATTTGCAATTGCCCTGGCACCAACATGGATAGTGTGAGCGAGCACGTAATCGGGGCGTATTTCGCCACGAGACGGAAATTCGTCCATCTGCACCAGGCCACGGTCAGTGTTCCTGACGATCCGGGTGTGGAAACTGAATGGAAGATGAATGGCACGTTGCATCCGCGGCTTAGGATGTCGGATGGGAATCCACCATTGCTATGCTCTCAAGAAACATTGGGGATTCTGGGGTTTGGGGCTTTGGGACGGCGAGTGGAAACCCTAGCTTGGGCGCTGGGAATGAAGGTGATTGTGTCAGATCATAAGGGGGTTGTTCCGCGCGATGGCCGGGTGTCGTTTGAGACCTTCCTTAAAGAATCAACGGTACTGGTGCTTTGTTTACCGAGGTCATCGAAAACAGTGAATTTGATTTCGACGGAGGAGTTCCGTATGATGATGCCACAAGCGGTGGTTATTAATGTTGCTAGGGGTGGAATTGTGGATGAGCAGGCTTTGTTGGATGCTGTGAAGGAGGGGGTTATTTCGGGTGCTGCGATGGATGTGTTTAAGGATGAACCTGTTGGGAGGGGTGGGTCGCCTTTGATTACGAGGGAGATTGAGGAGGAGGGGTTGAATTTACTTCTCACTCCGCATCTGGCTTGGTATTCGGGAATGACGTTGCGGAATCTGCAGGAGGGGGTGAAAGGGACGGTGGAGAGATGGGTTGGTGGGGAGACGATAAATCGGATTTTGTGATGGGATAGAATAGTATTCTACTTATTGATGTTTCGGATTATATATAGTGTTTTCAGTTGTATATGCTGGGACAAGTTGATGGAGTGTAGAACGGGATATCGACTTTATAGGATGATTTGCAATAGTGAGAAAGGGGGCGACGGCTTTACGATTATTTAGACTATCTGGGATATGAGATAAATCCTTCCAATGCAAATGTTGACAGAGTTATCGTATTCTGAAGGTGATACAACTAGAGGAGCCCGTCATGATGAGGGTCTGGATCATGTCCTGTAATTGAATCCTCGCATATACCTTCATATACTGTCTGCAACAAATGAATCGTTATTGTCGAAGGAACTCCTTAATCACGAAGAAACAATCAAAAGCAGCTGCAAGCCAGGTCTGTCACAGCATTGGGCTCGAAAAGCAGACAAAACCGGTCAAATAACAACAATCAAAGCGCTCATCGTTGAAAAAGCAACCCACACACTCATGAGCACACCAAGCCTAGGCGGGCAGAACCTAAAACCGATTAGTGAAGATCAACCAAATACGAGCAATACGTACTCTTCCACACTGAGACCGATGAATCCGCCCCAAAAGAACCACTGTGAAATCCAGAGAAGGAGCAGCAGCATGACCGTTTCCGCATAGAACACCATGGATGCTGTTGGATAACCCCATTTCTGTCGGCTTTGAGCAGAAAATGTGCCATACACAATCTGATCCCCTCCCATGCCACTTGTCAACAGGGATTCTTCGGAGCCGATGGGCTTGTCCATCCGACCCTGTGCATAATCGTCTATGAGTCTTCTGCGACGGGCCCTCCACTTCTTCCTAGACATCGATGTTGTGTCCCCGATTGTCTGCCAGTCTGGTTGGTTGAGAATATCAGATCCAACCAACCTATCCAGCCTTCGCACGGTGCGCACCAAATGCACAAGTCCCACGCCGATGATAATAAGCCACATGAGTGCTCCAGCATACATCGTTTCAGCCGAATCCCATCTCTCCGCTTCTCCTATACCTCCAAGGTAGAAGTTATGCTGTCGACCATAATTGACAGTCATAAGCATGTGATATGACGACAGGAACTGGAGGATCAATTCCGCAAATAACAAAGACGCGGTCGCGGAGAATCCCACCATTCCTGAGGATTGTAGACCAATCACTAAGATGGACAACCAAGTAAACCGAGGCATTGAAGACCAGAGGAGCATCAGTTGAATAACGGGGACGTCCTCATAGCCCGATGTACTCTGAACTATCAAAGCATTGAACCAGTTCGCAGTGACTTGCAGAGTGGCGATTACAGTCCCCTTGCACATCCAACCCCACGGGTGCGAGTACCATGCAATCCCGCGCGAACCTTTATCTTTACCGGTTATGTAGCTGAGTAACACTGCAAGGTAACTAGCTATGCTGATTAGGGAAATGCTTCCGAGCTTCCAATCATTCGAGGGACATGTTTCCGATGCTTTGGAGTGGTCCAAATGGGTGGTGTTGGCCATTTCTGAATTGATGGACGGCTTGAGGGTCCATCGCCATGGAATCATCTCAATGGGAGTAGGGACGGTTAGCTGGCGCCAATTATCTGGTAGACCATGCCAGTCCTCCACATTGCTGCAAAGATTGTGGAGCCACTTAGTATAGTCTATTCGCCCCTCGAATATATGGCAGGAACCTCCGCAGGAATGGTAGCTAATGCCGCGGCAAACGCAAGCCCTGTCAACTGCAGGCTTCACCTTGCAGAAGCCACTTGAGTCGATTTCACAAGCATCGGTTGCACACTGATCAGTAAGCTCGGTCACCTGCTTCGGCATATCCGAGACACACTTCGGCCAGTGCCATTTTTCGATGGGAATGTATGCAAACTTTGTGGTTTTGAGTGTGTCCATCCAGCTATCGGGCAAAGACATCGATCCACAGGTAGCGTGAATCCAGAGGCGCTCCTTCGTAAATTCCAAACTTTCTGAGTCTGAGCACGGCTCGTTTTGAAGATCTAAAGAGTAGGCACCACAGAAGCATTCTTTATCAAAGTAGTCACCGTCTTTGATGCTATGATGGACGAGATCGTAACCAACGGTTTCAAAATCCAGCGCAGTCATGGACCGCAGTCTTTCACTATATTCCCACGGACGATCGGCATTTCCGGTGTGTTGGGTAGTGCTCGTGAAACCACAAGAGGCTATTACATGTTGAAATGGTTCCAGCGAGACAGCAGAAGCGGAGCCAGTCAGACATGTGGGTGCTTTGTCAAGTATGTCAACAGCTGCGTACCCTTTGGCCAGAGAGGCTGGGGAGAGAGCTTGCAGTCCGTTTGCGTCGCCAACATCGACAAGCCACGTTCGACCGGTAATCTCATGAATCCAATGATACAATTGTGCTTTGGCAAGTATTGATCGACCGCAGTATGGGAGATAGCTTGCGACCATATCAGTGGAAAACGCATTGCTGAAGCAGCTGAGCTGAGTCAGCCATTGGTGGTGGGTGCAGATAATTCCAAAGTGGTTGGTGCATCGTTTGCTGGTGCATCCTGTCATGGTTTTCAGCCAGGTGGAATGATCTTGCTGAGCGATGCACTGTGGCATCGGAGCTAGATCTTCGGGGTTGACCCAGCCATTGCGGTTGCTCTGGGGTAACACGACTCCGTCCTCAGCATTATCAACGGTCGGGGAATGAAGCGCTTCTGGAGTACTGATATTAGTGCCAGGATAGATGGAGACTTTAGGAGAAACTACCTCTCACACTGACACCGTAAACCCCAGCCGTCAACAGGACAAGAAACGTACCGGTCAACTTCATGTCGCTGGTGTTGTCGGTCGAGCCGGTGCTTGGAAGTGGAGCCTTGCGAGATGAAGCTTATCCGCTGCGGGGCTGCCCATAACACCAACATCTGTCGGATCAACATCGGACCGATCAAGCCCAACGAATCATTGCATAGTTGTTAATATTAACTAACGTAATCGGTAAGCGAGCGACGCACGCAAGCGAGTGACGCACCTCCGCGCGTTTTGGCCGTGGCTGAAATACTCACCAAATTTAATTAGCAACCATGCCACCAAAAGTGCGTCAAAATCCAAAAGATTCTCTAAAACAAGAGGGGAGGATATTACTTGCAATCTCTGAATTAAAAAAACAGGAAAAATTATCTATACAAGAAGCAGCATGTATTTACAATATCCCTGAATCTACTCTCCGAAAAAGACTAAGAAGCTATACCTTTCAACATAACACACGCGCGAACTCACATAAGTTAATCCAAAATGAAGAAGAATCACTTATACAATAGATTCTTTCTCTTAATCAGTATGGTACAGCTCCCCGGCCATCTCATATACAAAAAATAACTGATATCTTACTAGCAAAGCATGGAAAGACTCCTATCCAGACTGTTAAAGAGAAATAGGCATACAACTTTATTCAACATCAGGATAAACTTAAAACTCGCTTTTCTCGTCGGTATAATTATCAGCGCGCGAAATATAAGGATCCAAAGATAATTTTTGAGTAGTTCAACCGTGTACAAATTACCAGAATGCAGTATGGGATTGCTGATAAAGATATCTATAATTTTAATAAAACTAGTTTTATTATAAGCCTTATAACTACTATAAAAGTAGTTACAAGAACTGAGATGATTAAACAGCTGTTTCTTGTACAGCCAGGCAATCATGAATAAGTCACTTCAATTAAGTATATCAACTGCATAAAGTAGGCACTTCTACCATGCATTATCTTTAAAGGAAAGATCCATATTAAGGAATGGTACAAGGATAATACCTTACCACACGACTGGAGAATTAAGGTCAGTACCAATGGCTAAACAATTAATAAGATTGGACTACAATGACTTTAAAAACTCTTTATCCCAGTAACTAATAACCGTACAACTAGCAGATACCGGCTGTTAATCCTTAATAGCCATGGAAGCCATTTAACTCCCTAATTTAACCAGATATGTATAGAACATAATATTATACTAATCTGCATGCCATTACACTCATCACATCTCTTACAATCTCTTGATATTGAGTATTTTATACCTTTAAAGCGCGCGTACGGCCGCCTTGTTAAGAACAAGATACAGCTTGGTTTCAACCATATTAACAAGCTTGACTTTCTTGAGGTCTATCCCAACACTCATACAGAAGTCTTTAAGCCAGAGAATATTCAGAATAGCTTTACAGCAGCTAGATTAGTCCCTTTACAGTCAGAATGTATGCTATCACAGCTAAATATATGTTTAAAGACCTACACCACCCCCGAGTTGATTAACTATCTCTGCACCCAAAACGCTGTATAATCTCAAGTAATTGGATGAACAAGCATCCATAATTAAGAAGCTATTGCGGTATCATACACAGAGTCCATCTAGTCCAACAAAGACCACATTAAATCAGCTTGTTAAAAGATTTGAAATAGCCCTTAATAGGGCTGCTATTCTTGCAAAGAAAAACCAGGATTTACAGACTGTATATGAGAAAAAGCTTTAAAAGAGAGAACAGTCTAAAGCACAGATTGCTTCTACAGAGGACCTTTCAATTAAAGAAGACCATGCACTTGTACAAAGCAGAAATCAGATAGAAGAGGCTATACAGACTAGACCTACATCAAACACACTAGAGACATTGCAATGTTGTGTACGGGCGCCCCCACGCTGCAGTGACTATCATATTATTAAACATAAACAATTACAGTGCCCAAATCGTATTTGTATTTAGTTTGAATATAAAAATACATGTTTTGGTGGCTTTATAGAGCTTTAAACTTCCAACCATGGTTTATTTCGGGCGGAGGTGCGTCGCTCGCTTACCGATTACGTTACTGAAGGAAAACTATTATTAGGTCATCTTTACAGTACCAAGTGTCCCGATCCTAGTAATAATTCCATAGGATTGGTACCAAAATCCACACTTTTTCTTACTATATACATCTCACAAAACCTACCAGGTTTTTAAATAGTATTTGAAAATGAAATTCTGCACAACTCTGACAAACATATGATATCTGTGACTTGTAACAAGGTAAGAAACTATCCAGCTACCTCTTTGTCGCCAGGCTATTAACCAGTGTCACGGAAATGATGCGATATAAAATCCTGCCTGCATCATATCATCGAGGGTATCATCATTATATTTTCTTTCCTGATAAGAGTACTATTAGTGAAGACACTGCAGTAAAAACCTCCACTGAACTTTTTCTTGACTTGCTAATTTACATAATACCTTTTTGCACGCCGTGGATTCATCTCCAATCATGACCACGTTGAGTCACCTCAGTAGGCATTATAAAAGTAACTTTGTTCTACCGTAGCAGGTTAAAGTCAGATGGGACGAAAGATGTACACCCTGGGTAGTTCCCACCGGCAAGACAAACCCCGAGAACACAGCCTACATTGAGGTATATGATTCAAAGCTCTCCAACCTGCATCTAGACAATGAGTTTCATATTGCGGATATATACCGAGATGGGGTTCCACAGGACTAGATCACTAAACCTAGAAACTCTCCTGAACAGAGCAACCGCATCGCCCGTAGCCCTGGTCCCTAACAGTCCCCCCACTTTCTAACGTCCTCCATCACTCCATTTGTAACCCCCATCCTACCTATAATACTGCAAACTATCCCAAGAAAGCGGCTCATGACCCCACGAACAATGCTGATTCCCAAAATAGGCGTATTTGCAGTTCGCGCAGCGATAATAGAAACATTTGACGACCTGCGTGCAGGAGACGACGGTGTCTTGGGCGCTGATGTAGCGGGCCCCGCAGGTTCTTTCTTCTTGTGTGGAGCGGATGGAGTGTTGGCAGCCCGGGGTGCCGTTGTTTAGATGGACGGTTGGCATTGTGGGTTCTATTCTGAGGGTGGATGTCGGCTGGGTTAGTATTCGAGGTAATGGGGGGGGGGGGGGGGTAGGGAGGGAGGGAGGTGACTTACAGGTTCAGTATATATTGAGGTTGGTGGGGGAGAAGTAGTATTGAGAATTCTTCAATGTTGAGGAAACGGATGGTCACAACCTGGAGAATGTGATAGTTGGGTGGTAGGAAGATTAGGACTGTTATATCATGGCAAGGGTCAGAGAAATGAGGGGTAAGACTACTGCCAAGTAATTATACGGACGAGGCTGGTTAATCACATGCACTAAACCGCCCAGAGTATCAGACGTGGTTCCAGTCGTGCGGGGTTGGAGTCTTATTATGAGGGCATAAATTTGATGATATTGGTCTAGTGCCTTGAATTGAAACCGGGAGGGGACCTGCCTACTGAGGTCTAAAGATGCAGTCAGGTGGGTCGAGGGGTCCTCGTATTTCAAATTGGCTCCATTATTTTTGACACTACATCAAGGGTTGTTGCTCTTAACTCAAGCTTTTGGTTGATTATCCTGTTTACTGGGTGTTTATTCAAAGGACAGTGAATAATCACATGATTGAGTAATGTTTTCCCTCTCTTTTGTACCACCAGAGGTGAAGCCGCAATAAGATTAAGTTCACCTATTATTTAACCGTGTATAGGCAGGCTGTGGCTTGAAGGCGACTCACTGGACGGAAAGGGCCGTTCTCCACATCCCGTGGTACAAGTACCACACCAGTCGAGCTGTCCCGTAGTAGACGCACAGTAAGCCTAGTTGAAAAACTATGTCTGGTCAAAGCTATGATGACAATATGAAAAGCAACGAAAAAGGAAGGGGTGGAGAGAGAAAGAGGGCGAAACGAAAAGAAGTGGAATAAAATGAAGGCAAGCAGATTAAGAAGGAGTAAATATCGAGCGCATTGCACCTAAGCATGAACCCTCACATGTAATCGTCCTCGGAGAAATCATCAAAAATCCAGTTCTGTTCTATTAGTCTTCTCTCCCCTGTCGTCTCGGCCGCAGCAAGGGCGTCCCCCTTCAATGTTCTTTCGCGTGCTTTGGCCGCCTCATAGTAGTCAACCGGGACCCAGCCTTCGTTCCCAACACCAATCAACTGCTGACAATGTTTCAATTGTTCATCCGCTTCGGTCTGTGCCTGTGCCAATGCTAGGCATTCGTGCGATTCAGCATCTGAATACATGAGCGGACAGGGCATTTTATTTCCGCCGTTTCACGTCCGTCCACCTTTTCGCCAGAGTAATGAGCTTTGATTTCAAAGTCATGTTGTCACCTTCCCAAGGATCGCTTGCGTATTGGTAAAGCCATCGTCTGAGCGTGCTGTAGTCATAGGCCAATGCATCATAATGCTCGGTATTCATTTCTGCTGTCGTCTTGACATAGAGGTAGTGAAGATGACGCCTCCGAAAGAGTTCGGTCTGCTGATGCTGTTCTTCCAACTCCAATTGGTCGAGATTAATGGGCAGAGTGGGCTTTCGGAGAGATTCGGAAACATCATCACCATAATTCTGCAGGCTGTTTGGGATAGCGCATTGCAAGAAAAGCGGAAGAACGGTACTGTGCTGCCAGTCGATCAATCCATTGATTTCCAGTTCATCAGACACAAAGATGTTCGGTTGCAGATCGGGATGCCGTAAGACCGGACGATGGAGGGCTGGGCTACCGTGAGGGATGAGGCTCGGCGCGACTTTTAGATACAGCTGCAGAGTGGCGATGTAATCGAGATGTGATTGTGGTTGATAGTCGTAGGTCTCCCGACGAAGACGCTGAATGGGCTGAAGGGGTTGTCCGAATTTGGACAGGTAGGCAATCTCTTTGGTGGCACCGGCAGTAAGAACTGCCAAACAGTCCTTATCTAAACTCAATCAATAAACGGCATTTCAAGATTCAGGGAGTGTAAGTAGATACATACATGGTCCACGCTCTACCGGTAAGTTAAGTCTTCTGCCATACCACAGCCCAAGTGACGTATCAGGGCCGATACAGAAACGGGGTTTCTCCGTCGAAAGTTGGGTTGGAATGATGACTCGGCTGCTCTCTGGGCAATCGGTGCAATAATAGAGTCTTCCACTTGCTGGAAACCTCAAAGCAAACAGCCGCGATTCTAGCTGCACCAGGTTCGTGATTATTTTGGTCCTTTCTGCTTCGGATAAGTCAAACCAGATATCACCCACGTTCCTTCCCTGAACAAATTCCATGAATATGTATTCTGTTTCAGCTGGATTGTCTGGAGTAGCTGAGAACCCATAGACCCTGGGGGCTGGTATATTATGCGAACGAAGAAAGTTCATTGTGGCCACTTCACTGGCGATGACCAGTGGTTTTGGTTGAGTGATTTGGTATGGCACGCGGGCAATGAAGCGAAAACTGTCCCGCATGGTGATCAAAAAGCTTCGATTAAAGCCTCCCTCGGCCAGTTTCTCGAACCCAACCACATCTTCTTCCTTTTGGTGCACGGATCGAGCCGCAAGCCGCTTAAGTTCCGGAACGTTAAATACACGTTTCCTCTCACGATGCCTCAACGCGTCATTATAACTACAGTTGTGGATCAGCCAAGGAGTTCATTGCGATAGGTCGGTGCCTAACATACATCCATCGCCCGGACGTGTACTCAAATAAATCCGATGATTCGGATGTAACGTGGCAGCTGGAGAGGAGACGTGCGACAGAATATGAGTGCAGTTTAGATAGCCTGATGGTGGGCTTGGTAGACCGACATATAAATGCGGACCGCAGACACGGCGCCATGATTGGATACCAGTGAGGGAGAAGGAGGAAAAGGCCACTCACGTCGTCGGGAAAACAACATTGCTATGCAGATCATGTAATAATGCGCCGGGGCCTGATGCACAATGTAATCATGTAATAATACTGTATCATGACCTCCGCTCAACCCTGCATACTTGGCACAGCCACGGTGATTGGCGGGGAGGATTACGAACAAATCAGATGTGACATTCAATCTATGGCAGCCGTACCAATAGTGCTGAAGTATAGGTCCTGCCTGCATGTATTCAATTGGGTCGGTAGGTTTCTCTGGATATTGCTTAGTAACAAGCGGCCTGGACTACGAGCAACTACCTAGGCGGATGAAACGTGTCGCGGATATGCAACACCCAGGCAGGCAACATCGGACAACAGGTAGCAATAACCTCAAACCTGGTACGGATACCCGGCATTCAGGGTTTATGCCATCCCAATTGGTCCCATTTATACCATGCAGTAGCGGGAGGTCTTGATTGGCTGTATGCCTTCTCTTATCACCAGAGACTCAATATATATCTCTATATTACTCCCCAACCTCCATCCTATTCACCACCCTGTCCACTATCCACGATGGGAATCCCCCACACCAACCTCATCTCAACCCTCACAGAATTCTACACCCTCCTCACCACCCTCGTCGCCATCCCACCCAACAACATCCTTCTCCCGGACCCTACAACAACCCGCCACCCAGCCCACGCCCTAAACGCCACGGCAGCCCGATCAGCCGGATACCCTGAACCCGCCATCGAATTACTATACCACATCCCATATCTTAATATACCAGATCACGACATGCATATTCTTCCACGAACCTATCCCATAAATCACCTGGGGGGCCACCGCGACGAAGTATATTTCCAATCTATGCGCGAGGGATGGCCCGACGAGCCGTTTCCAGAGGGGATGATTGGGTTGATTTATAGTGCTGGTGGGGGGGAGATACTTTTCTATGATGTTTATACTGGTTAGCTTGTTTCTTTTTTCTATGAATCAGGATCGGGGGATGCAGCAACACTAATAAATAAATAGGACTCATGAGGGTATGGAATCCCGACGGAGAGATCGATAACCCCTCAGACGCTCCTGCAGGTCTCCCCTCTGAGATCCTATCGCCCTACATTCAGAAATTCATAACGCTGGAGTGGCTATTCACACCAATGGGTATAGACGAGAACAAAGATCTCTACGCCAACTCCGGAGGAGAACCCCCTGCGCATTTGTCGAGGTCAGAACAGATGGTTTGGTATGGTTTCTATGCGGAGTGGAGAGCTGTAAGACGGGTGAAAGAGATTTATTCGAAATATGGGTGGGAAGTAAATGCGTCGGGTGTTGAGCAGGAGGGGTTTGAGAGGGAGAGGTTTTTGGTAGAGAGGGAGAAGTATTGGGAGAGTGTTGTGGAGCCAGTTGGGGAGGTGGCGGGGAGGATGCATGGGTGGAGGATGGGAGGGCTGCTGGGGTAGTAGATTTTTCTTCTTTGTGAGAGGTATTGAGCGGTGGTATTGATTGTGATTGTTGTTGCAGTGTATGTTGATTCCGAGAGTGAGCATACTTGGGAAATTTATTGGGTTGCTGATGACAGGTGAAGCTACAATCATCAATCTTTACTCTTAGACTCTTACCTCCTCATACTTTCCATAGGTTAGAAATTAATTAATATATTTCAACTATCATAGATAAATATACCAAACATCCACACCTCACATTAGATCCTAAACCCGAAACATTAAACCTATCAGAGTATCTTCAAATCCTCTCCGAAATCTTCTGCCACATGCTCTTTTCCACCACCTACAGAACAGTCAGCTAAGAATCACATCAAACACGAAGAAAAGATATAAACCAACCTGATCCTGCTGATCAACCTCCACAACAGCCGAACACCCCGTCACAAAGTCCTGTTCGGCCAGCGGGATAATACCACCTTTATACTGGACCTTGTAACCGATGAAGAGCACGACAAATAGTAGAATCGGGAAGTAGGTCGTTATGAACGAGGAGACGTCGAAGGTGTGGACTAATCATCATCATTAGTCGCCTTCCCTGGATCCTGGGAATGAAAGAAGGGGACGTACTAAACGCAGTAAATCCACCGAATACAATCACCATTAGGCAAATGCATATACCATCTATTAATCAAGTTAGCCAGACCAGAACACATAGATGGATCAAGAGAGTGGAAGCATACAATACGACAAATACGGCTGAAACGGCGCCCGATACGGCAACGTACTCCTATCAATGCCCTGCACCTTGAGACCCTTGTGCCAGCGAATGCTGGTCCAGAGAATACCGGCCCAGGAAATCATGCCGCAGATGGCGGTCATATTAGAGACTGCATTGTCAATCAGCATACCACATAGAAAAGGACCATCGGGGGTTGGGGGGAAACATACAATAACCGAATACAGTACCCGCCTTGCCCTGACTAGCAGCCATGAACGAGAGGAGGGAGAACGAGCCACAGAAGAGCACGCAAACCCAGGGTAAACCGTCTTTTCTGGTCTTGAGGAACACGCGTGGGGCATGGCCACGCGCAGCAAGTCCGTACAATGCCCGTGAGGAGACGAAGAGATCGGCGCAGCCGGCGGACCAGGCGCTGGTCAGCAGAGCGGCGTTGATGATGGAGGGGAGGACGTTGATGCCGGCGTTCTGGGGTTGTCAGAAGTTTTGATGAGGTAGGTGGGAGGAGGGGGTACCTTGATGGCAATGACGAAGGGACTTTTGGCTGCGGTGGAGGAGAGGTTTAGGGATGGATCTGATGGGGAGACGAGAATGCCAATCTGGATGATGTTAATCGGATGTTCGTGGGTGAAAACAGGGTTGGCATACCAGGAAAGCGCTGCAGATGTAGACTAGTCAAGTTAGTAGTTGAAGTCAGTGTTGGAGAAATGTACATACAGAGCACAAGTCTGATCCAGACACTTTTGATAGCGCGAGGGACGTTCGTGGCAGGCTGCAAAAGTCAGTTTGAATCTCGGACGATTGAGATTACCTACTGAAGCAGTCTCGGCAGCAGCAATGGCGGTAATTTCAGTCCCGATGAAGGCGAAGGCAGCGTCAATGAGCACTGTGCATGTGAGCATACTTCCGAGATAACATGGACATGGGTGACTTACCTGCAAAGAAACCGAGGAATCGCCCTTTTGCACCAGCTGTGACCGTCAGTATGCGTAATGCAATGGTGGACAAATTTCATACCGATTCCGGCATATTGCACAAAGCCACCTGTTTCATTCCAGAACTTGAAGCCAATAGCCTCATGGTTGGGGCCTCCTCCGGCGGAGATAATAATGCCAGTGATGATCAGACCGAGAATGGTGAGAACCTAGTCTGTCAGCAGGATTCAATTAGGAAGTGATAGAAGCATACCTTGATCGAGCAGAACCAGAATTCCATCTCACCAAATATCTTGGTACCGCCAACATTGATCAACCACTATACATATTAGCAAGAACCCAATGGGAAACCAGAGAGACCGGTACATACCACAACCAGTAGCATCAGTCCCACCCACAGTGCATTATTACAAATTCCAGTGGTACACGTCGAGTCCGTTTGTCCAGCAGGAGTCCAGTACGTAATAAGGACCGCAGCAGCTGAAATCTCCGCTGGAAGGACGATGATATAATTGTATACATACAACACGCCCATGGCGAACCCTAACTCAGGCGAGACGAAGCGACCGGCGAGTGCGAACTGCCCACCCGGGATGGGGAACTGCGAGACCATTTCTCCAAGGGCGACCTACACCATTAGCGATGCAACTAACAAAGGCACGGTAAACAAACCATGACAGCGTACAGCAATGACGCCATAAGGCAGTAAGCAATGAGCAGACCCGCTGGACCTCCATTCTCAAGATCGCTAGCTGTGCCTAGGAAAAGACCGGTTCCCTGAATGGTTAGAAACGCAAGTGGTAGTTTGGGGTTCGAGACTTACGATAACGCCACCAAGGGCAATCATCTGACTGGTACAAATTAGACATGATCATCATTGGATCTATAGATACTTACATATGGCGGGGCTAGACAGTCAGTACACCTTCTCAATTAACAGAATAAGAACACACCTTGAGCTTTCGCTGCAAGCCAACCTGCAAATCAACCCGAGATTCCACCGTGCCCGTGTCCACAGGGACCTCGTCAGCGTAAGGCGTTTTCTGGTCCTGGGCCTGTCAGCAAACTCCAACAAGAGAATTGGTACCATACCATTTTTTCGTGCATGATGGCGTGCATGAGTTCTGAAAGCCCGGTCTGGGGGCATATTTAGATTATCTGGTCCACAGCATTCCAGATAACAAACCGGCAGATGATAAGACGGAGCTTATCTGATAGCGGGAGGGCAGATGCAGATAAACTATCGGTTGAAGCGGGATCTTGCCGATACGCCGATGCCGCCGAGATAGTGAAATACCAATCACATCCCTTGACTGAGATCCAAGTATCTCTGAATTTGCCTACACGAAACACCATGGCACCAGGAAAGACACGGACATTGAAACCTGGGGTGTATGCCCCGTTACCTACCTTTTTCGACGATAATCAGGAACTCGATTATGGCAGCTACAAGAAACATTTGCTCAGTATGACCCCACCTACCTTTACTGGATTTGGCTAATGATTAGACCTTGCCACGAGGGGAATGGGTACGTGACCCCAGCTCCCCATATTCAATATCAAAACTAACCCCCGCAGTCCCCGTATGTGCCGGCTCCCTAGGAGAGGCAGTTCACTTGGTATGACCATCCATCCCCAGACCCCAACCCCTCTAACCCCAAGCAGAGCTTTGATGAACGAACCTCCTTAATCCGCTTCATCCGCGCCACGCTGGACGAGGCCGGTCTGAACGAAACCCCCATCATAGCTGGTGTCGGAGGCCTCAGCACACGCGAAACCATCACTCTGGCCCGCGCAGCCGCAGAAGCAGGAGCGTACGTCCATCACCTGTATCAATCCCATCCCATTCACCTACTTACAACCCCAGCGACGCCGGCATGGTAATTCTCCCCGCCTACTACGCCGCCAGTCTCAATACCGACCATAGCCAAATCATCCAATACTATGTCGACATCTGCGACGCATCTCCCGTACTCCCCCACCTGCCCCTTCTCCAACCCTCCTCTAATTAGAACCCCAGATCCCAATCCTCCTCTACAACTTCCCCTCGAACGCCGGCGGCCTCGACATGTCCTCCTCCACCATCCAATCCATAATGGAACGATCCCCGAACCTCTGCGGAGTGAAACTCACGTTAGCCCAAACCCTCCCCCTACCCCCCCGCAAACACCATCACTAACAAAAGAATAGCTGCGGCGGGAGCATCCCAAACTCCTCCGACTAACATCCGCCCTAAAAGCCAACCCGGAACTCAACGCCTCCCGTGCATTCCCCTTTCTACTCCTCGACGGGCTCATTGCAGACCTAACACCGTGGATGCAATCAGGCGGACACGGGACCGTAAGCGGGATACCGAATTTCGCACCTGCCACGGCAATGAGGCTTTGGGAGTTGGTTAACCTTAAGGAGCCGAGTGGGGAAGAAGTAATTGAGAGGGAGAGATTGCAGGGTGTGGTGGGGAGGGCGGATGTGGTTGCTGTTCCTGGGGGGTTAGGGGGATGAGTAAGTCTCCTTGTTTCTCTTTTTTGGGGGGGTTGGGGTGGTGGCTAACTACTTGGATGTGTAGAGTATGTGTTGAATAAGGTGCATGGGTATGGGAAGGATCCGAGGAGACCGTTGTTGCCGTTGGGAGAGGATGAAGGGGAGGAGTTTCTGGGTGCGCTGGGGGAGTTGTTGGAGGTGGAGAGGGAGATTAGTGCTCGTGGATAGGGTATTGAGTTGGGATATTTTTATTCTTGAGCTCTTTGTCTAGACGATGATATCTGCTTCGGTCTATTTGGGAGCTTATAACATATTATTTGTTAATTGGGGCTCGGATTAGATTTTTCATTGCGACAGACTGACGATAGTGTGATTCTGGATTTATTGATCGAGGTTTGTATAGCATTCGATGACTGGGTCCCGTCCAGATGAGGTTTGTAGTCTAGTAAGCTAGTCGTGGGAATTCATACTGGTTCTTAACGTAAATCACCCAGTATAATACTCGATCATTCTATAGTAATCACAAACATACAGAAACCATTACACCTAAAATATACATCTACCATCCACCATCCAATCAAGCCACCACCCCAAACGCATCCACCCCATCATCCACAACCGTCGACCTCCGTACATCCCTCGCCGTCATCCCCTCCGTATACGGATTCGCCCGATGCATCGACTGCCTATCACTTCATTAGCACACCACCCCACTCCACTCTACCGCAGATCATCAAACTCACCGATTATCCCACCAAACCATATCCCCACCCCTCAACCACTCCATACTAAACACATACTCCGATTTCGTACAATGCTCAATCAACTCCCAAATCAACCTCTGACTCTCCTCCACCTCCCACCCCACAATCCGTTTCGCGTGAGCAGCCAAATACAATGTTTTCCGTCCATCCGGGGCCGTCTGCACCAATTTATGAAATGCGGGGGGTTTTGCGGCGAGTTCGTGAGGGAGTGGCGAGCCGTAGATAATCGGGGAGGCGAGTTTGCGGGAGTGCCAGAGACTAGAAGTAGGTTTAGTTGTGGTCGTTGGGGATTGGGGCAGGGGGGGTTACTCATGTTCCACGATAAGATCTTCCAGCTGGGATTTCTTCTCGGGTGGGAGGTCGGCGTACGCCCGGCGCGTGTCGGCGAAGTGAGTCCAGGAGCCGCCGTGGACGGGGTTGCCGTGGGAGAGGAGGAGGGAGTATTTGGAGCGTTGTTTGTGGTAGGAGGAGTCCTGGGTGGGCTGTTAGGGTTGATGTTTCGTGATGGGAGGAGGGGGTAGGGGGTAGGAGTAGGGGTACCGTGTGCCAGAGGGCATTGCCGAGACTGTGGTGCCAGCGACGGCTGTCACGTTGGACGAGGGAGCCGTCGAGCTCGATACTGTTGGTGGTTATTAGGGGAAGATGTGACGCTGAGGAAGGATACGCACTTCCCGACATCGAACAGGAGAGGTTCTTTCAAGCGATCATTTTCTCGACCGTAGAAGAACGGGTTTATTTCCAATTTCTCGCCTAGTTGCTGTGAAAAGGCGATATGGCGCGCATTGTCGAGGCCTGTTTCGCGGAATATGAGCACACCGTAGCGGTCTTGTAGGGCGATTAACTACACTGGTTAGTAGATACCTTCATAGTACCAGAGGGGATCTACCTGCGCCACCAGCTCATCAGGAATCGGCTTCTCCCAATCCACACCAAACACCTCTGCCCCAAAAAACGAATCTGCCGACTGCAGCACCGGCCGGATAGTCAAGCTACCCTCTTGAATGGACGGCAAAGGATCCGTGCGCGGGCAGGTAGTATCGTAAGTACGAATGTCGATATGAGCGAGCGGGTTAGCCATGGTATCTGTCGATAGAGTTAAACTTCCTATGACGCGACCACTGACCGTATCTCAACCCCCTGGACTCTTTTATCTGTCTATCAGCCCCCGCGCGGGGTCCAGGCCGTCGGCCCGCAGCCGACAATGCCGATCCGATATCAGCCCGTAGCCCGATAACAGCCATAGATAAGTACTCATTACCCTATTCTGCTATCGATAGCCACCGCTACCAGAGACAACCATCATGAATCCCATTCTAATCACCGCTGGCCCCTACCAATTTCTTGCCACCTTTGAGGCCGCGGCTCCGAAGACCGTTGCTGTCTTTCGCAGCTTGTTGCCTTATAAAAGACAGCTCATTCACGTCCGTTGGAGCGGTGAAGGACTCTGGGTGCCATTGGGAGAGACGGATTTTGGTCTTCCATGGGAGAATCACACGGCGCATCCCGGGGCGGGGCAAATCCTGCTGTATCCTGGGGGTATATCCGAGACGGAGATATTGTTTTGCTACGGGGGGGTTGCGTTCGCGAGCAAAATGGGGGCGCTGGCGGCGAACCATTTTTTGACCGTGATCGAGGGTCAGGAAAATCTAAGGGCATTGGGAGAGTTGGTGTTGTGGAAGGGGGCGCAAGATGTGCTCTTTGAGGAGGCCACAGAGGAAAGGTGTGTATCATTGTTCGCGGTATTAGGTCTATGGGATTGCTGATTTTAGGTGATATAGGATCCGTCAATTCCGTATGGCACGCGCCAAGCTCTGATCAATTCTTGTAGAGGTTGATGTCGATATCCCAAAAGTCCCCAGGGTCCATAAGTGTCCCGGGCCATTCAAACCCTGCTTCGTTCATTTGATCCAGCACGGACTGCAGGGCGAGTTCATCGACTATTGGCCCTTCATGTCCGGTGGATGCTAGTACCAGGGCCGTTGCGTTTTGGACGATGGTGCGAAACTCGCGTGCGGGGTGGAAAGTAGATGATGAGCAGACGGCATCGAAGAGGTCGCGTGCCAGTCGCAGGAGGCGGGAGATGATCGATCCGGGGGATGGAGGCAGCATCGGTTGACCGATTGTGCAAACTTGCATGTCACCTAGAGCTCATTAGCTGTTTTGGATAAATGGAAGGAAGGAGGATCTACCGTCAATTACACTGCGGATGTAGCAAAGAACCAGAAAGGTGACTGCAAAAGTATGCGAGATCCACGTCGAGTCCACCGCATAGCGGAGGCGCTGGACAGCAGCCGGATCCACTTCGAGTTCACCTTCCGGGAGACTTGCGCAGTCTGGTAGATCTAGTCGCCATATATAGTCCGCTGCATTGCTAGACAGCGACAATAAAATTTGTCCCGCTGCTGTCAGGCTTGTCGCAAGCATGGGGGCCAATGAAGAAAGGGATGAGGCTGGGGGACGTGATGTGGACAAAAGGGGCGCCAAAGCAGCGCTATTCAAGGCCAGCCGATACCACTAGTTCGTCAGCTGAAGGAAACAATGAAATACACAAAGATTCATACCCTCACAGACGTAAAGGGTAGCTGGTTATGCTGCGATGGTGTACGTGCGAGACGTTCCACCCACAACCTTTCACAATGTCAATAGTGCTCGCAGGAAGTGACTTGAAACATACTTCTCCCACTCATCAAATGCCGCGTTCAGTTGCTGCAGCCCTTTCACATTTATTTGCCGCCCAGACACGTCGCCATAGCATCGCATCGTTCGGTGCACCACTGCGACGAGCTCGACAAGCCCGGAAACTCGCAGGTCAGCCGGTTGGTGGGCCAAGCGATGGACCCCAAACCGTGGCGCAAGCTGCCCAGAGATTGTCGGATCTAGGGACGCGGGCAACCCGGAGGTTAACATTAGGTTGAAATCACATGTGAGCAGATTGTACCAAACGCGCAAACGGGCGACTTCATCAGCTGACACTGCCGCAGTAGAGCTCTGGGCAAATGGCTGGAGGGCTCTTTGGTCCAACCCAATGAAAAGAGCGTAGCGCACTGCGAGGCCTAGAACGGCCCAGGCACTGATTTCATTGTACCGGCTTTTTGGCGCGTGATCATCATCAACCGTATACGGCATCCATTGCGCATAGAGAAGGAGCACACGAATGGAGTCCAGGGTCACATCAGACAGTGTGGGGCGCAACAAAAGCCTGGATACGGCGTGATCAAGAAGCGCAGTGAGGGAAGAATTCCTGACGATGACGTCTCTTAGCTTTGAATGATTGGATAGTAGGCATGACGTACTGTGTCGGATCAGAGTTTTGGAAACGCATCCCCACGGAGCAAATAGCTAGAAAAAGCACCGGGGTTGTCCGTCGCAGATCTTGCCATGAATGGCGTATATCATCCCCTAGAAACGGGGCCCAGGGATGGCAATGGTCGAAGAATCTGTAGGTCAGTTCCATGTCACGGAGGTCATTCGCAGCACATACAGGGTTATTGCACTTTGTGCGTCTTCCATAGAGATAATGCCACGCGCGACGGGATCGAAGCCAGAGTGGGTGTCATTCTTGGCCAATGCTCCCAGAGAGCGCAAGGTAGCAATGGGAGGCCCCAAGTCGATGCCATCCATACTAAAGCCGGGGGAATGCGATGGGGTGGCTGTCAGGGGCGGACGGTTGGGAGTCTCTGCTGGTACCTGAAGATAGATTTTGGAAGGTGCATCTGTGTTTTGCGCTTGCTTCTCAAGCTGCGCGATTCGGGCTTCATGCTGATTGATCCTAAACTGTCAGTTTGGTACAGTCACATGGAGGTGTGCTGCATACTGGTGATGGAGCTCTACAACCAACTGGGCCATACGCGATGGGCCCGGCTCCTCTTCGAATGTCACCACTCTCTGGTTCTGGAAGGAGCAGGTGATGGCCTGCTGCCTGCACCGCCGACAAGGTGCTTGGGGCCCATCTGGCTCGGGCGAACAGCGCTGCTTACGGGCGCGGCATTGCAAACACGCGCGTGTAGTGCGGCGAGCTTTGGCTGGAGGGATGTCAATAGTGCTGCAGCAATTTATCAGTGAGTAAATTTCAGGAAGAGGAATTAAATGGGTCTTACTGTTCCAACTGTCGTTTCTCCATGGGGAGTTGTTCTGGAGGTGGTGGTTTGGCTTCGAGACAATCCGTTGGATCGGCGAGATAAGCTCTCCGCGTATCAGATCGCTCTATCTGCTCTCCACCAAACGACTTATCGACACAACCCCAATAACAAATGCATACAAGGAAACCGATCATATGCTGATTCCCATGCACATCGCTGCATGGACGCCGTCTGATGTCCCCTGTATCTTTGCATATGCACTCCGATGATTTACTGGAGGGAGGGAATGACGAGAGATAAGCATAGTACCTCCTATGCAGCCCGTTGCTGACTAACATGTCTGCATAGTTTTATGCATACATCCTGTTGCCTGATTGGTGCCTGACCGGATGTCCGATTGCCGGTCCTCCGGTGATCGCGTCATTCTTCACATTCCTCATCTTCTTCTTCCCCTTCCAACTTCCCTCGAACATACCATATTCTCACGCATCATCGCATAAAAACTTTGGCGATATCATTTATTTTGATATACTAGTCATCCAATAGCCGACCTCAGTTGAGGGGCTACAGGAATGATCAGATAGTCACTACACGCCCCGCCCAGGGTGGCCCACTCTAATTACCAGTGAGCAGCGCCGGCAGCAGCTAGAGCTGAACCATCATGAGGTCTATTCAGTCTACATTTTACACTATTCCTAGAGCAGTCCGATGTGCAGGTCAGCCTGTGGGGCTATGCTCACTCCATTCGGCATAACCGATACTCACGGAGGAACCATCACAAGCCGTTCTGGTAATGAGTCTCTAAACTCCGGCGAGCTTAACACTGATGAAGCGTCTAGGTTGGTGTATAGCCAAGTCGGCTTTCGATTGTTGCATCATGCCTGCGCGCTTATGGATTGGTGTATTGAAGTGATCATGGTGAGCGACTGAGATGCATTATCTCACGCCCCATAGGACATGCAGCCGGGAGGGGGTGGCAACACCATTGTTACATTCGTTTCAGTCGACTTGCTGCTTGTTCGTTCGGACCCTCTACATGGTCCCTGGCAGGAAACGTAATCCAGCTACACATGTGATGCATATAGTCATGCAAAACAATGCCTGCAATATCGACGGGTGGCGGGGTGGCGATCAATGTAACCTATGCGTCTGATCGCATTGACAAAATGGCCCAGCACACATGCGCCCATCCAAGACCGTCCACATGTGTGGGGGTTGAGTTTTTCAGCTGAGGGGGTCTTGCATTAGCCGCCGTCGGGCGCCAGGGGCACGGCCTGAGACCCGTCCAATGAGATGCTATGAATATACTCACCATCGAGCATGTCAATAACACCGCATACCAACGTCAGCCAGCCCGCTTCAAACGGCGACTCCGACAATTGCCCAGAGCATCAGACATTGATTGCCTTGGAAGATGAAGAAATATGTCTGCGGTGGCTATGTCGAGCCATGCAGCTGCTCAGATTGGCCCTTGACGGCGCTATGCAACAAACATATAAAGACCTCTTTTCCCCGAAGATTAAGCAACGAGCAGAGCAACGGCATCGAATAACAAGCACAATCACTTTCATTTTTTCCTACAACTTCAACCCAACTCCCTTTTTTATCCACCATGAGTCAAGATTCAGCCAAAGCCTCGTACCTGTCGAGCTCCAAATATGGGTATGACTTTGTCGTCTCCACGACTCAAGCCTCAATCAACTCGGACCTGCTGGCCTTTCTCGACCAGGAGGATATGCCTGAGCTCTACCTGTGCTTTCTCGCGGACCCGACTACTGGAGACCCTACCGAGCAGATCTCCCTCGATGACCTCAAGACACAGACTGGCATTGATCCGTTTCAGATCCCTGCGGACACTCCCTACGATGACGATCAGATTACCGCCCTTACCAAGGCGCGCTTTATCATCGGCATCCGAATCCAGATGGGCCTACCACGGAATGTGGAGCCCAAATCGCTGCAGCCGGTTACCCTGGGTGACGATGCCAGGCGGGTGGGCTTTCGTATGTATTGCCGGGAGCTGGACGTGATCCAGAACACCCCGGCCAACGGCTGGGGCAATACTGGAACCTGGAACGTTTGGAGTCAGCCGAGTGACGAGGCGTGGTCGCTTGAAACCCAGGTTGACTTGGTCACGCAGGACCTGGACAAGGACTTGGACACCCCCTACCTGAACAACAATCCTGACCTCAAGGCGCAGCTTGAAAGTCAGCTCAAGAACCTGTCCGGTACTGCGTTTAGCCTCCAGCAACTACTCTATGATCTGGATAGCGCCGTGCTGCAGTCGGTTCCGACCTTTGGGGACATCCCCCCTGGCAGTGCGCTAGACAAAGCTCAGGAGGCCTTCACCCAGATCTATAGTAAGAATGCGACGGAGACGGGGCTGCCCCTTCTGTCCATTCAGGCTGTGGTCCAGACCGACGACAACTCCAGCCTGACACTGACGGACCTCGAGCGCCAGATTAATCCCAACTCAGATGACACGCGTGTATCCACTCTGGACTATCTCTGCGCTGTCGATGGGAAGACCTTGCCAACCGCGACAGCTTTTGGCTGGAACTGGGTGGCACCCGACGAAGTCAACAGTGAGAGCGGCGTCATGGCGATCAACCGAAACACCTTTGCCGGCTACCTAAAGGATAATCTGGTGACACTGGTGCGCCCCGCGTGTATTGCCGTCACAGACGTCACAGTCAATGGCGCATGGTCCGGACTGGATGCCGACTTTAGCTTCTATGCCACGCTAACGTCATACCAACAGCCCCAGGGCATCGTTCTGACCGATGCCAGCAATGCCGCGGCCGTGCATCTCGAGTATAGCAGTGAGAAACTCGACTCGGCTCACATCGGCCTGTGGTACGCCAAGCTGTGGATCAAGAGCAACTACAATTGTGACGTCAGCTTTGAAGGCACCAACACCATCCATATCGTCCAGCACTTGGTCATTTGGGTCGAGGTCCTAGTTGACAGCTCCGGCGCAAGCGGCAATATTGCCGACTACACTCTCAACGAGAATTACACCCTCTCGGTCGACCAGGCGGGAAACCTGCAACTGTCCCGCCAAAGCAGCGACTTGACTAACAAGTCCGATGACCCGAGCGTCAACGGTTTCATCAATGCCTTCACCGGTATCAACGAGGTCATCGACGACGTCAAGGACAAGGCTGGTAGTTTTGCTGCTGCCGAGCTTCAAGAAGTCTCTTTTGATTCGCTGCGGAGCTTCGTCTTCCCGGGTGCGCAGGTATTTACATTCAAGGATATCCGCTTCTCCGACTACCATGACCTACTGTGTGACCTCACGTATGTCAAGCCAACCACGCACACCCCGGTGCGGGGAACGGCACCTGTCAACGCTGCCCGCGAGCTCACTGCATCATGCGAGCTCATGCAAAACTACTTGTCTGGGGAGCTGGTCTCGCCCACGGGCAAGTTCACTGCCCTGCAGACCGACCGCGGCCTCAGCCTAGTCTTCGCTGTCGACACCGCCGGAGTGTTACACGTTTTGGAGGAGCAAAGCGGTAGAACGCACACTGGCTGGCAAGTGCGCGATCTTTCTACGGCCGCGCTGCAAAAGGCCTTCCCTGGCCGCTCCGATGTCGTCGTGCATACCTTTGACGTCGCTCAAAGCGCCCTCGATGGATCTATCGGCCTCATGATGGCCGCTGCCGTGGATGACACTGATCACCTGTTCGTCTCCTTGTTTAACTCCAGTGCCGACCCTTCGTGGACCACCGCACCGCTATGGACAGCCATTCCCTTTGATGCTACGTCTGAGACAGCTGGCCTTGTCATCAGTGGTATGATGTTTGCCGAAGTGTTCGGCCAGAAGCAATACCTCATCGTTGACACAGAACGTGCAAGTGATGCCACCGTGAAGGATATCACCCGCTATGTCGTCAACCCTGCCGCCACCGAGGGCTCGCGCTGGGTGAAGGCTGGCATTCCGGTGGATGTGGAGAGCACTCGGTATCAAAGCTGCGTCGGGCGCATCCCGGGTGGTCGCGTCGACGGTGTCTATACCAGCGGCACAGTCGGGGAGTCGTCGCAGCTGGTATATGTCCCCCTCGAGAACCCCTACGGGGACGGACCACCGGAGACGGTCCGTCTCAGCCTACCCAGCGACGTGCATCCCACGGCAATTGCGGCTGCGCGCGATTCCGACCTCAAGTCAGACAAATACGGCTCCACCGACCTGTACGCAGTCAGTGATGCCACCCTGTACCGCTATGACCCAGATGATGAGAGCCAGGCAACCGCCCCGTCGGCCCTTGTTACAAACGATCACCTGGCCGGGACCGATACTCTTTTTGCCATGACCCATGACGGGGTGTTGACTCTCTGGGGCAAGAACGGCAGCGACGTAGTCTACTATCTGGCCTGCCCGACCAACCAACTGTCTGTACCCGGTGCATGGACCGCTCCAGTTCCTGTCTTGACGGGGATTGAGCGCCTGTCGCCGTATGTGAACCGCGCTGACGGTGGTCGGACAGTCTTTGCTGCCGGCGGAGGGAGCGTCCAGAAACTCACCCAAGGGCCCAGCACCGCCGGTAGCTTGTGGCGCCCCCAACGAATCACCCTGGTGGCCGCCCCTACGGAGCCAGCCCTGTCCTTCAACTCATATACCACCACACTTCAGGTGATCGGAGCTGACAAGTTGCCGGTCCGCGATGTGCCCCTGTCCATTTCCTCCGCGGCAGCTACGCCCGTCTACATGAACGGACTGTACTACGTGCTCGGTTCCACACCAGTGAGTGTGAAGACCGACGCCATGGGCACTGTGACGGTCATTGAAGCGACGGACGACCTCCAAGGCACTCCGCTCACGGTGACGATGGTGGATGATGCGTCAGGCACCCCGCTGGTCATCCGTCCGTTGGACACGGCGTGGAAGAAGCTCGCCCAGCTCAACTCCAGCGAAGCCCTGCGTGATGCCCACGTCCCAGCGGATACCGTTGCGGGCGGCGTGCTTGGGTCGACCACGACAGCCCCGTTAGTCGACTCTTCTGTCGGTGACAGCGACGTGCAGACTATTGCGGCCACCATGGATCAGCTAGGTACTGCCTGGTCGAGCATCCAGAGCGGGAGTACCAAAGCCTGGGCCACCCGGAATCGAGGCGTAGTCCCAGCCACACTCTTCCAGGGTCGCCCCCAGGCGTCCGGTCGAGGTATCTCTGACTGGATCGCCATGGAGGCCGGTGATCTCTTCCGCTGGCTGGAAACGGGAGTAGAGGCATTGGTTGAAGTTATCAAGGATGCGGCGACCGAGGCTTGGCATTTCATTGCCCACATTGCAGGTGAGGTGTATGCGGCCGTTCTGGATACGGTAGAGGCTATTGTGGGCGCCGTTAAATGGGTATTCAATGCCATCAAGACGGCTATCGAAGCCATCATTCGGTTTGTGCAGTTCCTATTCGAGTGGGACGACATCCGACGCACCAAAAACATCCTGCACAACCTGGTTAGGCTCTTCTTCCAGCATAAGATCGGCCAGATTCCCAAGGTCAAAGCTAGCTTGAATGCCAGCGTGGCCGCCGTCCAGAAAAGCATCAATGAATGGGCCGACATCACGGATTGGTCCGCGTTGGGCTCTACCGCCAGTCAGACCCCCGCGGAAAGCAGTGCCAACCCGATGCAGGGTCAGACGTCGGGCTCGCAGCTGCTCGCCGGACATTTGCGCAATCACGCGAGTGACCTAACCCTCGTTGGAGGTACGCCCTCGGCAAGCATTACAGAGGACCTAGTGGCCAACCTATTGAACGCATTGTCCGCCGAGGCCGAGGTTCTGGGAGACGTATACACCCGATTGCAGACTTTGGCATTTGATTTTCAGTCCCTGAGCGTGGAGAAGGTGCTGCAGCGGCTGGTGGGCATCCTCGTGGACGGAGCCCTGTCCAGCGCGCAGGTAGTGATAGATGCTCTCCTTGATCTACTGCAGACGCTGGCCGACGACGCACTGTCCCTTTTAGATGCTAAAATCCACATTCCCGTCATCTCGGATATCCTGAATGCCCTTGGGGTTGCGGACATCTCATTCTTGGACCTGTTCTCGTGGATCGCGGCGGTGGCCTACACCGTTGTGTACAAGGTCATTGAAGGCGAGGCTCCATTCCCGGACGATGACAACTCCGCAGCACTCATCGCGGCGACCAGCTGGGACGAGCTCGCGCAGTTGTTTTCGTCGCCCCAGGCCGCGGTTGCGTCACGCTCTATCAATCTCTCGACTACCGCCGCGCAGGGGGTCTTCGTTGCCACGCATGCCATGGGCGGTTTTACATTGTTGATGAGTAACTTCCTGACTGTCTTCGAAGCCGAGTCCCTCACCGAGGATAATGTCTTCGCAACACCGTCCGCCGTCATTCAGGGCATCACTACTGCATGCGTCGGGGCCGGGGATTTCCTAGTGCCCAAGGATGCTGTCGAGAACGAGGCGATGACGGATCTCTCGTATGTGTGCACCGCCCTGGGGATAGCCAAAACCGCTCTCGGCTTCACGCCAATCTATGGCAAGCTCGCGACAGCATCAAGCAAGTTTCCAGGTCTGAAACTCAACGATGGACGTGCGGTAGCAGCCGTTCTGGATGTAGTCCTTATCATTCCCCAGCTGGTGGTCACGGGCTGGCACTTTCATGAGCTCGCGCAGAAGGATGCCAGTGCTGATCGGTCCGCCGCCATCGTTGGAGAAGTAGCCAGTTTGGCTGGGGATGTTTCCACGGTATCGTATGCGGTTGCGGTGAATGATGACGAAGAGGAGAGCCGGCAGGTCTTTATCGGAATCATGGTGGCGAGTAATGTGGTGGGGGCGGGACTGTTGACTGCTGAGTCGATTATTCATTGATTGTGTCTTAAGATAGGGATGGAGGGGTATCACCGCGGATCTTAGTACAAGGTTCAAGTTGTCTTTCACCAATTTGAACAACTGCAATGGAGGTCAACCTTGAATGTATATTTATCCATCCGTTTGCACTCAAAGCATGCAGATCAAGTATCACTAATTTTAAAGTACATATTATTTACTTTGTCAAAGAGAGCAAGGGATTGACTTCGATCGGCACTATGGAATGATATGGTAGTTGTGCTATGATCTGCCATTCAGGGCGTAATTGATGCTGTGATCGACGGGGAATGATCTGCTTTAACGCGTATGTCGGAGTTATGCCGGGTATGCAGCCGCTGTGGGGATGCATTACCACGTGGATACCTGAAGATGCCTTCCGTACATCACGTGGCAGCGCTCCGCGGAAAGCAATCTTCCGACCGGAGCAATCGGAATGCTGCCTGGCCGATCTCGATTGGTGCCTAGGGACCCACCACGTGGACCTACAAAATGGAGTCTGCTGCACCCTGCCGTGAAACATCACCATCCGTGACCAAAGTACATCGACAACATGCTGGACCGCCTTCCTGATACTGTCCTCCTGCAGGTCTGGGACTACGTAATTCCTCCTCGCCATAACCCCTGCTTCAACCACAAAGCCCACCATCTGGCCCCCTTGCTGCGCGTTTGCCGGAGGTTTTACACCCTATTTCTGCAGTGTCTCCACCGGGAGGTTCATCTCCACTCGGGAGCCATCCCGATGTTTGGAAAAACCATCCGTCCTCCATCCATTATTTCCATAATCGAGAATACTTGTCGCAATGCCGACATTGCCTCCGCTACCCAGGTTCTCGTCGTGGACGACTGGCTCGTCGGTAACCGCCGCCGAGAGTCCTTTACCACCGACCCCGTGACCCTCAAAACCCTACTGCAAACCGCGAAATTGTCTCCAGACCAGGAATCCTGGTGGCGCGAAGCTCTGGATGCCTGTCACCAGGATGCCTGGATTGCCCTGCTGTTGCTGCAACTGCCCAACCTGCGCAAGCTAGAGATCAGAAACATGGAACCGGGATCGCCATACCTGCAGTCCATCCTCACCCGGCTGACCGACCCAAATGACCCCCTCACGGGTCTCACCCAGCTTTCAGAATTGAAAGTCAGCCCGGCAATGTTCGGTCACGACTTCTTTCTATCCAGCTTCATCCCATTCGCCCAACTACCCGCCATACAGAAATTCCACATTGGCGGAGCCATCGACTCCTACCCACCCCCACCCCCTGGTCCAGGCGAAGCAAACACCGACGCCCCCCAGGAACCCCCCTCCCCTCCTCCTCCAACCTACCACTTCCACACCCCCTCCAACCTCATCCACCTCACCCTCCACGCCAGCTCCCTCCTCACCACCCTCCCACTCTCCTCCCGCACCTCCCCCACCTCCAAACCCTCATCTACAACCACGACGACCAAGCCCTCTTCAAAGCAGCCAGCGAATCCATCCGCCGCCGCGCCCAAGCCAACGGCACAAACACCTCGATGGGGTGGGGAATCTCTCCCGCACAAGCCCAATACCTCGAGAACATCTCCAGATCCAGCACCCTCGCCCCATCCGTTCTTTTCCCAGCCCTCACAGCCGCCAAACCATCCCTCCAATCCCTCTGGATGACAACCACACATCGCATTCGCCACAGCCCACGGGATATATTCACCCAGGACCTTCCGGGGATCCCCATCGGAAATCTCCATGATCTCCCATCCCTGAGAGCTCTTCGCATGCGCGTTGAAAATATCCTATCCATTACACATGCCTCAGATAGGACACTCACAAACACCAAGGACAAATTATGGGATATCCTTCCACATACCCTGGAATCTCTCTTCCTAGAGGACTGTGATCGTGCACTCTTCCCCGAGATCATTAACCAATTACAACGGATGCTTCACAGCCGAGAAGAAGCACAACGGCAAGAACTGCACCAAGAGACCACGCTCTTCCCATATTTAAAGACAGTGGTATTGCAACAGCCCCGCGAGGAAGCAGATCGGACCCGGTTCGAATTCCCACCGAATATGAAGTCGATTTCGAGAGAAATGATGGAGGATGTGGCGAGACATCGCATGGCGGAGAATGATCTTCAACCGGAGGTGTGGAAGGGGTTGATGGAAGTGAAGGAGAAGTTTGGGGCTTTGGGGGTGGAGGTTAGGGTTGTGGATAAGATGAGGACGGATGGGGAGTTTTTGTTGAGGTGAGGGTTGATTTGTGTTGGATTACTGAGGAGGTGTTCTTTTGTTTCTTGTAGTGTGGGGACTATGGGCTATTAATTAAGGGGATGTACATGATACGTCACTGAATAAAGCCCTCTACAAGTTATAAAGGCTTGTATCGGGGATAATGGATGATGTATATTGATGAAATAGAGATAAATGCTCAAGTGTACAGTTGGTCATGTCGCATAAGAACCATAGGGATTGTGTCTCGACCGAATATGCAAAATATACGATGGGATAACGAACAGAAAAGCGTGGTTGAAATCATGATAAATTCTTTGTCTTCTCAGCTTCGATTCAATTTATTTTAGGTTCTGGAAAGCCTTTGATTGAATCAATGAAATGGCACTTTGCAGATATATCACTCCTCCTTCTCCTCCTCCTCATTCTTCTTCTCAACCCTCTTCTCCTCATCATCCTCCGTTAGAGGCTGAAGTTTCCCATCATCATAATTGATAATATCGAGATCCTCCTGAGCAAGTTTATTGCTCGGGATAACACTCTGCCATTGACCTACTAAACACGAATCCCCCGTCTCATAATCCTTGAAAGACTTCTGCCCATGGTACTGGTACTGCAAGACACGAATCATCCCATCTGCAAGCTCATCCCCCTGCACCGGCTCGCAATCACTATACAGCTGTAGTGACCCATCATAAGGACGAGTATACCCATAAATGGGCTTCCAGGTAGGATTGCGGTTGCGCAGGCGCTGAAACAACTGCACCAGCTTCTGCAGACAGAGCTCCTTCGACTCTGGGTGGTAATGGTCACACCATTCCACACATATCATGGACACCATGGGCTTTTTGAGAAAGGTGTGTTCAACATAGGAGTCAAAAGGACGGGTCTGAGTGCCCACGGGACCACGGTACTCTGGCTTTGGCTTGGGATCGATCGCCAGGGTAGTGGTTGTCCATTTCTTGGAAAGCTTGTTTTCGGGAGAAGTGACGGAGATGGCAACCTTGTCCATATCCTGCGTCATGGTGGCGGTTGCGTCCTCCTTGGGGGATTCGAGATTAATGTCAGCGGGAAAGGTCCCGGGCATGGTTGGCTTTTGTGGGATGGAGGCCATCTCGGGGAGAGGAACAGAGTTGTTGGAGGTGGACATGATGATTAGATTGAAGGATTTTGTTGTTGTTAGTTTTGTAGTTGGGTGTGAGGAGAACAGAGAAATCTGATTGATTGTCTTATTCAAGAGCGATCACTTGCTGTGTGAGAAGAGGATCTAGGATGGGGGAGATGAAGATGGTCTTTATAGATATCACGGAGGGTCTGGCCCCAAATGTCATCGTATGGTGAGGCAGTTCATGTCGGCGATTGCAACCTGTGTGGAAGGTTTTGTGGCTGAACCCTTGCCGATTATTACACCTGTCGATATTTTCTTTGTGAGTTAGTAAGACTTGCCGTGTTAAATGTAGTATATTATCCTTTGTTCTTCAATATTTACTCTGTGGGATGGTGTTTTCTCTGAGAAAACAAAGACTTCCCTGTATAGTTCCGTCTTCGTTGTTGAGTCACAACTTTCTCGCTCATTGTTGGTTGATTGCCATAGGTTGATATGGATCAGGTGCTGAAACCTAGGATTGGAGATCTCCTAATTACTGCACAGGGATTGTCACAAGGCATTGTTTTTACTGCGGCGAACTGTCTTTACTTCCTGTAACCGTCCGATATCCATCATCTTTGGAGTGCACGAATGTCATTACACAAGCGGAATCTTCCTCCATTTCATCGTGCTAAATCCGCCTGGCCAAAGCGTCACCCGACATAAGCATCTTTACACACTCATTTTCGATAGGTAACTTCCACTGTTTTCCAATAAAACCTCAGGTCATGGTTGAGAGGTGTATCTCGCGGGTATACAATCCCATGAAGGTGATGCGTGACCCCACAACACGAAGACAACAGAGGAATATCAGGGCAGCATCCAAGGGTCACTTCGGCGACAAGCAGTCTTCCGCGCTCTCTCTTGCACAAGTTTCGCAAGATTTCCTTTCTGCAGACCGCTTCTACTTACATGATCTATACTGATACTCCTTTGTCCAGAGCAGTTAAGGTCGTGGTTGGGGGCAAAGCAGGAAGGAAGACCGAAGAAAAGGAAAATCTCGTAGAGAAGAGTCTGGTAAGGCCACTGCGGGCTCTGTTAAGAGGCTTCCTTCCCTGCTCGAGATGAATATCTATACGGTCCGTTCGTGAGCCTCTTAGTTCGCGTTACGCATTTCAGAATACAGATGTAAATAATAAAGGCGTGAAAATTTGATAAGCAACCAAAGGAATCAGGGTGATTCCTTTGTCGTTTTATTTTCAATTGTTTTTTTGTTTTGGAAAATTTCTGACCGATTCAAGGAAATAGAAAAAGCAGTCTCCTGCAACCACATCCTCTCACATATGTCTTTACTCCTCCAAATCCAGTTCGGCTCCCATTGGCCTAATGGTATATTCGTCACTTGCCCCAGACATAGTACGCAGCTGCTCCTCAGTCACAGGGTTCCGCGGGACAGCGTTAAGCCACTGTTCTAGAAGCAGGTTTTCATTCTTACTCTCCATCTCTCTCTTCTTCCTTATCTCCATTATCTCTATTATCTGTGTCATCTGTGCCTCTTCCTTCTCCTTCTTCTCCTTCTTCTCCTTCTTCTCCTTCTTCTCCTTCTTCTCCTTCTTCTCCTTCTCCTCCTTCTCCTCCTCCTCCTCCTCCTTCTCCTGCGCGTCCATGTCGTCCATGTCGTCCATGTTGTCAGACTCAATGAAGACCTTTCTCCCGTCGTACATAAACTGTTCGAGAATGAATGGACCACCTGCGGGCGCATTCGCTTCGGGGAGCGTCTCACGGTACAGCGACACGCGATTCAGAGGGTCGTAAATCATCCCATGGATAGGCTTGACGGTATCAGGGTATTTGCAACGCCATTTCTTGAATCCAAAAGCCAGAGCTCGCTGACACTCCGGTTCACCCCACTCTTCCCACTCCTGCCTCCATTTGTACTCCAAATTTGGGGAGAGCGGCAAGGTCCAAGACACCTTCACGAGAGCAGTCGCAGGGTCGATCCAGTCATAGTCACTTACATATACAGCATACTCGCAGTTGAAATCAGTGAGAGGCTTGAATTTTGCCGCAAGTGGATACAGTCTCACAGGGGTAACTGACCACCCCTCAGGACCTGCGGCAAAGGTAATGGGCAGGAATTCGTTCGTCTTGATGAGCTCCATTCCAGAAGTCTCGGGCCAAACTAAGGAGGTGGTGACGTTGTGCTCCACAGTCCTCACAAGCTGGAGGTTGTCCTCGTTGGGGAGTAATTCATTACCGGAGTCCTCGGGAAAAGTGCCGGGCATGGTCGCCTCGTCCGCAACCGCAACAGGAGTAGATGTGGCCTCTTCAGTGGGCACGGCATCGCACTCAGCAGCGGAAGTAGGCGTGGTGGTCTTTTCTAGTTCAAGCGCAACAGGGGCGGAGGTGGCCTCTTCATCGGGCACAGGTTCACAATCAACGGGGGGAGTAGCGGCCAATTTGGGTTTTCCGGACTCGACCGTCACGAGGACGGGCGTGACCTCTTTGGGGAGATCAGCACCGGAGTTAAAGGTGGACATGGTGGCTGGGATGGGAAATTTCGATGACAATGTTCTTTGGAAGTTGTGTGTTGGGAAAGAGGTGCGAGAGGCAGCAATCTGAATTGGACGGGTTGTCTTGTTCAGGAGTAATCGCTGTGTGAGACGAGGACCCAAGACGGGGGAGGTAACGAGCCTTTTTATAGACATCATGAAGGTCTCTTCCTGATCTCGTGAGAGAAGAATGTGGTTGAGTTCCGTGATTACTGTCCGTGTAAGAGGTCTTTATAGCTAACTATTTACTATTATACTGTATCTTCCTACATTCTCGTTTTCTTCTTAGTATTAATACCAATGTTGAAGATAAGAGCCGATTCCTTGTTCGTTGATCACAACCGAGTGGTGAAGACTTTGGTCTGAGAAATAATTGGAAATCTCCTTTAGGTTGTCTTGTTGAGTCATATCAATGACTGTTCGTCTCAAGTGATCGTTGTAGGTTAAGAAATCTTTTCCGAGTCATCCTACACGGAAAATTGGTTAATGGCCTTCTATGTAAAGCGGATTATCTTAAGTCAGGCGTTGGAATTTACTACTTGATGTTCTTGATTTTTACGCTTTATTACTTCCATTTGACGGAAGCTTCCATGTAAGGCTCAAAGATCTGTGGTGATGACTGATTCTACGCAAGTTGCAGTTGCGTTCCCATACGGCAGAGAGGGTTTTGAGGTTACTTCCGAGGCATCTTTAGCTGAGCCATTCTGGCAGCTCTAGGCTGCTAGATAATACGACTACTAGCTGATAGGAATCTCGGATCTTGCCCTTAAATGTCGCGAGCGTCGTCACGGAATTAAGTCTGCGTGATAGATAGATTATCTACTCTTGTTGTTGAAGGAGACTTCCATATTGTTTTCGTTCTTTGTTTATGGCAAGGTGGACTCTCTTAGTAAGGTTAGGGCAACAGCAGAGGGTTCGTGCCCGAAAGGATGCTTCATCTCGATATGCTCTAGTTCCAGGTAACAAAATGAGATCTTGTGATTCAATCCGAGGAGAAATATGGGACCATGACATTGAGTCAACGAGATACAGTGTTTAATTGCAGGCAGATTTGAGTAAGACAAAGTTTAAGATTTATTCGGCGAATCATAATCTCAAGTGTTGAAGGGGAAATAGTCCTTTGAACCCCAAAACATCCGAAGAGGTGAGAATTATAACACCCCATACTAATCTAATAGCACATGAAAAGCAATTCTCTTTCATTAACCCAACGTAGAACCATCCATGCCTTCACATCCCCCACAGATCCACCCCCTGACATCACTACCTCCTCCTTTTATAAACCTTCCTCAACAACTCCTCAAAAACACTCCTCCTCAACCCCTCCCTCTCATCCACTCGTTAAATCATCCCCTCAACTCCTTGACCCTCCCCTCCTCAAACTCCTATACACCCCTCCAACCCCAACTCCACATACAATCCCTTCACCACCGCTTCACACCCATCATCCTTCCTCCCATAATTCTCCTCCAACACCCCTCTCTGAAACGAATCACACCTCTCCAACGCCTGAATCACCAACCACGAACACTTATTATCCCTAATATCCGTGCCCACTTTCCCCAGGACCACCGGATCCGCAAACGCATCCAGATAATCGTCCTGAACTTGGAAGTACTCCCCCATCGGGATTAAGATATCCTCTGCTTGGGCCAAATTCCGTGGTGTGGCTTTCCCGGTGTCCAGTAATGCCAACGCAACGGGGAGGTAGAAGCTATAATACGCCGTTTTGTATACCGCAATCTCGGTATATTTCTCCATGGTGAAATTCGTAAAGTCGATGTGGTCGTCTGGGCCGATGAGCATGTCGTAGGATTGGCCGAGTTCGATTTTGAAGGCGATTTCGTGGAAGAGTTCGGTTATTTCGATCTATCACATCCCAGTATCATGGTTATTAGCCAGGGGTTCTTATTTAGAAGAAGAGATGGGGGAGGGTGGGGGATACATATGCAGGCCTTCTCTTGAAATACTTCTTCAACAACACATAAATGGCACTTTCTAGCATCGCGGCATCGTTGACAGCTGTCATGCCAACCTTGGGGACGCGGTACCAGCATGGCTTTCCTCGACAAGTATGTGATGCGTCCATGATATCATCCAATACGAGCATCATGGCTTGGAGGAGTTCGATCATCCACCCTAGGATCGCGGCGTGGAAGTATTCGTCTGCTGTAAGCTCCCGATCGAGGAGGAGACGCGCAGAGTCGATGACCGACAGCCCGCGGTTACATTTCCCGCCGACGGTGTTGTGGATGAGGGACTGGGGTGTGGTGAGCTTGTTAGTCAGGATGTGTGTGGAGGTGAGCGGTGGGTGTGTGAGTACCTTTTCGAACCATTCCCACACCTGAGTTGGGAGTTTATAGTCCTCGCGACATTGTTGGCGGAGGTCGGAGAGGACTTGGTGGAAGACGGATTCGAATTGCGGGAGGGTGGTGGTAGTCGACATTATGATTATGGGAGTAGGAGTGAAATGTTGGAGTGGTGTGGTGGATACGGGATATACGAGGATGTTATGTTATCCGTGCGGGGTAAGAACTGTCGCGTGGGGTAACTAAATTAAGTTTTGAAGAATCGTCTAGACCCAGGGGGGTTCAAAGAAGGTAGTATTCGATATTGTTCTTGGGAAGAATGCATGATTGGTTCCGTCTTGGCGGGTCGTGGGATAGGGTTTGCGAGCAAAGAGTTGCTGCTGTTGCCAGGGTTCGGCGGGCCGCACAGTTCGCAGGTGTAACTTTATCTGCCACTGCGTGGGATTAAGCAAATTCAAGAGGGCCTGGGGTTGTGGTAGTGAGGAATTGGGTTAAGTTGTAGGGTTTAATTGGATAGTATGTTCTTTGATATTGGCCTGGTACCATGTTTGATCGACACATAGTGCATACCCATCAATATGGAGATATTGGTGTATGTGGTCAAGCCTCTCAAGGCGAGCTAGTCATAGCGCTTTTAGCGCCACAAAATTGCGGTCTAGCTACAAGTTCAAAATGGGATAGTTGCCATGTCATCCCACTTGATTATCCATCTCTCGGGGTTCATGGCGGGGATACAACGGCACGAACATCGCCGATTGATAGTAGGGATGGATCGGCGATTACTTCAGGATGGTCGACGAACATCCCCATACTTGTTACGCCTTCTCTTTGCCATTAGGAACACTTTTTGGGAGCCAGCCAAAGGGCCTTTCACTCAATCTTATGAGGTTTTAGCTATGATGAACAGAATGAGAACCAAGCCTCAAATATAAGAACATTCCGACGACCATGAATCGATGAACCATCCTAATCATGATGGAATAATTATCTAATAGTGGAGATGCAGTACCATACCCCGCTTCTTTATCATACAATAAACCACACTATATACACACAGCTAACCAAATCGTCACCACTCCCCACCCTCAAACTTCATCGGAACATGAACCATCCGATGCCCTGCCTCCGTGGGAGTGGGTAACTGTCCCGCCCGAATATTAATCTGCAGAGACTGATGAAGCAGCTTTGGAGCCTGCATCTGTGCATCACGCGCCTCCCGGAGGGAAACATATTGCTCTTCCGTCGTGCCGTCCTTCAAGTGCTTGTTTTGCTGTCTATGCTCCTGCACACTCATCCAAGGTCTTGGTTGTTCTCGATCCGCGGGAGGATAATCATGGCCTGTCCAGATCTTGAAATGACCCGGGAAACTTAGGAGCTTTCTCCCAGACCGGAAAAGGTCACGCGCACTTCCACCGGGAAAGTCGCAGCGTGCGGTACCGATGTCGGCGTGGAAGATTGAGTCGCCGCAGAAGATGTTCTCTATATCATTTACTAGCAAGATAATATGAGTAATGAATGGGTGAGGAAGAGAGTACATACCTCCAATACGATACCCAAGATGATCGGGCGTATGACCAGGTAAATGAACCGCCATGGCAGTCAGATTCCCAATCTTGAACGTTTCATCATCATCAAATAACTTGTCAAACACTGCCGTATATTCGCCCATTGGCACTGCATATCTGTGACCGAACAGAGTCTGGACCTTTTCGATCCGCTTCCCGATCCCGATCGGTGGCTTAAATCCTTGGCTTTGAGCAAGGTGTTGCTGGAGATAAGCCGCCGAGGTGAGATGATCAGCGTGCACATGGGTTTCGAGTATCATCTCGATTTTGTACCCGCGGTCTCTCACCATCCTGAGCAAGGAATCGGCACTTCGGGTGCTCACGGTTTGGGTGGTCCGGTCGAAATCCAGGACTGGGTCTATGATGACAGCCGAGGAGGTTGCAGGGTCGGATATTAGATATTGCCATGTTCCGGTGTTGGTCTCGAAGATGGCGTCGATTGTGGGTTCAGTGGGCGATGTTGATTCGACACGCCACACTTCCTGGTTTGGGCCATTTGTGGGTGTTGAAGATGAGATCGGACGATGAGGGATGCGGGGTGTGGATGCATTGCTCGGAGTTAATGTTTTAGCTGAGCATTTCGGGTGGTTGATCGCGCCCTGACATCGGGCCTGATTTGATAACGCTCGATAGTGACGTTGAAGGGTTGCGACCTGTCGGGGATAAGATGGTGACGTAGCAGCGGGAAGCTGAACAAGGGAAGAAATCGAGGGAGGCAGCTTTCCACCTGTACGCGGGCAGACAAACATTGCGACGTATAAAACAATTGATATCAGATTGATGATTGATGAAAGTGATTCAGGAAGGGCGATGATTCATGTTTTAAATAACACGCGGCTTGGATCGCCGAAGGAAACCCGGGTCGGCGATCGGCCGGGTGCCAAGAACCCGGTTCCGGTTGGTGCCTTAGGCTCCCAAGGATAGGGCATATCGAGTAGCTGACAACATATGAACCATCACTGGATCTGTCTACTCATCTAAAGAGAAAATAAATAAAACCTATTTCTTTCACATTTTTGTTAAAAGTTCATATGGGAGGTGAAGGGTAACGCTCAGTTCGATGTAGTTACACATTGTCATGATATATATTTGTGAGTGCAGGTTGGGCCGGTCTGATGACCATCAGCTGAAGAGGTTCAGGTTGTTCTACTATCTGATTTGGTAAGAGCGAGATCGAAAAGGTTTCAGGAAACATAGTATTTCTTCTGAGTCTGTTTCTCATTTTGCAGTGGTTCACCCAATACAATATCAAGTGGAGTCACAGGCAAAATACTACCGTCACCCTTTTGCCAATCCATGAAAACGGCGTTTAGCTTCAACAGCGGCAGGTATATCCAATTCATCCAACCTGTACCTCCCCGCGCACAAATGATAAAATATATATCCATGAATAAACTGCTCAATGCGCTCAGCTGTGGCAGGATCACCTGCTAATATGCTTCGAATCTTCCGTACTTCCTCGATTGTTTCGTGCCGAAGTTGACGCAGCGCTTGAAGTGAGGTAGCACCATGGACCATTGCATAGTCTCGGATGAACCCTGGACAGTCCCCATCTTTGAGCTCCTCTTTGTAAAAGGACAAGAGATCATTCACGTAGCCCAGGAAAAGCATAATATTAGGAACAGCAGAGACATATTTTGCCAAGTCCCGGTCCTCGGGATTGATGTCCTCAGGGAAGCAAAGAAAAGCGAATGGTTCAGCAACGCCCGTCTTAGCCCTAAAGAAGACCAGATAGTCGGACGCATCACGTGATAGGTGTATACCATTCTGACTCTGCTCAACCACGGCTGATGCGATAAACTCCATGGTCCCTTTGATAATCATGTCGCCGCCAAAGTTTCCAAAGAGCTGTGGAAGATCGGCTAGGAATTTTGTAAAGCCGCGGAGTAATTCATGTCGATGAGTTTGTCCATGGACCAACTGGGATCCATAGCTTTGGAGGTCTGGCAAAATATTGCCGGTAATGTCATCAATAGAGATAACATATGTAGCGTAGAGGGCAATAGCTTCCAGAACTTCGCGTGAGGCGAAAGGGTAGGAACAGCTGGAGATCTTGGTCGCTGTCTTGATGCACAATTCGATCTCAGTTATGAATTCCTGTGAAATGCCATATGACTCGAGACGGTTCTCGACACGGGTCTTTAATCCCATGTCAAATTCCATCGTTGGGGGTTGAAAAGAGATGTCTTTCAAGAAGCCATTAATGACATCTTCGTAATCTCGTTTTGTTATGGTACTTCGGATGGAAATTTTCTCCGACGAATTGACGGTTTGGTGGGGGGCCAATTTTAAAAGAACGGCAAAAATGGTCATCAATAGGAAGATAAGGAGATTGAACAAAAGGAAATTAGTTGCAGTCCATTTTCCGGGTTGACCGGCATTAACGTCTAAGAGAGTCCGTTGTATAATCAAGTCCTGCCTTCTAGATCAGTCGTACGCTCATGATGTAGCAAGTGGGCACGGGAGCTCACCATGACTTCGTTAAAGCAGTGATTCCGTTAGTAGTCTGTTATCTGAAAGGATACGATGAGATGGTAATTTATGGAAAATGACCGGCCCAGTCTTATAATCGCGGACAACAGCGTTGGAGATGAGGCATCCCTATCACATAAGCCCCGTGCTCTATAGTATGGTCAATTCAGCAACGTGCATGCCAAGACTGTAAGCGGAACATAATTCCGTGTCGCTCGGGCAGTGGCAGAGCTGAAGACCCACCCACTCGGATACATCTCAACCATTCATGCTGCAAACAGGCTTGGTCGGGCAATTCAGCTAAGTAGATCCCGATTCCCACTATGAAAGTATTGGCCCACGGGTATAGGAGATAGGAGCTGAAGACGATGCATAGAGTTTGAACCACGCTTTGGAGCGAGTCACTGCGGGGTATGAGAGCATACCAACGCATACAGGTTGAGTACAGGGATGGGAGGCATGAGCAAGAGAATGTGAATTGGGGGCAACTGGCTCCCCAGTTACATGTCGTCGTGAAATTGGTTACAATTTGCTGCGCTTTTGACACCTTCCTGTACGCAAGGACTTCTGCGATGCTTCATACTGCGGGGTTTGAAGCGGCGTTCTGGCTCCATACTATTTCCTCAACGGGAAACATCTGCATATATAGCATGGCCTCAGTAGGCACCATGATGCCATTAAAATGCCATTTGATTTGACATAGCCGATGATCTCAGCCCTAGATGTATAACCTTTCATATTTCGATGGCATTTCCTCCGATACATCCGTCCTAAACGGTTCCGGATACCCAACTGGCAACAGTGCATATTTAGTGTAACCTTGGCCACAATATTCTCACCCGTAATTTGTCGTCAAAAGTCTACTGCTATCGAGCGGACTGAATGCTTCGAATATGATTGGTGACGAGTTCCTTCCCGGGGACATGACGGCCCGATTCCCAATGACCAGTGAACAGAATTCGGAGTTGCTCGACCTTGTCAGCACGTATGATCAGTTTCGTGATGTAGGCAACGGTCAACCTTCATTGCTGCCTTTCAACTAATAAACCTCTAGATCAGATCGGCCCTGCAGTGGGGATGTCATCGGCCCAAAAATACTCCGCGCGACATATTCTCCGTTCCCCCGAGACTCAATTTTCAGATCTGCTCTCAACGTCTTTCTAGATACATATACAGTACCTATACCGGATATCATTGTATCCGTCAGTTCTTAGGCATGGGTTGGTTTTGGTTGTGGTTGCAATAATGTATAAATGAAACAAAATATGGTGCCTGCAGATAAGGCTCGAAGTTGCAAGATTTATGCGCAGACGGAATGTGTCCGCGGAAGCCTCGCCCCGACAATCATTTCCTAGAAAGGGCAGTACTTTGTGTCAGGCGTCCTGCGTGTCAGATCACAATGCCCGTGCGTTATCACACACGGCGCACCCGAAACCTTACCTCGGACATATTTTCCGAGGGATGAGGGGTTCAGCTGGGAACTATACTTGTCCGAGTAGGAAGTGGAATATATATATGGGCGTAGGACAGATAGCTCTCGAACTTACATTCATCAGAGCACATCGCAATAGTGTGCATCGAGGCAGAAGAAGATCTCAGTCACTATGGCTTCCACGTCCTTTGTACATCAAATTGCAACCACATGGACGGCCTTGCCAGATGGACTATTCAATCCTTCCTTGTCCCTATCCATACTCATCACCTTGTCCTTCATAACATACAAATTCGTCGCAAAAACAGACAAACTCAATTTACCTCCCGGACCCAAGCCCCTCCCAATAATCGGCAACGTTCATCAAATGTTGCATCAACGCCCGATCGAAGTCATGCACAAGTGGCACCAAGAGTATGGCACAATGGTAACCCTTCGGTACGGCCAACAACTAGCAATCAGCGTTGGTTCCATTGATATTGCCCAAGACCTGTTAGCGAAGCGAGGCGCCATCTACAGCTCCCGACCGCGCTTCATCATCGCATCTGAACGCATGACCGTGGGACTAAACTCGGCAATCATACCATACGGCAAGCAATGGCAGAACCAGCACCGTATCATGAGTTCCGTGCTGGATTCCAGTGCCGTCAATCGATACCGCGGGTTGGAAGACCTGGAAAGCAAACAAGCCCTCGTCGAGCTGTTATCTACCAGTGACTTTGAGGCCACTATACGCCGTTATGCTGGTAGCATCGTCATGACGCTTGGATACGGCATTCGACTGGAAAGCACAGATAACGACATACCCGCAAAGCTTCTTGCGCTCAACGCTAATCCATTCGAGGCCATTGGCAATAGCTATTACCGGATGGTGGAACTCTTTCCTATCCTCGACAAGCTCCCAGGTGTCCTGGCCCCATGGAAACGCTTCTGTGCCGACGTGGAACGCCAAACCACCGAGTTCCATATGAAACATTTTGAGACAGGCAAGTCAGCGACTACATGGAACTGGGTCCAAAATGCGTTACACTCCAACGCTGGGTCACAGATTTCTTCCAAAGAACTGGCGTACGTCGTAGGAACACTTCAACAAGCCGGTTTCGAAGCTATCCTTACAGTACTGCGGCTGATTATCAAGGCTGTTGTTCTGCACCCACATTGCTTAGAGGAGGCTCAGCGAGAGCTGGAACAAGTTGTTGGGCCAGACCGGCTTCCCTCGTTTGACGACATCCCTCACCTGCCATACATCAACGCAATACTGAATGAGGCTATGCGCTGGCAACCACCCACCCCCTTTGCCATACCGCATGCGATCACCCAGGACGACGAATATATGGGGTACCAGATCCCAAATGGGACAGTCATTATTCCTAACATTTGGGTCATGTCGTTCAACCCGGAGGTTTTTCCTGAACCACATGAATTCAAGCCGGAACGGTGGATTGATAATCCTGAACTCGAACATAGCCCGTTTGGCTTTGGTCGGAGAATTTGTCCTGGGAGGCATTTGGGGTGGAATAGTATGTTCATACTATTGGCTCGGTTGATGTGGGCTTACGATATCACTCATGCGTACGAAGATGGGAAGCGAGTTGAGATTGATCCGTGGGATATTGAACTGACGTTTACGGCGGCGTCGAGGCCATTTAAAGCTTCGTTTCATATCCGAAGCCCCGAGAAGCAGGTGATTATAGAAAGGGATTGGAAGAATGTATGTAAAGATCCGGTTGAGATTCTGGAGGAGATTCAACAGAGGAAAGATGTCTGGGGTTAAGTTTATTGTGTACCTATAACGTCGAAGAGATTAGCTCGCCCCATATTATTCGATTGATTTAGAATACAGTATTTTCTTCATTTGGACTTAATTTGAGGAAGAGATGGTGCGGTGTACGGGACACGGTTTGGGGGTTGACGGTTGACGGTCGTGTGTAGCAACGATACCAGGATCATTATGGTACAATTGAACAGCTCAAGATTAGTTCCCTGATTTTAATCATCGACAAGATGCCAAGTAACTGTTGTATGTTGAAGAAATAATGAATTGGTGGTAAGGAAATACGTAGCCAGGATAATTTGCGAACAAATTATGCGAGTGTCATAAAGATGCTTACCAGACTATGCAGGCTTGAAATAAAGTTTGTCCAATCGTGATCGATGTTTATGCTAAAGATAGTGGGTCTTCGCACAACCCGGGGTCCAATCATCACAGTGCGGGTGAATCTTAGGCCGCATAAGTCATGCATGCAGGGGATTGAACCAGCGAATCGGAGCTTAAGGAAATGAACGACATTCGGTTAAAGCTTCCGCGATATTTCAGTGGCCAAGATGGCTGCTTGTACGATTGGTCCATGTTGTTGTCATGGTGAGCGATAGGCCTCCTGTTGCGTAGGAAAAGGCTTGATCATTTTGTCTTGTTTATCATCGTGGAAAACGATCGAGGAAGATCTCAGGGGACCTTGCATCAAGATGATACTGTTCATCATGAAGGTCGCGATACGAGCGGTGTGTTTGGGGGCAGAATATTGGACGGGAAGGCGGTCAAGCGGAGGGGAAAAGGGGGAATGTTGTGAAAGGGGCAACACGGGTCCTTCGTGTCCACCCGCTCTTTTCTTCCTTCCATTTGCAAAGCACAGAATGGTTCAAATTACGTATACCGCTGGGATTATACATACACATGCTAGACCCAGGACCGAAGATCTCGCGCGTTGTCTTGTCCTGCGGCGACCGATATGTGGAAGATGACTCCCCTTGACCAACCGCCAAGTTTTCGATCGACTTAAATTTTGCGTCGTGGATCCGGATGGAGGAAGACCTGCCTATAAAAGCAAGCGATTAAGGTTGATTCCGCCACGCAGATTTCCTGATCAGGAAGGCACCTAGGAAAATGGGTTAGTCAGCGGTGATATCGTGTGTGCAAACCATGCCAAAGACCGAAGAATGAGTCTATATACGATGATAGGCACCTTCAATGGCTAACCTCGGCTCATGTCATCATGATCAGCCCGCGCGATTAGACTTTTTCAGCTAGAGCTGTCCCATTTCTTCACACTCGGCCCTAGAATATCAATCTCGGCAACCTGCCTTATCTCGGAGGAGCTCCAACTTAGAAGCTCCATGCTATGGGGCGATATGTGCTGAATATCTGGGGAGAACGTCGATGTGTCTGGGGCTCAAGAAATTGCGGGTTAACGACGGAGGCACAGGACCCAAGTTACTTAGTGGCAGTCATAGAACGCTTTACAATATCGACATCACTAAAAGCCCCGATGAAGCGGGTTTACCCGGTGTCAGACATTGTCTTCTGTTGACGAAGACGAAGGTCAGTATTTCATGAATTGGACATCGCCTTCCTACACTGGCGACTGATGACAAAGGACCACGGTTGTCCAACGAGGGCCTACAGATAGATTCTACCAAAAGGTCTGTTCCACCTCAATAAGTGGGTTGATTTAAGGGATGGAGTATCTACCGGGTTTTCAACAACCGGGTTGATTCCGGAGAATTTGACTCTGGGATCCTCTATCTACCTGAAACACGGATCTGCGCCTGAGCTCTGAATGACAGCCCCGCCCGGTCCTGTCCACGTATCCATCATTCCACCCATGGTTATGAGTGGCACTAACTCCGAAATAGATAGGTTTCAATCCTGGGAGCAAATTTGTGCCACAATCATTAGCTGACCAGGTTTACCGAATGGACCGGTTCATTGCAACCAACGGCTGTGCCCAATCTGTTGTCTGTTTTAACCCCTGAGCGGGTGTAACCTAACTGCCGTTGATCGCTTCGGCTGGCGGCAGAGAGCCACTAACGGCAGGATTCGTGTCTCACCCGATACTTCGGCCGGGCGTTTCAAAGGGGCCCGGATGGCGTTGGCCATTACAGCCCCAATTTCGCCTGTCATTCCGGTTAATTGGAAAAGCACGAAATATCCTGAGGTGTGGGACAATTACTGATTAAAGACCATCCACGAGTCAGCTTCAAGGTACACAGTCGCAGCTATCTGACTGCAATCGTCACAGCCTGTCAGAGTCAGATCGATCGACATGGGTCCGTCTGGATCTGCGCCGCTTGGCTCAACCCCTGTCATTCCCTTAGGAATATGGGGCTGCCTATGCCTAGCAAGCTGATCACCCTATTTTCCGTCGACGATCATGTTCGACTTTGGGTTGCGCAATCACTACGAACCTGCCCACTTAGGTGACTTCACATTTATTGGTTTAGTTGCGCTGCATGGATCACGATGTAAATAAAAGCGGGCGTGACCTCACCTGCCAGCCTATGCAAAGCAACCGGCATCCTCGATGGGTTTCAATCATCATCCCTTACTAGAATGGGCCACTCGATGCCTCTTGTCGGTCATAGTCTGGCCATCTTTATCTGTGCGGCGGTAATGATGGGCGTTAGCATTATGGCGGTCGCATTACGCACATTTGTTCGTGTTTATACCGTTCGTGCTTTTGGATGGGACGATGCTCTGATGGTAATCGCGCTGGTAGGATTCCGAGGCCCTTACCAGAAATGGCTGCTGATGCCGACTTAGGCATTGTTTATAGCCCTGGATGCATGCTGGATGGTTGCATCCAAGCGAGGTGTTGGCCACAAGAATGAGGACTTTACTGATATTCACACAATGGAGCAGGCTCTTCTGGTATGCATATTCCTTCTACAACGATGCAAGTGAAGCATACAGGACTGACTAGTTATGATTAGTGGTGGTGGCTCTGTCAAATGCTCTATAGTTGGTCTGCCGCTATTACCAAAACATCGATTTCTATCGCCCTACTCAGACTAGCTGTACACAAAGTGCATCGCATGGTTCTGTGGACAGTCACCGGCCTTGTGATAGTCGCGGGGGTAATGATATGGCTAGTCTTCCTCGCCGGCTGCCAACCAGTCTCGTATTTCTGGTCGCACGTCACTCCGAACCATCATGGTACCTGCATGCCTCGGCAAATCTTGTTGGACATTGGCTATCTCTACAGTTTTCTCATTGTGTTCTCCGATATCACCCTTGGGATCATGCCCGCCGTTCTGATCTGGCACCTGCAAATGAATCGGCGGACAAAAATTGCACTAGCAGGAGTCCTCAGCCTAGGAGCCTTGTATGTACACCTCTCCCAGATATTCAGAAAAACTGCTAATCCTCTTCTAGAGAGAGCGTCGCAGTGATCATCCGAATCCCATACCTGCATACCTACCATGACCCCAACCTTCTCTGTGAGTGACCCCGAACCTATCATTCCCTGACCGCATCCCTAACCCAACAGATGCAACCTACCAAATCGACTTTTGGTCCATCATTGAAATCGGAATCGGCATCACGGCTGGGAGCCTCGCCACCCTTCGCCCTCTATTCATCTGGGTCTTCGATACCCGGTCCCACTACGGAGGCAATTCCCGCGGGAAAAAGCGCAGCGAACAACCACTCCCCCTTTCCAACCTCTCAATGGATACCGAAAGGCTACATGACCCAAGCAACTGGCGAGCGGACTTCGCTCCAGGCAAGTCGCACAGTCGCTTAGTAACCACCGTCTCATCCCGCGTGAGCTATCCTAATAATAGCAGGGAGGCTTTGACATTGAGTACGGGGTCATGGCAGGCCCTGTATCAGGTTAATATCCAGACAACATTCAAAATATCGGAGGGAGTGGATACAATGATATGAAATTTCCCACTACACATGTATATTTATTTTCTTATTGTATTATAATGACATTTAGGTAATGGATCTGCCATAGGGTGATGTACTGTTCTTTTCAGCAGCGATCCAACTCCGCGGTTGTCATAAAATTGAACCTAGGGTTATTGAGGCCCTTGAATCGCCTGGGCTTGAACCCAGACGGGTACACCCGCCTCCCGATCACTGTAGACACAAATCTATAGCGACATAGAATTAATCGCAACCGATATGAAAAACCGGGAAATAACAATGCGAGTATGCAAATATTGCCGGGTTACCATAATCTAGACGTGATGCTTAAGAGGTACGTCGTCACGGCTGACTAGGGCCATTCCTCTCGGAGGGCATGGCGAACCGAGGACGGAACCGTGGGTGGCAGGTTTACCCGGCCCGCAGGACGGACAAATCCGACCAATCATGTCCCTCGACACGAAGTATACGAAAAGCCTCACCATATCTATAAAAACCCATGACTATCCTCTCCCTTAGTTTCTCAACCCAGAACAACAAAGCCATTTAAACATCATCTATCAATACTCTCCTAAGTGACAATCATCAACATGTCCACTCCCTTCGACCTTCGCAACCCCGGACGTCCAATCCACGTCGGCGTGGTCTTGCTAAACACGTACGTTTCTACAAATAACTCGATGGAAACAACCATCCTAATGATACAATCCAGGGTAACCGAGCACCTCGACATCGCCCCAGTCGGCTTCTTCCACAACATCAGCAAAGACTTTATCAAAACCCTCCCCCCATTCGCCATGACTGATGAGGTCAGATCCCAAGCCCTAGATTTCGTCACCCACTGGGTAACCGAAGACGGCAAAACCCCCGGTGTCCTCAGCGGAAACCTCAAAGTCATCCCCACGGTAACAAACCTCCCCCAACCCCAACACACACCACAACTGCCCACTAACAACCCCAGGACTCCTTCACCACCTGCTCTCCACTAGACATAATCCTCATCGGCGCCGGCCAAACAGGCTACCAAGCGACCGAGACAGAAAAAGCCTTCTTGAGAAAATGCTACAGCGAATGTTCCGCCTTCCTATCCGTCTGCGGCGCGTCCGACGCCCTCCTAGCTACTGGTATCCTCGAAGGCAAGACAGCCACAGGACCGCGCTCTTTTCTGCCGTTGTTCCGACAGATAGCGCCTGGGACGAACTGGGTGGAGAAGAGATGGGTACGGGATGAGAAGATCTGGACTACGGGGACGTTGTTGAATGGGCTGGATATGATTGCGGCGTTTGGGACGGAAATGTGGGGTGGTGAGGGGTCGTTGGTGGAACATATGCTTACAGTGGGGAGCTTTCCGATGAGAGATTTGGATTATGCGGATGAATGAGGTGTGAGGTTGGAGTTGGGGATGGGGATGGGGGTCACGTGATTGGAATCTGTGGATGTTTTGGATGTAGATTGCAGACACCAATGACGCTTTTGAAACTCTGGGGTATAGGATCTAGATTGGAGAAATATATTGTTCTAGGCTCAGTATCGAAGGATGTGCATCTCCGCGGTGGACTTACTCTTGTCCAGCGCAATATCGAGGGCACAGCAATAGCACTAAGCCCAATCGGGACGCCCGGCTAAACTTGCCATCCGCACGTGAGCTCGTCTCGGGTTTCCCCCCGCATTTCCCCATACTCGTGCGCCCTATCTGACTGTTATCCACCATCCATCATTCTTCAGTCCATCTATCACGCAATTTAGAGAAACGACAATGGCCGACGACTATAAGTTTGTCTGTCCACGTCCGCGGAGTTTGAAAGCTTGCGATCCATGTCGGACCCGCAAGATCCGGTGTATACCCTCGGAGAAAGGACACTCAATAGACGCCTGTCGAAGGTAAGCATGAAGTGCCGAGGATCATATGTTTTGTTTACCATGCTGAATTGCGCAGATGCGCAAAGCTCGGGTACATGTGTACGGTTACAGGGAGCCCCCCATTAACGACGTAAGCAACCTCCTGTCCTTAAATCTCGACCATTGCTAACCAGCGCCAGAAGTGAAAAGAGCCCTAAGACCCGAGATGTGGGGGCTACTCCTCATCCCCCATCCAGTAGTGACGATCTTGTCTCAAATCTATTCCAAGACAAACCCAGAGAGAAAGACCAAGTAATGCAGCTACGGGAACTACATCGCGGTCTATTACCAGGTCACACCACAGACGACGGGAATCCTCCTACACCCATACATACACCACCCAGTATCAGTGAGACTGTAGACTGCGAACCCAAGTCCATAAAAATAAACCTCAGTATGCAAGAAGCCGAAGAACTACTACACCAATTCAACCAGCGAAGGACATACTTCCCATTCATTTCAATACCCAAAGACACCACAGCATCCTCAATGGCGACATCTCAACCGTTCTTATTACTGGCCATTCTAACTATCTCCTTAACGCGGAAACCACTTCTACAGAAGCGACTCGACGAGCGGTTCCGCCGCGTGCTAAGTGAGAGAATCATTTTCTATGGAGAAAAGAGCATGGATTATGTCCAAGGTTTACTGGTTTATATGGCATGGTAAGATGCGACATATTCCCGTTTGGTGAATGGTATTGATCATGGTGATCTAGGCGTCCATTACATATCCGACCGCTGAGTAACCAGGGTTCGCAATTCATGCAGATACTCGTGACTATGATATCTGATTTGAAACTCACGGAAAGAATGCATGATGAGGGTGCCCGAGATGTATGTCTTGGGTGTTATAGTCTTTCGTCTCTGTGAGTCTATCCTACATTATTCGAAATCCGTCCCTGATTATTCTATAGTGTATCTGTTGGTTTCCGCCGACGCGGCGATGATACCGCATACAGCTACCTCAAAGCAGCAATTGAGTCCAATAGCACACCGAACCAGCCATACAACGAACAACTCCAACTCGCCAAACTTCAAATTCTATTCGAAGAAACAATACGGTCTCAAACCGAATGCATCTCCTTAAAATGCCCAAACACCAAAGACCAAAGACTTAAACAGAAAATGGAATCCCTCCGCCTAGAACTCCAAATCTTCCAACGAGTGCATACCCTCAACACCAGTACGTCCACCCCTACATCCAAGAAACTATATACTAACACCCCCACCGTCCCTCTCCACCTCTCTACATTATCCCTAAAAGTCCACATCGCCCTCCTCCCCTTCCGAATCCTCAACCCAAAATCACCCCTCAGACCCGATCTCGACCAAGCCACCTCCTGCGCAACAGCTATCCGCTCCTTTTTCGAATACTTCCTCTCCATTCCACAGGAGGAATACATCACTTTCTCGATTCGAGAATGGTGTCAGTTGATACTAACTATTAGTGCATCATCATATATCTGTTTCTTACCCCTAGCACCTGGATCTGGCCTCACGAGCCCCGAATGGATCGACTTCCAGGTTAAGACACGATCAAATATGTTAATTTACCTCGAGAGTCTTTCTCATCGGATGTGCAGTCTTTCTGTTACAAAGAGGGGAGATACACCAGATTTATTTTTTATGTTCAAGTCGGTGTTGGATATTGTGTTGCCGACGTATGCTCCCGTCCATGGGGGGTCTTCAGCCATGAGGGAAGAGGAGAGCCTAAGGGAAGGATCTCCAGAGATGAGCGTGCCTACACGATCGGCTACTTCGACCCGCTGTCCGATGATGAATGGGAGTATTCGACAGTCGGAGTTCTGGGAGGCTATGGAGCAGAGTGATCTGTACTTCGAAGGCTTGGGGAATGGGAATGGAGGGAATGGAGGGAGTGGTGAGGATATGTGTTCGTTGGGGGTACCGGGGGTGGGCAGTCTGTTTGATGATTGTGGGGACTGGCCGAGTATATTTTCGGAGTGGGTTAATATTTGTAATAGTTGAATACGAGGTAGGTTGGATGGCTGGGTTTGGATATGATGAAGATACTTATGATAGTTTGTCGATAGTAGGTACATGTAATGTTGGAGTGGCTACTAAGGCGATTCAACCGTGTAGAATTCGATGGATGATGATCTAGCTAGGGGCCTCGTAGGCCATCTATATGGACTAACTAGCGGTGTAGGGAGGAGCGTCACGTGACCCTACGTTGCCTACCGGCCTGGGAGCCCATCGGGGATCCCAACATGTAATGACTTGGAATTTTCATGTCGGGATGGATCACAAATCAGCCGTCGAATCAGAATCTGATCCTGTTTGAGAGGTGGCAAATTTACGACGGATATTCGGGATGTTGAAATATTAGGACGGATTTGTGCATGGTTACCAAGTACTGATCTTGGTTTCTGGAGGCTCGTCGAGTGAACGATGACATTGGTACTGTGACGGAAGATTCACACGTCGTATATTATAGGAAATGTGAAGAAAACCGATAAGGTAAATCCAAAACACTTCTGAAAATTCAATGACCAAAATGGCTTCCTCGTACGGCCTTGTACGCGGATAGAGCGGCCCTGATGCACCATAACTCAAAGATTCCAGGAAATCAATCACACACAGGATGCAGATCATCATCTGGAGAACCGTTGAATCGGAAGATTAGCACACTACCAGAGTCCGTCCCCATAGCAAACGCATTATCCCACATTACTTTGCATAATCGGCTTGCTGGACGGTATTCAGGAGGAAGCCATAACACATCTTGTCCTTCCCATTGAATCCAATCCCACTCCTCGTTGTGTTTGACTTTCATGCATGGAGAAGACGTGATCGCTCCATTTCTCTCATCGATGTTGATGTGAAATCCCTTTTCATTTGTCGCCAGATAACTTCCATCTTCAGAGAATGATAGATGAGTTGTAATAATATTATCATCAATAACATGCATCAAGGTACCTAAAGACACATCCCAGAACCGTATCGTTTCACAGTTGCATTTTGCAACAATATACCTGTCATCTTTCAAGAAGGCCACTGGGAAGACCCTACCGAGGTCTGTGTCATTATCATATCGGAAGGCCTTTTGCAGTGTCCCTGATGCTGTTTCCCATATCCGGACAGTACCGTCCGAGTAACCAGCAACTAATAGCCTATTACTCTGCGAGAATGCAACTGATTCGGGGTCTTCGCCAGAGCTGTTTTGCAACACATGGATGCATCTAACGGACTTTATGTCCCATAATCGAACTGTGCCGTCCGATGAGCCTGAAGCCATTGATTTCAGATCGAATGAGATCGCTGTGCAATGAATCCGGTCTTCATGGCCATGGAACGAGCTCATGATTCTTCTAGGTGGTAGATCCCATAGTCGAATAATTCCAGTGCTAGACCCAGATGATAACATACTGCCGTCCGGCGAGAAGGACATCGTACCACTGTAACGTCCGTCCCCATCCCATTCATTCACATCCGGCAACAAACATGGTTTCCCCATTTCTATATCCCACAAACATATTCCATCGTAGCTTTGTGAAGCAATTGTACCTTTTCCGGCCGAAAGCAGCAAATATTCAATGTCTGTTGGAATAGGTCTGCCTTCGTGGTGGTTCACGCGTGAAGATAAATCCCACAGTTTCATGTATGTGGAATCGGCCGAAACCAGCATTTTACTGTCGGAGAATAGGGCCAGATATTCGATGTCTGACTCTCCTTCTAAGGTTGAGTGTCCTTCTAAGGTCACCATCGTGTCGCCCGAGGCAATATCCCGAAGCTTTATTGTACCATTCTCAGAGATCGACCCGATGAAACGACCGTTTGCTGAGAACTCAACATTTCTGGGAGCATGAATCCTCTCTGGGAAATTCTTTTCTTGTCTTCCAGTTTCCACATCCCACAGTTTGATATCAGACCGGTCACGTGAAACTAACAGGGAGCCGTCGGGTGAGAATGCTGCCGACTCGACCTTACCAGAATGTCCTATGAGATTACTTTGAATGGTACCCGACTTCACATTCAACACCCTCATCGTTCTCTGATCCCGATCCGTAAGAAGAAACATATTACCAGAAGAGAATGCGAATGGGGCAGTTCCTTCGAATGTTTCCCGTATTGTGAAGCCATCTAGGTCCAACAACTGGACCTCGTCAGATGTTCTGGCCAAGGCTAATATATCACTGTCAGGTGAAAAAGCCAAAGATCTATGTTCGTTGTTAACTGTGTTGAGTTCACTTTGCAAGAGAGCTAGTCCGGATGAGATATTCCATAGCCTGATAAGACCATCATCAGACGCCGATGCTAAAAGCTTCCCATTGGGGGAAAATGCGACACAACTGATTTCGCTGTAATCACAGTGTCTAAGCGTCTGTTGAAGACTTACTGGGCCCGATACCTGCCTCCACAAATGAACATTTCCTCCAGATGAGCCTGTAGCTATCACACGATCATCCGGTGACACTGCAAGTGCTGCAAAATCACTACCATCTGGATCTTCAATGGTCTGCAACGTGGCTCCCCAGTCGGATTCCACTGAGGGAAGTTGGGAAATACAACTAATACGATCCTTTTCGAAAGTGCGCCTAATGATGGATCTGTTTGGAGCAAATACCAGCGCTGAGGAATATAGCTGTAGAGGTGCTTGTTCAGCGATCCTTATGTTTGCCAAGAGAAAGCGCTTTGCGTCGTAGAGGAACGTTGTTATCTCGGACTCGTTTTGGCTCTGCAGTAACTCGATTTAGTATGTTATTCTTGGATTTGCTTTGCAAGCACATTACCTTTACAAGAGACTGCAGTCTATCGATACTGCCCAAAAGCTGTGGCAAAAACCCTAGAATGGCCATTGCTTCGAGCCAATGAAGAAAATGTTGTTGAAGAAATTGGTGTACTGTGTCGTGGCCGGTCAGGGCGACCTTTCCTTGTTCTAGATGGCGGACCCAATGTCGGCACGCATACTGGAGCTCAGCTGGAAACTGTTTCTGGACGACGCCATCATCAATCTCTTCTCTCAAAATTTCATAGCTCTTGAGGCCACATATATTTTTCCGAAGCCCCCGCTTCTTCCTCTCCATCACTCGAATGCAGTTGTATGCCATTCTTTTGTTCATCTCCGTTTCATCGACCCAGAATCGATTTTTATCGCGCGTCTTCGGATCGAGAATGAAATCCCGAAATGATTTGTGGAAGAGTTTCACCGGTTGATCAGGCCGACTGGGAACTTTAAGCACGGAGGGGAGCGACTCAACTCTGACCTGAACAGTAGTCTTTGGTTGTCGGATAAGATCCGAGAGTGGCAAGACTGCAAGCGGGTCCTCGAGGATCACAATGGCACCAACCACCTCCTGTGTTTCTCCTACTAGTTGTGCTTGTTTGTTGACATCTTGATTTTGAAGTAAACCTTCGACGACGGTTGCGTAGGTAGTAACCAGTCGTGATTCCTCCTCTCGATGTTCCAGGATTTTGTTCAAAGAGTCAATCGGGTGCCAACAAGAATCTTGAAAGAGTCGGCAGATGGTAGCTGCAAAAATGAACAAAGGCACAGCCAGTCCAATAAGTTTTTGGATGTTCTCTTCCCCGGGCCAATTCTTTTCCAACCCTCTTTCATTCCGGATGGTAGGTAAGTTGTGATTGAAGAATATCGCGATATCATTCCTGACAACAGACTCCTTGATGTCATGTAAGATGGCGTCTTGGTGTTGGTCCGAGACCTCCTCATTCTTGAACCCCAGATTGATTGCAATTTCCGGCCGACTTGTTAGAAAGAACCTTAGTTCCACAGAGGAACCTCTACCACGAAGGCGTGGCAGAAGTTGGAGTAAGAATTGGATGTTTTTCAGGTCCACGCACTCATCCAAAGCATCTATCACAACAATCAGTGGGAACCTCTGGCCGTTACTCATGTTGACATTGGCAAGAGGTTTGAAAAGGAGCTCTTCAAACTGTATAGGTATAGTTGCCCTGGCGGACTTTACCGCATCCCCGAGACCTGCGTTCAACTGGGGCAGTACCCTTACTAGCTGGTGCAGTAGTGTTGGACACAACATTGCCGAGTTTCCACGATCAGTTTCGCCCCTCTTAAAAAAGAAGCTTGCACCTAACAGTCCGCGTTTATTCATAATCTTGGAAACAGTCCGCGAAATGGTTGACTTCCCAGTGCCAGCCATCCCATTCAGCCAAAACAAGGGTCTCCCATTAGGATTGTCAGCCCAGTCTTCAATCGTCTGAAGAAGGTCGACCCTTGTTCCTGAAAGACACTGCGACTCCGGTTCTCCGGAATAGGAATCATATGATGCATTGGCGGCAGTTGGTAGATCTCGAAGGTATGAGCTTGTCTGCATGTTCTGAACGGCGGCCAGTACATCATTGATTCCAGCGAGTATACTATCTATTTTATCGTCATGATTGAGGTCCTTTTCAATGTCGATCCACTCCTTTAAGATGGCATATTTACTCCTGACAGATGATTCAATGGTCTCAAGAGGGATTGATGTCATGTTGGTTATCGTATCAAGAATCTTCTTGCCAGTTCCCGATCGATAGACTTTCAGACCTCAGCTGAGTAATGCAAGATCTCCACATATGTCTCGATCAAAGCATTGATCATGACTTCTTTTGTCTCGGAATGGGCATCCTTGAAGTATCGTGCCTCAGTCAATGTCATACGAGCGAGGGTTTCAGAGAGGAACGCCGCGGATTGAAACCACCCATTTTGCCGATCGCGATAGTTCTGTGTGATCTGTACATTTTGTTAGATGGGCCTTCACAAAAGAGACGTTCCGTACCTTCAATCCAACAGATATCACAGTCCAGGCACTTGATGCATGTCCAGTCGGGTCACAGGCTACCAGTGCCGAAACACTCTCTTGGGCAGCCAACGCAGGATTGATTATCCGCCGAGCCCCTACCTGCAGCGAGTTATCATTTTTCAGCATTCGAATCTCATGCTGAGTTTTCACCGTATTGATAACCTCATTTAGAGCACCTGTCATGACGGAGGACGCCTGATGGTCTTCGCCGGTCGCATCGGTGGAACGTTCCGGCATCAAAACACGCTGGTCCTCGTCTGATAAGCGATCGAAGGCCGCTTGCCACGGATTTGTTGACTGGAAGCCATCCTCCGCTTGTTCCTTTGGGTTGGATAAATCGTCAGCAGAGGTGTTCATGGGCGATTTGTCCACCGCTAATACCAGTCGGTTGTCGTGATCATCCGTTTGAGAAGGAGGCTGGTGCTTGACACAACCTTTACGTCGGTGGATGAAACCCCGGCGAGGTTTGGACTTGGTGTTTCCCATGGCTGGGGTCGATGTTACTGAATGTCTTAGAAGCTTGAGCAGCGCAGTGAAACACTACGGGGACAAAGATTTGGAGAAAGAAAGCTTTTTCCTGGGAATTGACGGGGGAAAGCTGGTCGGGCTCCAAGGAGGGGTAGGAGTGGAGCCCTTTCCATATTGCTTTTGATAATCCCTGCATTTGGGTGAGCTGGCAGGTTAAAGCCCGACTCTCGCGTCGATGGGCATCGCTTCGCCGAACATGCAAACCTATGGGACAAGTTCTTATACCTGCAAAATATGGGGGAATAGCTATGTCTAGTTAACAATAATTTGTCGAATTTTCATTTACTACAAGGTCTAGTTCCAATGATGTCGATCAAGTATGACATGGCACGAAGGTGTAGCCTTCCTTCCGGCGACTACTTTTGGTGTTTCATGCAGTGCAGTCCCTGAGCCAATCAAACCATGCCACAGCATAGCTTCCTGAACCCTGATAGGTTGATGCCTTCACCGATAACAACTCCTGTGCCCACGATGTTATGACCACTTTCCGGGGCAAGTTGTCTTGGTTTGCCTCACCAATGATGCTTACCTTATTATTTTCATAACGCTGATACATTTCATTACATTTATCCCCCATTATTGATTGCGTCTCTTGGGTGTAGCTTGAACTCTCTTACAAGCTACCTGGTTTGATGCTTTGACTATTTGACGTGTATCATAGACCGCCTGCGCTAATAAGAAGAGTATGTATATCTCCCGCAAAATCCTCACCGCCTCGAAAAGTATCGTTGTCTAAGGCTACGGTAATGCAGGCGCAGACTACACGGGTGTATGTTGCTATATGAGCTTGATAAATAAAAGCTTTTTGATGAGACACTTTTACCATATTTATGAGACCTCTATCTGAAGTCCTGCTTTGTAGGCTTGTCTCATAGCTTTATTCCAACATGCGCGCGATCCTCTGGTGTGGATGTAGTCATTTCCGCCATAAAATATGTCATGGTTCATGGGAGTAGACCACAACGATATATTTTTGGGACACAGAGTCTTTCGTCCCGTCTGTTCTCCAGATTGCCAGCGGGATTTGCGTTTTGGCTTACTGGTATGAACTTAACATATACTGCTGATCGCTAGAGGACAGACAGAGAGAACGAATGCTCCAATGAAATATAGGGATTTTGTTGGTATGCGTTGATAGGTGATATTTACCTGCCATGATCGCAAAAATTGGTTTTACCAAGATAGGATGATTTGAGGCTGAGCCTTCGAGGGTATGCCAAATCCGACTGACACTTTTTGTTCAATGGGGGAACGATATCGATAGTATAGTAATTCCCACACAGACCCATTCTTTCAATACGTACCTTCAGCCAATTGCAAACAGATGAATGATGCGTTCCAGAACCACCATTGGAAGAGATGCGATTTTCAGGTCATGATATCGATGGTAATTGTCATTAGATTGGACAATAGATCCTTTGCTAGGAATTGGTGTTGCTAACTGAGACACAAACACGTCAATAAAGATATTGATACTAATGCCAGCCCCTAAGGATTAATCGCGCAGTGTATTCGAAACCGAGCTTCAAACCTAAATATATTGCTTCATGGCAAATACCAAGTTTCGGGATGGCGATGTCTAGGAACCGGTGGAGACTACTAGCGCGTATGCGTTCCATGTGGATCGCCAGATCCATAATTAGACTTACAGAGCACAGACCATGGAGTATTTGATGCACGAAAAATCTTCATCAAGTAGATCAAATCACAAGTATATGGGTGACAAGAATGTCAATCATGTGTCAGAAACTTCCTTGTTATGTTGAAGTGATATAAAGCTTTCGTTAAATAGACAAAGGTCACCCCTTGCTTCTTCACACTGAATATTGAAGATCCTTCCCGATGGATCTACAAGTTGGGCAGCAACCGTTTGGTGGGTCCACAGCCATCAGGCATCCTTATCTACTATCAATAGGAGTGTCAATGCCGGGATTTGCTCATCAAGATCACAAGACCCGGACAAGCTCAAGCTGTGATCAATCCACTATCCCTGATCCTGACCCACTCTTCAGGGATCTCAAACTGGTATATCATGAGAGCTTATAGCCATCCTCTTGCTGAATACCAACCAACATCTATCCGGAATGTCCTCTCTCGTACCAATACTACCTCAACCCCATCATGGTTCGTATTCCCCACTGCTTACCATTCTCACCAACATCAACGAAACCCCCAAGCTAACAAACCGACCCACGCAGTCCTTCTCCATCCAATTCGAATCCGCCGGCATCTACCACATCGGCACCCCCTCCCAACAAATGCTCGTTTCCTTCGAAGAGCTGCTCGGCTTCCACGCGGGCATTATCGGTCTACTAGAATACGGCCACGGATGGCGAGTCACAAAAGCAGCCATCCGACGACTTATCGCACGTCTTCGCTGGCGACCGATGGACAGCCCATACTCTGTGTGCATCGACAGTTCGGGTCCCATATACTATGTGATTACACACGGCGAGGATGCAATTCGAATTACGGCGCAGGAGCTCGACGCGTCGCTGTTCGGACGCGTGATTAAGAAACAGTGGGATCGGGGAACGGATGATGGGTGGGTGGTGATTGGGTTATCGATCCTCCGGGCGTTTGTGTATGGAATGTGGAAGAATTTGGCGTATCAGATGCGGTGGAGGAAGGTTGGAGCTACTTGAGGTTTTTTTGTTCGTAATGGGATATTGGAGTCGGGGTTAGGGTATGGATGGTATGGGTGGTGGCGTTATGGTATTCGGTGCTCTTTTTCTGACTTTTTCTTGTTCTCCTCGATGCGACGATTCTTTGCTATGAGCGGTTATTCTTTTCAAAATCTCAGCGTATCTGACCATGAATGACGCGTAAGTTTCACCTACCCATTCCTTCCACCCTAGATCGGAAGCCGCCGGAGAAACATCGATCGATCGCCATAGAATGCAGCACCAGAACGATCGAAGGTCGTCGACGTTGACAAATCGGGTCGAGTGCCAGGTGACGTGCAGAAAAAAGTGGGACAGCGGTGCCTGACCTGCAACTGTGCCCCTGGCTAAACGGTTGGGTAGAAACTCAAAAACGCGGCAAGTGGGGATGCAGCAGTGGCATTGGAACTTGGAAGAGATTTCCGGCCCGCCGCCTGTCAGGGGCCGATGCATGTTGGTGGATTTTCCCGTTCTACCCGCAGCTGCAGTAGCTGCATATCTTTGTTGTGGTTGGAACGTTCTCGCTGAATAAGACTATAGACAGATTGTTGTTAGGCACGGCTGCCGAATAAACGTCTTTTTTATTCACTCAGGAATGTTACAACATAACACGTGTTGATTGACAGAAACTTCAGGCTAGGCCAAAAGAAGGTGACTAGAGCGGTGGATATATCGCAGTGTTGATGTGAGTGGTGATATCCTCACTCCCCTTTGATCTTTGTTTTCTTTATGGGGCTGTTTCTTCAAACGACATATTTCGTAACCATCTACAGGTGGTTAGATAAAATGCTGAGACAGTGTTTCGTTCTGTGTGTTCTCCAGAGGCCAGCGGTATTACATTTTGTTATACTCGTATGAACTTGACATGAAAGAACACTTGGCAGGTTTTTTTTGGGGTACTTGTGAGAACCATGAATAAGATACAGTCTGAGGTTAACTCCAGTATTTCTCAAGTGGAACACGCCCTCCATATATTTCATTGTATTAAATAGCGAAACAGCTGGCTAAACAGCAAAGCCATCCTACTAGTTTTCTTTTCAGGAATATGGGTTCCATAGATCCAAAATCATTCTATCCAAGTCAACCATGTCGCCTCTATCCAGATGTGAATGACCAATAGCACAGACGCCACACATTTCGACTGCCCTTCAAAAAGTCACATCCGTATTATCAAGGCAACTGATTTTTTGACTGTAAGTATGGATTATTTGACCGGCACTATCCTAAAAGGGGCGCTAGTGGCGGGAGCCTTATCATAAGTAGAGCTAGTACTATTATATGATCTAGTAGCGTGTAATTCTCTCAGCAAGTAATTTTAGTAGGCAGTCTTTATATTATATAAAAATCTTGTATTTTTTAATGTAAAATCTAATACATGCAGTATTATATATTTAAAGCCTTCTTTCTATTATTAAAATAGATCTTTTTTTATTTAATTTTAATTAATCAGATAATAAGAATCAGTATAATCTTATATATAAGATTGATTTTAATACCAATTCTAATAGATTATATAATTCTAATTATAATTCTAATTATAATTCTAATTATAATTCTAATTCTGATAAAGCTACTGAGTTTATTATATCTGAGTCTCTTACCAAGCCTGCCAGTAAGGCTATCTATATATTTAATTATGATTTTTTTTATATAAGATCTGATACCGGTACTAAGATAATTTAAATTATTTATTATTATAAAAAAGATTATATAATATTTATAGATCTTTAATTAGAAATATGGGCTTATACTTACTAAGCGCTGATCACAGCTAGGCAAGACTATTAAATTAATTAAAGAACTAGATTTTTAATATAACAGGGGCTATATCTTTACTGTTATTAAAAGATTAACTTGCTTAATCAGTTACTCTTTTCGAGTTAATATACAGTTAAATTATACTCTGAATTTCTAGTAACTTTATATTTTAAATATAATATATAATTATAAAAAGATATTTATCTTATCTCTACTAGATTACCGCCGCGTGGTTCTAAATCAGTATTATAACTTAATTTAGAATATATTAATACAGTATTTCAGAATATGCCAGATTCTTCTAGTATTATAAAGTCAGGATTTTTTTCTTTTATCACAGCCATGTGATCTCTATAATTATTAGTATATATTTAATTATAAGCTTCTCTGTAGGAGGACCCCAGTCTAAGTGCTTATTAAATTATTTTTATAATCCGGCTGGATTTTATAATATCAAATTAATGAAGAATTATAGATTAATTTATTATTCTTAATCCATGAATTAATAATCAAACATCTCTATTAAAATTCTTATATTTCAATTATAGACTGTATATACAAGATAAACTAATATAAAATACTTTTTTTAAATACTACTGGAGCTAATTCTTACAATTAAATCTTTTATATTATTTTTAATTTTATTTTTACTAAGAAGAAAGCCTTATTTTACTATATTTTAGATTACTTGGTAGAAATCTATACTGAGATAGATCTCTAATCTTTACTGGTTATAATAGTTAATAAAAATAAGACTCTGATCATTGCTTACCAGTTAGTATAGTTAAAAATCAATATTATTATCTGTATCTAGTATATTAATTATAATATTTTTAAAAATATAAAGATTATTATTTACTATTATTTAAATCTGAGATTATTAAATAACAAGGATGACTTCCAGCAAGTTAATATAATATAAAAAGAGATACTGTTTAAGTCAATAATAGTTATATAAAATTCTATTAAAATAGATTATTTAATACAGTAAAACCGCTTTAAATATACTTACTGAGAGTTAGTATTCTATAATCTAATTTAGTATATTAAATCAGAATAATTAAATACTCTTACTATTACTTACTTTTTATATTATTATACTGATTGCTATACTTATTTTAATTAGTTAGTAATATTTTATATAAAGACAAGTCACTGAATAATTAAGCAGAATTTTAATATATTCAATATAAATCTTCTGCAAGCAGTAAAGTTAATTTAGTATACATTTATTAATTTATATAAATAACTTGATCAGGATATCAGAGATACAAGAATCTATATTTTTATTTAATTAATAATGTTACTATTCTATAAGATATTGGGCCATATCTCCAGCCGCGCGTTGAATAAGATATTTAATATATACTCTTAATATCTATCTAAAAGGCTTATTAAAGCGTAGATTAAGGATTATATAAGGATTATCTTTATTATATAAAGAATTCTTTATATTTATATAATTAAAGTAATATTATAATACTAGCTAGTTACTTTCTTACTCCGAGTTCTATACTTAATAATAATTATTATCTAATCTTATTTTCCAGGTCTTGGAGTCGCTTCTTATACATGAACCAGTAATTATATAGTTAAAGAAAAGACTTAAAAAATCTAATAATTATATTAAATCAGGTTTTAAAAATACTGATAATTTTATTTGTGGCCGCGAGCGAGCGTGGATTTAAAAAATAAAAAAGACAAGTAATTGTCTGATTAAGATAGCTAAAATAATCAAACTAATAAGTAAAGTAATGAGATGATTAATCAGACAAGTAATAATAACAGTGGTAGTAATAATAGTAATAGAGATTATCGAGATAGTTATATAATTAAAATAAAGAATTTATTCTATTTGAATTATTAAATATATATAGGATTAAGATAGATAGATAAGGTAGATAGAAGAGTCTCATGGTCTCGTAGAGGTCTGAGTTATTTAAAAATATAATAAAAAATAAAAATAGATATTATTTTATTTTCTCTCTCAGATAGATAGGGCTCTTACCGGTGCTAACGCTTCATTAGGAATAGCACCGGTCAAATAATCCATACTTACGGTCAAAAAATCACTTGCCATTATCAATACACAACCACTCTTCCTCTATGTCTCCTAATTCGTCGCGACAATATTATCTGCAGCGTATTAAACACGGTAATCACTTAGCATCGATGGTAAACATCCCAGGGAATAAAACACCCCTACCTCATCGCATTCTACATACCTACTGCATTCAGGGGAATCCGATGCGAGCTCGTCGAACGAGTATCTCCATCCCTCTCACCGCGAAAGTCCCTCACTCGCAAGACAACTCCAACGCCCGTACACATTATCACGACAGCAAGCTCCTCAAGAACAGACATCACCAACTCGACTGTCGGGTTACCGTCCATGAAATTAAAGGTTGAGCTGGGCAAGAACCACATCAGAACGGAATATAGCAGCCGGACAGCGAGGAACGGTAAAGAAAGCCCGACTGCGAGAAGCGTCCGTCTCTCGCCTTTCTCAATGGCCGAGCGCTTCCAATATAAGATCCCTAACAGCGTGCAGAGGACAAACCAGGCAACCACAAACAGGATGGTACCGATCTTGATCTTCGACGATGGGTGTTCGAAAATGGACAAGGACATGTGAGAGGTGAGACCGAGGATGGTGATGATAAGGGCGATGATGGTGAGAATATGGAGGGCGTGGAAGCATGCTCGATGCAAGGATTTCCCCCCGTTGATCTGTATGACTGTATTTCTAGGTGCGATGGATCGGTCAGTCAATTGCAACACAGCGATAGGAGAAAGGCACCACTCACGCTCGACTTAGAAAGCTATTGCACAGGGATATTAGCGGGGAGAGCCCAATGGCTGAACAAATGCCAATGGTAACATATAGTGAAGTTGAAGCGTCATGAATAGCGGCTAGCATACAGCATGCACCGATGATTCGTAGCGTGGCGAAGATCACGAGGTAACAAAATTCAAGACTTTGCCGGATCCCATGTCTCCAAATCAAGAAGTAGCCGAAGATCAAGGCAGGAAAGTAAATGATGATTTGCGCAATGGAGATTCCATCGCGGTATGTAAGGGTCATCGTGCTGTTCAGCAGAATGATCACCAAAGGGGAGGCTAGTAGAGAGATTCGGAGCACATTTTGAAAGCTAAGCTGGGAGGAGATAGGAGGATGCTCGAAATATATCATGGAGCTGAGGAGGATAATTCAGAGGAAGGAAGATATTGCATACGTATGTACCCATCAGAAACATAGAGATGGCTGTGTTCTTGTCTCCCATCTTGACCCATCTCCTGTATTGTGGCTCACAATACAAGAACGAGTCTATGCCGGACCCAATCAAAGCATCTGCTTTGGCGAAATGCTTGCCCCATTAGGTAAGGCGGTTACATTCTCGCACTAGCAGGACAGTACTTTGACGAGCACTACACCAAGTCACATTCATCCGTGGCTTTGCATCGGTAAGCCAGAACAGACTCTGGTGAATTCAGACATTGGTTTACGGGTAAATAGTTCTTTGTCCAAAGTACTATAGAACGATCAGAATTATGTTACGCTATCGCAAGTCTTTACCCCTGCAGCGCAGAGCGGCAGTACTCCGTAGTGAGTGCACACCGCTCTTGCGGCCTGGGTCGTTGGTGCCTTGGCTCGCTAACCTTGGTTGGTGCCTGGAAGCCTGTCGGTTGGCTAAACAAATATCCACGAGTAATAGTTAGCAGAATCAATGCTGACCTTCCCATGAGCCTGTGAATCATGTGACCAGGTCGGATGAACTTTTTGTGCAAGTACTGATCGTGTTACTTCAACATACAGACTCTCCATACGAAGGGACGGAAGGAACTGTCATGACCTTTTGCGGTCGTCCTAGTAAAGCTTGCCTGTCATGCCGCCAAAGACGAATCAAGGTGATTAGAACACAAAACAAGATGACCTCAGTCACTGATCCTTCCCAGTGCAACCGAGCAGTTCCGGTGTGTAGGCAGTGTCAGCGAGCAGGCAAACAATGTACAGGCTACCGGGATGAGCCTCCACTCTTGTTTCGCGATGAGAATGTTCGTACCGTCCGAAGGGCTCTTAGAGCTAAGGAGTGCTCGGATAGAAGAAATACGGCCCAGTTGATTCACCTCAACGGCAATCCCGAGAATGATATACAGCATACACCAGGTGTGGTACCTCCGTCGCAGCATCTTACTGTCCCGATGGATGAGCAAGGGCTTCGTATTTTCTTCTGTCACTTTGCCACGCCTCATGGAGTGACCGGAAGCAAAGAACCGCCACGATCGCATCCATTTTTGCTACGAATTATGGAAGACGGATTCTCCCGACAGGCTGCTGTGGCAATTGGCCTGGCCGCGGCGTCTAATAGTGGGAATGGACCAGCGTTGCTGAAGTTTGCCCGTCAGAAGTATGGACGGACTCTGCAGGAGCTCCGACAAACAGTGCAAGCCGCGACTATGACCAAGGATCTGGACTACATCTTACTTATCATCCTGATGCTTGCGCTATTTGAATTTGTCGATTGCGATGCGAGCTCCATCACCGCCTGGGCTGTGCATGCGGACGGAGCGACGGCGGTTTTGCAACGATTTTCAGCTCGTGGGGGGTTCTCGGTTGATTATCGAGCGCAGCTGCAGTATTATTTCTCCATGTTCATTAAGTATTTCTTCATTGGGGGTTCACCTCCGGTTGACTGGGCAAGAAGCTCCACATGGCACATGCCAATCCTTCCAACTGAAGGCCAACCAGCAGTCACCTTGATGGGCATTCTCATGCAACTGGCCCAGTTATACTTAACACTCCTACACGGTATGAACATGCCGGTGGAAGAAGTGGCTCGCACCGCCCTAGCCATTGCATCTGAATTGGCCGCCTGGAAGGCGACATTACCGGTAACATGGTCTTATGAGCTAAGATACTCCACGGATATGTCACATACCTTCCATGGCCTCTATCATATCTACCACGACGCGTGGGCATCCCGGGTCACGAACAATTACCGCTATGCCCGCTTGTTAGTGAACGATATCATTCTGACTTACACCGATCGAAACGCAGGTGGATATGAACAAGTTTCCATACAAAACCAAGCAACGACCACTATTACCCAGATGGCAACAGAGATATGCATTGCAGCATCTAGCCAGGTATATCATGAGATCTATCAGCCGGAGATCGACAACCTCTCGCCTCCACCGGCAAGTAACGGGGTGTTCATGGTTCTTTTTCTCTTGAATGTGGCCGCATGGGGCACCGGTGTTCCTGATGTGCTCTTTGAATGGGTCATTGACACCCTTCGAACCATTGGACATATCAAAGGTATCCGACATGCTCTTTACCTGATTCCGAAGCTACAGAAGATACGAGAACAGCGAAAGCTGGGGCTGCGACCGTTGCTGTTTCAAATGTTCCCATAGTTGAATGGCTGAATGCTCATATACGCCAATAAGTAGAAACGTCTCAATGTTCATAGTCCGGACCTACCCGGCCCTTCAGCATCGATTGATCCTAGCTTGCATCAAAGGCTGCACCTTAGTTGATTCTTCTCCAGTGTCTCTCTGAAAGATAACCATTCGGTTCAGCCGGGCCCTCGGGCGGGGAAATTGTCATACTGTGTCCCGGGGATGGACACTACCCTCTCGGTTGATCCTTGATAGTCAAGACATCGGGCTCCAAATCAAAATTTTCAATGGAACGTGGAAGTTCGAGGGGCGTAGCTGCATAGGCAGTCCAATAGTGGTCGGAGATCTGCGATCAAACACACAGCTTATCATTCCCAAATACCTCAATGATCAGCATTCTCTGCCGGCTATAACGCTAGTGTATGTGGATTGTTTGTAGATCAATCGTAAACAAGCTTTCGCTTGCTGGGGGTCTACTCAGAGGTTGGCGTTTTTGATTTTTCTTTTGCTCGGTCGTCCTGCATTCCGGATCGGTGTAATTTCCACGGTGGAATTCCTCCACGTTATCGCCACCATTGCATGCGCCAATCCCGAGCTATGTCAAACCCGAATCCAGGGGACCTAGTAGCTTAATTTTTCTTCTTTTGGAGACCTTTGTGGTCGAATTGGAATAACACGCAGGAACTAGAACGAGGGGCTAGCAGCAGGAGAATCAATAGAACGCACGATTGGAATATCACTCATCACTCCGATAATTGTGGCGTTTCTCCATTACCCAAATAGTAGACTGCTGCTTGACAATGGTTTATTGGAAAGGTGGGGCATATGCGATCGATCTTTTCCGAGTAGCAATATCTGCATAGCCTTTGCCTCTTTAAGCCATGGTCCAAGATAGACTGACCCAAGAGATATGTCATTCCAAAAGTCTCCACTGTCTATATAAGCGCATCATTTCCCTGCCATGGATTGTTTTCAACCCTCATTCTTCCGCCTCCCTCTGAACTTCAAGGAAAGAACCGGATATTCTCAATTATAGCACGATGAAGCTCCTATCTGTCTTCTCTACAACCTTTTTGGTCGCCATTGTGGCAGCCACGCCACTTACTGGCGACGCTTCCCTCGAGCGTACTCACGATGTTGCCAAACGACAGGTATGGAAGCAAGTGCACATGTTCTCGTGTTGTCCCCCCCTTTCTGGAAATACGTAAATAGCTGATCTGAAAAATGAACAGGCTGGTTGCCTTACAGACCAGGCTAGAGATTGTTGTATATTGTGTCATGTCCAAAATTCCTGGGATCCCACCTATAGGGAACCTTGTTGCAAGAGGTGTGGATGTGACACAACAAACTGGGAAACACCAGGACAAGGTGACCAGTGAAGACCTATCACCTTCCATGGTAATGATCGGTGAATATATGCCTTGGTCTTCTGTCTTGGTGCCATGATATATGTTTCAAAATGGGGTTCTTTGTGGTTTGAGAGATGGTAAACAGTTGAGATTGGACCCGAGCCATGTATATGCTCTTGTGTCTGTCGGAACGAAAGTCAGCAACGATGTCTACTTCATGAAATCCCTTTCTGTTCCTAGCCGGTAGGAAGTTGAACAATAGCTAGGGTAAACACACTTTTTCATTACAGTTGTGGCTTGTGCCATGATTTGGAAGGGGGCAGTGATAATTAGCCAGATGGCAGCATTGATGGGTGACCAGTACGAAATACCTTCCGTCTTTCCTTTCATTAGATCATGTCCTTCAAGGTCCCCTCACTTTCTTTCATATGTTTTGTACTGGACCTATTGATCCATTTAGAGAGACGTAAGGACCAAATCAGGGGGCAAGGTTCAGAGCCTCCTCTGGACAGAAATAGTGGCCTGACAGACGTTTCCCAGGCTGTTTTTGATGACTGTAACTCTATATTCAAGACAGATATTATAGAGAATTCAGTACTGGTCTCTCGATCAATCTGTAATACAGGCTGCTGTTGTTCTGCATTTATATATTTTCATGCACAGAGGTAGTTCAAGTCATTCTGTAACTCTGGAACCCTTCATGAAAGAGAGCAACAACAGCTAGTCCCCAAATTACGCAGGTAATTCCCTGGCAAAAGGTTGGAGTGACTCAGGTAACAGCCGGAGCCTAAGGACTGTTGCCTGAGCCTAGGGGCCACCAGCAGTGAAGTGATCTGTGAAGGCGATAGCTGACTCACCCTGCATTCATTAGCGCTGCTTCCCCGCTCCCTGTGATACCAACTCCCTCAGCTTCCTCTCCCTCTCTCCCCCTCTTCGCCATCCTCTTTTCACCTTTCTTGTCTCCATCTTTCATTCCCAACCTGAGGTCCACATTCTCATATATCGTCTTCCGACCATTACCTCTCCATTTCAGACCCAGAGCTCTCTAAAACCCTCTCAAAGCATCTAACCCATTAACATGGAAGTCACCAAAACCTCCGTCGTGAGTCTACCCCCACTCCACAACCAATCTCCAGGTTTCGTCATCTAACTCACTCCAGTTCGACTCCGCTCCCATCTCCGCTGACGCCCTGGGCGCATTCTACGTCGACGCCCTCGCCGAGATCCAGAATACCTATACAAGTTGCCCCATTACGCCAAACTAGACCTCAAGTTCCTCCCTGGCCCTGATATCGCCAGGCAAGGTGCCTCACTTGAGCTCTTGGTGGGTAGCCCGTCTAATCCCCTACATATCATACTGACTGCTTCGTGCCAATAGCTCAGCGCTAGTGACCGCACCACCATCGAGAAGAGAAAGCTCGGCTTTGCGAACATGGTTCACGCAATGAGTGCTCAGCCTCGCTTCGCTGGGATGAGCTTGGAAGTTGAGGTGGCCTTCAGAATCAGCGCCTAAGAGGATTGAAGGACAAAACCTCTATGGCGGGACTATGGAGGGACAGTCGGTTCGGATTGCTGTACAGCTTTGGTTGTGAAATCTGCCTTCCGAGCCTGGATTCTTTGTGCGTTGCACGTGGAGCCGATGTGTCTCGTTTTCGGTCCATCAAGAAGCTATCTCGACTGGCTCGAATTTGCTTATGTGTAACTGAATCACTCCGGACATAATTGAATGGACAGGCCATACCTTTTCCCAGACATAGTAGAACGCATAGTCTGTTGTCAAGCAGCCGGTCTCTGTTGACCGCATGATATAGCCGACTTCGAAAGCCTCCTTAACCCTTTCAATCATGCCAGTCGTTCCACCCTCTGACACACAGCAGAAGCCATACTGACCATGGGAGTTTCTAGCGCTACAGCTCACATAAGTAGGAACTTACTTCGCAGCTAAATGCTAATCTACACGGCATTTCTTTTGGTTAGTCGCAAAGCCTCGTCAATCACAGACCGTCGTGTTCCTGCGCAGCATGCCGTCCAACTTCCTACCTACAATATCCATCGTTGGTGAAAACGGATGGACGTCCGAGCTCAGGGGCTATCTGGTGGGTCTTCATCCATTGCAGACCCACTGGCTCAGCGAACAAGGTAAACATGCCTTCCTTCAGGATTCAAGCACGACCTGATAGGCGAGAATGGATTCTAATTTCCGAGAGACCCCTATCGTGTACTCGTATCATCCAATCAGCCAAACCAAAGCTCACATCGGAGTGCCGGACTACCCGAGCATGGCCCTGGCTAAGACGAGCTTATATGTCCCCGATGCGCCCCTAAACCTCTTAGTGCATTCCCAAAGACCCTCATTCTTAATTCTCCTTCACTGAGACCGATTTTAGACACTTCCAATCCTTAGCATACACCATGAAAGCATCCACACTCTTCCTCTTCCTTCTCGCGTTCAGTCCGGCAATTGCCAACGCCGGGTTCCAAAAACGCTGGCTCAACGGCGTGAACGGCACCAACCCGGCCCCCGACACTACCAGTGATTGTACCTACTGGGCGAATAACATCACCGCGGAGGATACCTGCTCTGAGCTAGAGTCGTACTTTGACATTACCTTTACGCAGCTGAAAGCATGGGTTAGTTCTCAACAGTTGCGCACACAACAAGTCTTCAATCTAATCCGTTAGTTTAGAACCCATCCCTATTACAGTCTTATTGTGCCCTTGTCGAGGGCTTTAGTTACTGCGTTGAGGGTCCGGATGTACCCGCCAATGCGAGTACGGCCACCTCGGTGGATGCAGCCAATGCGACCAGTGCACCGCACTCCAGCTTTACTGATGATGATGGTGGCGCGAATAGCACGAATGATACTGCCACTTCGACTGCAACATCAACTGTAACATCGACTGCAACATCATCGGGTGTTCAATCTTCTTCTGTCGCGTCTGTCAGTGCTTCGGCATCATCGCATTTGTTCGTGTTGTCGGGATTTACTTCGTCCTTTGTTCTTCTGTCGGCTTTGGTATGGGGGTTTTTACTTCTAGGATGAGTCGGGAGGAATTTGTTCTTGGGGTGGATTAGCTTGTTGTAGTCCTTATCAAGCTTGACTAGTTGCGACTCATCTGGATATTATGTCAAAGCTACCACCACATAGTCCAACAAGGATACATCCCTAACGGATGTCGGTGTAGAAGGTACAAGATGTTCCATCTTGATTGAATTGCCATAGACGCACCGTTGTGTATAACATGGACATCTACCTATAACATGTTGCAATCCTAGGTCTCTATCCCTCAGCATCCTTTTAAACTAACTAAAATACGAAATCACATCATCATCGTTAAGAGCAGCCCCACGCAAATCAAGCCAGCAAGCTTAAGCATTTCAATCCACATAGTAGCTAATTCCCAAAACCGACAGTAGCAAACACAAGACCACCAACAAGCTGCAACTCCACACAGTGTTCAGCTTCTACACAGTCCCATAAAATATGCATTGAACCATTGCGCCACATACAACCCACACACCTTCCTCTCAACCAGAAGCGAAATATCAGCAATCACCGGATCATCTCCGATTATTGACCTCCTAGTGTGTGACACAAGTACAGCTGAGCAGACTGGATGTCTTACTCTCTCATGAAACTTGATAATTGATCACAGACGACTACCTACGGATGCTTGATCTTTGTTTTGGTTTCCTGTCACAGAGATTCTGGAGTATCTAGAGTTCGAGATGTGCTTTTCATCAAATGTCAGACTTCAGACCAGTAGACTAAAAAAGAACGTATGGCTTCAATCTGGACAACAGACGGAGAGATATGTCCAACATTAAACCTCCATGATAACGAGTGGTCCTCCGGTATGTGCCATAAGCCCACAAGCGAGGTTCTGTGCCGACTCACGCATAAGACTGTCTAGGTCATACGTAAGTAATATTATAGTCTATACAATGTAGCTATAACACCTCCCTCCTCTCACCGTCGATACCACATCCTCGTAACCCTCATCCTCCTAATCTTCCCCTTCAACCTCAAAACCCCATACAACAACGCCTCCGCCGTCGGCGGACACCCGGGAACATACACATCGACTGGAACAACCCGATCCACACCCCTCACCACACTATAACTATAATGATAATACCCGCCACCATTCGCACAGCTGCCCATACTAATCACCCACTTTGGGTCGGGCATTTGGTCGTAGCATTGACGCAACGCAGGGGCCATTTTGTTGGTGACGGTGCCGGCGACGATCATGACGTCGGATTGGCGGGGCGAGGCCCGGAAGATGATTCCTAGGCGGTCTTGGTCGTAGCGCGGCATCGACGCGTGCATCATTTCGAGGGCACAGCAGGCGAGCCCGAAACTGAGGGGCCAGAGGGAGGAGTGCCGGGCCCAGTTTGTGAGGGTGTCGAGGGAGGTTCTGTTATTGTTAGGAGGGGGGTTTGGGGATGGGATGGAGAGTGGTTTACAGGACGTGCTCGGCTGTTTTCATGGGTTTGGGGGATGAGAGGGAGGTTTGCGATGGAGGGGAGGTTCTGGTTGAGTGGTGGGCATGGTGAGGAGATGGTAGGAAGGGCGAGGGGGAAGATGACCAGAGGGATGCTGATGGGATTGCTGGATAGAGACATGGGTGAGTAGGTATGGCTAGATGTTGAAGGCTGGCATACCGTGATATAGCCTTTGCGGGCGCGTACCGCGTACGAGAAGCATTTTGCACTCGGGTGACGTTCAATTCGATCTGTCGTAAGGTATAGTCTGGCTCGTGGTGAAGGGGGTATAGTTAGGGCCAGTGGGTAAATCCCGACTAGCCTCAGACATGTGGGATTTCCCGACTAAGGCATCCCGAGGACCCACTTGCCGCCGATGAACCAACCAGTCAGCTTCACCTCGATTTCCCCTCAACTTTCCTTTGCCTCTTCTCACAATGAAGATGGCCCCAGAAAGACCCCAGTCAAGAGTGGAGTGCAAAGTATGCCACAAAGCCTTCTCTACGAAGAGCCATCTGCAGCGGCATGAAGCCACTCGTAAGCAACCCTGTTTCCGCCTCATTCGGAGACCTAACTCGACCAGATGCGCCCTCGACAAAGGCAGCTTGCGGCTTCTGTGGCCGTGCCTATCTGAGAAGGTACTGCCCTCTCCTTCAATAGTGATGATATCCGACTCACTTTTACCTAACAGCGATGTTCTGCGACGTCATTTCCGAACGTGCAAGGAAAAGGGAGACTCCATCGCCCTACCTCACATCAAGCCTGGCAGAAGGCGAAAGGCCTGTAATGCCTGCGTCAACGCTCGATCATTCTGCGATGGGGAATACCCGTGCGAGGCCTGTCTGCAGAAGCGACTAGACTGCTCATTCACCCATATGCAAGAGCGGTCTGGGTCTACATCCATTGGCAAAGGCCGTCCCAAATCACCGCAGGCAGATCGGATTCCTGCACCGGCGAAAATGGCCATTCCCTTTCTTTTGCACTATGCTGATATGCATGAATCCGAGCCCGGGAGTCTTCGTCTACTTGCCCAATGTGGCGACGGGGATTGTGATGTCAATCATTATTCGAACAATATCCACTCGCTTACGGAGACTTGGGAAAGTCTGTTCAATTCGTTCATCAACACGGCCACATTGGGCCCTTCGTGCGGCATTCAACATGTTCCAACAAACCGGTTTAGCTTGGATGTGCTGGAGGATACCTCGACTCGGTTATTATCACTGCTTGCAACATTCGATAGCGGTATGCTCGACCGAGTCCAGCTGGACTTGGATAAAGCCAAGGAACTGTTTACGCCTCGGAATATTGCCACATTTCTTGAAGCATTGCTAGATAACCCCTTCAATGCACACGTTTTTCATGCAGCATCCTTCAGCTTGCAAACAGCCTCGTCACGTCTGATTCTAACTATGGTGCTATTGGGAGGAACTTACGTCGCACCCCACAGCGCAAGTTATTTGGCACAGTACTCGGATATTGCTGAATCACTCGTTTTTGACGATAGCGAGTTCTTGGGCCTGGTACATGCGCGAAATAAGTCTCCTGATGAGCTTCGCATCCTGGAGACACTTCAAGCGGCGTTGTTTGCCATGTACTTACAGACAAACCACGATAACCCCTCCAGCATACGAAGGCTTCGCGTGCAACGATTCCCGGCTGTGATCACGGCTGTTCGCACACTGAATTTGACTGACATCATGAATGACTTGAGTCCTGACTGCTCCAGTTGGGATAATTACCTCGTTCGGGAGGGCTTGGTCAGGTATATTCAATCCACCGCCAGACAAGGCATATGGGATTGACAATGATTAGAGTGATGGTGGGCATCCATCTTTTTAACTATTACTGTGTCATGTTCTATCGCCATCCGACCCAGCTGAAGATCACCGAGACGACATTCGAGATTCCCCAACGCGATGATCTATTCCATGCTCGTGATGCTACAGAATGGGAGAGACTCTACAGCGCGGGGGACCGGCCACATGATACAATGCGGTTGCGAACTGTCCTTCGCGATTACATGAGCGCCGGACATAGTGACTCCGATCAGGGGCATTATCCAAAGACCCTACTTGGTCTCTTCCTTGTTCTCTCCGGTGAGTCTACCCTCGTTAGTATTCCAGCGTAGCTAAGTTCATCAGCATTGCACTGTGTATTGTTCGATTTGTTGGCCCTGCACGCCGTCATGGACGACCCGCGCATGTTTGAGCGGGTCGAGCGGGGGTTAGATCGGTGGAAGCTTCATTGGGACGTGTTGTGTCGAGACATGGAACCCGCCAGTGCCAAACGGGCGGGGTTTATCATTCATGCCGTGGAGTACTGGTGGGTTGCAAAGGCACTTATCAGGCATCCGGCAGCGGCGTTGGCGGAGAATGAGTCGCCCGACACGAGACATGGCTTTCGTCGTCTGGTGGAACGGTTGAATCCGGTTGGAGCGATCGGTGCTGTCCCTGTGTTGGATAAAAATTTGCTGTAGTGGCTTTATTCCCCGACGTTGCCTTCCTTGACTACCAGCTATGGCAAGACTTTCAGCTGATTTACATCGTGGACGGGGCTGCAGTTTAGTCATGGATAGTGTGTTGAAAGTCAGCGCTGGAAGCCTGTTAGCAGTGGTATGCTCCCCCTTTTTACCATCCCCATCCACACGAATACTCATACTGGTTTAAGAAATCCACCAGTCTCCCTGCGCCACACAGCCGAAGGACCCATCCCCTTCTCGGATGGTACCATGATCGCAATAGGCACCAAACTCATCATCCCCTGCTCCTGTCAATGGGACGAAAGATGCTCAAATCAGAATCATGTTACACCAACAATTTCCCTCCATCCCCTTTACAACCTAACTCAGTGAGAAAGTAACCATCGATCCCAGATACGAATGAAATGTCGACTCCATGCACTTAAGGGGAAGGAGATTAGGCAGACACCGAGTCATTGTCGTGGATGTCAGGATCCGGGTGGGGGTGGCTTTTCGGTCCGGGTCGATGGAGGATGCCTTGCCAGGCACCCACAGAGACACGTGACCGGCGGGATGGCCCTAGCTCCCAACAATTCCGGTGTAGCGGGAAGCCGGCTGGGTGGATCGTTTAACGGGAAAATCCCTGTCGGTTTTGTTTGGGTTGTAATTAGGGTGTACTGAACGGAGATTGATGATCGTGTTGGTGATCCTGTTGGTATCGGAAAATAGCGGAAGGGTCGGATGGGGAGAACGAACTGATAAGAATGATATGAAGGAGCGAGAAGAAAGTGTCATTATTCGGGGGCGGGATTGTGGTTCTGACCGAAAAGTAAGGGACGGTCGGACCGAGTCAGTCGGTGGGGGAGATGCAGGGCGAGGAAATTGTCCGGTTTTTGGTATCTTCTGTCGGGGTGGTTGAGTGGCTGACGGGCATACAAATGAAGGACCTCCGCAGGGAGGGTGGCGAACCAATGGGAAGGGGATGGCGGAGGGCAGAGATAGCAAAAGTGCTGGGGGTGAGATTAATCAATTATCATGGTTAATATGGGAGATCCTGGTGGATCCAATAGGACGCTTTCAACGAACTGGTACTATCGACGGAGTAATTTATAGAGATTGGAGAGGGAAATGAAGGGATTCAGCCGGAACTTTATCTACTGGGCAGTTTCTAGGGGGTTCGTTGCTTTTTCTGCTCTTGCTACGGATACTCCCCTCACCATCGTCTGAGTCACTGAGTGGCATGAACTGGCGATCGAAATCGACCACACGGACCAAGTACACAACAGTGGGGTCATTCTGACCGCTCAGGATTCAGACCTTGGAAACCGGCCGAGATGTATCAGCTTTCCAGGTCCCAACCCCTTTGGCTCAGCCCCTGCACGATAGCTTCGTTTCATCCAGGAATTTAGCCCCATCTCACAAAGAACCATCCTACATTTGATTGGCGGGTGCCTAGATGCTAGGAGGACCGGATTGGACGAAGCCTTGAGCTAATGCACGAATTGCGGCCCTATCTGGCAGGACCCACCCACCCTGGCTAAGCGCGCAGCAATCACTGTCACCCATTGGTTGGGATAGGGGAGGTCCGAATTCTGAGTCGTGACAGGCTGACAGGCTCGCGCCGTTGGGATTCGGTCCAGTGGAGGATCGCAGCTAAAGTGGAGCCGGTGAAATTGCACTGGCCATGTTCCTCAAATCGTATCCTCCGGATAAGCTTCGCCTCTGTTCCTCCTTCCTCGGACTGTCTGTCAGGATGGTCCCTTTTGCTCTTAATTGATATGGATTTGGGGTCCAATAACCACGATCCCAACCTGAAAGGTCGTACCGTCATCGTACTCATAAGGCTCCGGATGGATCGGATCCCTCACGTGTGCATTCAGGCTGACGGCTTCCATTAGCCTTCCCACTAGTCAGAAGGAATGCAGGAAAATGCTCCTATTGGCCCGCGGGGTAGATTGCGAGATCTAGCGTGTCCAGGCTGCTGGTTCGCCCGCAAATGACACCGGCGCTTTATAAGGCCGGGCATGCCTCCCGTCTGCATCTCGACCACGCCCACTCTCCTTCATCACTCACCCCGGGCTCTTGCCCACAGTCACTCCTTTTGAACCACCGGCGTTCCCCCTTTTGCTTTCTTGCTTCTTCAACAGACAGGCTAGACGCCGTCTCATCATGCAGCTTCTCTTCACCTCCCTCTTCGGGCTCTTCATGGCCAACCAAGCGCTGGGCGCGGCCGTCTTTGCCCACTTCATCCTCGGCAACGCATGGAACTACAACCTAACCACATGGGAGGAGGATATCACCCTGGCCCAGGAGGCCCATATCGATGCGTTCGCCCTCAACATGGGCTACGGCGACTCGAGCCTCGCCACCCAGGCGGCCCTGGCCTTCGAGGCCGCCAACAAACTCGACTTCAAGCTCTTCTTTTCCTTCGACTACGAGGGAGGCACCGGTGCCTGGCCCCAAGCCGACGTCCTCACTTACCTCAACAAGTACGCCTCCAACTCCGCCCACTACAAATACAATGGCAAGCCCTTCGTCTCCACCTTCGAAGGCACCGCCAATGCCGCCGACTGGATTACCATCAAATCAGAGACCAACTGCTTCTTCGTCCCTGACTGGTCCTCCCTCGGAGCCGAAGGCGCCCTCAAAGCCGGCGGTGGCGGCGTCCCCGACGGTCTCTTCAGCTGGGGCGCTTGGCCATCCGGTCCCAACAACATGGACAATGCCACCGACCTCACCTACCTCGACCTCGACATCCCTTACATGATGCCCGCCTCCCCCTGGTTCTACACCAACCTGGCCGAGTACTCCAAGAACTGGCTCTGGCGCGGCGACAGCCTCTGGCACGACCGCTGGGAACAGATCTGGGAGCTGCAGCCGGAATGGGTCGAGATCATCACTTGGAACGACTACGGCGAGAGCCACTACATCGGTCCGATTCGTGAAGATGCTCTCAGTCTTATGGAGACGGGCGGCGCTCCCCTCAACTACATCGAGAACATGCCCCACGATGGCTGGAGACATATCCTCCCTTTCGCTATCGATACCTACGTCAGCAAGAACGCCTCCATCACTGACGAAGCCCTCGTCACTTGGTTTCGTCCGAACCCCGGCCATGCCTGCGGCACGGGAGGTACCACCGGTAACACGGCAAGTCAGGGACAGACCTTGTACGCTCCCGCCGAAGTCGCCCAGGATAAGATCTTTTACTCTGCTATGCTCGACTCCCACGCCAACGTCACCGTCACGGTGGGAGGAAAGTCCCTCGGCGCGACCTGGGACAAGGCCCCTAGCGGAGCAGGACTCTACCACGGCGGTGTGGAATATGGTAGCGCCACCGGTAAGGTGGTAGTGACTGTCACCCGGGATGGAGAGACGGTGGCTAGTGTGGCTGGGGAGTCGATCTCCACTACCTGTGCCGAGACATTGAGCAACTGGAATGCCTGGGTGGGGTCCAACGTCACTACTACTAGTACTAAGGGGGTCGCGAGCCGTTCTCTGGACAAGGGCACACTCGAGGTGATTAACAGACACGCGCACAAGCATCTCCACAGAGGTCACAATCATTTTCACTGATGTGTTTGACTACTGGGGGACATTTGGTTTGAACGAGAACATGGTTTTATCTTCTTCAATACATATTTGAATGGGCTATCCCATACTTTTGATATCACACACCTCGATGTAGAAATCATTGTATCAAACTAGACGCGACAAATTCCAAGGGTAGGACTAGTTACTTAAGTCCCAAGCCCTCTTATATCAAGCCCCAGCACCGACCGCCACCGCTCACCCCATAATACCATCTGAGATAAATCAGACACCAAAACATGGTTAACGTCTTCTCATCATATCCCACACCAATCCTATATCTTCTTCATACCTAAGACCAATACCCAAAACCACGTCAGGATTTGAAATGATCCAAACAAGCCAATCGCGACCTATGCTCAACCCCCACCCCCCCCCCCCCCCCCCAGAATGGCAGAAAACCATCCCCACTCAATATATTCATCCACCCATCCTTCTAAAGATGCATTGTGCTCCACGAGCAACGCCATTCCGGCATTGTTATCACCGGCAATTGGTGAACCGTAATCAGCGATGTCAATGTTATTGTCATCCCAAGAAACCCAACCCAACAACGTTAGTTCCTTGCATATCTGTAACGTGAGAAAACGACCACAATTCTTTCTTCTCCCGTATCACTGTCAGTCCTGCAGGGTAGACTTCCTCACCCCGAAAGGCTACCATCCAGCCCAGTCACCCAGGACTGAAACTGGTCTGTTGGGCGTAAAACTGGCGAACTTGTAATCTTTTCGTTATCGGGTTTGTCCGCAGTTGCTCAAGCAGCTCTGCCTGTTCATATATATCCCAGCCACGTCAGAGAACCGACACTTGAGTTGGAAGGACGGTATTGATCCCGTGTCTGTCTATCTCATCCAAGTACGAATTATATTTCTCCTAGCTTGGATATCTGTCGCCATATCTCGCCTTTCTTTCTTTCCTTCTTGCCTTCGATGGGCGTAAGTCTAGCTTCTGTAGCTCACTGAACCATTTATCAAGGAATAATGAATGAGCCAGGAGTAGAGTACTCAGTGGGATAATCTAATAGACACCTCCCAGTGTACTGATCATAACCTCCCTAATCCCCAGTCCCTGTTTTGTTTTCCCAATGTGGCAATGCAGTGCTGCATTCGTAATATCAGGGTCCTCGCAACTCGATAATCCAGACACCAAGTCTAAAATAAAGAAGGACCGAAGCATAGCGAGTCAAGCACACGGCTTGATGAGGCAGCTATATTGCCATAGATGTCTATGGCTATCGCGCCGACGGTGTCATTGCATTGTAGCTAACTGGTCGCCAGATTATTGATGATGCGTTATCATGAGTAAGTAGGTTGGATCGTATCAATGATAAGCATCAAAGATGATGCTGGGGGGGTAGTGGGGGTTGATCTATGGTAATACCTGAATGTCAGAGATTTGATGACCTGATAAGAGGAGGATGAGTTTTAGGATTGGGTGGGTTATTCTTGGGGTGATGCAGAGGGGGCAAGAAAAAAAAAAAAAAAAAGTAAGTACCTTAGCAGACGACACCCATGTGCAATATATATATATATAGAAGCCTCTCCAGTTATGTACTGTCAAACATAGAGCAGAACATGGTGTTTGCTCTACAATTCTGATGGACCACTCTGTAGCCTTTGGAATGGCTAATGGTGTGACCTAGGTAATAAATTTGATGTTGATGTTGATGATAATGGTCTGTTGATACTCGCAGGTTCAGTCCAGTGTATAAGTAGGCGAAGGGACGTCTTCGATTACCTAATTCTGGCAGGATGGCTCCGACATACAAAAGACAAAATCCGTACATTTCTACGGAAATAGAAGTATCTGCCGGATTCTCCGGCCGTATAAACGGACATTCTCAGAAAAAAAAAGGTAGACAGCGAAAATATGAAGCCATGGTACACCCTGCGCTGGTGCCGATCGGGAAGCTCCGGTGGGTCGACCCACGGGCGGGAACAGGAAGCAAAAAGCAAAAAGAACGTCAGCGACAGGACTCGAACCTGTGCGGGCGAACCCAATAGATTTCTAGTCTATCGCCTTAACCACTCGGCCACACTGACTACTTGATGTAATTAGCTGCAGTAGAAGGAACTACAAGTCCACTGCAGTCATTTCTCATCTACATGTTGCCTCTGCTTCCGAGTCACTATATGTTTAACTTCAGGTTAATCATCAAAGAAGGTAAAATGTCGGTACTAAATGCGTCATACTAAGGCAAAGAACCAGACGCCGCGCTCTCAAATAACTGTCATAACCCGGCCAACCCATCCCATCGCTCGCCTGGCAACGGTGGCGCCCGAAACAATTAAACTGCGAAAACAGACCCATCCTCCCCGTGCGTGCCAATTTTCCAAGCCCAGGATCCCAGTCCGAAACAAAGTCAAATCCGCGCTCCCAAACATCGCGTCAATCAGAAGTGTCGCGTGGTCTCGTCAGTCCGCCGAAGCGCGCATACATAGTCATACAATACAGGAGCCGCACAAAGGAAATAATAGTACAGACGAAGGATCGCTCAATCATCGGTAAACAAAGGAGTGTCGCTTAGCGGGCAAACTCAGTCCACACCGTGCTGAGCCAACCAACCGGCACGCCCACCTCGGATGGCAGCATCGCCGGCAGCTGGTCGTATTCGCAGCCTTCCAAAAACGCCAAGACGTCATCCCCGCCCAGGCTGGTCGACAGCAGCCCGTTGGTATTCACACTGTCGAGGCCATCCACGGTCACGGGGGGTGACGCGCCCGGGTGGCCAACCGAGCCAGGCGGAGGCAGCAGCGGCAAGCTGTGAGAGGTCGCTGCATTGATCGGAGGCAGAGACTGTGAGTAGGGTGGCGGAGGCTGTTGACGGTTGTTCAGCCACGAATTCAGAGGCTGCAGACGGTTCGCGGGAGGTGGTCCGCCGTATTGCGAGGAGGCAGCCGCCCCCGTCGGTGGGGCTCCGTAAGGGCCCGGCGGTCCCAGCGACGGGAGATTGGGGGACGAGGCGTTGTACAGGCCACTGTCCGGATGATGCTGCAAAGCCGGCAAAGAGTACGGCGACTGAGACTGCAGGGACCTACTCGGGGGCAACGGCAGACTGGGCCGGCGTTCGCCATCTGGGCCGGGGAGCGGCATGCCAGGGCTGTTGATCGGAACCCACGATTCGCGACGGCCACCCGCCCCATCCAGTGGAGGTTCCCCCGTGTCTCCAGTTTCACTGCGCACCGCGTTGCTGCCCGCGTCGCTGAGATTCGTGGCTCGATCGCTGGCGGCGGCCAGGCCGTCCTCATCCGCGTTGCCATCCGGCAGTTGGTCTTCGATTATGCCAAAATCTAGAAACAGCTTTTCAAGCAGCTTGAACTCATCCAAGCCTCCGCCGGGGCCGCCTTCACGCACCGGACGGATGCCGTTCACATGCGCATCCGGGCCATCCAGGTCCATCCGACGCGAGTGTCGCCGGAAGTCGCGTTTGACCTTGGAGAAATAGCTGTGCAGGCGATTGAGCGTGCGGAACCACCCGCGCGCCATCTTCAGGCGCGTGCGCATATCGCGCAAAATGTCGAGCGCCTTCCGGGCTTGGGCCTGGCCCTGGGCGGTACGCTCGCGCGGAGCCAAGGCGGCATCCGGATCCATATGCGGGAAATGGGCCGCGTAGACGCCAATGAAGGCGGCATTGTAGACGGCAAACCCCACGAGAGGATTCTCAACCAGAGCACTCCGGTCTTGGCAGGTCACGGCGAGGTCGATCATCTCCCGGGCGGCTTTGAAGAGCTCCCGAGCACTCTCACGCCAAAATGCCTCGGCCATGCCAGGCTTTTCAATGGGAAAGAGGGGCTCGTCCAGCGGCCCGACCGGCTCTGAGCATCGCATGGGGAGAAAAGGAATATATGACCGATGGAGGACAATGACCGAGAGGAAATAGACCACATGCATGATGGTGTACGGGGAGAGGGTGGTCTTATACATGATGTGTGTGTCGGTGTTGCGTGGGGAGTACTGCAGGTTGCGTGACAAACCGTCTTGGAACTCGTGCAGCATCACGCGCAGCTTGGAGAAACGCGAGTCCGGGTGCCACGGGGGCAGCTGCTCGTTTCTACAAGCATCGTTAGACTGTGGGCAACGACATGGGCAGAAATGGCAAACATACCTTCGACCTCCTGCGCACGACCACTTGGCAATGCTCCCCCAGATGCGAATAATCCGAATCACCCGGCCGAGCACGGACTCTTCCGCACCAACTTCCCACCGATCAATCTCATCCTCACTCGAATCCTTGCGGCGGGAGACCGGAGACCACGATTTGGGGTCCGGAGCGCCATTGCTGGGCAATCGGTCGTCGCCGAGGGTGCCCAGACTCTGCCTAATGCTCGGAATCTGGACGCCCTGGGCTCCAAAGCTTTGCGGGCGACGGGCAACCGGCTCACTGAGACGGGACGTGCGCACCCGTTCGCCAAAGGCAAAGGCGTTGTCACTTGGGAGCTGAATACCCAGCTCCTTGACGCGAATCATGCGCGGCCGGTATTTACCGCTGCTGAGGCAACGGTCAAGAATGAAGCATGCCCAAAACGTCCGACGCTTTGTCTCCTGGGCTATGATATCATCTGAGGTCTGTTCTCGGGGCTCCACCGGCCGCCGTGGAATGCCAAAGATCTCGGCTTCCATCTTGAGCACGGGCGACCGTGGACCATCCCGGTAAGCCATCTCGTTTTCCAGTTCGAAGGGGAGCCCCATGGCCTGGGACAGTCGAATGGCCATGCCGACGTATAGCCACGCGCTCCTGCCACGGCACATGCCCCATTCATGCAACGCCAACATCAACAATGCTTGTACCCGGGTAAGGTCGGTGACTGCCAGGCTGGCGCCGTCGACGCCGGCCAGCCGGCTACGCAACGCTGTCGCATAGTACTCCGAAGCGACGAGGGGATTCGAGGGGTTGCCCGGGGAGGGGGGAGAGTGATAAGCGACCAGTTGCGGATGGAAACGAGCCGTGAGGGCGAGGACCCCGAGGGGAATCAGCGGATTTGGATCCGGCTTAGCGGCAGGCGGACTTTGCGCCGGATCCCGCGAGGGCTCTGCATTGATGGACGGCTGGGAGTGAGCCGAGAGCTGGCGAGTCTGGCCGATGAAGGAAGCGGGATGCAGGAAAGGTAAGATGGTCGCGAAGTGGGATTGGAACAGGTCGAAGACTGCGTCCCAGACCTTGGTAGTCAGGATGGACGAATCGAGCACGTCGAGAGCGGCTCTGGCGCCGTCTCGCGAGGCCGATGAGAGGCCGACCGTCTTCCGTGACCGCTGTCGCTTGGGGCTGTCCCAGTCATTATTACGTTCCTCCCCCTCGGCCAGAGCAGCCAGGTCTCGCTTGGCGGCGCCTCCACCAACTCCAATGGCCGGGGCGGGATAGACACATTCTCGACCCGACGATTCACAGGCGCGACAGGTGGTATCGATACCGGCGTTGACACATTTTATCTTGCTTCGACGGCAGCGAGCGCAGGCGATGCTGGAGCGCATTGTGACGACAAGGACGGGCGCGAGCGACGGGAGGCCCGTCTCTTGGGTAGGAGAGACAGGTAGGGATGCAAATCAAGGACGAAAGGGTGCAGAAGGGAGAGAAAGAGGAAGAGAGGAGGGACAACGTAGTCCCCGGACCCCAGTCGACACGGGTGGTGAGGGTGTGTGGGAGGCAGCTGTTACCTTCCGCCGTATTTCTCCGGTGGTTTTTCCCCGGGATTCCGAACCAGACTCCAGACGGTCTGGGTCGCAAGGGGCGACAGCGCTGGCCGGCCACGGCTGTCGTGTTTTGCCGTCAGTACCACCGGCTAGGGAAGGGGGCAGATGGAAGGGCTCCACCCACGGCAACTGGCTTCGACAACTAACCTGGGTGAGCGACTGCTGGCGTCGGCTTGCTGCTCCTGTGCAAACACTGGACCACGATGCAAGGAGGAGAGGTGCAGTAACAACACAGAGACCGGGGCTGTCGGTAAGTAGGTCGCAGCAAAGTCGCAGCAACAGGGCTGGGTACTTGGACCGGGGATGGGGGCAAACGGCGGGAAGAAGGGGAAAAAAAAAACCTGAAAAGAAGGGGAGAGGGTGGAGAGGGTGGGATAATGAATAAAAAGCCAACGGGGCACGGGAAAAGGAAAGGTAGCGAAGCCGAATGGAAGAATGGGGAGACAGGGTAATTAATTAGTCAATAATGTGCGGCGTGGGTAACGGGGCCGGGAGAAGGCCAGTCGGGTAAGTGGACTGGAGTGTGGACTGTGGGGAGGGAAGGATGGGGGAGAGAAGCAGCAGCAGAAGAATTCACACCAGACAAGGGTAGGGATGAGATGGATGAAGCCGCCAGACGGACGGATATCCACCATGCAGTAGTCAGTAGGTATGGGAGTGGGAGGAAAGGCGTCTGCCCACGGAATACGCGGAGTGTGGGGGAGGCCGAGAGTAGCGTCAGTCCAGGGTCGGGGCACCGGACCGGCACCGCCAGTGGGAATCAGCCCAACAAACAACTGTCGGGTGGATTAGGGATCAAGGGATTGGATGGTGGGGATCAGAAATGAGGGGGGAAGTGGAAAAAAAGGACACGATGCTGGAGATCGATCCTTTGTGGAGGTAGTAGAAGAAGGAGGGAGACGGAGGGAGGGAGGGAGAGATGGAGAAGGGAAGAGGGAGAGAGGAGTAGTGTGAGAGAGTCAGAAGAGCTGGATGGATGGATGACTCCGGCCGACAGACTCAGGCAGGCGGACGATCCCAAGTAGGCAAGGTGCCATCCGCACTTTTGCGGAGGCCCGACCCAAGTTAGTCCGGAGCGGGCTAGTGCGGCCTGAGGATGCAAGGACGCGACCGAGCGGCCGGAGAATGGTGGAGCCAGATTCCGAGTGCCGAGTGGAGTTGCGTAGTCAGAATTCAGAGTTGCCAGGAGGGAGATCCTAAGGATTAAAGCAAGAAAGAAGGAAAGAGTACTCCGTAGATAGGGACTAGGTAGTGTGACAGAGTGACCCGATGGATAGGATGGTCAGATGGAAAAGGGGGGAGAGGAAGAAGGAAAGAAAAGAAAAGCCATCCGGGGGAGACACACACACAGAGAGCTTCGGGTAAATTACCTTACCATGCTGACCTCCAATACTGGGGTTCCGTCCGGAGTAGTGCCTGGTCACGCTGCGTATCCTTTCTTACTACTGGCAAGCGGGCTCGGCGGCCAGTTGGCGCGGAGGGCCCGACCGATCCCATCGGTCCCAGTGGCATGTTCCTCACTTCCTCCTGGCTTCATGACCACCATCTACGTGTGATCGGAGGAAGAGTTCCTCCTCCCCCTGATTGACAGCAACAGCCCACACCACTCTACCCTCTACGCTTCACTCTTGAGAGACACCTACGGTGGTTTCTCCGTCCCTGTACCGACCGAGATGCCGGTTAGCAGCAGCCGTGTGAAACGTCACTTGACCGCCATCTGCCCATTCCATTACCTAACCTGACCTGACAGCCTTCACCACTTCTCCCGGTGCACTGTCGTCCAGCAGGCTAGCTGGAGATGATTAAAAATGGGTACGAGAAAAGGGTTCAAGAGACAGCCTCTCCCCCGAAATTATATTAATAGGTCGGCTCCTCTATAGGTAACCTCGCATGGCATGGATGGAGTTCGCCCCGTAAACCGTTACAGAATCCGGGGATTGCATGACGCGAGCCCCCAAAACGATAATACCGCCGACCCGGACAGCCCAACCCTTCCTTTGCAGCCAGCTGAGCCAGGCCCTTCCACACCCTACGAAGGACAAAAGCAGACCACCGTACCCCGGATATTCCCAAAGTCTAACCCCAGCCCAGTCATCATCAGCCTACGAGACTAACCCCAGTCAGGCCAACCGGAAAGGACCCAAATGAGGGGAAGGGGACGGCAAATGATTCTGGCCCGATCACGGTGACGAACCTCGGGTATCGACGCATCTGAAAGGGAGGGCTGACCAGCTCGTTTTCGTGGGCGGGCTCCCTCCTTTTTCTTTTCCCCCTGCGTCGGATCTCCCCGCGGGGGAGAAGCGAGATGAGATCACGATCATCCGCCTGGTCTTGCAGGACTGGACTGGACTGGACTGGGCCAGCAGAGTCCGTGTCCCGTTGGGGTAAGATTGGCTGCGCAGGGATATGATTCCCGATCGACACGGCAACACACTGCTGACCGACCGTGTTGTCCGACTGAAGAGGACCGTAGTCCCATGTTTCTGGACCATATGTACGCTGTTTGTGTTGAGGGTTGGATAAGATGATATTCATCGATTTCCAGGTAACTAGTATCGACCCTGGCCCGTTGTAACCCAGTCCTAGCCTACTAGGTAGATAGCGACCAGCACACTATGAAGTAAGCCGACCGATCGGTGGCCGCCGGCAAGTCCCCGCGCAGGCATTTAACCGGTTGTCCCGTGGCCGCTGGTCGGGCCAACCGACGGCCCTGATTGGTCTCCACCGCCACCCGAGGCACAACAAGCGAACCGACCCCGCAATTCCCTCCGGACTCTGATCGCTGCCTTTTACCAATCCCTCATCACTCACCAGCTTTCCATCACAGCCCAGCAACACCGCAGCCGCTATGACTAAACGCCTTGGCTGTCCTACGGCCAACCCGGACATCCCCGGTCCATGCCCGATCCCACGGCAGAACCTGTCTGCTCAACCCGTCAGACCGCCTCCTTTACTCGATCCAGTAAGTTCTCCCGCTGTCACCTCCTCGTCGCAGCCGCCGCTCGGGGTAATCGTATGCGCTGGCCTGGACAGTCGGGGTTCCCGCGGGGTAAAGGCTGCCCAGCTTCAGCATGTCGTATGCACCCCAATGCCGATCCTGTCCTGTCACGTCCGTGAATATCGTCACATGGATGTCAGGGTTGGTTATAGTCGACGGGCCGCCCACCCGCGGTGCCCTGCACGGGCAGGGTACGGTGCTGAGTGGACGAAACAGATTTGTCCCCCACGGACTGGCCCCGAGGGACGATGTCATCCATGTGACCCCATGCTTAGCCTGAGCCTTAGGGCCTAAGCCTCTGTGCCCAGCCCGAGAGAGTGCCAGACGGAGCAAAAAGCCAAACCGACCACGCGAAAAGTGGCTCCACTGCGCCAAGGACGAGCCCACTCCCTTTTTGGTCATAGTGCCCATCCTCCCAAGTGGCCCTGCGCGTCTCCAATTCGCTCATCCGCGCCACTTATTTCCCTCCCGTCTCGAGAACCACGCGCTGGACTACGCCCGGCTGGGCTAGCATCCACCACCTCACCCGAGTCTCCTCCGGGCCCGGGGTGGATTTGCCTGGGCATAAGTCTTTTCCGGGGTTGGCTGGTTTAGTCTTTACCCTTTACCCATGGCCCGGACACGGAAAATTACCCGCCGGTCCGCCCCAGGGGGTGGTCGGGATGTTTACCTGTTGCGTTGGGGTCCTAATGGTAAGCAAAGCATCTCAGAATGCCATCTCTTTGTTGCTGGCTTCCACCTTATCTCTTCCCGGTTTTATCGGCCACTGCTGGTGCCGTGTGGAGTATGGGGTCGCACGTGAACCGATACGAACCCTAATCGGATGGCCGGATCAACGCCACTCATGCCGTTCATCGGCCAGGAATGTTTTCTCCGAGCTGGAAAAACCTCCTTACGTATCCTAGATGATGGATGCTGCATCCACATTCTCCAAGTAATTTAAAATCATCCTGTGAGGCTCGGGGCGTGCTTTTGATTTGAAAGCAAATCTGGCTAGTCTCTAGTCTATCGACGGAATGCCGGAAGTTCGCTGTCATCGAGCCCGAGATTCGCCAGATTGATCACCCGAGGTCATGGTGACATTCTCTAGCTGTTTTGCAGCTGATATAGGCAGCAGCTCCGGCGCAGCAGTCTAGTCCATGCGGGTAGTAAGCATGAGTAACAGGAGAACTTTCCAGTCCCTTGGATTCGTTGCAATCTAGAGGCTCTATCATTAAACATGATCCAGATAACCCCAACAAACGTAGCCAACCTCCAGCTTACCCCTGTGCAAATACTACGACTAACCCATTCACACAATTGGAGAGAAAGGCACTCCCATATATACCATCCCACTAATTGAAATGCCATCAATCCTTAATATAATCACCACGCATAAGCAACCATATTCGCAACCACCGAAGAATGTGATAAATCACACAGCCATGACATCCCCTCGCCAACTCCCACGTACGCATCTTACAAATATCCCCACCACATCGCCGAACGTTCCGGGAAACGTATCCCGTTCCATAGCCCCGATGTTGCTTCCGAGGGTATAGTCAGCTCATCTTCTGTTCCTTACATCTCCCCGACAAGTACTTTCTTTTGTACACTATGTATCAAGTATCTTGTATTTGAAATAGAAGTATAGACTGAGTGCCCCACCCCCGGAACATTTCAATCATGGCCGGGTTAAGCCTTGAGAACGATGATGCGGATAACAAATGAGAACAACGCAGATGCCACACCATCCATAATTACCTCTGAATAAAGATATGAATGCTACCATCATTAGACGGAGTTGCTATTTTACACAATATCTGATTCAATCCCAATTCTGCCCATATTCCTTAAACGGCAAAACAAACTGCCAAAATATATTTTCTCGGGTACTAGATGATGAAATATCAGTCCTAGCAGATGCCTACCTAACTTGAACTCGAGAATATAATATGACTAGTTGTACTTGCAGAAAAGTCCTAATACGCTACATCATCTTTTAATAGCTCCCTACCACGAAGTATAAAAACGAGTCAACACCGGGTATGGCGTGTGTGTCGGAAACATACCCGAATAGGTAATCGGGCCGCTCATTACCGGATTTGGCAAGTAACCGGTATCTCGTGTTGGGGGAATAGATTTATTAGATAAGTAGAGAAGAGATGTTAGTGATTAGTTTGGGTAAGATAGGGATTATTGGGGTAGATCTGGTATGAAGAAATAGAGTATATTTTCAAGTTGGTCATGTGATGGGATTGACTGGGGAAAAAGAGTCAGTTGAATGTGGAAACGGGGTGTGTGTTCTGGGTGATGGAAATGGGGTTCTATGTTGCGATGATAGGTTGTAGCAGGGAGTGGTTAGGAAGGAGATTATCAGATGGAAAAGGTGACTGTGAACCTTTACGTAGTGTACTGGTAGTTAGGATTAGGATACAGACTGACTAAAGTGGAATGGTTAGTGATAGTAGTGGAGATTCTAGAATAGCTAACCACCAAGAGGGTGAAAGACATGAAATACGCTCAATGATCCCATGCTAGAAATATCACAATGCAATCACACATAAGACAGAACACATCGAGAGGATGCCCTAATCAACACCAAGCATATTAACACACTTCCACCACTATGCAAGGTCCATTCCACATCCTAAAGCATCGATGTAGGATACGCCCCATCATACACCACCGCTTTATTCTCTCTCCCCCAAATCTTCTCCTCCTCGCTGTTTGACGGCGGCGGAATCAACCCATTGATCTTCCACAACCGTCGATCTGTCTCATCCACATGGTACTCGAAATCATACCCCCTGTCGAGAAGATGCGGCTTCATGATCTGGTCTAGGTGAGAGGTGGTGCGAATGTAGGCCGTTTCAATATCAGGCACGTGTCGCGCGATATGGGTGATTACTACCCGGACGAAGGGTTTCTCCGTGGGGAGTTTTGTCTTTCCACCGACGTAGACATCGTTGGGGTTCATTTCGATGAAGTTGACTATCACGTAGAATGCGGGGAGACCGATACTGACGTACATTTTGGTGATGTCTGCGGCGAAGGATTGTTTGGAGGGGGAGTCTGTGAAGGTCCCAGCGGGGTGGTAGATTTGCCAGAGGGGCATTTTTGAATGGGTGGTTGAGGGTGGTGGGTTTGGTCGGGTGGTGATGAGGTATGGATGGTGAACTATTAGATTGTTAGAGCAAGACCTACATAGAGCGATGCTTGTCAGATATAGCATGATGGGGATGATTTGGAATCCGATGCATAACCTCCGACCGACCATGTTTCACAATGATTAGTGATCAGTCCGTCAACAGATTACTGATCGATCCGATAACAAAGAATGTGAGCCGGTCGAGATTAAAATTCCCGGGACCTTGGGTGGAAGGAATAGGGTTGCATCGAACGCTCTAGATGGGATGGGATCGGGGTAGTGGTGGATTTGTCACCCGCGCTCGGCCTGCTGCAGCCCCTCCGAGCTCTGTGTTATCCCTTTATTACCCAGAGGCCTCCGTGATCGGGTTATACAAGCGCCTCAAAACTTATCTGATTAGTGATCCTTCCGAGAACGGCATGTTGTTATGGTTGTCGTCATCGTCGCTCGTGATGTTACAAAGCAGGAGATTGAATATATCTGCTGGCCGCCACGTAGGGTATAAGTTGCGGAGTGGACACCACTGATTGAAGAGGCCACCACAGAAGTCAAACTCATCACTAAGCAAGCATTCATGGCTGGAATTACCCCCCTTGTTTTCGTGACCGGTGCGACCGGCTTCATTGGTTCTCATGTCGTTACTACGACCCTCCGAGCTGGCTACCGGGTTCGTCTGAGTATCCGCAAAGCCGAGCAAGAAGCCACCCTGAGGGAGCTCTTCCCTGGATACGACTATAAGATCGAAACATGCATCGTTCCCGACATCTCTCAGCAGGAGTCTTTCAAGGAAGCACTCCAAGGAGTCGATTATGTCTTCCACCTTGCCTCTCCGACACCCGGAAAAGGAGACGACTTCAAGCAAGACTATGTTGATCCCGCCGTCAAAGGCACAGAAGCAATTCTTTATGCTGTTTTGGAGTTCCCGCAGATTAAGAAAGTCACCGTCGTGTCATCAGTTCTGGCCTTGGCCCCTGTGGGTTTTTTGATCGCGAAAGATCTTGTACTAGCTGGTAAGTTCTCGGTCTACGAGCGATGCTGTGAAGAGACACTGACAGCAGAGTAGATAACACCGGTGAAGTCATCCCAGTTGACATCTCAATGCAATTCCCCGAGGGATTCGCCGGCCATGCATTAAAATACGCTGCCTCCAAAGTTCTGGCCCACCAAGCGACTCGCTCGTTCTTGAAGGACAACCAGCCTCACTACACCCTGATCAATTTCCACCCGACGTTTGTTCTAGGGCACAGTTTGATTCAGAAAACCGCCGAGCAGATAAGCGGGATGAATGCTCTCTTCTGGCTGTCGGTCAAGTCCGGAAAGACTCGAATTTCGAACGCGTGGGTACACGTTTCCGATGTCGCGGACGCACATGTCAAAGCCCTGGGGACCGATATCAAGAGCGGAACGGAGTTTATCCTGTCGAGACCGTCCGTTTCGTGGGACCATGTTGCGGATTTCATCAAGACCAAATATCCTGCCGCTGACTGCAAGCTGGAGCCGCCTTTTGAGGGGAATTGGAAGCTTGACACCACTGCCGCTGATACCATTTTGAAGATGCACTGGCGATCAGAGGAGACGATCATTGAGGATGTAGTTGAGCAGCAGTTGGACTTGATTGCGAATGTTCCTAATTAGTGAGACATGTCGAAATTGTTTTGTTCATGAAGTCATGCGGGGCGTTGTTTCCACATTTGAGATATGAAGCCATGTAATCAATTCTAGTACTTGAGAGAGATTTGTTTTTGACCCCAGTGTCTCCTGGTTAGTTGTAGGCTTGTGGTAGGTGGTAATGAAATGGGTCATCCAGTGAAGCAACTCCATGGGGAAGTTCACTCTGCAGAAAACGCACCAGCCTTGGATTCAGTCCACCCTTTATACTTTATCTCAGATAGCCAAAAGTGTGGACGGCACAGAGAGGAGGGACAAAATGATGTGAACTGGAACAGACACCATTGTCAACTTGCATGCGCTAATGCAAAGTATCCCACACACCATGTACCACTCGGTTTCGGTTTGTGTGTCTTCATTCTTCACAGGTAAAGCCAGGATACTTCAGATAATAAGCCCAATCAACTCCAGCCAGCCAGTCCGATCGATCCCTTGACAGAATCTCGGGAGAGCCATAGTAAATGGCTGGGATACGCGATTGTGATGAAAGATGGGCTGCTGCAGATCCCCGAGGAGACTCGCGCCACGTCAGCACATCTGACACATGCCAACCAGAGCGATGGTTCTTTCCCTAAGTCGGGTACTCATGCTTTGATTACAGACGATCGCACCATTAGTGGCTTAGGCTTGATAATTTCTTTTTTCTGGGGAGCCGGAGAAAAAGTCCCCTGTCCCTCGAAACAATAGTCCCCCGCTCATCTTCACTGCTCTTCTTGTCAGTCAAATTTACTGGAAATATCTCCCAGACGCATGGAATCACTTAACGCGACACTGCATTTCGAGCCGTCGCGAATATGACTTTTCGCTACAACACATTGAACCCGGAAGACTATGAGATTCGATTACTCTGCATCCACCCTTCTCGAAACCCAAAAAACCCCGTGCAGTGCTCCCTCAAAACCGTGTCACTCAAGAAGCGCCCAAAATTTGAGGCTCTCTCGTACGTCTGGGGAACCAATCATGCCACAGACAGGATTCTTCTCGAAGGCAATGTGTTCTGCGTAACCCCAAACCTCGCAAAAGCCTTGTACCACCTTCGCACCGCCTGGTGGAAGCGCATGATATGGGTCGACTATATCTGCATCAATCAATCTGATACCGAGGAAAAGAACACTCAAGTCCCCCTGATGGGTTTGATATACGCTAGAGCTGATCGCGTTGTTTCTTGGCTCGGGGAAGCCACCCCCGAGATCGAACTCGCGGTTACACGGGGGGAGCGATACCTCGACAGAAAAATGAGCACGGGAGCTTTATACTGGTGGTGGCTCAGTGCCAGGGGTCTGTTCGCTGCCAGGACCACAGTAGAGAAGCAGATCGCCCAAACTTATGCTATTAAAGGCGTGTTCCAGATTACCATGATGCCTTATTGGTTTCGGACCTGGACATATCAAGAATTTCTGCTGGCAAAGCATGAGCCAATTTTTGTCTGCGGTCATTTGGCGGTCAAAGCATCGACAATCCTAAAGAGTCTCTATATTGAAAGTAGGGGCAACTTGGAACGTAAGGCATTAGATGACATGAACTTGCCTCGAGGTCTATACGACAGTGCTTTGCAGGCCATAACAGACTTGAGTGAATTTCCCGACTTTGCGCCCATATACAACGTCACCCGGATACTAGACACTTTGCGCCCACAGATACAGAATGATGTGGTTTCCTTGCTAACCCACCTCCACGTGACAATCCAACGCCAGTGCGAGAATCCCAAGGACAGGATCTATGGGTTATATGGTCTTTGCCCTGGTATCCGGAAGGTTTATTCACCGGATTACAACAAAACATTAGAACAGATTATGCTAGAAACTACAATGTGGATCATGGATAATGAAGACGGAGTGATCGTTTTCGCTCTACTTCCTTTCCCTGTGCATAACACAGTCAGGGGCTCACTCCCAACCTGGGTACCAGATTATCAGGGAGGTTTCTCTCAGTTCTTTTGGGCTTATGCCTACATCTTCCTCACTCACAACGAGGAGGAAACAACGTATAACGAGCACCATGCGTCTTATATTGAAAAAGATGTGTTAACATTGCATCTCTGGGCCTATCGTGCAGATATACGCAAGGTTGTAGTCCAATTCGGGCCGGACCCGTGCAAGACTGCAACGCAGATTATGGAAGTCCTTGGGAATACGGAGGACTTGTGGAGTGAACAGTGGAGCCCTCCGATGATGCAGGAAACGCTTTCTAATACATTCAAGATATTCTACCGCAGAGTCAACAGCTACTCGACAAAGGAGATACTTGAAGGAGTACAAAGAATAGCGCATACTGATCACTCAGTTGAGAGGGAGCGAGCCCTAAATGACTTGGAAGACTCGACCAACTCCGACGTCGCCAGACTCCTAGAGCTCCTTGACGGTAACCGACTTTTAATTGTATCCAATACACATGGCTGTGCATTCGGATTGAGTCCTGGTGTTGGCGAGGCTAAGGACATCCTTGTTGTACCGCACGAGTCGTTTCACCCGCTTATACTCCGAGGCGACTCCATTGCAGATGGAGACAATGGCCAAGTGTATTATAAAGTGGTTGGCCAGGTCATAGCTGGAGACCGGGACAGGCCAACTCCTTTCAGTGATGGAGTAAAACAGCAGCCTTTGGAGGAATTTCTTGTGATTTGATGGGATGGCCATCATGATCGGAGTTGGTTGAATGAACTCCGACAACGAACTCAATTAAATATGGCGTCGCCTATGCGCTATGGTAGATGACCGTACGAGATCGAAACATGTAGCAAAAACTATTTGAAGGTGGATATAACCGGTGAGTGACATGCAGCCTATTCAGAGAGTAGAATTAAACTCCTCTGATTACCATTAGCCTTCCTCAATATCAACATCACTCAAGAACTCCACATCTTAACTGAAAGGAGTTATACTGTCAACCAAAAAGTCAGTTTTATCAACTTACTATGGTGTTGAGACAGGAATGCAGCATATAAACGTCTAAGAAGTGAAAGGTCGTACATACGGCAGGGTATGGAACCCAGGGCTTCCCGTCGATTCGGCCGTACTTAAGACATCTATTGACACAGCTTACTGAAGGATGAGTGCCTTCATCAGCTGAAGCTTTATGGGTGGATACTGCTAAGGCACAATGTGAGTGTGGGTACTTCAAGTGAATACAAAAAAAATCTTCATCCACCGGTTGCTAAGCAGATCTTCCCAGCCACATCGCCAACAACACAAATATTTCTCATCCCATCTTCATCATTTCCCTCCAAACCTTCGAGTTGTTCATCAGCCTCGTTGTCCCGCCAGATCCAGAATGTCACCCCCAAGCGGCACCTGCGCCAACTGCTCCAAACCCACACACCTACAATGTGCTGCCTGCAAAGATGCCCCCGAGCACACCCCCGGCGATGCAAGCAGGACCTTCTACTGCTCCAGAGACTGCCAGAAGGCCCACAGACCTGCCCACAAAGATCATTGTAAGACGATGCTTCATCGGAAGAAACTCCTTCGCACGGCTATCATCCTCAAGGCGGCATTCTTGGGCTACAGGGAAATTGAATTCGATGTCGAACTGTCCAAAATCGAGCAGCGGGGTAGATTTCTGTATCTCTCCGACAACCAAAAGAATCTGAACATCCCTCCAAAGCGCGGCCCCTTTCCCGAACATTTGACTACCAACCCAGAGCATCGAGAGGCGGCCCTTACATGGTTTCAATGCCTCGCTGCATGTTGCCTCTCGAGCCGTTTGATGAAGAAGCTTTTAGCGGGTACGGTTGGACATCCCCCCCCCCTCCTCCTCCTCTACGATGACACTGACAACAACAACAACAACAACAACAAGGCATCCCCTGTGAGATTGACCTGCTAGCGCTCCAGATTGGAAAGCGTCGTTTCACAACACAAGTCATTCCTGGCCCCGATTCGCCCAACGTCCCAAGCCTTGATGCCACAACCACGCCCCACGTCGTCTTTAGGGTCAATGTTAGACTGTCATCAGGTGATGGAATGTGGATAGTGGACCTTACTGGCGCTCAGTACAGCTTTAAGGGCGTCCTTTTTTCATACGACCAGTACATGAGAGAGAAACGATGCCGGCTAGAGGACACAGACCCATGCCCTCTGAACGAGACATGGGATCTGGACGTCGTGTCGACGATGATGAACAGTATCCAGCAAGATATTATGCATGCGGAGCGTCCGTCCCGTTTGCATTTCGCTGATCTTGTGGGTATTGTTGGCAAGGAGGTACTGGATGGGTCGCCTGACGAGTTCAAGGATAAATTGGTATGGTTCCGAACTACACTGAAGCTGCATATGTTGAGCAGATATAAGCATGCTTGAAGGAGGTTTTGTCTTGATATTCGTTGTCTAAACGTTCTAGGACTGGGCAATAAGATAGGATGAGAACGGGATGGAGTTGAAAAGGGAACACACAGCATTTGGGAGGTTAGCCTCGATTCCTGCCAATCTCGATTGGGGAGGGATAGGTAGTCATTCGGGGTTGTGTAGACATTGCTGGGGTTCCTTTCGGGTTATTTGACAACGGATTCATCATGTATTGCGGGATAATGGCAGTTCAACATCGTTTTGTTAGGTGGAGACCCCATGTCCTCATCTGGCCATTCCTGCTTGTGACTATCGATGTGTGTGCAAGGTATTGACGGACTGGAAAACTGGAGAGCTGAATGTTAGCACGCAGAAGGTTAGGGGTCTGGCTACTGCATGGTACTACTTTGTTCGATACTGCAGCTCATCGATCGGAGTTGATGTACTTAAGACTGACCAGTAAGGATCTCAAAGTTCAATTATCACCAAGCCATGCCTAGATTTCCAATTAGAGCTATGTTTCAAAGGGCATATAGGGATAATACATACGACCACAGGGTGTGGAGAACAGGGCTTCCCGTCCGCTCAGCCGTACTTAAGCCACACGCCGGGAGGTTAGTAGTTGGGTGGGTGACCACCAGCGAATCCCTTCTGTTGTATGTTTTTATCTTTATTTATTGATTTAGTTAGTTATTTCTTTTTTTGCTTCAATCTTATAGCACCTAGTCGGTGGGAAGCTACTGGGTAGGGGACTATTTTCTTGACTCCAAGTTCGGGTGGCGTGCATAACAGATAAAGTTGTTCGAACAGTTACTTCACCTAGCTCCAATCCTTATATGCCAACATCTGCAATAAAGTACAGTCCATTTCATTCCATTTCATTTCTTGATCCCTCGGGAGGTTAAACAACATGAATAGTCGGCAAAAAAATCAATCCCACTGGGCTACGGATACAGAAGATCGGGATATCCCAGCCCTATATCTCGACACGCTGCACACTTCACCATCCCCGCAACCAAACCCCCAAAACAGTCATACCACCCATCAGCGCCTCAAACGGCGCCACCTGTCGCCAAGCTGCCTCGCCCGTCTGATAAAAAACCATTGCCGCCAATAACCGTCCCGGGATGGTAGCCACCATCAGCGGGATGTTATTCTGATAGGCGGCGATAGCATAGAAAGTGCCCAGGGTCAGGGAAGAAAGACTTGATGCCGATCAGCAACGCTTGAGGGTTACCTGAGGATGAGTAGAGGGCTTACCTCATGGCTTGGATGGTTCCCGGGGTGACGTCCTGCAGGGGCATGTATGGTGATTGTGCGGCGGAGGTGGGGCAGAGAAGAGTGTAGAGGCCGCTGGCGAGGAGGGGGAGGGATTGAAGGGCGAAGATGTATTTGGGGAGGTGTGGGGGCATGGTGATGTTAGCTGGGTTACTGTCTTGGGGTTTGTGAGTGGTGGGTAGGTGGGTGAGTGGTTGTGTGGAATGTGGAGATGTGATGAGATCGAGGTCCACTATTTTTGGATTATTCTGGGGCAATTTGGCAGTTGAGAACAATCACGTTATCGCCCTGATAAGGGAGTGCCACGTGTCGGGTGTTATTTTCTGTCATTCTGCTTACCCATCAAGAGTGTTGCGGCCTAACTTGGTTAGCGGGTGTGTACTGTGACAAGGTCCGATCTCACATGACTGTCACGACCATGAGTGCAGAGGACAATTTCTGAACAAGAACCCAAAATAAGAGGTACATACGGAAGGCATTGAAGAAAATAATTACTATGAGGAGAATCCTAACAATTTCTTAGCCTACTATTCCAGTAATAAAGTATATTCTGTTCTGAATGGCTGATCAACTGCTACATCTACTCAGTGGACCTTCGTTTAACATATAGAAACAGCACAACATCCATTGGTTCCATTGCCCTAACTACCCATGATCTATTTATAAGCTAATATTGACGAAGTCTCCCGGCCTTGGCCACCATATCTCCCCTCCTCAAGTTGCATATTCGTCGGTATCTCCCTTATTCCAGCCCATCAGCCTCTTGACCCGCTGTATCATGGATAGCTTCCTGACCATTCTGGAGAGCCCGGCCTCCGCAGCATCCTGACCAGATGGACGAACCATCTCAAGTGCCGCACGCATCTCCTCCGGACTGTTCGGCTTAAAGGGCTTGATGTGGGGGTTGCGGTATCTTTGATAGAATGTGCTCTGTCAGTTTTGTCCCGAATACATATAAAAGAGCTGCATACTTGAGAAGTAGACTCAGCATAGCATTATAGATCACCAAGCCGGCCAATGCGAGCAGAATGATACCCACCAGAGAGCCGGCAATAGTGGCCAGGGTCCATTTTTGGTCAGTATTCAGATGCATGGCGGCGTGGGAGAGTGCGTGTATTAATGTATGTTCTTAGATCAGAGAGGAGAAAAAAACGAAGACACAACTAATGATTTGACTTGGAGAGTATGCGAATGTGAGGATATCTATAGGTCGGCTACTATTACATTCTCTGGCCTCCAACAGTAATTGAGGAAGGAACGGTGCTAGTAGTTAATGACTGAGTAAGTAAGGAAGACCCGCTACCATTAGATTCATTTGAGCGAATCCCACCTGTCACATTCATCTCCCCCGTGTGTGTGAGTTACCTTAACATTCTTGTTAATATGCTGGGTTCCATTTATCTAATCACCTCCGTGTTTGCCATCCGAGCCGTTACTTTTCGACTACAGTGCATAAATCTCACAACTCTAAGACTCCCTATTTAGGATTATAGGATCATGTGTAATGATATAGTGAGGAAGGATTACATGACTCTTATATTTAATATAGGCTTTCACGTGGCGCAATAATCAAATTCTTTGTTGAAATAGTCCAAAGTCGGGGTCAGCATACAAAGGTTGAACTTTGAGGCACCTTGTGACAACCGGGATTCTCCCTTTGGAGCAGTTCAACTGACGAAAAACTTATATACCATTAATCACCAAAGCATTCAAAATCTCTGCCATCTTCACATGGATCATATCGAGTGGTAATACTTTCCTTGGCAGCCATGAATACTATTTCCCGGACGCACAAGCAAATTAGACCAAGGCCACTGTATGATGCTCCCGTATCAAGCACTGGTGTGGCAGAGGGTGATACTGAGCACTCTGAGTTTTCCGGATAGATTACCGTTAATCATATGTCGAGGACTTATGACTGTTGATTCATCCGCCCTACTGGACTGCGATCCAAAGGTACCTGATAAAACAAGGTCCTCTATCGCCCCTGTCCATCCTGGTCACAACAGTCATTTCATCCTTGCTCACATTTGTCACCTCCGACTCAAACCAAAACGTATCAACCTTTCCCGGACCAAATGAACTGAGCGCAATGAACACTCGAGGTATCCGCGTGAAGGGCTCTCCTCTATCAAATTTTTCAACCCACTCATGTGATGTGGCTCCCTCTTCTCCATCGTCGATGTAACCGATTTGGATCTGTTTCATACCGTTGGGCTTATATGCAAAACACTCATATGTGAGACTGTCGAAGCATTGAAGACTCCAGCTAAAGATTGACTGGACTTGTCCATTCTCGTCTTTCTTGACATCTAGTTCCAATTGGATGTCTGTTAGGTCGGTCGATCCAACCTTGAAACTCTTCAGCCATGAGCAGAACTCGTAACCCTCAGAGACAGGTTTTGAGAACGGAAGGTCAAATTTGGTTGATGCCTGGGTCGGCAATGGGGAAGGGACTTGGAATTCTTGCACATGTATATCGGCCCCGAAGTCAGACAGAGCGAGCCAATTGGCCTTCAACTTGGTCATGGGACCATCTCTGCCATGTTCGATTGTAAATCCGGTCTTTTCTGCATGTTGGGCTAGTACCTGAAAACCGAAGGCCTTTCCATCAGGTTTCAAGTCACTGATTCCCACCAGGATCTCTGGCCGCTCCACCATCTCTACATCGAATGCCACGGGATGGGAGAACGCGGACGTGTCTGAGGATTTGGAATCAGATTCAGGATCCAATTCCAGATCACCGCTATCTCGGTAAGATAAACCGGGGTCGAATCCTTTAATCCTGTTTCTGAGGCTTTTGACCCTAACTGCGAGCCTTTCCTCTCCTTGCTCGGCATTTTGCAGCAACGCCTTGGTCGCCTCTTCGCTTTCCAGTGCGGTCTTTTTCTGCTTTTCGGCTTCCTCACATCTACCTTTCAGGGCCGAAATCTGCGCCTGGAGCCCGCTTAATGCAGTTTCGTTTCGTATTCTGGACTCGTCCTTGCTTGCTTGCAGGTCCCTTACGGCGTCGGCATTCTCTTTCTTGAGACGCTCATTTTCGCTATAAAGATCCTGAACCTTGGCCTGTGCGGACTTCAACTGATCAGTGATTTCGACCTCGGGAACCAGCCTGCGAAGCACTTTTACGGTCTCATTAAGGCTTTCGATATCCTTTGCCTGGTGCTCGGCTTTAAGCCGAGCTTCATCGAGGGCATATTGTAAGGACTTGTTGTGCTGTTTCCGTGATTTCAGCCATTCTGTTCAGTAAAAAAGGGTTCTTGGAGTCTTACCTGCTCCACGGTTTCTTTCTCCTCAGTAAGGGTCTGAAGTTCGTTTCTCAGATCCTGTCCAGCATCGTAAAAGCGCAGAGAGGTTGGAATCGCAGTATTCTATGGTCTATTATCAGCAAGGCGGTCGCAAACAATGATCTGCGTTGACCGACTAAGAATAATTGTTTAAAGACAAGGCATCCTAGAAGCTGCCAGTATCTTGGAAATTGCGCCACTGCTTTTCCTTGGTCTTCTGTCGTCACCTATGTCTCATTGAATCAGTATACCGTCCCTACAAGATCATACATGCTAGTTAACAGACCTCTTTGAGAAGCTGGTGGCCCTGCACAGCTAACCTTGTGCCAATCAATGCGGCAACACCAACATCCACTGACTGCGCTTCTAGGATATCCGCAATTGCGGCAGCACTATCGGAGGAACCCTGGCCTAGCTTAGATAGCTCGGTCAGATTGTCTACGATTTTGTCATAGCTTGCAGCATTATCCCTAACGAAAGCGGATTGTTTCCCCACAGAACGAAGGGGCAGTGGCATGGACTCATGGGAACTATTATTACGCCATTCTATTGTCAGATCAACTTGTATCTAGAAACCAGGACGGATTCAACTTGCACCACGTGCACCTTACGCTGAATCAAGATCAAGGTCGATATCCTCGACTTTCAGCCCGCTGAATTGTCGCCCTGCATCAACTACTTTGAGGCTCAAGTCTCCCTTGATCTCGGCGTAGAGATCACTGTTGAAGTCACACTGGTATTGGTGGTAGGAAAAGGCAAGTTCCACCCTCGAGACGGTGTTTTTGTTCAGGTTGAATTCATTCACGGAGACGTCCGTTTTGAAACTGATGACGCGTATTGCTAGATACCAAGACAAAGTTAGCTTTTGCACAAGAAGGGTAATATATAAAGAAGATAGAAGGCATCTAGGACGCACAGGTTTGTACCGTCTCGGAGAACTGTTCGTAGTCGTACTTTGTGAACATGATAAAGTACTGTACTTCCTGGCTCTTTGACTCCATGCTGAAGGAGATAATTCCTTTAGAGATGCTTTCAAGCACGTCATGGAGACTCTTCATAAGCTTCCCGGGTACAGTGAACCCTTCGACAGCAGCTTTGATGAGGGTGGTATGAAGGTCAGCTTTAGTGCAGCTAATCTGTCTGTTCTGTACTTCGTCGTATGTTTTGGAGATCCTGAACATTCCAGTTAGCCAGGGATTGCGATTTAATAGAGGCGACTCATGAGATTAGCGTCGGGGAACGCACCAAGGGCTCTGTCGCATCAGATGATCGTACACCATGTTTTCATATGTCGAGCGCTTGGCTGCCCCCTCCGGAGTAGCTGCCGAGGTCAATTTGCCCGCTTTAACCTGCTGTTGGGCCTTCAGCGCTGCAAGACCGTATGCCCAGCATTGCCATTCTTGTACATAGCGCATACTTTTCTTGAGCTCTTCTTTGGCATTCCCTTCTAGCTTGGGTGGAAAATTGAGGAAGAACTTGGTTTGCAAGCCCTGCTCGCTCTCCATTCGAGTGTTGACTTGTTGTATTAGCTCCTCCTGTGTTTCCCCAGAAATAGCTCCGCTCTCCTTGTATTCTGTTGCTGGCAAGTTCTGGGGGAGACGTGTCGACATTTCGACTGTTCTGTTAGCTGTTGTGTTGTCTTGTCCCGGAGGCAGATAGTTCATGTCCTGGCTATAGTGCCACTGATTCTCAGTCCGCTCGGGTCCATAGGGCAGGAACAGACCACCTTCTTCTCTGATAACCGTGATGAGACTCTTGATAAATGCCCCCCGTCCGGCCGTGGTATTTGTACCATACTCCTTTTTCTTCCGCGATCCCACGGTGAATCCGTTTTCCAACCCCCTCGCAAGTGCTGCAGCCTCTGTGACTCGATCGGAGCCCGGTGATGGTTCCTTTCCACCTGAACCTTCGAGGTCTGCAATGACCTTGGCTGCCTCTCTGTGTTTCGGGGAAGGCGATGGCCTTTCATCCAATCTGTCCAACCAGGTCTGGGATGTTCGCGAAGCGCTTTCTTTGCCCGGCCTTTTAATCACCGGGCCATCATACGGGTCAACCTGGACGGTGCTGCGCGCTGGAGCAGGGATGCTGATATACTCCAAGTTACGAGCCCCTGCCACGCGTGGAACAGGCATCCGCACGGTATTTGGCGTTAGCTTTTCGGTCTGTTTGACCCTAATAGCTGTTGTATAATCCGAGAACAAGTTGCCCAACGGACCGATCACCGAGCCAGAGTTTGGATAGCCTCCATCCGTATGGACACCAACTATACATTGCCCTTATTAGGTCGGATGATATCACAGTGCAAGGGAACACTTACTCGGTGACAGCCGATTACTTCCTTGTATTTCCCGAAGAATGGGGGATCCTGATTCGCCCACTTCCGTATCAATCTGGTAGCTGAGGTATCGGCTTTCCGCCAGGTCGAACTTGGTCATATCCCAATGCTCATACATATCATTGCCCCCTTCAATATCTCCCGGATAACCCACTACGCCCAACTTCATCCCTGGCGAAGATTTAGGCGTGTTCTCCGGTTGAAACGGTTCCACGTCAATAAAGGGACTCTGCAGCTTGATCTGTGCGGCAGTGGCCGTTAGCTTCTGGTCACTGACAAGAACCTGCAAACCATATGACTACTTACAAAGCCAACATCATGAACCGTGTGAGCCGTTTTGATATACTCGGCGGGAATTGTCGCGACTTTTCCCAGACGCATCTCGCACGAGTTCCGGTCCAAGGCCGTGTCCTCTGGTCCTTGGTAGCCTATGTATACTTTGACGGACCGGAGATATCCCCCGTTACTGTCATATAAGCAGTGCCCGGCGGTCACAACAGTATCCTTGGTAATTAGCCAGCCGGTGCCCATGTATTCGAATCCCTTGCTACCAGAGAATCCCATAAATAACTTGCAGATTGCTGTTTGAGGCCCCATGGTCAGAAGACACCCAAAGCCCCCTTTTAAGAAACATGGCATACCTCTGTATTTTCCTCCAGGCAAAAAGTGCGCACGAGGGACTTTATTCCGCCGATCACGGCCCATTCCCAACTTCTCGGTATGTCGCTGGCGACTCCTTTTGCTGGGGTTGTTTGGATCCGGATCTTGGAGGTCCCAAGCCGCGACAACCGTTCTTGGATTTTCAATTAGTAACTTCCTTCCGCTCGATGTCATATGCCGACGCGATATCTGTGACTTACTGATTCAGACTATTCAGGTAGAAAATATCCTGCATTGGGCTTCCTGCAGACGAGGTGTTCCCCTCGGAAGGCGAGCTTCCTCTATCTCCATGTCTTTTGGTCTCCCCCAACCGTGTCGTGGGGGTGTCAAAGAGACTCGAGTGAGACACCTTGGTGCCCATTACTGATTGAATCAACGTATTCATGATGGTGGGTGTGAAAGCACAGAGTCAATTCTTGATCAATGTTCATGGAAGGGGAATAAGCGTGCGAGCGATGGGCGGGGAGAGGCAGTCTATCAGGAGACTCCATCTTGTCTGAGGTAACAATTACTTCGTGCCCCCAGACACCCAAACACGCGTCTGGGCTGACAGTTGAAGGAAGGCAAAAATAAGCGACGTCAAATCCATGGGGATATCGCCACTCAGGAGCTGTGCCGGGGAGTCAACTATCACGTTCCCGTATCTATGGTCGGTGGCGTAAGTCAATGGTATGAAATAGATTCGCTTTGGGCGCAGCTGAGCGTATCGTGGACTGTATTTCTGTCGCCTAATTTTCCCCTGGAAGACGGTTGGGGGAGTCTCCAACGGCACTAAGACCACACTATCGATGCCCTAACGCGACGCCTCCTCCGCGCTAAGAAGACGCTGATGGCAATTATAGGCGATGGCTGCGACATTGGAAGGATTAAAACAGGATCTAGACCAGCTGACGACGACAAAATGATTAATCTAGGCACGAAGTCAAGTCGAATCGTAGTAGCTGTCATTATTGTAATCAATGCATAGACTATCCCTTGTGGTCTCAGTTTAACTCTTAGCGATCTGTCGAGCCCATTCCGAACATAAAAATCATCAATACAGTGGCAAAATTCCCTTCCCCCTCAAATACTCATCACCCAGCATATCCTCCGACTTGTAGCTCTTTCCTCCCGGCCTCCAACGATGCACCGGATTCATATACTGCGCCATCTGATCGACATAGAACGCCGCCAATGTATCGACTTCACACACCAATCGCAGACTATACTCCACGCAGCGATTATATTGCTGGAATGCACACAAGACATCTTCATCCCCCGGCGAACAGGGAATATCAATCTTCGTCCCCCTTCCATCCCCTCTCCCATATCCAAGGTACATATTTCCATGCCAGTCGGCAATTGCTTCAAACGCCCACGTCATCCATGCATTATAGGCAATGATGTGATTCATTCCGTCCGTTTCCTGGAGGCCCGCGTCGGGTTGGATGAACAGGGCTTCAGTCACGTTGAGTAAATATCGCAGAGCCTGTCTGCGCGTCATATGTTCCCCGAGGATCTTCTCAATCAATGCATCGACGATCACTTGGCGGGGCACGAAATGTCGGTAGATTCTCCTCTTGCCTTGGACCGCGGGGTGGGCGTCTTTTGCGCTCACCCATGTCTTGGTTGTGCTGAAGTCGTAGGATCGGGTCCGGACGTGGTCAATGTGTGCGATCTCCTCGTCTAGCCAGGTGTTTTCGGCGGTCCATTGTTGTATGGAGTAGGTGATGAACATGATGTGGTTGCAGTGGTGGGATGGAAGTGTTAGTCGCAGTGGGGGGGAGAGAGATAGAAGGTTGATTCTGCAAGTGGGCATAGTCTGCTAGATAATACTTTTGTTATATGGTGTGACTAATTGGCCCCCTCCTAGAAGTAAGTTTAGCCGACGCTACTAGGAGGAACCGCGTGTGCATTCCCTCGGTGGCTTGGTATTGCCAAGGAGAAAGATATATTTGTCCCCCACAAACACCTAGTAGTCTAATCCATGTACTTTTAAGCACCAAGGCATAGATGACAAAGGCCCCACAGTCCACACCATAACCCGTCAGAGTCACTAGACACTGAGATTGATAGCACATGACCACCAGATGGCGTAGTCAGAGGCGGGCCGTCCCTAACCCGACAATCTCCTTCAGTCAACGATCATTCCTCAAGACGGAGCCACAAGAAACAGTATAGTATGGATAAAAGCACCACCCGGGGACTCACTGGCATATTACAGTCTTCCGAGATTTGCGGTGCTAAAACATCATGACATGGGAATCAATCTCCCAGCGACAGCGACGCTCTGACCACCCAATTCGATCTTGTCATAGCGGAAGTTATAAGTACGGGCCAATGAAGTGATGGAGGAGTGGCTCGCATAATAGTCACACAACACTACAACATTAAGCAACAAAATGGATGTTTTCTTTATTGACGATAAAAAAACAGTAACTAATCAGGATTGCCAAAAAGGGATAAAAACATACAACAGAAGGGATTCGCTGGTGGTCACCCACCCAACTACTAACCTCCCGGCGTGTGGCTTAAGTACGGCTGAGCGGACGGGAAGCCCTGTTTTCCACACCCTGTGGTCGTATGTACTCTTCTTCGCTACTCTTTGACTGATAATCTCTGTAATCTGGTATTTCTAAAAGGAATCCGGCGAACTCATAACCAAATCAATTGAATAATCTACGTGATATTCAGTCAGAATATCATTAACATCTTACCTATTTATCCTCTGCTAAACCTATCACTATATCGCCGGGCATATTGGTTAAAGCGAACCAGAGAGTCCTTTGCACAACTCGGGGAGTCCCAGCAGCGACTAGTCATATTGAAAATCGCCGTTTCGCAGATACCCTAGACGTGCCCCATGTCTAGGCTTCAAGATCACACTCTCGTGACTACCCATGTCGGATGGAATTCCAATCACGACTGCCTGTTCATGGTTGGCGTTCCGATGTAATGCGATAACTGAGATGGTAGCCATGTTTCTAAGTCAAAACCTGCTATACATTACGAACATCTTTCCTCTTCTGTATAGTTTTCCCATAATGTTGCACGATGGGTCGGTAGCACCATGTTATGCAGTAGCTCCATCATCACAGCAAGATCGTGCTTGTCACACGGGATCTCACGCCGGGATAAATTGGTATTGGTTTATCCTGGCAGGTGACAATGCATAGCCGAAGGCCGTACCACCACGGGAAGTCATCTGATGCTTCATCAACCTATCATATCCTGGTTTTGACGTGACCCAAAGAAGAAAGGGCTTGTTTGATAAGATTGCATGCATGTCATACTGAGATCTTTTGGAATCTTATGATCTTCTCTGCGATGATCGTGCAAGCGGCTTATTCGTAGAATATCCCGTGGCCGTAGAATGGGGAACCAATAGCATGGCTAGAACGATGCTCTCTATAGCCGCAGTGCCAAGCAGAAACTGGGATATCAACACTTCTATCTCGTGTCCGTATTCGCGATTGAGAAAAGTTAGGAGGCCTGAAGAATCCTCGCCAATCAAGAGGAATAGTATCACTGAAAGCTATACGAGGTATAACAATAGAGATATTGCTATCATGAGTTACATCTACTATCCTTGGATAGGCAACAGGTGAAACATAACATAGTTCAGTTTTCAACAATGATTTGTGCAGCATGGATTCAAAATCACGAACCAGAGATCCATTTGGCCTCATTCAATGTCCACCTCGTAATGAGAGTGGCTGTGCCTGTCACTAGACATAGATCCCTTGATATCATAACCGAATGACCTCCATATTCAATCGATCACCCTGGTAGACACATTCCTATATAAACACCAGCTCTCACCTCCACCTCCTCTCCCATAACCCACAATCCCCCTTCCCTCCAACATCGCCACACCATCTATAACCCAAACACACCATCTCACAATGCATCTGCATCTCGCCACCCTCCTCACCACCACCTTCATTACATTCCTCACCCTAACCAAAGCTATCCGCATCACGACCCCCAAAACCGGCGACATAATCCACTGCAACCAACCCTGGCAAGTCTGCTGGGAAGCCGTCAAGTAACCCCCCTCATCCCTCAGCTCCCACCCCCACTAACCACCCCCCACAGCACCGACCCACCCCAATTCTGCCTCTACCTCACAAACTTCATCGACTTCCCCCCACAAATCTTCCCCCTGCTAGGCCAAAGACCCATCGTCACTGATGGAGGAGGCTGCGTGACGATTCCCCCGCCGAGTTGTCCGTCGCCGTTGAGGAATACGTACGTACTACCTACCTACATACCTACCACCAGGAGATACTGGTTTGGTTGACTGACGAACGGGGATTATGTAGGCCGTATCGTGTTCGGGCGACGGTGTGTGGAGATCCGAATACGATTTTTGCTGAGTCGGGTGATTTTAGGGTTGTTTTGTAGGAGAAGTAGGGTTTGGTTTGGTTGGATCGATGGATGGAGGTGGAGGAGGTGGGGAAGGGCGGATTTTAACACCGTTTGGGTTTTGTGGGGATTAGGAAGGGAACTGGACTTCAACAGTCGGTTTACTTTTGGGTAGGATGTTGGGTGGGATTGGTTGATGTGGTTTCGTGGGCAAGTAAAAAAGATCGGGATGGATAAGTGATGGTGCTGGATTCACGTGGTTTATATCTGTGGTAGAATGGTCATATTGTAGTCTAGGGCTTAACCAGAGGAATTCAAATTCAGTGGATGTTGGTCAGATTTTAACGCTTTTACGTATTGATATCTGATATTTGCGTTGACATTGAAGCTTTATTTTGTGGTATCAAGGGGGACGTCGTGGGGGGGATGTGCAGCAGCAGTAGAGTTTCTGGTCTTGAGGTTTTGATGCATTTGCACGGGAATGGATAAACTGGATTGGAGGAGTGAAAAAGAGTTGTAGTTTTGTGGAGTTCAATACGTAGTTTGTGAGATGTTGTCATCGGTGTATAAATGATTTTCTCTAGCAGGGACTTGCGCTCAGGCTGTCATGCAGCGCTTCAACCCTAAGGTAGGAGATAAGTATCGGAATGGTTGACTACTATACCATTCGATCTCTTTGTAGAACATCGTATATTCCCTTATTGTTTTTTCAATGTTCGAAGCACAAGACGAGAAGCTGTAGGGTTATGTTTGTCACGCAGGATTGGCAGTTTGGGATGATATCCTATAGTGAGCTGCCCTGCACCATAAGACATAAATGTATGAATAATTGCATCCAGTCCAAGGGATAGGCTTACAGTCCAACCCACTTTTCACAGAGGAGAAGACATGCCTACGCATAAATCATCAACACAATCCTCTCAGGTATTATTGCGATGAGGGCCATGTCTCAACAAATCACAACCATATTATTAGCCACCCTCCAGAATTCTAAATAACCCTCCCCTTAACCTGCCTCCTATCAACACTATAATTCCTCCACACCGCAATAGCCGGAAACGCCAGGCCCACCACCGCCGCAGCCGTAATACACTCATACTTCTGACTAACCCCCCAAGCATACTCAATCGCCCTTCTCGTCTCCGACCCGGGGGGATACACCAACTGCGCCGTCGCCCCACCCAGATAAATCCTCGAATACTCCTGCTTCATGTCACTCGGCAACGTACGCTGCAGCGCCTGTGGGAACGTATTCGAGTAAATCGCCACCGCAACCGCATACCCAATCGCGCCACCCGCACTCCCAAACAAACTAATCATCGCAATCATCATAGGGATACTATCTCTGTCCGCGGCAGCCATGACCGCCATTTCATCCCCGATGACGAGCGTCCCGCCGCCGAAAGCAATGAAAATCTGACACATGACCAGGTATCCGATTTGACTCTCGCTGCCGCGGAAGTGGATCATGAGGGCTGCGCCAAGAAGCATTAGAGGTGCGCCGAATAGTAAGCAGGTGTTTTTGAAGTGTTTGGTTTGGCGGATCCAGATCCCGAAGAGGACTGCCCAGATGGTGGACCCGACGTTGTAGATTTGCGTCATGTATCCTGTTTTGGCGGTGTCGAGGTTGTAGACCACTTGGATGTAGTAGTAGTAGTATTGGTCCCAGGTGTTGTAGTTGAAGAAGATGATGGAGGAGAGGATGCAGGCGCCGAGCACGGTGCGGTTCTTGAATAAGGGCCATTTGATGAATGGGGTGGGAGCGAAGAAGCGTTCCCAGGTGGCGAAGATGGGGAAGAGGAGGATACCGGGGATGATCATGCCGATGAAGGTCGGGGAGGAGTAGCCGCTGTAGCCGTAGGTCGTTAGGCTGAAGGGGAGGAGGACGAGGACGAAGGCGGCCATGAGGAGGAAGACACCGATGAGGTCGAATTCGTGGAAGTAGAAGATGAGTGATTGGAGGGGAGGACGGGTGCTAGAGTTACGGATGAATATGCCCATTTTCTCGGCCTTGCGTTGGTAGAATTTGAAGACGAGGGCTAGAGGTACGAAGATGAAGAAGATAATTATGGCAAAGCAGGCGTAGGCCCATCGCCAGGTGGAATGGATATAGAATGCTTGGGCAGCTCGTGGGCCGACGAATACCGTACAGATGGTCGGTGTGCCCACGAATGCGTAGGCGAAGGCGCGATTGCGCAGCCCTGATGCATCGGCGACAAAAACACTCAAGATGAAGTTGACATTGCTGTATCCGATCCAGTAGAGGGTATACCCGGCTGCGAACCCTTTGGGGCCATTGCATGAGGCGATCACGACGATGCCCAGGATAAGAACAGCGAGAAAGGTTAAGAAGCCCTCGGCACGGCCCCAGAGATTGAGGACCTTTGCGATGGGCAATTGGAGGACTCCGCCGATGATGGTGGAGAGTATGAACGCTTGGGAGATCTGAGGCGCTGATGAGAAACCTGCATAGGCGTAGTAGATCATATTACTGCTGATGGATGATTGCAGGGCGAGAACAAAGAAGCAGATCCATATCCTATGGACACGGTCAGGACCCTGTATTGCTTCTGACTTGGACTGTGCTTACCAGGCGTATATGGCATACAAGGCTTTGGTGGACCAGACAAGCGCCGTGGCTTCTGCCTTTTGCACTCCGATCTGCGCATCGTTGCTCACTGTATCCGGGTGCTCCCGAATTTCTGCCTCATTTTTCTCTTCGATGCTGCATATTGCCGGGCTGCGTATTTCGATGGGATTGCTAGGGGTTCCAGTCATCGTTGATGTATTGTGATGGGGGGAGATCAAGCAGCAAGACAGCCCGTATGTGCTTCACGAAAGCTGTACCGAGGAAAGACCAAGATCATTCAAACTTTCTCCAGCAGGGGTATCGATGCTGGTTGCTGCCAGTTGGCCTGGACCGCCAGTCCGAAGCACCTAATTGGACTGAATGATACGCAGTGAAGAACAAGGTTCGTCCCTCGTAACATCAATTAGGCTCAAATATGCTCAAACCCCCTCAAACCCACTCAAATGCGCGCAGACGTTTCGGGTTACTCGATCATAAGCACTATTCCTATTAAAGAACCCCCCTGTCCAATCACGCCTCTTACTTATTCAAGGTTAAATGGCGATTGCTCCCTTACCCGAGGATCAGGGGTCGTCCCTGAGAGCAACTGATCTACAGATTTGTTGGACACTAACTTGGTATGTACGTTGTAGGACAACGAGTCAGGCCGCTTGAAATGCCATAAAAGTGTGAAGTCTACGTTGAAAGAGTGGGAGCTGATTACGACACTTCCCTTATGCCTAGAATATAGCCTGCCAAGCGCAATTAATTGCATGATCTGGATGGCTTTGTCCACTGTACGAGGCTGTAATGACAGCATATTTCTCTAAGATTATTTTCAGACTTCTTCGAACTGGAACGAGCCCTAGAATATATACTTGGTCCTATCCGACAGATGTCTTGCCCTGCCCAATCCTAAAGACATTGATATCTTTCCACAGAACGACCCCGAAAGATCCAGCAACCCATAGCGCACTACCGACCGCCAGCATCCTCAATTGAGCATCATCGTAGGCATGCTGGATTGCAAGTCGCGTCGGCGACCCGACAGGGTGCGACAATTGAGCAGAAAGGTTTGCATAAAGGTCAGCCAGGGCCGGGAGCTCTTTGACCGGGAGATATTCTCGCAACCGGGAGGGAAAAATAGCTTGCCAGATGGCCGATGCAACTGTCAGACCGATGGCACCGCCGATATTACCCGACACGCCTAGCACAGCGAGACACAAGGCGACGTTGTGATCCGCTGCAGCAGCCAGAATGGCGATCTCGTCGCAGACCAGGATCGTGCCGGCCGCCAAAGAAAGGAGTATTTGCCCGAATATTAGGGGTCCGACCGCGCGGATGTCCGTTTGGCATGCATACATCATTAGGCTCGAGCCTAGAATGCCGAGCGGGATGCCGAGGTAGAGACACACGCGCTTGAAGCGGCCAGTTGCATGGATCAGGCCCCCTGCCGAGATGGAACCCACGGTTGAACAGACCACGTACGACTGCACGACGTAGCTGGCGCTTTCAACGGTCAGACCGTTGACGACTTGAAGGTAAGAACCGAAGAAACTGTTCCAGCATCCGAAGCTTGCAAAGAGTGTGGCTGATACCATACAAGTCCCTACCACCGTAGGATCCCGAAGGAGGGAATAGGGCACGAAGGTGACGATCGCGTAATATCTCTCCCACACTATGAAGGTGATGAGGATGGTGGTACCGAGTATCAGCATGGATAGGACTGACACCGAGCTGAGGCCTTGCAGAGCGTAAAGGTTGAAGGGCAGAAGGAAGAGTGCAACCCCGGCGGACAGTAGAACGAGGCCAACGGCATCGAACTGCCGACTGGAGTGAAGGCATGGCCCAGGACCGGTGCAGCGACTGTTCGGTCCATCCGCTGGTGACATCCTGGCCTCACGGTGGTTGTGCAACAGCAGGGGAAAGAGTGTGAGGGCACTGCATGGTACGAGGATGCTCGATACACCAAACGCCCAACGCCAGCCAAGCCCATTGAGGAACGTCGCCGAGATTGGGCCTGCCAACCAGCAGACGATCAAATTTGGTGAAGTGACGAGGGCCTGTATGAGGCCTCTTTTGCGCAGCGAAGAAGTGTCGGCAACGAAAACGGTCAGGATGTATTGGATGCCATTGTTACCGACCGTCTGAAGGACCTGTGCCGCTGCATAAGCCTGGACACTGCCACATGCAGTCAACATAAGAAGACCGATGGTGGCAAGCAGGGTACAGAAGAGATAGCCATGCGGTCGGCCAAAAACGTCCAGGACTTTGGCGAGGGTAAGACTGGTGACACCACCGACGACGCTGCTCAGGATGCCCACGGTAGGTGTCAGGGCATGTAGGGCAAAGGCTGATGTGACGTACGGGGCCAGGATAGTGGTGGTGGCTGAAAGAATGCCCTGGACCAAGTACACCAGCCAAACCAGGAAATAAGCAACAAGCCCCGCCTCCATATTCTGAGCACCCAGTGTGTTAGAAGTCACAGTAGGTTCGATACGAGCATCCTCCTGGTCGGTGTCACTGCCGTCACCCAAGGAAGTGTAGTAGGAAGGTTCGATCAGCCTCATGGTCAGTTTGTGGAACGTTATACTCACGAGCACTGGCAGTTGCTTGGCATGATCTAAGGCCAAGGAAGAACTTTCCCTGTTGAATAGATGTGGGGAGGTCGGAAATCTACGATTACCCTTTTGTACAGGGTAGATATATCTCATGGTGTTGCAGTGATGGTAGCTTACGAATAATCCGCTCACCAGGTACTACCGCGGGCTGTCTCAGGAGGCCTGACTATTGACATGTCAGATACATATGCTACGTCCCAGAAACATCAGCTTACGGATAATCTGCTCACTGCTTCACCACGAGTAGGGCCAAGACCTAGGCCAAGACCTAAGCCAAGACCGGCGGGCTCAGCGCGTGTAACCTGTCTAGTTAAAGATTCCCATTCTGAAATATGCGACTTCCATCTGATTAAGCATCGTTCCAATGCAATAATCATGGTGATCACGATAGACATCTCCGAGAATATCTCAAAGTCTAAAACCCCGCCCGAAAAGACAAACCACCTCATGACGATGATCCCAACTCTATCCCGTAGGCTGCATAACCCTACGAAGCCAATCACGCTTCGCTCCCACCGCCGCATGAATCAGAGGCACTGCAGGATCATCCCTACCGTCAAACAAATGAAAGGCACCTGGCCAAATATGCAACTCGCAGGTGGAACCACAACGCCACATTGCCATGGCGTACATGACAGCCTGATCGCGAAAGACCTCACACTCAGCCGCATCAATGTAAGTTGCAGGAAGGTTTGACAGATCGTCAGCACGGGGCGGCGACTGATACGGTGAAACCTTGTCGGTTCCACGGTCCTCGCCGAGGACATGAGTCCACGCCATGCGATTCGAGACCCCGCACCACGGGCTGCCGTATTCAAACTGCTGATCTGACACACTGTTGCATCGATCGTCGAGCATAGGCGACACCAGCATCTGGCCCATGATGGGAATCCTCGGAGATTTTCTGTCCCGGGCCATTAGACATGTGGCCGCTGCCAAGGTTGCACCACCCGACATGCCCCAGATGACAATCCGGGCTGGATCAATTCCCAACTGGACTGCATTGTCAGACATCCACACGAGGCCTGTGTAGCAATCTTCCGCCGGACCCGGGGCGCGTGTCTCGGGAGCCAGGCGATACTCGACTGACACGACGACACATTCGGTGTCTGTGAGAAGATCCAGTAATTCAGGGAGGGCTGTGAAACGGTCACCGGCGATCATGCCACCGCCATGAATGTGGTACAGGGCGGGCAGTGCAGCCTGGATGGGTTCATTTCTGGCAAAGACTGACAAAATAACGAGGTTGCCATCGGGGCCTTGGATGGAATACTCTGTATGCTGGAGGTGTGGTGCGCTTTTAAGGATGGTGGTGGCATTGTAGACAAAGTCTGGGTCGTCTCCGCCAGATGTCCCACGCATCAGGCATAGATCTAATGCTTCAGGGACCATGAATGAATCAATGATAGGAGCTAGGGTGGGATCGATTCCTGGTCGTGGAATCTTGATCCTCGAATCATGCTGCGTCGCCTGGGAGTAGGGGTAAGGATATGCCATGTTGGGAGACAAATGATGGTAGAGGCAGAGTCCTCCCCTGGATGGTCAGGCACAGCCTTTTAAGCCACGAATTGTATTCACTACGCTGGCGGGATTGGCGGACTTGGGTTGAGAAGGGAACGGTATGTCGTGCTTGCCATTAGGCTACCACTTCTGCCAGTCTGCTACCTTATTGGAAAGACACCCACAGCATAATGCGGTGTGACAATTTCCCATGTGATTACAGGCCGATAAGGTTGCTTCCTGTGGGCTTTCATGCCCAATCACCGGCTACTTCTACAAAACTCTTCTGCTGTCGAGCATTGCCAAGAAGTAATATTCTTTGTTCTGGCCTTAGCCAAGAAGGATTTGTCTAGTCATCAAGATTGCTGAACTCTCGGCCCTTATCCTTTCTTTCCAGGTGTTTCCTCACCCCCTGTCTGACATTGCCAATCAAATCAGGCGGTACAATACCCTCCTGCCAGCTGAAGCCAAGCGCAATGTCCCCGTCCTCGCCAGTCGCGACACTCACGGTAATTGCAGCCCCAGTAACGGGAGAGCTCCGACTAAGCAGCACCTTCGTGACATGCCATAGAGGGATTTCCTCCCTATTAAAGGGGGTGGCGCGCGAGAAGACTCCGATGTTGGTCACTTCCAAGGCGGCATCGCGAGGATTCCCGATCATAGACTTGAGCATCGCAGAAACATCCGGAATCGTATTGAAGATTGCAATGGAGGTATAGGGCTCTCCAGAAGGCGAGATGTTGCTGAGATATTTATTGATTGTCTGCGAGACTTGCGCAGCGCTGGACCAGACATGGTCCTGTAAGTTCCGGGCAGGGCGCCTGATCCGCGCTCTGGTGACATCAAAGTACGATCCAATGGCTCTGTCGGCGACTTGGCGAGGCAGCCTCAGCCACGGTCGTAGATTGACGGGAATAATGCAGGTCACAGCCTCCACATCTGATGGAAGATTCTCAAACAAGATGGTTGCGACAATGGACGTCAGGGCGGACGTCACTGTTACGTTCCTATTCTTGCAGTCTTGAATAAAGCCACGAGATGTATCAGAGGAAAGAAACATGGATGCCCAGCGGGACGTGCATGGGATGTGGACGGGGCCTCCTGTCCATTCTTTGAGATTGGCAGCGGAAGGGTGAGAAGGTGGCACCTGGATTGGCAGGGGGTGTAGTTCTTCCAGAGACGGCAACACCGGGCCATTCTCATCACCAAAAATGATATTCTCAGCCTCGCCGACAGTCAGACAATTGGAAGACGCTACCTCCAGCGCCTGACGGAATGCATGGTGGAAAGCCATACCGGACACTCCGTCACCGATCGCATGATGATAGATGAAAGAGGCTGTGAACTCATTGCTCACCCCCGGGCTTTGTAGGATGATCAGGCGCCAGAATGGCAACGTGCCGTACTCGGACTTGAAGTTTGTGTTGTGCTGATACTCGAGAATTGCATCCAGCTCTTTGTCTTCGGACACTGCCTCGGGTAGTGGTTGAGACCGTTCGAGAAAGGTTACACTTCTGGCGAGGTCGATCACGGGAAGAGAGGCAAAGTGAGGACTAGGAGCGTCTTCATCGACAATGATGGCAGCTAGGATGCGATGCTGACGGACCACAGCTCCAATTGTCGCGTAGACGAGGCCACGCAGGTTGGACACCCCCGGAGACGAGTCGGAGAATTTGTAGTGGGCTGAGAGGCCAACATTGTTAAAGAAGTCAATATGATGGCAGCATGCTGCAACCTGCTCGAGTTTGCCTTCAATGACGCGTTAGAAGACGGCAAAGTCCGACATGCGATGGTGGAAAATACCTAACGGCCGTAACTGTTCCAGCTGATGTACGTCCATCATCCTGATGAGAAGCGTGGAATTGAGGGACCACGAATCGTCTGGCCAGATCGTTGGTCAATTCCTGAAGCTGAAAACTACCCACCGAGAAACTGTGATGTTTGCTGAAGTCCGGGGTAAGCATCCGATATGAGACTACTAGGCGGCACTGCGGTATATAATATTTGAGCGCCACGGCACCAAGGTCAGCCTTGGCCCGGGCGATACGAAGTTTGCAATGTCCACGCGTCTGTTGTGCTCGATGCAGCCTTGCAAGGCCGGCAATTGCCTCTAATATGCTCCGACCCATGGCACGAAAGGGGGTGTAGTATCCCGTACCACGACGTTCATGCCATACACGAAACCATCGTGATTATTTTAGACACGAGACAAGAGCCTTTTGAAAACCTTTCTCACGTCAGACGGCGTCCTGGAACAATCATCATTGAACAGGTTGTAATTGCCTTGCGGGCCTGGGCGAGTGACTGGGTCAGACGATGAGTCAGTTTAAAGTTAGCCTTTCTGATGTATACATTTGAAAGGCATATCAGGGGCCATTGTAGCACCAAATAAGAGTCTCTATCACGCTCAAACCCTTCAGTTTCTGCATCCCATTCTTAGCTTTCTCGTTGCTTTCTTTTCATTGACATTGTATCGGACATTGATTTTCAAATCTGTGGGTTGCTTCTCACAGTGCACCTGCGATTCTCAGCATCATGATTTTCAAGAACAGTTCAGATGTGGAATATACAAACAGCGTCCTCAGTGACGGCCCTGGCTCGAGCCACGACATCTTGCACGATGATGTGACTGTGAGGGAGACCTCTCATCTCATCTTGAGCATCATCCTTGAGCATGCCCTCAACAAGTTCGATCACGGCAAGGACCGATTTGAGGGGATTGCCGACACGTTCCTCCCAATTATCGACCAGTCGGTGGCGGCCAGGACGCGGATCGAGGCCTGTCTTCCTGCCTTTCCCTTCAAGTCCGCCAACAAAGTATACAAGGTCCTTGGAACTCTACCCGACAAGGCGGAAGAACTGGCCCTGGACCGCTTGAATCGCATGTGTGTACGCATCAAGGAAGTATACCCACCTGGGGCACGGATTACGATCATCTCTGATGGCATCACATATAATGGTATGTTAATCTCGTCTCTGTTAAGAACACAGACTGACACAGGCTGTCTTCTGGTACAGATCTTCTGTGCATATCGGACCGAGACACCTGGGCTTACGGGGAAGCTCTACGCGAGATGGCGGTCCAGAAACAGTTTACAAACGTAGCCTTTTCCAGAATCAAAGACTTGCTCGACCTTCCCCTGCCAAAGAGGATGAGTGAGATTGTCTATATCGCCAACTGCACCGCGTTCCGACGGTTGCTTCTCAATAAATACGGAAACCCTGATCTTGATATTGACCACGAGATTGCCACAAATCCCGATACCAAGCTGACCTATCTGGGATACAAAAGATTCCTAGAGTCCGATTTGAAGCATATCTTGCATATAGGACGGGACAAGTCTGCTCACAGCTACAAGCAGGATTGCAAATATCTTGCGAAGCAGATGCTGATAAGAGGATATGTAAGTACATGCCCACCGAGTCTGTTGGCTGGCACTGACGTCGTATCACCCACAGGCCTTTGCGGGAATGATCAAAGATGCTTTCCCCAACCATCTACGGCTCTCCATCCATGAATCACTAAGCGGTAATAAATTATCGATATCCTTGTTGAATACCATGACTGGATTCACCACACCATGGCACTGCAGTGTCGCTCAGCTAGCCAATGGGGAGTGGGTAAGCGCTCCTATGGGCGAGTTCAGGAAGGACGACAAGCTTGAGCTGGTGTACGAGGATGGCCGACCAAGTCACTTCAGACAAAAGGCCTCTGAGCGAGGCGCTGGCGCAACCATTGAGACGATGGCGAGCTACCTCCGACCAGCCAAGGCCCTTAATGCCAGTGAATATCTCAACAGAGCACTGTCAACAAGGACGGCCTCACCTTCTATAGTCTCACCTGCTAACCGTCCTAGTTCTTCACCATCCGTGAGCGCCGAAAGCAGCACAGGGATGACATTGGAAACACAGTCTCACCCGAGCCTTGTCTTGAGTGATTTAGACCTCATGGGGGACGACAAGCCGAGTGGTGAATCATTGCCAAATCCAGCCGGGGCGAGTGGTTCAATACCATATGGCAAGAGGCTTATCCCCCAAATCATGGACAACTTGGCTGCCACCGAGCCGGAGCGTACAGTCTTTTCCCTCACAACGCTGTCGGGTGGTTCACTTGGTTTCAGGCACATATCCGCTAGCACCTTCACTAGGGCTGTTGACAAGACCGCCTGGTGGCTTCGTGGCCAGCTTGGAAAGCTTGACTCGATCCAGCCTGTAGGCTACATTGGACCACGTAAGTTGCCACAAAGCACCGATGCTAATTCATTTGACTAATTCGTGGACTCAGATGATTTGCGACACGTACTGCTGACCTACGCATGTGTCAAGGCTGGATATACGGTATATTTGCTGCCCTTCACCCTCTCCCCTTCAACTTGCTGACGCTGTCTTCAAATCTGTAGGCCTTGTTCTTGTCACCGAAGAACAATACGGAAGGGGTACTGGCCGTTCTCGAGGCAACGAAATGCAATGTATGGGTCAATGCATGCGATGTAACTCCAGTTCCTCTGGTGAAAGAGGTCCTAGAGAAGCGGCCCATGACCCTCTTGCAACTCCCTCTACTGGATGAACTTCTCGATGCCACACCCACCGAACCATTTCTGTACATTAAGACCTTCGAAGAAGCCCGCGACGACCCATTCTGCTTACTGCATACATCTGGGACCACAGGTGCACCCAAACCTATTCCCTGGTCCCACGGTCTTATCGGCACCATGGATGCTGTGCGACTTCTTCCACCTGTCGCCACCCATGACTATCTACCACCGTGGACAACGGATTGGAATCCAGGCGATACAATTTACTCATCTTTTCCCATGAGCCACGTATGTCAATCTGAATTCTATTTTTTATGCTCAATGGGCCATTGCAGAATAGGCCACTAACAAAATTTGTACAGGGAGCCGGAATCATTATGGATATCCTGATGCCAGCACTGTTCAATCTGCGGTGCATCTTAGGACCAGTGGACGTCCCTCCTAACATCAATTTGGTAGAAGCTCTTGCAGGTAACACTCGAGTTGACATCTGGAGCATGGTACCATCCCTGGTCGACGAGTTGGGAGAGACTCCGGTGGTATTGTCAAAGCTCAAGACATCCAAGTTCATCTGTGCATCTGGCGGTCCCGTCAGTCCGGTCAGCGCTGGCAAAGTCAACGAGATAATCAGAGTACTCAACTTGACTGGTACAACCGAGGGTTTGTTCATCGGTAACCTCGTACCACCCCGAGACGACTGGTTCTGGTTTTGCTTCCATCCGTACTCGGGCTTCGAATTCAAGGAAATCGAGGCCGACACGTATGAGCATTGGGTTCATCGCAACGAGCACTGGGAGCTGTTCCAGGGAATCTTTCATACCTTCCCAGACCGACAATCAATTAACTTCAAGGACTTGTACATGAAGCATCCCACCAAGCCCAACCTGTGGGCTTTCATGGGAAGAAGCGATGATCTTGTCGTGTTATCCAACGGATATAAAATATCCCCCCTGGAGACAGAAGCATTGATCACGACGCATCCTGCCATTAATGGATGTCTTATTTTTGGAACCGGGAAGCCGCAAGCAGGTCTGCTGATCGAGCTGAAAGATCCATCTCAGAAGACCGATGAACTACTTGACAGAATTTGGGAAACGGTCAAAAAGGCCAACTCGATGTCCAGACACAAAGGTCAGCTACTGAGAGACTTTGTCACTTTTGCTACCCCGGATAAACCCTTTCTTCGGACAGATAAGGGCACGGTGAAACGGGGCGCCACTCTCCGGCTTTATTTCGACTACATCGAGCGATTTTACAGCTCGCGTGGTGAGGATCTAACCGACAGCTTTGACATGAACATGAGCTCGACAGAGGCAATCCAGGAGAATGTTCGAAAGATCTTCGCCTCTTCAGTTCCTGAAGTACAGCATGCCTCTCTGGATACGGACCTGTTCGCCCTCGGGTTGGACTCTCTTGGTGTCTTTGCGGCTATCAAGACTATTCGGACAGCTACAGGTCTCGGGGATAGCATCGGTCCTCGCCACGTTTATGCCAGCCGAAGTGTCAATGAGCTATCGGCTACTATCGTACGACTGGCAGCGGAGGCAGAGAGTAACAGTAAAACATTGAGCAGCCCAGGCAATAGCAGTACAGCAAATATTGAGCATGCAGTGGCGCAGCACAAGGCGCGACAGTCATTCAGCTTGAACGCCTTCGACTACGTCAACCCAAATCACGGCATGGGCTTGGTCTTTTACTTTTCAGTCCGCGAGGGAGTCAGCTACGAGCAAGTATTCGACAACCTACAGGAGGGTCTCAACCGCACATTTGACCTGATACCAGCTCTTAGTGGCAAGATGATGAACTGCTCGGAGCAAGCGATCGGCTATACCAAAGGAGACCTTTGCGTGACGATTCCCCCTCTGTCAGAGGCAGCCTCTGTCCGAAACCGCCTTGTCTACAAGGACCTTTCCGCGGTTCTCCCTTCATTCGACAAATTGCGCGAGGGAGGGTTTGCTCCGTCTGCATTCAAGGATAGTCTGGTCCTCCGTGACGACCCCTTCCCCAAGATGCCAGCAGATATTATTATCGGACAAGCCAACTTTGTCTCCGGTGGCTGTATCCTAGCCGTCGACCTCAATCACTGCTGCCTCGATGGTCTCGGTGCCATGGTCGCCATCAAAGCCTGGGCCGAGAACTGCCGATACCTGCAGGGCGATGAGTCGGCAACGTGCAGCTGGTATGATCCTGAGAGCTTCAATCACAGTCTACCTGAGATTCTCCACGAACAAGAAGGCTGGGCTCGACCACTTGATACAATCAATCCTGGTACCTGGGGGTTCCTTCCGTTCGTGCCCCCCGACGAGAACTCAACCACAAATACCAAATCGCCAGACCCCAATGGAGTTTCAGATACAACCCTCTCACCACGTCCCCTCTACCCCCTGCACCCCATCTGGCCCCTCCCTCGCGCCGAGCGATGCCTCAAAACCACCCTTCTATCAATCACACCCGAGAACATCGAAGCCATGAAACAAGAAGTCCTATCCGACCCCACAACCAACGGTCTGATAACCTCCATCAGCGACATCCTCCAAGCCTTCATCTGGCGTGCCGCCATTCGGGCCCGATACCGAGTATGCAAAGAGATCCGCCGACAAACATTCAGCCCGGACGAGGTCTCCATCCTCGAACTCCCCGTCGACGGCCGCCCATACTTCTCCTCCCACTTACCCCAACCTACATGGGCAGCATGCTCATCCTCAACCGCTGCACCATGCCCATCAAAACCCTCTGCGCACCCGAGACCACCATCGGACAGGTAGCCCTAATGCTCCGCCAGTCCGCCGCGCGCATCACACCCTCACTCGTCCACGACGCATTCACTATCCTCCAGTCCCTTCCGGACCATAGTCGATTCTCGACAGCTAATATGGGTCTGGAACACATGCATGCGATGATCTCGAACATGTTGCTGTTTCCAGCTGATGAGATACGTTTCGGGACGGAGTTGTTTGGGAATGGAGGGTCCCCAGAGTCGATGCGTCCGCAGCTAGAACGGGGGAATGGGCGGTTTAGATTCTTGGCTGTTTTGCCGATGAAGAGGGATGGGGGGGTGGATTTGGCGTTGGGGACGCATCCGGAGGAGTTGCAGATGTTGTGGGCGGATGAAGAGTTTGTGAGGTATGTGGATGTTGTGGATGTTTCTGGGTAGATTGACTGTGGAGGGGTGATCCTCGATACCGTTTGTCAGTGCAGATTGCGAAGGGGTACAGTGGGTTTAGATTTGTCTTCTTCTTTTTTTTTCTGATATACAAGAATGTGGACTGCGAGGGTGACAAAATTGTGTATATTGTTAATGTACAGCGTCTTGTGTGCAGCTGAATATGTTCAGAGCCTCATATCATACATTCCTACTTTAAGAATTTACCACCAAATACGTCTATATCTCATGGCTGATTTAATGCCACGTATGAGAAATATTTACAAGAACCTCCCCAAGCAGATTCAAAATATTCATCTACTTCTCCTTCTCCTTCTCCTCCACCTTCTCAACACCCCCCTCCCCCTGTCCCCCCGCCATATTCACCTCATTCTTCCTCCGATTCAACGCCGCATTCCCCTCCAACCCATACAACACATCATCCGACATATTCGGAATCACCATCTCAAACGTCTCCCTCACCACCGTATACTGATAATACCCACATCTAGCAATCGGCTCCGTCTTCCTCACATCCAACAACCCCTCCGTCAGCACCCCATCCGCAATATGCACCCCAATCACCTTCCCAATGACAATATCCACTGTCCCCATGGGCGGGTTCCCCGGTAACCGGACCGTGGTATGATACTCGCATTCGAACTTCACCGGCGACTCCTTGATCATCGGCACATCCACCAACGTGGCCTGTTCCTTGGTCACGCCGCACAGCTCGAACTCGTCTGTGCCGTAGGGGGTCTGCTCGGCGGTGATGTTCACGGCTTCGCGGAGATTCCAGGTGGCTAGATTCCACACAAACGTGCCGGTTTCTTCGGCGTTGATGACGGTGTCTTTGCGGGTGCCGTGGGCGGTTTGGTTCGAGGAGAACATTACGTAGGGCGGGTCGAAGGTGAGGTTGTTGAATTGGGAGTAGGGGGCCAGGTTGCATTGGCCTTTTTTGTTTTTGGTGGATATCCACCCGATGGGGCGGGGGATGACACAGGCCTGGGGGGTTGTTAGTGGTGGGGGTGGGTATGGGTTGGAGGGAGGGGGGTACCTTGAAAGGATCGTGGGGTAGACCGTGGTCGGTGACTCCGGGTTGGTAGAACATGTTTTATGTTTATAGTGGACTTTTCTGGGGTGTTGCGTATTGTGTGTTGTGTTTTGGGGATTGATGTGGTGCTTGGGAGGGGTAGATGTTCCAGCTTCTTATAGACGGTATGGGGTATGCGTGGCCCGGCACATTACCCGAAAATTGGCTGCCGCCCCTCTGGAGACCCGGTTGGTTGCTCGGCAAGCACATTCAAGCTCGCTCGCCGGCTATCGGCATTCTGAATCAACCTGTAAATTCTGCTCTTCCTGATTCGCTCTCACTATTGGGTTTGCATTTAGAGATGGAGAAGCTCCATATGTAGTGGAGTGATCATTGTGCAGATGGCGAGGAGGGTCCGAGATTCCGAGGCTCCGAGTATCCGAGGGATCGGCATCTCGATGCGGAGATGAATGACATTCTCGACTACGGTTTCACTGGGCCTTTGACGACTCGCATTTTCCAGTTGGCACATTGTCCACGTGGAATTAGAAGCTGAAGGTATGGCTCAGTACGCTGATTGTCGTTGGAAGTTCTCCTCGATCTCACTCCCAGTCCTCCGTCTCGACCGAGAGAAGAGAACACTTCCCGCTCAGCATCCTACACCACCCTCTCCTCCCAAGGAATGCCCATAGAAGCCATCCCATCCTCCATCTGGCCCGTCACAAACACGATCGACCCGCTCTCCACAACCAGCGACCCCGTATTCGCCACCAGCCTCTTCCGCTTCGCCGACCAAGGCATGGGCCTATGCATCTGCATGCACCACAACGCTACCGATGCAATTTGCTTCACGGAGATCGTCCACCTCTGGGCTCTAAACGTCTCCAACCCTCACTTCGACCCCCCGACCCCAGTCCAGAACCGACTCACTCGACTCTCAACCGCCCTCTCACCCTCCCTCGAGCACATCTCCTCTTTCTCCCCCGAGAACCTCTTCGCCCTTCACCCCGAATACTCCCCCCACCCACCAACCGTCCCAACCGAACTCCCATCATGTACATCCAAACTCTTCATTATCTCCCTCCACTCGATCAACATCCTTAAGGAACTCCTCCAAAAACACACCCCCACCCCACCAACAACCAACACCATCCTCTGCGCTCTCCTCTGGACATCAATCACCCGAATCCGATCTCACCGTACCCCAGCCCTAAAATCCCAACAAAGCAACCTAATAACAGCAGTCAACGCCCGCAGCCGCATCTTCCCCAACACATCCCCTGACCCACACCCCAGCTACCTCGGCAACACAGTCCTCTACGCCCTAACCACCCACCCCGCCAGGATCCTATCAACCGCAGACGAAGATCCCATCCACTCACTAGCCACAATCTGTGCCCAGATATCAGAATCCCAATCCCCCTCGAAGATAAACCCGCGGTCTATCGTAGAGGTATATCAACTCATTGAGAACACTGGGCCTCCGTTCGTGGGATGGGATTTATTTGGTTCGAAGGATTTGGTGGTTACGAGTTGGTCGGGGTTAAATTTGTATGGGGTTGAGTTTGGGATGGGCATTGGTAGGCCGGAGTTTGTGAGGGTGGTGTGTGGGGAGGCGGATGGGGTGGTGGTTGTGTTGCCGAGGAAGAGGGGGAATGGGATGGAGGAGGGGATTGAGGTTATGGTTATGTTGAGGGGGGAGGATATGGTTGCTTTGGAGGGGGATGGGATGTGGGGGGTTGTTACTGGGGGAGCACGGGGATGAAGGATGGGTATTGTAGGTTGAATTGAGTTTTGTCTTGATGTTCTTAGAGTGTTGGATATGTGTATGTCAAGGGATGCCAGTTTCTGGAGTTAATTCTTTCTTTTATCTCTTTTCTTTCCCTTTATTGTTCTAATTTCGTTTTGCGAAATTTGATGTGGGTTCACTTTTAGGAGATTTACAATGCGAAAGAAAACGGGGAGGATATGTTGTTAGTCTTGCTGTGGAACGGGTTTCGTCAGTTACTATAACGAAGAAAAGAACGAGAATGAAAGTTTAGCTGATCCGTTCTCCGCTCGCTTTTTATGTATATACCCTGGAAAAAGTATCAGAATGGTGCAAATATACTCCGTATAGTAAAATTGGCTTTCTGCACCCACCATTGACTAATTTAATTCTATGACATGGACACGGAGACAAGCTCTAATATAACCAAAATACTACAACAACCTCGATCGTATCACCACGCTAATGAAACATTCATCTTAAGAAGCACGACTATATAGATTCAAAGCCGTCCACCACTCGCCCCCCTCAACACCGTCTTCCATTCAATATCATGCAAGTCATCCGCGTGAATCGAGACTTTAACATCAAGCGCTTTTCGAAGCTGCTCCTTGGTTGAAGCATACAACATCCGCAACTAGCAAACATCAGATAGTCTATCGAAACAACAACATAGACATTCAAATGAGACATACTCGGGTAGGTGTCGCATCAGGCATCCAGCTGATGAAAACGGTTGTTGTTCTGGACAGTATTAGTAACGAGGATTCACTACACACTGATTGATAACAGGAATATCTGGATACCTTTTCCCATCTTCATTCAAATCATATTCCACGTCGTATACCGCATACCGAGGTGTATGATTCCCTTGGCGGTCAAATGCAGTAGTGAGTTTTTGAAGGAATGCTTCGTAGTTCTTCTCAGAAGAGCTCTCTTCCACGATTATGGATTGTTCGTCCTCGGCTATTTTGAAAATGAGACACGTGGGTTTATTTGCTCCTCTTTTGTGGAGGAATTCTTTGTATGTGCTGAGACATTCGTTTGAGATGTTGACTCTATTATTGGCAGTGAGAATGTGGGGACGAGATATATATAGAAAGGGTATTCAGAACGTACCCTGATGGAAGCTAAATTGTAGAGATGGTCAGTGGGTTATTGCCGAGAAGGGGTAGAGTATACTGACCGACATTTTCAAAGTAAAGGAGAGTTTGATACGTCAATGGATTCGCTACAAGCATGGGGTTCCTCTCCCACCGCGGCCTTCAAATATACAGATGGACATCGGCCGTTCGGACCCGTAGGCCCGACCGTCCGGAGATTTTCATCACTCTTAACGGACTTGTGTTCAGTGACTTTGCTGGGACTCGGTTCTGAAATAAGATCAAATTCCGCGTTCTAATAAGCATTTCTACTACATCAGAACCTAATTTGATGACTTGGACTCATCATCTTAGGTAGACCACCACAAATAGACTAGGTCACATGACCGTAACCGGCGGATGGCTCAGATCATGCCAAGAATGACGCTTGGCGATGATCGGTGGCGCGGAGCCGCGGGCCCGCGGGAGCGTGTGGCCACTGCAAAACCCTTCTCAATACCAGAGCATTTCCTCTCAATCACACAGATCCGATCATGTCAGCTTTGGGCAGAGAAGAAACCATCCAGGAGAGGCAGCACCGACAGGCATTGGTTCCGAGGGCGGTACGTCCCCATATTCATGCTATCTCTCGCATGCTGACATGATGTAGTGTGAGGGATGTAAAATACGCAAAGTATGTGCCATTCAGAGTTGAGTCGCAAAGGATGATGAGGTGGGCTAAGACAAAAGCGCCGAAGATTCGCTGCGATCGCACCATACCGTGTTCGAATTGTCAGGTATCTAAGATTACATGTCGACATCCGAATCACAGGTCGAGAAATCAGTTACAAGCAGATAGGATAGAGAACCTGTATGTGTTGAGGGTGATTGCTGCTGTGAAAGATGCTCACACTTTGTAGTGAGGCTCTGGTAGAAAGGCTTGATAGACGCTTTGGTGATGTCGAGTCTAAGCTTGTTGCCTTGGAGCGTCCACAACCACTGCCTGCGGTCGAGAATATTACCAATCAGAATATCTCACCCGGCGAATCTCGCTCTACGCACGGAGGTATCATTGAAGGAGATTCTTCATTCATGAACGTATCGCTTCAGGCAAGCAAGAGCGCTCAGATTGCAGCCTCCGCTACTGCAGGTAATGGTTCAGCCATCGAACACTCACTTGGCCATCTAGAAAATATTATCAACGACTCACATGAGCTGTCGAAAAACAACTTCTTTTTTAGCAAATCAACTATACAATCTAAACCGCCGCTGAAGCCACTATCCGCTACCCTAGTGACCAGTATTCTATGAACCATGAAAGGTTTGCCGTCTCCCTATGAGAAACGATATTACTGCTTACCACAAACCAAAACTAGCTCGTCGTCCTATTTTTCTTTCCTCCTATGCTACAAGTGATCTGCAATTGGTCGAGAACCTCTGTCAAAGTGGCTATTCTATAACGAGGCAGGCGTCAGTCGGTCAAATTGCCTCCATGCATGGAGTCCTATTCTTTGTTGTCAAAGAGCTCATAGTGATGAACGCTCAGCTCTGTCAGAGCTTTGACCTCTTTATCCATCTGGCTCACTGCGAGCAAATCTTTATCGCAGCGATTGAAACTTATGATGTGCTTGTCGTTCCAAGCTTCGAAAACATTCTGGCATTGACAATGGGTGTACGTACATCCCGTGTGTGACTACTCGATCCTGTAATTATTCCAGTCATGATCCAAACTAACAAAGAATCAGATGCTCAAGGCTCAGGGTGAAGCAAAACCTTCATTATTCTGGACACTAGTTTCTGCCGCTGCAACCCAGTGCCAATCGCTTGGATATCACCGTGAGACCACCTATGAAAACATCGTGTCTCGTAAGGCAGATAACATTCGGCGGTTATTTTGGACCGTATACATCTTCGATAAATACATGTCTCTTTTACTAGGTCATGTGTCTAATTTCGAGAGTCTCAAAATCGACGCGCGACATCCTGCGGTTCCCACCGACCCGGCTCTCCGACCATGGGATGAAACTTTTCTTATGGGAATCAAAATGGCTGAGCTTCAGGATCGGATCTTTACCTGTCTCTACTCACCTGCAACCTCGATCAAAGTTCCATGCGAACGAGCACGATTTATTAGTGACCTTGCATCTGCAATGGAGCAATGGCAATTTGAATTGAAGCAGGTGAAATACTTGATTTCTTTCTTTCACACAGCCGACTGACAATCCTCAGATTAATTCGGAAGGGGTCGATAATCCTCAGGTCTTGAACATGTCCAGAGGAAACTGGGACATCTCATTCTATTCAACCTTGACGCTGCTTTTCCATGCATCCTCAACCACCGAAACAGGGATACAAATCAGCTCTCAATGTTTCAATGCAGCCCGTAATAGCTTGCTTGCTCATCTCGACTGCTTTCCACAGTACCAAAAATCCAAACTTCTTTCCGACGGCGAATACTTCAATTGGTCCGTCCTCTCCCTACAACCTACCTTTCACTTCTCTGATATACATCTACAGGATCCTTCTCTTCTCATCCTTCACCCCATTCCTTATAATATTCCTCCACGCCATCTCCACAAAAGACACAGCGAGTGTCACACTCCTCACCCAAGTGCTCGCCACGTTCGAAAATTTCCGACAGGCCTATCAGAGTTCAGAACGGCTGTACGAAATATGCGCGACTTTTACACAAATTGCCGACAAACTGGTCCATTCACAGCGCTCGTCCATAGGCATCTACGACCAATAGGATGACTCGCTCAGACTGTCGGATCTTCCAGAAGGCACGTCTATCTTCCATCCCGAGATGTTCCAGGATGTATTTGGAATCGATGACATGAATCGGGCCACTTCGTTACATGCCACCGATGTTTTGAATGATTGGTTCAGTGGACAGCCTTTTTTGTGGAATAGATTCGAGTGGGAGTTTGAGACGTGTCAATGAGCCTGGATAACCGGTTATGAGTAATTAACACTCCTTTGAACAACGGTAAATAAATTATATCAGTCACGGATTAACATTCATACTGTCCCCAACATGCTATCCCTCGAAAAGACGTGATCGCCTGCTAGATTCCCGGACCATTTCCAAATCCTCTATGTCGCTTATTGTAATAACGACACCATCAATACAATAATCCTCAATCTTGCCCGCCGATACCAGAAACCCCCAAGAATCTCGCTCCTCATTCTAACTAATAACAGTCATCAAGAAATATTCCCTAGCCAATTCGCCACATCCGTTATATTACCCTCTGTAACACCACATTCCCCCTTCTACACTTGATGCTTTCATCAAACACAGAGAATAAATATTGTCATTCTCTTCCCAATCCAACCGACCCTGACTACGCGACACGTAATACCAGAAGAAGAATTCGTCACCCCAACAGCCAAGCCGGTAGATGACTCTCCCCGCAACATTCTGCAGCGATGATCCGTACTCGCAGCCCTATCGGAGTTAGCTGAGGTATTTGGTGACGTTCGATTAGGAATTGGTCCGGAGCGCGGAGCCGAGGACACATCATTCTTTTGTAATGGATGATCAGACAATATGTCACCTAAAGAGAAGATATAAGGGGTCTTCGAACTCCATGTAGGAAGAGTTTTAAAATCACACGAGAGTCACAGATAATCCACACCAAACCCACGTAATCAGATACACACCAACCCAAAATGTCCGAACGCAAGGTAGGTCATACTCATTCTCACTGATCCCAGCCAAAGTCTAATCTTGAATAGAGAATCTACTACACCTATAAGACCATCGAGGCATACGAGAAATACGATGACCAGGTGCGGAAGTAAGTATAAGACCTCTCGTTATTTCGACAATAGCTAACTTGGAAACTCATAGGATCATCACAGAGGATACCAAACGGGAAGTGTGGATTTGCAATCGGGCTCTGCCTCCTACTTGCTACCCTCCGTAAGTCATCCTAGTATTAATTCGGGTGAATACGTTACTGACTAGTTTGATATGTAGCGAAGTGTCCCCCGATACTATCAAGAAGCTGAAGGATCTGAGTGATGATATCGTTGTTAAGGAGTTGGAGGAGTAGGTTGTTGGTCTATTGTTTGGGATTTTACGGGCAGGATTGGGGGCTCGGAGGTGCTTAGGTAGCTATCTTGGTATTTGAGGTATGATAAAAGGTCAACCGATCGCACTTAGCAGTTTATTCTACGCTATCCGCAGAAGTGCTTACAACGAAGAAGATCGATTACCACTCCCAACCCTCCGTAGATTTGTCCCAACGGGGTAAGTAGTAATGGCATCCTTCGGGAGGTCTAGCAAGGTCCCAAGCAGCCCATATTCCTGGAGACCAGACCGGATTTCCCTTGAACCTGCCAGCCAAAAGGAATCCGACAAAGTACATATAATTGTGGTTTAAATCAGTAAGTGAACTAAGGGATAGAAGTGTTTGGCTTACAGAGTGGAGGTGTCGGCATGCCAGACGAGGTTTCGACCATTGCCATGGAGAGGGTAGTATCCCCATCGGTATAGTTTCCTATGGGTGTTGGTTAGAACACTATTAAAGATCGGAAAGAAGGAATAACATACATAATGCCTTCTTTGAACTTTTCGCGCATAGCATTTCGCTCGCTACTATCCATAGCCCAGAATTCTGGAGCACCGCAAGGATCCCCCAAACGAACCCCTGGTACCACTTCCCAGACAATCCAGGTAACAAACCCCCCCGGAACAACGCCAGTATCATCCTGCTTGTCTTCCTTGGTGTCCAGTAGACGTGGAGTAATAGGCGACGTTTTCTGCTTCTTTGTCAAAACACGGAGTGCCTCTAGCTCCCTCGGGCAACAGAACCCGGCTTGCTGGGCTCGTGTACGCGCAGGCTCGACTTCAGTCCCCGCAATGGGAATCTGTTTGTAGATTCGCATATAGCCTTGGACTGGACAATAGGGCCCAACTCTCTGGCAACGCAGGAGAGTACAGGTCGAAGATGGGCCAGGATTGTACACCAAGTCTTCTGGGGAGGTCTGGGATTCGTGTTCGTTAATAGTCTGGAGAATTACCCATTGGTGCCTTTTCAGCTGGATAATCGTTCCGGGTTCGATCTCGCTGCGGGCAAACCATCGCGAGTACATTTTGTTGTTGGAAACGTGGGAAACATAGTAAGAGTAATAAGCTCCAAGGTTGCAGGGATGAGGAAGAGCTGACATCAAGCAAGAATAGGACTGGGTAATAGTAGCATCACTACCTACACGGGAGATCCATGTGACCCGAGCGACCGCACCCCACCAATCAAATACCCGTATGCTTGGCTGTGTCAAGGGGACTAGGTCATTCTGCACGTGACTGAATTTCATCTATATATCCCACAATATCATTGGTTGTTACGCCGGCAGCTGCCTACCTGGGCGCATGACAGTCCTTGATCACGTGACCATGCTCGATGCTACTTGGAGCTCTCGCCTTGCAGATCGGTGACAGTCATAGGCTAGTACTGGAGAGGGAAAGGTGGCGCCTAAATGAAATGTGAAGCTCATGGAAGGTGGAGACTTTCTCTGGCTGGCCGGAAGCCCCCTCTAGGTCGCTGGAGATCTCCGATATCTAGACTCGGTTATAGGGCATTCATCTGATGACAGATTATAACTGTGTAAGATATCTGTTTTATAAGCGGTGTATTTGTCATGAGAAATATTATTCTAACATAAGTATTGATACTGTGGGCTTTTCGAACAAAATACTTATATATTATGAATACTTTTCTACGAGGGATTTGACTAACCTTTAACTGTATTTAGCATTCTGTCAGGATGGGACTTCTTGTGTTTTAAGTCATAATCCTACGAGCATGCGAACGGGTTACGAACTCGGCTATCCGGCAAAAGACAAGTATAGAATCGTAGCTCCATCAGGATTTAGAGTAGGTGGATCAGACCCAGAGATCCCTGCTACTACTGGATTAGCTGGTAACGTGCGCAATTTAATGGATCTCAGGATCCTGACGACTCATTCCGACAAAATTAAATAATGTCACGATCTGACTTAGTGCGCCTTTAGTCATGAGCGTACCGTGGATGCAAACGAGTGCTAACCTGGCTAGCTGGCAAAGGATGGAAATTCTGAGCTTGGTAAATTGGAACGCGCATCACTTATAAGATTCCTTGGGTGGAACCACGGGTACAATCTTGTGAGGTGACTAGCTGTCACAAAACTAGAGGGCATTGGCATTGCGTCTGTGGGGATACATCTCCGAAGGGGTCAGAAAAAGCTCCAACCCCTTTTAGACTGGTACCGGAAACACAGCTCGGAGGTTCTGAGATTTGATGAACCTGGCAGAGCTCGGTTATCTGGATAAATTATCTCCGATACCTAATGAGTTGAATTAACATCACATCTACTGAGTGGTACACTGAATCAGCTTTACCCGTGAATAAAAATTCTACCTAAATAACGCTAAAGGGTACCATGACAACCGACGAAAATATGATGTACTGGATAATTCTGAGTTCATGAGATATCAGAGTAGTTAATTAGGTATCAGACTTCTCTGAACCCGTTACACTAGGGCTGAGACCCTGGATAGGGCATGGTCGTGGAGCAACTAGATGTCAGCCAGGCCCGCCCCACTCGGGATTAGTCGGCGTTTACCGGGGTTAGCGGGTTCTCCGGGTTATGGAACAGACCAGGACCAGCGTGGTATGTGACTTACTAATGATCTAAATTCAGCTCTTTCGTTCAAATACCTACAGAATACTACTATTATTCCTTCATACAGGGATATTCATCATCAACATCAAGACATACCAATTCCAACCACCAATGTAACCATTCCAATATCCCCTCTCCAACAACGGCACCGTGGCCGGTGTCCACTCCATCCCCTAATCATCGGCCTCCACGGCGGAGGCTACGACCATCAATACTTCAACGCCACTCCCACCTACTCCGCCTCACGGCTCAGCACCGCCTTACAAGTCCCCTTCATCTCCATCGACCGTTCCTCCTACGGTAAAACCAATTCCACCCCCCCCATTCCCGAAACCTCCGACTTCTCCCAAGAAACCGGGCACTGGCTACACAAGTACATTCTACCCAAGCTGTGGTCCGAAATCGGCCTCCCCAACCAATGCACCTGCATTGTTCTCTGTCACAGCTTCGGCGTAATGGGCGGCATCGTGGCCGCTGCTCTACACGCAGAGGAGAAAACACCACTTTACGCTCTCGGTGGGCTGATTGCAAGCGGGATGTGGAATACACAGGCCCCATCTGCCATGGAACGCAGTACGCTGTCTTATGTGCCCATTGATGCCGATCATGTCATGTTCGGTGTGGATACTAAGGATACGGTGATGTTTAAACCGGGGACGGCTGCTCCGGAGATTCTGGATCAATGTGAACAGTTGAATGCGGCGTGTCCGGTGGCGGAGTTGAGGGGGTTTGCGGAGACGTGTTTGCCTAGTTGGAAGGAGAAGTGGGCGGCGCGGGTGACGGTCCCTGTTTTGTTTGCGCTGGTGGAAGATGATCCGTTTTTTGTGGCTACGGAGGAGGAACTTGGGATTTGTGTTAAGGCGTTTAGGAATAGTAAGAGGGTGGATGGGAGTTTGGTGAGAGGTGCGCCGCATTGTTTGGAGTTGAGTCTGTGTTTGAGGGGGTGGTATGCTCGGTGTTTTGGGTTTGCGTTGGAGTGTGCGGCTGGTTTTGAGGGTTCGAAGTAGTGGATGGGATGGAGGGGGGTGAGCTTGATATTGTGGAAAATAGAGAAGAAAGTGGGTTGTATTTGTAGTAGATGTGGTAAGTTTACAGTTGTTGTCTATTCAGCTGGCATGGAAGCTTTATTGCCATGTCGAACCTGAGTAATTGCATGCTCTCTCAACACATACAGCCTTCCCCCAGAAGGCCTCTTTTCATTGTTTCAATGGCAACTCCAAGGGACACATCGGTGAGTGCAGTTCCCCTCAAAGTGTCATATATTCATGTTGACGCATATCGCACCACATTGTAAACCAACCATCTCACAATCAATCGACACAGGTAAAAATATAGTTCACCACCCATGGTATCAACCCAATCCATCAACTAAAAGGCAGACCAAATCCCCATATCCGCCCAACTAGCAATCACCTTATCCTGAGCGTCCTTCGGAAGGGCATGCTGGGGAAGAAGGCTGGGGAGGTGGTCGGGGATGCGAGTCGGGTGCTGAGGATTAATCGGTGGAGGGTTTTGGGGAGGGATAGGGTTTCTTTTTGTGTGTGTGTGTGTGTGTTGTTGGTTGATCGGTTGTTGTTGGGTTTGTGGCTGACTTGTTTGGTGATGGTAGCGAGTGGTGAGCGTGAATTGGGTTGCGGTTGATGGAGTGGTTGGTAGGCTTTTTCGACGGGAAGGATAAGAAGAGATGGAATATGTACAGATCAAGGTTGTCATTGTCTACTTCTGCTGTATGTAAGATAATGCAGCGGATACTATATATTAATGGTTGAATAACCCCCCCTCTCCCCCGTTACAGGCTGTTTCGAAGCGCCGTCAACGTCATGCCAGCGTCAATCACCAGGCTCGCACCGTTGATGAATGTTGCCGCTGGGCTGCACAAAAAGACAGATGCATCGGCAACTTCTTCAGGAACAGCGGCTCTCTTCAGTGGGCACATGCTCTGAATGACCTGCTCCAAGATAGGAAAGCGCTCCACGCCATCCTTTAGCATGTTTGTATCAGTCCAGGAGGGGCACACGATGTTGACGCGGATATTATGTTGCAAGTTATCGACCGCTGCGTTATTAGATCAGCTTACCCAAATCACAGTGAGATTATCTGGACAACTCACCCGCCGTTTTGGCAATCCCAATCGCAGCGTACTTCGACGCCGTATAGGGTATCATGCCTGGAGCGGCAATGATTCCATTGATAGACGCTATCACCACAATAGCGCCGCGTCCCAGACTGCGTGTAGTGTTGGACCGACGGCTGGTGTGCGTGCGAGGCTCCTGTCTAGCCATGATGTCGGAGAGTGCCCGTACCACGAGCATTGTCCCGCGTGTGTTGGTGGTAATAGTCTGATCGAATGTCTGCACGTCGAGATTCTCCGTTGGCGCGCGAGAGATGCATCCCATCTAGGTAGACGATAATGTGGAGTTAGATACTGAAGGGCAAGAGCGTGTAAGGGGACAGGGACGGGGATAAACACACTCCGGCAGCATGCACACAATAGTCGATCCGTCCGAAGGTATTGACCGCTGTCTGGACCATATTGTGGACGTCTTTCTCATTGGTGATGTCGGCCACGATTGGTAGGACATGGAAATCGGGATGGGCGGCGAAAGTGCGACATTCTTCGACCATGGTATCAGCCGCATGCCGATCTACCAGGACGATGGCCTGGACCCCAGCTTCGGCGAAAGCGAAGGCAACCTCCTTTCCGATCCCAGACGCCGCCTAGTGAGAAACTTTGTTAAATGATATTTGAAAAGAAGCCTTGCGTCGGACTTACGCCAGTGACCAGGGCAATCCCCCCATCGAGTTTGGTGCTAGCAAGAGCCATTTGATCTGGAGTGGATAAAATGATCTTGTAGATTGGAAGGAGGAAAGGGAAGGCCAACAGGTGTAGTGTCTTGGATAAAGGACCAGAAAACGGGTTTGGGGTTTGGAGGGGTGGGAGGGTGAGGAAAGGAAGAAGGAGAATGGGAAATGGGAAATGGGAAATGGGAAATGGGAAATGGGAAATGGGAAATGGAAAATGGGAAATGGGAAATGGAAAATGGGAAATGGTGGGGGGTAGGGAGGGGACAAACCAAGCAGGCAATAGCTGGCTGTGCCTTTTTGTTTGCTATCTATCTACCTAGGCGCCGGGGAGAAACAGGGTTGGTGCCAAGTCTACATAAGGATCAACCGCGTGGCTGCAGCTCAGAGGGCAAACGCCTCGTCCAACTTGGCCAACTACTGCTTATTTCGGGATAGACCGGCACTAACTGCAAGGATATGGATCCACCCATCAGCAGCAAACAAAGAACACCCTCTCCCTCGCCCTCCAATCACTCCCAGCCACTTCCACGACTGTTGGAAACGTACTCGATACCCTACATGCATCCCCCCCACTCCCCGGCGCTGACTTTACGGTCACACAATGATTTGCTTCTTCTGCCACATAAGCAACGAGGCAAGCACTTGCCCTCCCGCAAATCCCGCCAGGATCTGCATCTGCAAGTTGTAACTGGCGGAATAAGTCACCCGCACCAAGGTCTGGGCTGCGGGTGACAAGGTCCAGATCAGCGCGGCAGAGTGGCTGATGGTCTGCCACTGGTCAGCAGCCAGGGCATGCTGCAGATGGGAGTGAATGTAGCCATTGGCCACAGCTGTCAGGATAGCAATCCCGATGCAACCCCCCATGACGCGAAACTGGGCGATGGCACCCATTCCAACCGCTGATGGTCATCATCATTAGTGACTGGACGGAGCCCTCCACTCAGGGCGGGAAAACTCACCATTATCGCGTTTCTCGATCGTGAATGGGGTCATCAGAATGAGAAGGGTGATGTTGACGCCGCACCCGAATCCGGCCAAAACCTGATAACCGTACTGGGCGGCGGTGATGGACAAGGAGTCGGGCAGGGTTCCTAGCAACACATAGCTGGCTACTTGGATCAGTGATGCAACGAGAACAAGGTATAGCAGGGGCACCCGGAAGACCTTTCCAATCGTAGGTCCCAGAACCGACCCCAGTGGCGCTGCGACCGTGTAGGGGATAAATCGGATGGCTGCTTGAAAGGGGGACAGCTGATTGACGATCTGAAAGCGCTGCGGCAATTGGAACATGGTGCTAAACCACACAGCCCCCAGGCAGACGGAGTTTCTCCCGGCCTGCATGTTAGTGTTGGTGCTTTTGAGATCCGATACGGCCAATGACTTACAGTAACATTCCCATCCAGACGCGGTTGCGGACAAATCTCCAGGGGAACACAGGCTCAATCGCCCTCGAGCCGAGCGTTACACGTCTTTCCCACAACAAAAACAGGATCCATGTTGCCCCCGAAACGGTCAGGAGTACAATGGTAAAGGCCGATCGCCAGGCATACTGTTGGTTGCCTTCTTCCAGCGCCGTGACTAGAAGAATGGTGGCCACGAGTAGCATAGTCGAGCCCAGGATATCAACCCTGCGGATGGTCTGACTCAGAGACGCCCACAACGAGAACGTTTCTCTAGCCTGTCGTGGGCTGTTATGATGCGGAAACCGGTTGGGCAGGGCCAATGCAAGAAGCGCAATACCCAGTCCAGCAGGAGGGACACTCGGGGTCCATGGTCAGCAGAAACGGTGTACATCTTGGGGGCGCACTTACTTGAGGAGAAATATCCAGCGCCAGGATGATGATTCCGAGATGGCCCCTCCAAGTAAAGGCCCTAGTAGCAGAGAAAATGCGTAGATCACTGAGATCCAGCTGGTGTATTTGGCGTATTTGGCGGGCGGAATCAGTTCCAAGAGGATCACCGTACAGAGTGAATAGGTGCCGGCGCCACCAACCCCTTGAAAGGACCGGAAAATGATTCTAAGTGAAAGAGGTCAGCCAGAGTTTCAAACAGGGGGGTAGCAGCACAGTGAGACCTACAGCTGTTCCATGGTTTGCGAGCCCCCCGTCGCCCCCGAAAACACCACAAAGATCGATAGAAACACCAAGAGGCTCGATTTCCGACCGAAAATGTCGCTGAACTTGGCCGAGATGATGAGGAGGCCGACATATCCAAGCATATAGGCTGTCGTGATCCAGTATACTTTGTCCATGCCCTGCAGCTCTTCGGTAATGCTCACTAAAGCCGTGGACACGATCGGGATCTCAAGATTGGTCAAGAATAGAGACAAACATAGCCTACCAGGCGTGGGATTATCAGCAACTGGTCCTTGGGGGGCGAGGGGCAGGTGGGCCAGCATCACTCACAGTACGATAATCGCGTACAATCTCGGTCCCTGGATGTATTCCTCGGGGGTTTCCACTGGAGATACTTGCGGCACTTTAGCGCCAGAAGCAGCCATACCTGTCATTGTGTCGGACTTTTCCATGTTTCCTTCGATCAAGGAATGTGATGGGAGAAATCAACCAGGATGGAGAGTAGGAAAGGGAGAGTTGGAAGGTGGTAGAAGTTCCAAGGAGAAAGCCTATATATAGGGGGCCCGGGGGTCAGTGAAGCCTGTCCCACCCTCGGTATTATTTATAGATGCGGCGATTGACGCTGACCACACCTTGCCATTGCAACTTCCTACCCTCCTCGCCAGTAGCCATCGGAGCCTCGCGCCCATCCCCATTCTTAAGATTGAAACCCCCATTGCTACCTTCTATCTGAAAGAAAAGGCATATCATCATGAGCGGACTCTCCTCTGAACAGCGGCAAGCCCTTCTTGTGGGGCCTGCTGGTGCTCCTCCCGTCGGAATGGTGTCGAATCTTGTCAATCCCCCAAGCATACTTGCAACAGGGCGTGGGATCTCCCTCGTCTTCTGGATAGGAGCCAGTATCTGCGTCGCTATCCGCCTCTACACCAAGGCTTGCATTATTAAACAACTCCGGGCTTCAGACTGTGAGTAATGTCCGCGGGCCCTACCAGTTGCGCATGGGAATAACAGATTCTAGACATGATGCTTATCTCTTGGGTAAAGCTCAGCCGTCTAACCCCTCCATACCCTTCTGACACTGGCTTTACCAGGCCTTGTGCATAGGTTATATGGTCCCTTGCTGGATTGCGGGCAATATCGCCCCCGGAGTCGACCAGTGGAATATGACCCTCGGGGATTTCATCACCTTGCTTTACGTGCGATCTTTCCCAACAGACCCCGGTCCTCGCTAGTTACTGACTGATGTAAACTTAGTACTTTCACGTTGCGTCAATCATCTACGGAATTTGCATCTTCTTCATCAAAGCTTCGATCCTACTCCAACTGGTCGAGATCTTTGGACAGCAGCGCGACTACTTCTCCTGGAGTTGCCATCTCCTTTTGTGGACAAACCTCATTTTTTATCTAATCAGCTTACTGATCGAGGTGTTTTCGTGTCGTCCCGTGTCCAAAGCATGGGATATCCTGACCCCGGGGTCATGTCTTAACACGCGCCTAGTAAACGTGGTAGCCAGCTCCGTCAACTGTATTTCCGACCTCATTATCCTGGTTTTACCACAGACCCGTATCTGGAGACTGCATACAGCCTTTCACCGAAAGCTTACGGTTGCGACCGTTTTTCTCCTGGGAATCACGTACGTTCCATGGTCACTTTACCCGGTTTGAACCAAGGCTAATGACGAGTTAGGGCTTGCGCTTCCGCCGTGGTACGACTCGCGTATGCCGTGCTACTGTTCAAAACGACAGACAATATCTCCTACTTCAGTTACATGGCTGGCTTATGGACCATTCCAGAAATAGCATGTGCGGTCATTACCGGCTGTCTTCCCTCCCTACCCCGATTCTTCCAAACCGTGAGCATGAAGGGTCGCTTCCACGCGAATTTGAGTGTGGGCTCATGGTGGCGTCGCGAACGCCTACCGACCGAAACCTGGGTTGCTAAGGATAGCCGGCCACGCGACATGCCCGGGCTTCAAGGCGTCTTCCCAGATCAGTATCCGCTGACGGCGTTCGCAAGCGCTCCAGGCACGGTTGACCGCACCACACGCCCACCACTGCGCTCGTTTGTACACCCTTGCTGAATGGCGCAAGTGGAAATGTACATGTCAATCAGTCAAGAGCAGGCTGCAATGCGGATGTCGTCATGACATGGAATAGGGGCTACGCATAAGGGGGAGAGGGGCAGTTTGTTCGTGGCGGAGGCTTAGTCTACAGGTGTAACGAACCCAAATGGATGTCATGCATTGATTGCATCAGAAAATTTCAAACCCGCCCGGCCCTCGATGATCGAGTGGACCCCTCGGTCAAATTGCAGCAGCGGCTTTGGCTAGGGTGCGTTTGATTGCCTGGACCGTCCTGGCTAGGGCTAGCGGGTCCCGAGGGCCAGGGATCTCGTGCCCTCCTTCATGCAGCACCACTTCCCGCTGTTCCGCGTTGCACCACCGGCTTAACGCTGGCCCATAGCCGTACGCGAGATCATTCAGCCCCCACACATGCACGGTTGGGATATCAATCAACAGTCGGGGCCCAGGGGAAGCACTCTTGGCCTGAAGTGGAGGGGCGCCCGAGAAAAACACCGCACAGCGAAACGGGGGCCTTCCCTTTCCCCCCTGTTGGAGATGGTCCAGCAGGTAAGTTGCCCCGCAGCCCGCACCCAGCGAAAAACCCATGAGACCATCAAACGGTCCTTCCCCTGCAATGAAGTGCTCCAGGTCGGTCATTGCTTGTCTCTGGCTCTCGGGGGTGTCGTTCACGTATGTCAGAAATTCGTCGTCGAGAGAGACCAGATCCTGGATGCCTGTCAACTCGTCAGTCAGCCGCCGTCGATTTTCGTGTACCCTCGCCCTTTCTCTCTCTTCATGTTTGCCCCTACTCCATCCCGCCAGTGTCCGCTTACCGGGGGCCATCTGGGTCTTCACTGCCCCTTCGAGCCATTCGTAGGTGTGGCCGCTGCCGAGAGATTGGCGGATCGCCGCTGTCATTCGAGCCTTAGCCGCTTGCTCTGTTCCGGGTTATGGCTTTGAGGGACACATGGGGATGTACCGGTCTGGTGCTCGAAAATCTGCTGCATGTTCAGCAAGCTTGGTCAATACCTTCAGACAGGGCGCGGGTTCCCACTTACCCTTGCATTCGTTCCCATACCGTGAAGGCAGAGAAAACGCATGTTGAACCAGGGAGGGCTGGCTTGCCACTGGGATAGCGCAAGGCTCAGCTCTAAGCGACCGTGGATAATAGTCTATTCTTATACACCTGCAGGCATGTTATGCTGGGCGTTGTCGGGCTTGTTCGGACTTACTTGGTTTTGTTTGCGTCTCCAATTCTAGTCGCCGTTCCTCCTTTCCTGTTCCGGAGCGTGATGACGTTTCTTTTGTTGATGTACCCACCTCTCGCCACCTGTCTCCATGGAGCATTGGATAAAGGCCTACAGGGGATGTTATGGTCGCTACGACCGAGCGGTAGGTCGTTTCACATCAAGAGCCCTATCCCCCTTGGGATTAAATAAGATAGCCGTGAGGGCTAATGATTCCAGAATCGAACCATGCTCAAGACCTCTACACTCGAAAAACTCAGATTACCAACCACCACCATGGACGACATTGCTATCGTTGGTCTCTCGATCAAATTCCCGGGAGATGCTGAGACGGCCGAGTCCTTCTGGTCGATGCTCCTGGAAAAACAGTGCGCGATGGAAGAATGGCCGAAGGACAGGTTCAACCTGGAAGCCTTCGCCAATCCAAAGTCCAAGGTGGGCAACCCAACACCTCAGGCTGATGTGGTCCGCTGATACAAGGCCAAGGGTTTCGTATCCGGTGCCCATTTCATGAAGGAGGATTGTGGACTCTTTGATGCTTCCTTTTTCGGGGTGTCGGGAACGGAAGCATGCGCCATGGACCCTCAGGCCCGCCTCTTGCTGGAAGCTGCCTACCGGGCACTGGAGAACGGTATCACTTCCATTGGCCAATCTTGTTGGGAGTATAGCTGACGACCCTCTCCGAAACAGCCGGCATGCCCATCGAAAAACTTAGCGGATCAAAGACGGCCGTCTTCAATGGCTGTATGGCAGACGACTACCGACATATCATCACGCATGATCCGGATTTCATGCCCAAATACACTGCGGTGGGCTCCACCGCCTGTATGCTTGCCAATCGCCTGAGTTGGTTCTTCAACTTCCGGGGACCGTCCGTGAACTTGGACTCGGCGTGTTCCAGTAGCCTGATGGCATTGGATCTGGCGTGCCAAAGCCTGCGAAATGGTGACTCGGACATGGTGAGCACGCCCCCACGGCGTAGATCATATGACACTAACCTGACCCTCCATAGGCCCTTGTGACCGGGTGCAACATTATCATTGGCATTGAACCCATTGTCTCGTTGATCAAGATGGGCTTTACATCCCCCGACGGGCGCTGCTTCAGCTTCGATGCTCGGGCGAACGGGTACGGTCGAGGCGAGGGGGTTGGGGTTGTCGTCATCAAACGGGTTGGCGATGCCATCCGTGACGGAGACACCATTCGGGCCGTGATCCGGTCCACTGGGTCGAATCAGGACGGGCATACCCCGGGTCTGACGCAGCCCAGTAAAGATGCCCAAGCCCACTTGATCTTAGACACCTATGAGAAGGCCGGTTTAGACCTCTCTCTCACGAGATATTTCGAAGCACATGGTATGGCCCCATGATCCATAAACTCGCCCTTCCCGGCAGTCCCCTGGGGCCTGACATGCTCTATAGGGACGGGTACTGCTATAGGAGATCCCATCGAGGCAGAGGCGGTTGGCAGTGTTTTCCGCACGCTCCGGTCGCCAGAAGATCCCCTCTACATGTGAGTGTGCGTGATTATGTTGCCCCACTGGATCTACCTGACGGATGCTGGTTCTAGAGGTGCAGTCAAATCCAATATTGGCCACCTAGAAGGGGGAAGCGGCATAGCTGGCATTGTCAAAGCCGTCATGGTACTCGAAAATGGGCTCATCCCGCCGAATGCCAATTTCGAGCATCTGAATCCCAATATCGATGCCGAGTTTTACAATCTCAGGGTACGTAAAGGAGACAAAGACCACAGTGCAACCCACAACTGACTTAAGTCTGATAGATCCCCACCGAGATCATTCCATGGCCGTCCCAAGGTCTGCGGCGTGCATCGGTCGCTTCTTTTGGGTTCGGGGGATCGAACTCACATGCCATTCTCGAAGATGCCTATCACTATTTGCAACAGCGAGGAATCTCTAGAGCTCACTGCTTACCCCCAGCTCCAAGCAATCCGGCCGCTGTAGTTCCCAAACCCGGTGCCTCCATAGATACTGCACTGGACAGCTTCTATAGCCGTGACGGGGCAGACGGCTGGAGCGTTCGATTGCCCTCTCAGATTTTCTTGCTCTCCGCAGATGACGAAGGGGGCATCCAGCGACTAGTCGCAGCCTACACGGCATTCTTCAAAAGCCTCACACTCGAGAAGAGGGACGAGCAGCCGTTTTTGAAACAACTCGCGAGGACCTTGACAACGAGGCGGAGCCAGCTTAAATGGAAGGCATTTGCTGTCGCGGATTCACTGGCTACCTTGCAGAATATCCAGGCTGTTATCTCACAGCCAGTCAGAGCTGGTAGTTCTCTCGGCCTCGGCTATATCTTTACAGGGCAAGGGGCCCAGTACTACAGGATGGGGGTGGAGCTATTGTGCTTCCCGGCTTTTCGGGAGACCATGGAGCATTGTCAACGTGCATTTCACAGTTTCGGTTGCTCGTGGTCTATACTTGGTGAGTGGTTCATCTCCTTTCACACAAGCAAGCCAAGAGGCATTGCTTGCTAACCCGCGACAGAGCGCCTCAATGGCGTGGAAAGCGAATTCGATATAAGCGACCCCGAATATGCACAACCGATGACGACAGCACTGCAGATCTCTCTGGTGGAGCTACTCACATCCATGGGAATGAAGCCTCGAATTGTCATCGGACATTCTTCCGGTGAGATCGCTGCAGCGTATGTCATTGACCCTGGAATTGAGCTTGCATCAGTACATCTAACAGTGAGGCAGGTATGCTACAGGTGGGCTGTCCTTGGAATCCGCCTGTAAAGTCTCCTACTACCGAGGGGCTCTCGCCAGTCGCCTCCGCCGCGCGGATGGCAGCGGCGCCATGTTGGCTGTGAACCTCTCCGAGACCGCCGTCGAGCCGTATCTCGACCGCGTAACGTCCGCAATGCCGGGACAGGCTATATCGATCTCATGCATCAACAGCCCGTCCAATGTGACCATATCCGGTCATTCGGAAGCTATTGACCGGCTCAAGTCGATTCTTGAGGCCGAGCAGATTCTGTCGCACCGCCTTCGGACGGGGGTCGCATATCACAGCCCCCAGATGGAGCAGGTCGCAGCAGAGTACGAACAAGCCTTGACTGACCTCACTATGCAAGAGAAGGGCCTGGCACAAACGACGTCGATGATTTCCTCTGTCACCGGGCAAACGGTCGACGGTCTGGGCGTCCTGTCCACTGGCACTTACTGGGTGGACAACATGACCCAGCCCGTTCGGTTCTCTGCAGCCATGGCCAACGCTCTCTCCGGGTCAGCTAAGAAGGAGCAACGCCATAAGCGATTGGGGGCATCCAAAAAACACATCATCAGTGACTGGCTGGAGATTGGGCCTCATTGCGCGCTGAAACGGCCCTTTTGTCAGCTGGTGGAATCAAGTGAGCGCGAAAGAGAGGTTCGGTACTGCAGCATCTTGGACCGCCATCTGCCAGCCATCGCGTCCGTGCAACGCACGGTGGGAAGCCTCTTCGTCCATGGTCATAGCGTCCTTCTGGAGGAAGTAAACCAGTGCCAGACGGACGGAACCGGCTTCGAGAATCTTTTGACCAAGCTCCCTGAATACCCGTTCAATCACACTAAGCGGTACTGGTATGAAAGGGAAGCGACCAGGAATGTACGAGTTCGATCGCACCCGAAGCTCGATTTGATAGGGGTCCCTACCCCCGAGTCAACGCCATCCCAGAGCAAGTGGCGGAAGGTCTTTGACGCCAGCGACAGTCCGTGGCTGTTGGATCATGCCGTGAACGGAAAGGCGATCTATCCGGCCACTGGAATGATCGTCATGGCCATCGAGGGGGCCCGACAACTCGCGGACCAGGGACGACCAGTCGCGGGATACTTTCTACATGATGCTCTCTTTCTCAATCCCATTTCGATCCGGACGATCGAGCCCACCGAAACCCATTTGCATATGACCCCTACACGTTCTCGTATGGATCATTCGTCGCATGCATATGAGTTCCAGATCTACTCTGCAGCGGGAGACCGGTGGCAGTTGAATTGCCGGGGACAGATATCCGTCCAGTATCAAACCACAACAGATGCCGTGGCATCTACAGAAGGGGGCAGTGCCAGCCTTCATCTTCATTCCCGACGGGAAGCGGACTACTATGAAGAGAGGTGGGCAGCTGCCCAGCGTGAGTGCCTCATTTCCGTGTCCAAGGACAAGATCTATACGGCGTTCGAGGGCAATGGGCTACAGTATGGTCCATCATTCCAAGTGCTGGATGACCTCCATTGGGATGGCTGCAGCACCTCCATAGGATACGTCACGCCATTCCAGTGGAGCATGGAAGAGTCACACAGCCCTTCAGATCCCCATGTGGTCCATCCGGCGACCCTCGACGGTCTCGGTCAGCTGGGATGGGTGGCTCTGACACACGGTGGTCAAAGCTCGGTCACCACCGGCCTTGTCTCGACGCGTGTGCGCGAAGCGTGGATCTCAAACGCAGGAGCTTCGTCCTCGGACACCGCGGCCCTTCGAGCCGTTGCTCAGAGCCGCTTCAAAGGCTTGCGCGGGACTGACACCTCCGTCTTTGCCCTGGACAGCATGGGACAGCTGCGATTGTGGATCTCCGGGATGGAGACCACGTCGATGTCCGGTAATAATGTCCAGGTACTTGACTCGGAGCGCAGGGACCTGTGCTATTCGCTCAGCTGGAAGCCTGATCCCACATTCCTCACCCCACAGCAGCTGCAGTCCTGCTGCAAGGCCCCGCGCGAAGCTCGGCATGCAGACCTTGGCCGACACCTGGATCGCTTGCTTTCATCCTATGTGCAGAAAGCCGTACGTGCGGTCAGTGAGCGTCGGGGTACAGAGCTCCCCAGTCATCTTCGAGAATATGTGGCCTGGCTGGACCGGATGCTGGAGAAATCTGCCCCTCTGTCAGCAGACACCATCCCGCAGGATGAGACCGAGATCTCCGCCCTCGAAGGGCAGGTCATGAAATTGAGTCCACTGGGGAATCTCTATGTCACAGTCAGCAAACAACTGGATGCCATCCTCGACGGGAGCACCGAGCCACAGAGCTTACTCGGGAGCGACGATAGACTTCTAACGGAGTATCGTCGTGTCTTGTTCAGTCAGCTGTGGGAACAGAACGAGCTGACCAACTATATTGACGTGTTGACCCACAAAAGTCCCCAGATGCGCATACTCGAGGTCGGCACGGGGTCCGGGGCAATGACCCAGCAGATACTTAACAGCCTCTCGCGTCGTGGCGAAGATGGATCCGAGACTTATCGGTTTGCACACTATGACTGTACAGGCATATCAAACACTCATGTCGAACAAGCGCAGGCGCGGCTCGGGGCACTGGGGCCGCGTGTCACATTCAAAACCCTGGATGTGGAGCGTGATCCGGCCGCGCAAGGATTCCATGTGGGAAGCTATGACCTTGTTATTACGGCATGGGTAAGAGTTATAGACACGATGCCTGTATTGATGCTGATCCTGAGACACTAGCTATCACATGGTACGCGACACATCGGCCCTAGCCTCCACCATATCCGGAGGTTGCTTAAGCCGTGAGTATTCCTCCACCCGGACAGGACGGTCCTTGGGCTGACAGGTTGTCGAAGGGGCGGGAAGCTGCTTTTGGTCGAGTCGCCAGGAGCATACACTCTGAGAGACGGCTTCATCCTGGGTGCTCTCGTGGAATCGTGGTTAGGCAAGTACTAGGAGCTCTGACCAAACGGCACACGTCTAACTGGTTATTGCAGCAGATGGATCAACTCCCGAGCGCAACCTTGATTATCCAGAGAGCAACTGGTCCGAGGCGCTGAGTGCACAAGGTTTTAATGGGCTCGATGCCTTGTTCCGGGACGATCTTGGATCCTGCCTGATGGTTGCCACGGCCGGAGGGGCCGCTGAGAAGAACCACTCGGCCAGGCCCATTGTCTTTGTCGTCCACCCAGACTCGCGCATGCAATCCCATCTGGTTTATCTGCTGATGGAACTGGGACGTGAAAGGGAAACAGGATTTGATACGTGCTCGATATGGGATATCAACACCATCGACCTGTGCAAAAGCCCCCTTGTGGTATTCCTACCAGAACTAGAGCAACCACTCCTGGTTGATCTAGACGGGGCCATGTTCAGCAAATTACAACACTTTCTGTGTAAAGCACTGGACATCGTATGGATCACAGCGGCAAGTCACGGCTCTCCCCTATCCCCTGAGACTTACGTCGTCGATGGCTTGGCCAGGACTCTGTGCACCGAGAACAATCGCTTGTCAATGGTCACCGTGCACTTGGAAGACCACCGGGCCCAACCTCAGATATGGGCACGGCATATTGATTGCATCCTGGGGGATAGGCTTCGGGCGAACGGAAAGGCGAGCGAGCTTCAATACCGAGAGCAGCAGGGAATGCTTCACATCGCGCGCGTGGATGCTGCCGAGCCTCTTAATGAGGCCCTCTTCGAGCAAACCCAAGCTCCTCCGCGGATGAGGCCGCTGCATCCAGACACCCCCTGGACATGCGCCATCACCACTCCAGGCTCCGTGGACAGCACGTCCATGATCTTCCTCGAGGATTTGGAGGTCCAGGATCAGCCGATAGGCAGGGACGAGATCGAAATCGATGTCCATTCGGTAGGGGTAAACTTCCGTGACGTATTTGTTCTGCTGGGAAAATTGAACGATGGTCACAGTCTGGGGTGCGAGTGCGCAGGCATCGTGACGCGTGTCGGCTCCGCATGCCCCGACTTCCAGCCCGGGGATCGAGTTTGCGCCGTCATTCTGGGCTGCTTGCGAACCCGGGCACGCTGTAACTACCGACTAGCTGCCAAGGTCCCTGAGACGATTTCTTTGGCGGTCGCATGTGCCATTCCACTTGGTGGCGTAACCATCCACCATTCGCTGGTGGTAGTCGCTCGGCTTCGGCCAGGTGAATCTGTCCTTATCCACTCCGGGGCCGGGGGTACCGGCCAGATGGCCATCCAGCTGGCCCAGTCGATAGGGGCCAGAGTCTTCGTCACCGTCGGCTCGGACGAAAAGCGAGATCTGGTCAAAGATCTCTACGGGATTCCTGACGAGCAAGTACTCTTCAGCAGGGATACATCATTCCAGCGTCACATCATGCGCCTCACCAACAACCAGGGAGTGGATGTGGTGCTCAATTCCCTCGCCGGCGATGGTCTCGTGGCCTCGTGGGAGTGCATTGCCCCGTACGGCCGGTTTGTTGAACTGGGCAAGTCGGACATTCAATCCAATTCCAGCCTCTCGATGATCAAATTCGGCCGCAATGTGTCGTTCTCCGCGGTGGCAATCGACCAGATGCCCGAAGATAGACCAGCACTCATCCAGGAGTCATTGGTGCCAGTGATGGAGATGGTGCGCTCTGGGACGCTGACACATGCCAGGCCGCTCCAGGAATTCTCCATCGGCGCGGCGGTGGATGCTTTCCGATTGATGCAGAGTGGGCGGAATACTGGCAAGTTGGTCATCAACTTGAATTCCACAGACCTCGTCCGGGTAAGCACGGTCCTCTTGGAAGAAATTTCTATAATACGCTGACGCATCAATAGACATCTCTTCGGCATCTTCCTTCGTACTCTTTCCCGGCAGAGGCAACCTATGTGATCGCCGGGGGCCTCGGCGGACTAGGACGAAGTGCCGCTCGATGGATGGCATCAATGGGAGCAAAGAATTTGATTCTGCTATCGCGCTCTGGTCCTCAGTCAGTGGCAGCCCAGGCGCTCGTCCGCGAGTTGACCGAGCGAGGTGTTGAGGTCAGGGCTCCCAAATGCGATGCCACCATCCCGGCTGCCTTGGCTAGTGCTCTGGAACACTGCAATGATCTGCCTCCCATTCGGGGGTGCATTCAAGCGACGATGGTTCTACAGGTACATTCGGTCCCGAGTGGAGCCCTAAACCCAAGGCTTTATGCTAACGCTCCCTTCCATAGGATACGATATTCGAAAGTCTCACCTTCGACCAGTGGAATACGACGCTCCAATCCAAGGTGCAGAGCACGCAGAACCTACATACTCTCCTCCCCACGGACCTCGACTTCTTCATCCTCCTATCCTCTCTCGCCGGCATCATCGGCACCGTCTCCCAGGCCAACTATGCCGCGGGCAACACTTTTCAAGATGCATTCGCCGCCTATCGACGGTCCCTCGGCCAGCGCGCCATCTCGCTCAACCTCGGGTGGATGCGAGAAGTCGGCATCGTCGCTGAACAAGAAAAATACATGTCTCGTGTGGACAAGGTCTCGGCTATGGCGCAAATCAACGAGAATGAATTCCTGGGTCTACTAGAGCGATGTTGCGACCCCGCCGTGAACCAGGGCGGGCCGTTGGATCCACGCCTTTCCTCCACCACCAGTACTCTCATATCCACTTACCCCCAAATCCTGGTCGGCCTCATCACCCCCGCCCAGCTGCGCGCGCATGGCCTCGAACCCCCCGACTGGCTCCTCGAGCGCAGCATGTTCCAATCTCTGCCGCAAGACCTGCCACTTGACGCCAATCTCACCCTGTCTGCTGACTCCAGCGCCGCCTCTGACACGTCCACCAGCGCCTGGCACCGCGCGCTGAGGCAAGCAAGTTCGGCTACCGCGGCCACAACCGTCGTTGTGGAAGGACTGATTCAGAAGCTGGCCCGTGCTCTGAGTCTCTCCCCTGGGGAGATCGACCTGCAGCGCTCGCTCGCATTGCAGGGCGTGGACTCGTTGCTGGCGGTGGAGCTGCGGCAATGGGTATCGCGGGCGTTTGTGGCGGAAGTGTCGGCGCTTGATGTGACTAGTGCAGCGAGCTTGGAGGATCTGGCGGCGTTGGTGGTTGCGGCGAGTGAGATTAAATTTGATTGAGCGGTGTCTGTAGTGGATGCAGTGAATGGGTGCTTGTATGGTCATAGTTATCATAACTGGTTCATCAATGGAAACAAGTGGAGGACCATGGTTGTTTAATCCTATATCTCCTCGTAAATCTTGCAATAGCACTTTTCAAGCACTAGCATTAAATATCAGCAAAGATGTGGCAAAGTATACTCAAAAAGATGCAGTTAGATATAACTATGTACTTTCGCCGCCGGCTCACCTGCCTTATTCATTTGTCTCAAACAAGGCTATCTATCTTATCTGATACCGTTCCACTTAGGGTAATGTATCAAGGACCTTGTTTTAGATACTGTTGTCTGGATAACCTGTCGCTGCTGCGCAAAGCCGGGCGCTAGTTAGGGTATATAAATCTCATATGTAACCTTATTCTTCCAGAGACGCGTATTTGGATTGATGTGTTCTCGTATGTAAACAGACCTTCCCTGGTGGTTCACCTTTGTTGGGATTCATTACCGACAGCGACAATATATATATACACCAAACACCGAAGGACAACTATCACCACAGTAAACGGCAGCAATAATCAAGCATTGAAGAGGTACTATAGAAATCTAAGTAATATCCAGGGTTCTTTTCACGGGCTTTGGGTGATAAAATGGATGATAAGAGGTCGAGAGTGTCTGATGTGTACAACTAGAGGGGAGATCGGGTTGAACTCGCTGTACTCTGTACTCGTCCTTATACCTTCTAAAGAACGATTAGGAAGATATTTGTAAAAGTGAATCAGTCCCATAATCAGATTTATGAAAATTGTGCGCTGAATTGCAGGTGCAGAGGAATCCGGGGATCTGACCAATCACAGGGATTTCCGTGGCAACTGCCAGCGGGTAGTCTTCATCACATGATCATAACATACAAAGGGTTGGAAGCCCGATTTCTCTCGATCACAACTTTATGTTGTAGATTTTTCTTGAAAAAAATGACGAACTTACTGGTTCCACGTATCTTACTCCCAGAGTTTACCTGGCCACGGACTGTCTAGTATACGGTTTCTGAAAAGACTCCTGCGACACCACGTATCCCAGGGAAAACTGTCAGAAGGGCGTGGGGATTCCTTCACAGGGCGTTATTTTATCTTTCTCAACACTACTGCTCATGGTTTAATATCCCTTTCAACGCCCAGATTGTGCAATTACCATTTGGTCTTGTCATGAAATGGACAGACCGAACCAGCATCGAGGAAGCAGCAGCAGCAATGCAAATGGCAGCTGCTGCCGGAATCCCCGTTCCAAAATTCCTCAGTTGTGGCGAACATCCAGCTGATCCATTCAATCGAAGGATTTCCATCCTGATGACAAGGATACCTGGCGTGCCACTGGAGAACTCGTTTGATCCACTGCAAGTCGAGACTGAGGAGCCGTGGCTAAATGAATTGCGGACATGCGTACACTCCATGCGTCGATGGTGTCTTCCCAATCCAACCGCTATTTGCTCACCACTTGGGACCTGTTTACGGAGTCCTCGAATCCCTTCTCATATCATGGGACCGTTTGCAAATACAGATGACTTTTATGAATATCTTCTTACCCCGGCCTCGTCCCATGGGTTCGAATCGATTGTGGAATACAATCAAGTCTTGTCCTGTGCAAGAAGAATTCAAGACCGCCCTCATCGGATTATGTTTACGCATGGGGATTTCAAAGCCCATAATATTGTCGTTGATGATGATGGTCATTTATCGGGGTTTTCGGATTGGGAGTCGGCCGGCTGGTATCCGGAGTACTGGGAGTTTACGACTGCGATGCGCTTTGGGAGAGGGAGTTGGTGGTTTCAGGTGGCGGAGTGGATGGGGGGTGATCAGTATGCTGATGAGTTGGCTTCGGATATTGCCTTGAATGAGCTGACAGTCGACTCCTACATAGCGATGTAGCTGGAAGCTGGTCGAGATGCCCTTCTGGGAGCGCGTTCGCAGACGTAATCCCTCTGCTCTGCTGATACTTTTGCACTATGCCATTATTCTGGGATATTTTGACCGCCGGGCCTGGTGGATCCAAGGGTGGTCCGAGAGGCTTGTTCAGGCCGTCGAGATGGCGCTGACCGAGGAGGATAGAATGCAGTTAGACTGGGACGTCTATTTTGGGAGGGTGAGGGAGATGATAGAAAGAGTGAAGAATAATTTGACTTAGCTCCTGTTTTGACGAGAGATGTTTCATGTGTTGTATAGATTTAGATAATGGCGCGAAAGTATAGCCCCAGCGTTATGTTATACGGAATAACCGTGTCCGTTTATATTTTGCACTATGGGCTCAACAATTAGTTGAATCTTCATGGGAGAAAGGTCACTTGTAGGCCTCGAAAAAGCTACTGTCTATGAGCGCCTTCTCATGCTTTCCAAGCCGATTATGCCCCTCTATTGGAAGAACGCTCGAGATGAATTGGGTTAGGTGAGGTCACAGAGGTTAGCCTGGACACCCCCATAATCAGACCCACTATGACTGAATAAGTGCAGATGGAGTTTTGAGTTCAACACTAAAGTTCGTTCCTTTAACCCGGACCATCCCACCCGGATCCTGCGTATTTAATTCCATGAAAGAGTGGAGAGACTTCTCCATAGGCGAAGAGCCCCCCTAAGACCGATTTTGTTCCCATTCCGTCCAACTACTTCAAAAGTGATACACAAATTCTCGCCCGCCCACCACCGGCGAAAAGGTGGCAGGCCTCCACAAATAGATGAAAAAGCAGTGATGTAATGGATTGATAAGCAGCCAAACATCTTATTAAGTGGCACGGTCAAAGAAGCGAGATGTGTACCGGGCACTATATAAAGGATGGGTTGCCGCCGACTCAAACCTGTGAGCTCATCTCGCCCAAGTTAGCAGAAACCACCATGTCCATCCCCCAGACGTACAGAGCATTCCGGCGCTCTGCCGATGGATCGTCCCTTGAACTCGTGCAGGAGGAATTACCATCACTCCTTCATCCCGAGCAGGTATTGATTCGGATCCATGCCGTGTCCCTCAACTACCGAGATATTGCGATGATGACCGGAAATTATGCTGCAGTGAAAGACAAAGGTATTCCAGCCTCTGATTGCGCTGCAGAAGTCATCGCCATGGGATCGAATGTGTTAACGTTCAACGTGGGCGATCGTGTTGCGCCGATCTTCGATTTGAGCAATGTTACCGGCACAGAGGAGGAAGCAGCCATGAGACTAGGTGGCGATGTCGATGGGGTCTTACGAGAGTTTGCGGTCTTTGATCAGAGAGAGCTAGTACGCCTGCCTGATCATCTGTCTTGGGAAGAGGTGAGAATTGACTCCAAGAAACTCAACTGGTACATACTTACATTCTGACTGCTAATGATAGGCTGCTTGCATAACATGTGCCGGAACCACTGCATGGACGGCTTTGAATATGCCACGGACGAATGGTACAGCTTTGCTTCAAGGTACATTATATCCTACCAGGTTATAATTCCAAAATATTCAAAATACTGATATATGCTTCTATCCAGGGACCGGCGGAGTAAGCATGTTTGCCATTCTAATTTGTTTAGCTGCCGGTATCCACCCAATTATCATGTCTTCCTCCGACGACAAACTCAGTATAGTGTGTTCCCTGGGTAAGGCTGGCGCCGTGGATACGATTAATTATCGCATCCACCCTCAATGGGACCAAGAAGTGCTTCGACTCACCAACGGACGCGGCGTCGATGTCGTTATCGAGAACGTGGGGCAGACGACTCTATCTCGAAGCCTGTCATCGCTCGCTAAACGAGGCACCGTTTCCTTGGTCGGCTTTCTAGGAGGCCATTCGGTGGATCAATATCCTAATACCATGACACCCCTTCTGGCCAAGCAAGCGACAATGAGGTGCGTGTAACCCATATACCTTAATCAAACCGGGAAATGGCCTTAGAAGCGATTTTCTTGAGGCTTCTATGAAAACTAATCCTGCTTATTGGTCACAGAGGACATATCGTGGGATCTAAAATTGATCAACAGAATCTCTGCGATTTCTTAACAGAGAAGAACATACGACTTGATCCTATTATAGATAAAACATCGTTTAGCTTTGAGGAGTCGCAGGCGGCGTTTGATTATCTATATGCCGCCAAACATATGGGGAAAATCGTTATCAAGATCAGTCATTGATCTATGCCAAGGTCTCATGCCGATGGAGCCTCGCTCGTCAGGTTGGTGCAATAATTTGGTTATTTTAGATATGTTAAGTGGAAATACTATTGCAAATGGACTAGAGGGAAACCTGGACATTTTGTGTTATATTCTCCGATATGGCTTCCAATTATGTTAGGTCCAGGCGCATGTCTTACCATAATGACGTTGGGCTTTGCAGCGGCTACCCAACCCGACAATTCTTCAACGAGTCGGTATTCCCAGTTCATACCTCTATAGTCTATATCAGATCGCTTTTTGATATGTATCGAAACATCTTCACCACCGGAATGTAAAGTGAAATTCTACTCAAATAGAAAAAGAAAACAATATACTATTAGAAGGTTGGGTGATTTTTCCATTTTTCTACATATATCCTTCTCCCTTATAAAACACAATTATGCAAAGTTCCAAAAGGCACGACAGTAATCAACATACTAAAGTCGAAAGAGTGTATACTTGGATGAATACGCTAGCCCATCCGGATCGATTGACTACCTCTTGCAATTGTTCACACCCACTCCAACATCCCAAACCGGTCAACCGGACCAAAAGCCTCATATAACGGATCCAACCACCGATCCACAATCCACAAATACCCATTTGAGGTCTCTACCTGGGTGACGAGGCCCGCATTCATGATGAATATGGCGCCGTTTGACTGAGTCACGGTGAGGTTTAGCCCTGTGATGTCGCTGGTCACCGTCAGAGGACTATCGAAAGATAGCCCGGAAAGCTTTTCCCCGTTGCTATCGAGCCACCCGTATTGCCACATTAGAGTGTTAAAGGGGCTTTTGTATGGTGCTACTAGGGTGTCTTTTCCTTCCGGTTAGTGGGTAGATTCCATGATTTTCATATAGGAGTAAATAGTGGTATAACTTACGGAATACAGGAAGGATTGTAGGCATTAGATCATAGGCTTCGTTATGCGGAGCCACGAAGAACTGCTTCTCGTTCGATTGTGTCGATAGTCGGCGCAGGGTATCAGGGGAGTTTATCTTGAGGATCTTCGATGAGTTCACGAGGCGGGAGTCGGTGGCTAAGAGGCCACCAATAGTCAAGTTCGTTGTCTCCATTGTGGGTTTGGCGGTTCGATTACTCGGTCCTCCGCCGTAGATTAGGAATGGGTCAATGACCTGATCGATTGTATGGATTAGGCCATTATCTGCCTCGATGTCTGGTGTTACGATGGCAGCCTGGTCATCGATCTGGACGGTGCAGTTGGAGGAGGTCCTGGAGTCGATGTAATACCCCTGGACGGTTTTGGTTAAGATACCGTGGTGGTATTGCGCCGTTGTGTTGGATAGTTGGAGGGAGGTGGCGATGCCTCCGGCCCCTTGGGTACTGATTATGTTGGTGAGGTCGGAGGCTGTGAGACGGGCTTCGATGATGTGGGTGCGTAGGAGGGCTTCAGTTAGGGGGTAGGCTTGTTGGGTCATGAGGATGTCGAAGATGGGTGCAGGGATTTTGGACCATGCCTGTGGGGTTCATTGATCAGTTATGTTTGGTGAGGTGGGGATTGGCAGGTGGAGGGAGACTTACGGCGTTGGTGGGGGCGAGGAAGGTGTAGTTGCGTTTGTCTTCGTCGTAGTTGTAGCGTTTGGTAAATAGTGGGTTGATCTCAACGATGCCGCCGGTTAGGTTGTAGACGTGGGCGTATGTGGATAGTTCGGGAATTTGGAGGAATGTGTCCATGAGGGGGGATGCTAGGATGTGGGTGATGATTGCAGACAGTGCTGCGATTGTTGGGAGGAGATGCATGTTGGTTTGGGTGTGTGATGAGGATGTATGTGAGGGAGGCTTGCTGGTGGTTAAGGGTGTGTTGATTCTACTACGATCGATTTGGTTAGTTTTTATATACAGATACAACTGAGTCGATATCAATATGAGAATCTTAGATTGCCGAGAGCAGGGCTTATTTCCAGCTTACTGCGGGGAAATATTCCATATAATTGGATTAAATGGGTTGCGATATCAGAATCGGTCTTAATTCCCGCATCCATCTTAGTGATGACATTGGGGTGAGACGAAGCAAACATCTATACTCAATACTATTGGTCGATCCGAACCATGTAAGACAGATGACCGTCCTTGTGATACGTGCAGTGGCCCATTCTCGGGGGGCCTAATGCGTTCTCGAACATGAAAAACCATGACATGCGTGTAGTCTGTAGTTTGTAGATGATACCAGTGGGTATCCGGCAGAAGGTCTCTCATGATCTATTCACGGCCTTTGGTGACAGGTATATGAGGATGCCAACCTATCGGAAGGGAGGGACCAGTGTACAGTGTACAACGCGGTCCTAGTGATGAAATAGACAATCAAGAAGACATGTCTCACCTCCAGAAAGCAAGACAAATGCATTCGAACTATCCCTGAAATGATGCACCTGCAACCCATAGATAATCTATATATATAAATCTACTGCACTATGTCTACAAACTTAAAAATAAAAACCACTATATAAAGGAACGATGTACCTTCTAGATGTCTCATGACCGGTGCAAACTCTCCATAAGGTCTAAAACCAATCCTTCGAGTCACCCTAGTTCACAGTTGAGGGTTACCACGTGGCAGTGGCTCCTGGTTGCCTGAAAAATCCATTATATCCGAACACCGGATTCGCTTATGCTTGTAATGCGACATTGCGACCGGGTACTATGCATAATGCAGTCATCCTTGCTCATGACTGGGGCGGGTAAGTCATTCTCCGTAGCCGGCTCGTTGCTGACTATGCCAGCTGCATTCCATATTCGCAGTGCATCCTGTGCGGATCTCAAGCTGCTCAGATTGTTTTTCTTCCCCAGTCCGGGGAAATAACCTGCATTACGACGTCATTTGTGCAGTTATATTTCTTTCCACAGGCATGATAGAAGGACGCTTGCCCGAGTCCGCGTCTTGCGATGTCTCCCACTTACAATGAGAATGAGGCATATTAACCCTAGCCTGTTACCGATTGCTAAAGCTAGCACGTACCGCCCCAAGCATGCTACGCTTTGTTCTGCGCTCTCTTCGTCAAATCTGGCTGTGGATACTCTGGGGAGGCTCTACGGCCGAAAAAGCGGGAATCCAGCCTCAACAAATATATATCGGGGCGACGACCACTCACTTCAAACTAACCTGGCAGCTCATCTAACAAGGATTGGCGCTTTCATAGTTACCTACACTTCCAACGCTGGGCTGACGTTACTGCTCAGTCACTGATCTACATTGGATGTTGAGAGAGTGTACCTGATTCTTCCACGTGACCACATCGGGTCGATCAAGTCAGTGCTTCACTCGTTCCTGACGATCGAAATACGGAGTGTCGATCAGGGCGATGAGACGGCTAGCTATGTGGTACAATTGCTTATTGATACATATAGCCACTTACTAAAAATCAGGGTCAAGATGTCAATCGGTAATCCAAACATATGTCGTCTGGGATAGCCTACAGCACCGGAGCATTGAGGCATTAAGCATTCACTTGCTGAGAGGTGTCCGGAGTACTCCGTCCCCACAGGCGAACCAGTGGCACGGGCTTTACCGTGCAGAAACTCTACCTCTGAAGATGGCGATCCAGGAGAACCTAGTGACTGGTCCCATTTTGGATACCGAGGAACTTCGCTTCGTCATATGATTGACAAAGACAGCAAGATGGCATGATTTTACCAATCATGAGATCTGTCTATAGTCCAAACAATTGTCTGACATGATGGAAGGGCTTGCTTTCTGACAATGTTCGAGGAGATGAATGGCATTCATTGGTTTGGCCACACCCCTGTCTGCCACTGCAGGAATGTGCAAAGGCAACCACATTCCACCACGCGGCATTCACGGGAATTCCTCTAGTTTGCTCACGGCACTTTGAGTGGAGGTTCCTGGGATGCTGCATGAGTGTCAGGGACGATCGCAATTTCGTTCCGGGGCCCCGCACCCCAATGGGAAAAACCCCGGCGGCACGGGTGCAGGTCAGCCCTAGACACGGGCATTCTGCGAGCCCTGATATCTCGTCTGCGGGGTATCTCCCCTCACACATTGGAAGCCCGGCGGAGAACCTATTGATGGCATCACAGGTGACTCTTCATCCTCCAAAGGATTTTCACCTTATCCCGAGTTATTGGAGGAAAATCCTCCACGGCAGTGAGACATGCCACTTTTCCCATGCACGAAGGTTATAAATATGTGGCTCTATCCCTGCGATATCCTGCTCGACTACTGCTTACCACTGTCTCAACGGTGTCTAATATGTTCTCTCGACGAAGCCTGATTGCCCTAGGGCTCGTGGCCACGGCCACCGCTGGTCCCTGTGATATCTATGCCGATGGCGACACCCCCTGTGTTGCTGCGCACAGCACCACTCGTGCCTTGTACAGTTCCTTCTCTGGTGCCCTCTATCAGGTGAAGCGTGGTTCAGATAATGAGACTACCACCATCTCGCCGCTGTCCGCCGGCGGTGTCGCGGATGCCGCTGCCCAAGACACCTTCTGTGCCAACACCACCTGCCTCATCACCGAAATCTATGACCAGTCCGGCAACGAGAATCATCTCACCCAGGCCCCTCCTGGTGGTTTCGATGGCCCGGATGTCGACGGCTATGACAACTTGGCCAGTGCCATTGGTGCCCCTGTCACCCTGAACGGCCAGAAGGCATACGGCGTCTTCGTCTCACCCGGTACCGGCTACCGCATCGACAAGGGCAACGGCGTTGCCACCGGGGATGAGGCAGAGGGCATGTACGCCGTCCTGGACGGTACCCACTACAACGGAGAGTGCTGCTTCGACTACGGCAATGCCGAGACTAGTAACACCGACACGGGTGCCGGCCACATGGAGGCCATCTACCTTGGCAACAGCACCGCCTGGGGCTATGGTGCCGGCGACGGTCCTTGGCTCATGGTCGACATGGAGAACAACCTGTTCTCCGGTGCCGACGAGGGATACAACTCGGGCGACCCGAGCATCTCCTATCGCTTCCTCGCGGCTGCCGTCAAGGGTGGCCCTGACGAGTGGTCCATCCGCGGTGCCAACGCCGCGTCCGGGTCCCTCTCGACTTACTACAGTGGCGTGCGTCCCGACTACACGGGCTACAATCCCATGAGTAAGGAGGGCTCCATCATTCTGGGTATCGGTGGCGATAACAGCAACGGCGCTCAGGGTACCTTCTACGAGGGCGTCATGACCTCGGGCTACCCGTCCGATGCCACTGAAAATTCGGTCCAGGCCAACATCGTCGATGCTGGATACGCCGTCACGTCGCTGACCAGCGGACCCACGCTCACAGCAGGAGACACCATCTCCCTGCGCGTCACCACCCCGGGCTACACGACCCGCTACATCGCCCACACTGACACCACCGTCAACACCCAGGTTGTCTCTTCGTCCAGCAGCACCACTCTCCAGGAGGAGGCCAGCTGGAAGGTGGTCACCGGTCTGGCCTACAGCGGTTGCTTCTCCTTTGAATCCGTCGACACCCCGGCAGCTATATCCGGCACTACAACTTTGCCCTGCTGCTCAATGCCAACGATGGCACCAAGCAGTTCCACGAGGATGCCACCTTCTGCCCGCAGGCTGCTCTCAACGGAGAGGGCACCTCGCTTCGCTCCTGGAGCTATCCTACCCGCTACTTCCGTCACTTTGATGATGTGCTGTATGCGGCCAGCAACGGAGGCGTTCAGACATTTGATGCTACTGCGTCGTTCAACAATGACGTGAGCTTTGAGATTTACACTGGGTTTGCTTGAGCACCAGAGTGCCACTGATAGTATGTAAATAGACATTATTGGTGGTACGTAGGACTACTGTATATAATTGTCTCTTGACTCAATGAATAAGTTTATGCTTTATTACAGTTTCTGTAAATCATCACCCACAGCAATTACTATCGTCTAGAACCTGAGGTCATACGCGCAGATCATGGAGTAATTGAAAGAGCAAAGGAACCAATGTCAGAAGTGATCAAACCGAACACTGTCTACGGTACAGTTAACATGCTGGCATCTGCAAGATGACTATACTGAGTAACCCCACTGATAAATCGAATAGAGTACGCTGCAAACATCACATCATTATCACTACGATCAATTGCCCAGCCCACAGCTAGTCTGATAGAAGTAGGGCGAGCACAGCAACAGCACCGCCAGCATCAACCCATACTTGACCCAGTCACGGCCCCGAGCATTGCCTGCAGCATTGGCACTGCCAGACTCCAGATGACCAGCAACTCTCCACACATCCTGTACCACCTTATCATCCCCCAACGCTTCTTCTCCTCCATCCCCTTACCACCACCCCCCACAACGAATTCCATTTCACCTTCACTTCAAACAGTCAGAACCACTCAATTCAAGCTCACAAAAGAAAAGAACCAAGACGAAAAAAAAAAAGGATATCATTTACACATTCAGCACCATCCTCAAATACCCCATAACCTTCTCCACCAAAAACCGTCTCGGCTCCGCCTGATCATCATTACTCAAGGCATGCGACGCATTGGGAATAACAGCCGTATGCTCATCATCCCAAATCTCCCTCCCATCAACACTGCCCCGATTCGTAATCCCCTTCCACTTCCTCAACAACGCCTCCTTATCCACCCAATCCGGCACCGACTGATCTTTCCCAGAATGCAACACCATCAGCTTCCCCCTCAACAACCCCCCCTTCCCCACCATCCCAAACGTCCTCTCCAACTGCTCATCCCCCAAATCCGAACTAAACATATCATCCTCCCCGGGATTCTCGGGACTATCCGGACTCACCAAACTCAACAACCGCCTCGCACTGAGCGGCGTGTTCGCCGGATACGCAAACGAAGTCAACTCAATCGGCAACATCGTATCATAAACCCCGCCCTTCCCACTCAACCTCTCCCGTTCCGCCTCCCTCGCCATCTTCACAATCTTCTCATAAACCTCCCGACACTCCTCCCCACTCTTCCCCCCCATCCCATTCTCCAACACCCACCCAATCGCCTCCCGATCACTAACCGGCGCTTGCATAATCGCCCCGTCCAGCGGAACCCGCACCACATGCTCCAAATACGGATCAAACGCGGGCTTACTCGTATGCGGATTCGGTCTCGACAGGTAATGCATCACGCACTGACTCCCCGTCGAGTGTCCCATCAGCACGATCTTCCCGTTTCCGTCCGGGTACTTGGATTGCTTGTATTCTTGGATGTAGCGGATACATTGGGCGATTTCGTCGGTGTCGCGGTCGAGGTGGCCCAGACCCCAGGATTGGTAGGAGGAGGTGAGGTTGAGGGTGAAGAGGGACCAGGGGGTGGATTTTAGGGCTGAGGCGATGTCCGCCATGTAGGAGGTTGTGGCGAGGCCGTCGCCGAGACCGCCGACGAAGAGGAGACTGTGTGGTTGTGAGAGGGTTTGCGTGGTGTATTCGAAGGTTACGAGGGTTTCGGTCTATTTTTGTTAGTTGGGAGGAGAGGAGGGGGTTGGATGGTGATTAGGGGGGTTGGAATGGGAGGGATTTGGGGGGAGACGTACGTAGTGGTGAAGAATACCGGGCAGTCCGCCCTTGGGCCAGAATTTGGAGTACATTGTGTTGTGTTGTGTTGCGTTGTTGAGAACTAAGCTCTGTGTGTGTGTGTGTGTGTGTGTAGAGAAAGTAGTGTAGTGTAGTTGCAAAAACCAAAGGCCAAAATCCTTCCACAATCAACCACCCCCCTAGCAGACTTATGTACTATCAGGTGGATGGTCGCGACGCGAAACGCCTATCAGCGGAAGTAAAGTATTTCCGAGATCGGATGCCTCGGCAATCACGACACTACACTACGATGCTTAGTTCCGTGGTTTGGGATTGTGGGAGTGGGAGTGAGGCCGGAAATTCGCGACCCGATATTAACCCTCCCTCACTCACTCACTCATCTGGGGCGAGCTTTCTTCTTGGTGGAATTGGGAGTGGATCACTGTGTAATCAAGTAAATAACGCAAGTATGCGCTAGTACCTGGTAAGGTGGGTGGGGCTATGGGCCAAATGATTGATAAGACTAATCAGATCAGATAGTCCATGGGCATGCAGGTCCACTGCGCTAATATGGCGTGTGTTGAAACAGGGTTAGGAGTGTGCGAATAATCCCTCAGCAGAAATTCTCCGAGGCGTGGATGTGGTGGTGTCAATAGGTGTGTGTGAGTGATAGATTGGCAGGGTTGTGGTGGTAGTCGCTGTAAGCGAGTTGGCTTGGTGGGTTAGGTTCTGATGTTGGGCCTTGGGATGGTTTATGATCTGATTATTATTTCATCACGATTTCGGTGAGTTGTTCGGTTGTGGGCGAAAATATTCTGTGGGTGTGGGTGGGGCTGGCTCTCCGGGTCGTATGATGGTCGGATAGGATCAAATCTCGCCGTAGCCTAGAAGAGCGTCACCGAGATAATCTAATCTGATTGCGGTTCACCTATGACCGAAGTCAAAGTACGGAGAGGTGATGGGAAAATCGAGCAGTCCAATCCACATTTTGGATGAACAGCGGGTTGGAGCACGTGGCGTTCATCGGTACGGAGGATTGTGTAACTGATTGAGTTCTGGGTCGGGTCTTCTTTCGATGTGATGTCGGGATTGTGGGCGGCTGGTGGAATTCTAGAGATTTCGAGTGGGATTCTATCGAAATTCTTTTCAATGCATCTCTTACTCAGATCTACCTTTGTCATTGGCATAGGAGCCATTCTGATACGCACAGCAAGACTGCTAAGACTTTTACCACGCAGGATAAAAGCTTCCGAGACAGACGACATCCTGCCTCAATGCTACCCGACGGCTACAGCCGCCGGTGATTTCTCTCCTCTCTTTTTTCTTTTTTTTTTTCTTGCTTTCTTTTCCCGCTGCCAAGTGGTCACAAATACAATAGCGTAACATTGTACCGTAACTTATCTGTCCTGAAATACGTCGACCCACCTGTCCAGTAACATCATGTAATACCATATTTCAATACAATCCAATACCCAGCTAGTTACGTATCCAACACCAAGACATCATCCACCTCAGTTATCTGATTGACTCCACCGATTATATTCTCACCATCAAACTACAGCATGCACATGCCCACCAGAGCTACGGAGTATTGTGACTCATTCTAACATCTCTGCAATCCACGAACCGTGGTCGCAGTCCACCCGCCAAGGCGAGTTATCTCGGATCAGATAACTTTCTCGGTCACAGAAGGCCAAATTGCGTGTCTCACTAGTCCTCGGCTAGTCGCTTGGCGTGGTCCGTGCCGCCACAATTTGTCCGATGTTGCAACGGCTGTCCGTTGTGCTGCACACTGTATACCCGCTCGGTAGATGCAGTGAGTCCACAGATTTCCCGCAATGGCCGATCTCGGTAGAATACTCGTAATAATAATAGACTCACGGGTGCCTCGGGATGATGACCTAACTGGGCTCTGCTCGATCAGATAATAATATACACCCACCGCTTCGGTGCGTTGGGCATTTGCGAACCTTGTGATTGAATTGAAGTGATCGGGCTGTCGGAATACCCCTCTTACCCCTCCCCCTCCTCCCTCTAACCCAGCTGGACTGCCACGGAATGGGCAACACGCAAACACAGAATCAACGGGGTCAGGATTCACTCGACATGGCGGATGTTAGGTCATTTGAGGCCGCTGGTTTGGCGGCTGCCACTGCCTCCGGCATGAAAGAGGAGCTTCTGCTGGTATCTTGGCTGATTGTGCTTTTGCGTACACGAGAAGATGGCCAGGCCACGTATGAATGGTCGTACAAGGGCCAGAACACAGTAAACAAGTGTGTGTCGACGGAGATGATGACAGACTTGCGCAGTACAGTGGGGCAGACTGCTGAAGCGATTGCCCGCAATATCGCACCCCTCCAGGAGACAGCCACCTCGGCGCTTGTTCTCAGCACGGGCGCTATCTCGCAATCATCCGAGGAACCTAAAGATGAGGTGAGTTGAGTTAGGCTTCTGACTGATTTCAACTAACCGAGCAAGGGTACTCTTCACCTCGAAACACAATACAATGACGGCCGTCTCGAGATCCGACCGGTCTGGCAGTCCGAAACCATGCTCCCTTATACCGCAACGCGACACATCAACAGCCTCATCGACACCGTGCAAATCGTCCTTTCCAACCCCGATGCCTCCATCGAGGACTGCCTCCGCCCGACTACGAGCGACTTGACCGACTTATGGTCGTGGAATCACGAACTCCCCCCATCCTACGATTTCGGTATGCACAAAGAAATCTCCAGACAAGCCCGCAAAACTCCGGGCAAGGTGGCTATCGACTCGTGGGACGGCAGTCTGACATACGGCGAGATCGAGCGATATTCTACGTTTGTTGCGACCACACTCAAGGAGATGGGCGCGGAGCCACAAGATTTTATCCCAGTGTGTTTTGAGAAATCGAGGTGGACGATCGTTGCCGTCCTGGCGGTTATGAAGGCGGGATGCACATTTGCGATGATGGACCCCACACTTCCACTCGCCCGTCTGCAGAATATGGCGACACAAATCAATGCGAGAATAATGGTGTCTTCTAGCATGCAGCGGGAACTGTCAAAAGAGATCATTCCCGGCGGAAAGTTCTTCGTCGTGGAAGAGGACGCGTTCACAGATGTCCCCCAGCTGGAGGACCTGCCCACGTTACCAACCGTACCTGCATCCACCATCATGTACTTGATCTTCACCTCCGGAAGCACGGGCACGCCCAAAGGTGTCAAGGTCTCCCATGGAAGCTACACGAGCAGTGCCTTCCCACGAGCCAAAGCCGTGGGGTACAATGAGGAGTCACGGGTCCTTGACTTTGCGTCGTACGCCTTCGACGTCAGCATCGATAGTATGCTGCTGACGTTGGGCAATAACGGGTGTCTGTGCATTCCCTCCGACGAGGACCGACTGAACGACATCAACGGAGTCATCCGCAACATGCGGGTGAACTATGCTGGCATAACCCCCTCCGTGGCCCGGATCCTGGAGTCGGATGTTATTTCGTCGCTCAGTGCCCTCGGACTCGGAGGAGAGGCGGCCTCGGCCAGAGACGTAAACCTCTGGGGTCAAGATACGCGCATTATCATCGGCTACGGTCCCTGTGAGTGCACGATCGGATGCACGGTGAACAGCAGCGCGGCCACAGGCAGAGACTACATCTCCATCGGACCCGGCAATGGTGCCGTCATCTGGATTGTCAACCCCAATGACCACGAGGAGTTGATGCCAGTGGGTGCCGTCGGTGAGCTGCTTGTCGAGGGACCGATTGTCGGACAGGGCTATTTGAACGACCCCGAAAAGACCGCCGCTGCGTTTATCGAAGATCCGAAGTGGCTGGTTGCGGGCCACAAGGACTACGCTGGTCGTCGGGGCCGTCTGTACAAGACGGGAGATCTTGGAAAGTATGATCCGGACGGGTCGGCAGGCATTCTTTTCGCTGGACGAAAGGATACCCAGGTTAAGCTGCGCGGACAGCGTGTCGAGCTCGGCGAGATCGAGAGTCAGCTCAAGGCCAGACTGCCATCGGAAGCCACCGTCATTGCCGAGGTGATTGTTCCTCAAGGATCAGGGAACCAAGCTACGCTTGTGGCCTTCATCTCATCCCAGGCTACCAAAGGAGTTGATACCACAGAGCTCAGCTCAGTCGAGCTCCCTGAAGAGCTTAGCAAGACCTTGTCCGAAGCCGACGCAGAGGTGAAAAAGGTCTTGCCGCGATACATGGTGCCCACTGCCTACATCCCCGTCAGTCACATTCCGGTCTTAATTTCCGGCAAGACGGATCGCCGACGCCTGCGGCAGTTTGGAACCTCCGTGGACCTGCGCGAGCTGGATCAGGGTGCCGCAAGCACCGCTGGTCGAGAGTTGACCGACCTGGAGCAACGTCTGCGGCAAGCCTGGAGCCAGACCTTGAAGCTCGAGGCAGAAAAAATCCGTCCAGACGACAATTTCTTCGCCCTTGGTGGAGACTCGTTGGCTGCCATGAGACTGGCGTCTGTTTGTCGGGCACAAGGGCTGGATCTTTCGGTTGCTAACACGTTTGGTCACCCCACACTCTCCGCGATGGCTAGCGTTGTCCTCATCTGCGATGTCGAGACTCAGACCGAGACACCAGCATTCTCTTTAATCTCTCAAGCTGCCGAAAGCGCCTGCCAGGAAGCAGCACAGGTGTACGGTTTTGATCAAGCGGCAATTGAAGACATCTACCCCTGCACACCGACTCAAGAGTCTCTTTTCACCTTCTCGCTCAAGTCGGTCAAGGCATACGTCGCTCAGAGATTGGCCTGCATTCCGGCAGACGTCGATCTCGATGCATGGAAGCATGCATGGGAGGAGGTTGTTGCCGCCATTCCCATCCTGCGCACCCGCGTGGCCCAGCTCCAAGAGCCTGGCCTTCAACAAGTTGTCTTAAAGGACAGCATTTCGTGGAAGCACTCGACGGATCTCGCCCAGTATCTCGAGGAAGACCGGAACGAGAAGATGAACCTTGGAGAAAGACTAGCCCGCTACGCCATAATCGACCATCCCGCTGATGGCAAGCGATACATGGTCTGGACAGTCCACCACGTCCTCTACGACGGATGGTCCGAGCCGATCATTCTGAAAAAGGTTAGCGAGGTCTTGCAGAATCAGAAGCCCGAGGTGCAGGCCCAGATGAGGGATTTCGTCAAGTATGTGCGCGACACCGACGAGGCCGCCATGGAAGAATTCTGGCGCCGCGAGCTGAAAGGAGCTGTCGGGCCCCAGTTCCCTCGCCTGCCTTCAAGAGATTATCTGCCCATTCCAGATGGCATGATTGAGCGTCAGATTCCTCTGGAAACCAGTGCGGGATCCCCATTCACCATGGCCACTTTGATTCGAGCTGCATGGGCGCTCGTTGCGTCGCAGTACACTGGAAATGATGACGTCGTCTTCGGTGAGACACTAACCGGACGAGATATCTCGTTGGCTGGCGTTGAGAGCATTGTCGGTCCATTGATTGCCACAGTCCCCATCCGCATCCACATCAACCGAGCGAGCACCGTTGAGTCCTACCTCCAGACCGTGCAGCAAGGAATCCTGTCCCGAACCCCGTACCAGCACATGGGCATGCAGAACATCCGAAAGGTCAGCCATGATGCCCAGCATGCGTGTGAAGCACCTACTGGATTGGTTGTCCAGCCCGAGCCCGAATACGTGGGAAGTGAGCTCGGCTTTGAGCTGGGCGACGTTGTTCGTGAGGCACTCCACTTCAACCCATACCCCTTGATGCTGGGCTGTGGGATCCGCAAGGGCGGCTTCCGGATCTGTGCCAGCTTTGACAGCGCCTTAGTCGAGGTATCGCAGATGGAACGGATTCTTGCGCAGATCGAAGCAGCCTGCACGCAGCTGAGCAAGAATCTTTCTCGGAGTATCGACGAGATCTCTTGCCTTCCTGCGGCTGAATTGAACCAGATCTGGAAGTGGAACCAAACTCCCCCGTTGTCCTTGGACGTTACATCCAAGAGGCTTCGCGCAGAGGAAAGCATCAAGGAAGGGTCCGCTTATCCTCAGGCAGTGGTTCCTTGGGTCTGCGATGCGCGCAACCCGTCGCTCTTGTCGCCAATTGGCTGCGTTGGTGAACTCTGGCTTGAAGGAGCCATTCTCACCGGGGAGACCGTGCAATCCCCCGCCTGGCTTGTGGCAGGAAGCTCCGAGCATGCTGGTCGAGCCGGGCGAGTGCAGGCCACTGGTGACCTTGTTCAGCTGCGGGAGGATAACAGCCTGATCTTTGTGGGACGCAAGGAGAATGTCATGTCAGTGCAGGGACATGCGGTGAATATCGCCGAGGTCGAAGCCCAGTTCACCAGAAATCTGCCGTCGACGGTGCGCGCCGCAGCTGCCGTGTCTCAGCCATCGGATGCAGAGCCCGAGCTAGTCGTCTTTATCGAGGAACCACCTTCCAACCAAGACAGCCTTGAGCTCATGCCGACGGAGCATGAGGTCCGTTGCAACATAGACTCGCAGACCTTTGAGGCGACCATCCGTGCCACAATCGCCGTCGATTTGGCGGTGGCCCTGAAGAAGCTCGACAAGTTTATTCACGACTCTCTCCCCTCCTACATGGCCCCGTTTGCGTATATTGTCGTCGACCGGATCCCCAACCACAACGCTCTCAACCAGCTTGCCTCGAGCATCCACCGAGACCTCCTCGTCCAGCTGCGCGATGCCTCCAAGCAGGCATTAGCCAAGGCATCGGCGCAGACGAACTTGACGCCCTCCGAGGCTATTCTGCGTTCCGCCTGGGCCGCTATCCTCAAGCTCAACCCCGAGCAGATCGATGTCGACGACAACTTCTTCCGCCTCGGTGGCGACTCCGTCCTCGCCATGAAGCTCGTCTCGAGTCTCCGCGCCCAGGGACACGGCTTGACCGTGGCCGACATCTTCCAGCGCATGCGTCTCGGGGATGCTGCCAAGGTTCTGCGCGTGAACGTCATCTCCAAGGAAGAAAAGGCTCAGCCTTACCGTGCTTTCTCCACACTCGGCCAGATTGACAACATCGAAGCGTTCCTGTCCGAGAAAATTCGTCCCAAGCTGGCTAATCCCCAATGGTCAATCCGTGATGTCCTCCCAGTCACCGACTCCCAAGCCCTCGACGTCCGCGCCACTGTTCAGCCTCCGCGCACCTCCATCCAGTACACGATGCTGTACATGGACAAGGACATTGACCGGGTGCGACTGCTCCGTGCCTGCCACGAGCTCGTCCAGGCGCACGACATCCTGCGCACTGTCTTCATCCCCCAAGAATCCAGTTTCTCGCAAGTCGTGATTGACAAGCTCGAGGCCCCCGTGGCCATGCATCAAGCTATCACCTCCAACCTCGAAGAAGAGGTGGCCTCCATCTGCAAGACTCACACCGAATCCGCCTTCCAGCTGGGATCACCCTTTACACAGTTCCTCCACGTCGAAGACCCCACAACGAGTCAATCATGCCTAATCATCGGCCTCTCTCACGCCCAATATGACGGCGTCTCCCTGCCTCTCCTCCTCCGCGACCTCGAAATCCTCTACATTGGCACCTCCGCTATCCCCACCCCCAATCCCTTCTCGGCCTACATCTCCCACACCCTCTCCCCAGCGCCCCAAACCAAAGCCCTCACCTACTGGCGCACTCTCCTCCAGGACTCCACCCTCACCACCTTCGCCGGCTCAGCCATCCAACCCGGCGACAAATCCATCTTCCACACCAAGCCCATCTCCACGCCCTTCCCCTTCAACCTGGAAGAAATCACCACCGCCACCCTCCTCACCTCCGCCTGGGCCCTCCTCCTCGCCCGCCGTCTCCACACCGACGACATCACCTTCGGCGCCGTCACTTCCGGCCGCACCCTCTCTTCCCTCCCGGATGTCGACTCCATCATGGGCCCCTGCTACCAGCTCACACCGACGCGGGTCCGCTTCCAACCCACCTGGCATGCCATGGACCTGCTCCGGTACGTGCAGAACCAGAGCGCCGAGTCGGCGGAGTATGATTTCCTGGGCTTCGACAAGATCGCGGCTGCCTGTGGATGGGAAGGATACTTTGATTCGGTGGTACACCATCAGGATTGGCATGACTTTGACACCATGCCGTTTGCGGGTGGAGAATGTAAGGTTGATATTCTGAATCCCGATGGAGATGCGGCATATCCGATGAAAGTAGTTTCGTTTGTGAAGGAGGGAGTGATGCATGTTGGTGTGGTGGGAAGTGAACGGGATGTAAGCTTTGTGGATGAGACGTTGGACCAGTTGGCGAAGGTTGTGGAGGCGTTGGTGAGTGGGGGTGAGATGACGGGGGTTTGTTAGTTGTGTTTTGTGATGTGATGACGTTTTAGCATCCTGCATTTATCCAAATTTAGTTTCTATTGACAGACAGATTTATACTTATCCTAAGCTGTTCAACAATCGACTTGTTGCCTTGTGAAATGGGTGCCAGTACATCATTAATCTGGCCGGTGTGCCTGTAGCGCCAGCCCCCTTCACGAAATGCACTGGGGTCGTATCCGGGGTCTGTCGGCCCCAGTGAAGTGATTGGTTGCAGCATGAATACAGCTTTACCGTGTTAGTGATGCGCGTATGATGGATAGTGATGAAAAACGATGAATAGGGGATGGCTGAATCCCGGACAGGTTGCAGGAGGTGGGAGAGATGGATGGCCCCCCAGGAGCCATGAGAGCGGTCCTCCCCGGCAGAATTCAACAAACAACATGATTAGTTAGTTCGTGTCAGATCTGATAAGATCAACCACACTACTCCGTACCATAGTACCATCTTCAATCAACTATGGTACTGAGTGTATAGCCTCTGTAAGTCTGTATAGGTTGAGCTACAGAGTAAAATGATACATACGACCACAGGGTGTGGAGAACAGGGCTTCCCGTCCGCTCAGCCGTACTTAAGCCACACGCCGGGAGGTTAGTAGTTGGGTGGGTGACCACCAGCGAATCCCTTCTGTTGTATGTTTTTATTCCTTTTGAATTATCTATTCCAACTTGTATTTTTTCTACTAAACCATACATACATATATATACCTACTACTTATTTGACTAGATGACAAGTATATCACCCACCAGCTTTCAAGCAGTTGTATACCTATCCAAAAGATCTCCCACAATCCCTTCCATCTCCTCTTGGCTCGGGTCACCTCCATCCTCTAACACAAATTCAACCGGAGTTGCAAGTCTTCTTTCCCGGGACTCGTGATGCAAACCCCCGAGATCAACTTCTTCCATTCCGTAGACGCGAGGTTCGGAAAGTCGAGGTGCATCATTCTCCCGCTTGACATGCGAAGTACGGTCAAGCTGGACCTCGTTATCCACACTTGTCAAACTAGGCATGTTTTCGTCGCCGTCCTCCTCTATATCGAACTTCGGCGTCGAGCTGAGACCGACACCTGCTACCCACCTTCGAATTCTGGGCAGAAGGCTATCCTTTTTCCTGTCATTGACTTTGAGTTCTGTTAGAGTACCGCTCGCCTGATATACTAGTCCTTCGCCTCGGACTCGGCGTGTGTGTGCGTATAATTCCTCTTGGAAGTCTTCCGAGATCCATTTTTTGATGATGATATGTTGGGATCCCCGATGGGCTCCCAGGCCGGTAGGCAACGTAGGGTCACGTGACGCTCCTCCCTACACCGCTAGTTAGTCCATATAGATGGCCTACGAGGCCCCTAGCTAGATCATCATCCATCTCATTCTACACGGTTGAATCGCCTTAGTAGCCACTCCACCATTACATCTCACCAGAAAGTATACCATTTCAGTGACAACAAAAAAATCAACGGTATCATATTATAACCTCATAAAAAGCAGTCTAAATTATTATAAAAGTAAGTAAGTAAAATCACTCCACCGTCTGATGCAACACATTCTCCCTATAACTCGCCGACCTCTCCATCAACTCCTCATGCGTGCCTTTATCCACACAAGCCCCCGCCTCAATCAAACATATCACATCTGCCTTGCGAATCGTCCTCAGTCGATGCGCAATCGCCACAACCGTAATCCCCTTCGCAGCCCTCTCCAACCCCTCCTCCAGTAACCGCTCACTCTCCGCATCCAACGCACTCGTCGACTCATCCAGAATCAACAAGCGGGGTTTGCGTACCAACGCCCGTGCAATTGATAACCGCTGCTTCTGACCACCCGAGAACTGGTTCCCGTTGGGTCCACACATCGTCTGGTATCCCTCCGGTAGGGCCATGATGGTATCGTGGATGTTGGCGAGCTTGCACGCTTCTTGGATTTCTTCGAGCGTGGCGGTGTGGTTGGGGGGTGCGCCCAGGCCGATGTTGAATTCGATGGTGCCTTCGAAGAGGACGCTTTCTTGGGGCACGAGGGAAATGGTGTCGCGGAAGCTGGGGGCGCGGGATTTCAGGTCCGCGTGGTCGATGGAGATGCTGCCCGAGGACGGGGTGTAGAGGCGTTCGATGAGGGAGATGATGGTGGATTTGCCGGCGCCGGAGGGGCCGACGAGGGCGCAGAATTTGCCGGGTTGGATGTCGAGGGTGAGGCCCTTGAGGACTTGGATGTCGGGGCGCGCGGGGTAGGCGAAGTGGACGTCGCGGAGTTGGATGCTGGCTGGGGTGGTGGGTTTGGGTTCGATGGTGGTGGTGGATTCAGGGTCAGAGGAGGAGGTGTGGGTAGGGACTCGGCCTTGCATTTTGTCGGAGCCGATTTCGATGAGTCCCAGGATGCGGGCCATGGCGCCACGTGCGCTGGAGAGTTCGGGGGCGAGGGCGAACATTTGACTCCAGAGGAGTGCGCTGACCAGGAGGGAGAAGACGACGATGAGGAATTGGGTTTGGGTGTAGGTGCCGGCGACGATCTGTTTGGCGCCCCACCAGTAGGCTAGTGCGTTGACCAGATTGCCGAGGAAGTAGGTCATGGATTGCCAGAGACTGGCTTGTAGGGTTACTTGGAGGGTTTCCTTGCGTGGTCCGGCGAGGGAGGCACGGTAGGTTTGGAGGATGTCGTTTTCGATGGAGAGCGCGGCGATGGTCTTGATGGAGGTGATGGCCTCCACGCCAATGTTGATGGACTGGGTGTAGGCGTTTTCGTGCTTTTCTTCAAACTTGCCGAGCACGCGGAGTTCCATGAGGCCAGCACCGAGGAGCAATGGGACGAGGGCTAGGCAGACCAGGGCGATCTTCCATGCGATGATGTGGGTGAGGATGATAGCTGCGATGAGATTGACGGTGATGGAGAAGAGCGTGCCGACAACGGAGCCGCTCAGTCCAGCCAGAGCATTACCGTCACGGGTGATGTAGGACAGCAACAGAGCAGGGCTGCGGCCGTTGGACTGGTGCCATTGGAGGTCTTGCTCAAATAGAGACCGGAAGGAGAGCACCCGGACGGTGTACACGATCTTTTCCGACACCCAGCCAAATCCAGCCCAGCTCACCACGTTGGCGAAGAACTCGATAATGGCAAGGATGAAGAACATGAGACCGTAAAAGTCACCGCGATTGCGAATGCTGGCGGCGCCATTGCAGGCGTTCAAGCTACCAACCGTGTTACCGAAGATGACAGCCTCACCAGAGAAGGCTCCACCGACAATGGTGGCTCCAATGAGGGCGAGAACAATATACAGGAGGTGAGGTCGCAGAGCAGGGGCATATCCTTTGACCAGAGCCCACAGGGACTTCTTCGGAGTCTCTGGTTCTTCCTCTTCGGCAGAGTCGGCCGGGGCTTCGGTCTCCGAGACCTTGGTCTCCTCGGTCTTCTCGAGGACCTCGTTGGAGAGACTGACCTTTTCGTTCTCTGCCTCGGTCAAGGAGGTGTCATCCGACTTGCTGATGCTGTCGACGCTGGCGGTGGTTTCGTTCTTCGCAGAGGTGGATCCCAGCGTCTGCAGCTTGACCAGGTCGGCGTACGCACCCTCCTTAGCCATCAGTTCGGCATGACTTCCCTGCTCGACGATGTGGCCCTTGGACATGACGATGATGTTGTCCGCACTGGTGATGGTCGACAGACGATGCGCAATGGTGATCATGGTTCTGCCGCTGGCGATGTTGTTGATGGCCCGCTGGATGCGCTGCTCACTGCGGGAATCCAGGGAGGCCGTGGCTTCGTCCAGGATGAGGACGGCAGGATCTTTGATCAAAGCGCGAGCAAGAGACACACGTTGCTTCTGACCACCACTGATAAGGCGACCGCTAGAGCCAACCATCGTACCGTATCCATGCTGTAGGGCTGAGATGAAGGTATCCGCATCAGCCAGCGTCGCGGCATGGCGGGCCATGTTGACGATTTCGACAATCTCGGCACCCCGTTTCTCGGCCGCAGCCATGAGACTGTGGCCCTCCCGGACATCGCTTGCAACGTCAGCCAGGTCGGAAGTAAGCAGTGCCATCTTGAGGCGTTCGTGGTTTGGGTTGCTCGAGTTCATCAAGCCATGGGCAATGTTTTCCAGCAGCGAGCGGTCCAGCAGCGAGGGCTCCTGTTGCACCAGACTGAGGAAGCTTCGCAGGTCACGGACGTTGACCTCCCGGAGGTCGTGGCCATCAAAGAGGATTTGTCCGTCCACAGGGTCATACAACCGAGTCACCAGGCCGGCAATGGTGGACTTGCCACTTCCCGACAGACCGACGAGGGCCGTGTGCTTGTTGGCAGGGATAGAAAGGCTGATCTGGTCGAGGACAGTGACCTCTGGGCGGGAAGGGTAGTTGAAGGTGACATTGTTGAACTCGAAGCCACCGGCCTGAGAAAGACGAATACCCTCCTCGGTCGTGCTGTCGATCTGGGGCTGGCGAGTGATATCATCACGCAGCTTCTCGAACGAGGCAGTAGCGGCGACAAACAGGTGGAGGAACGGTGCGACCTGGCTGAGTAGCAGGGTGGCTGTACTTGTTAGTATGCTTCATAATAAGGTTCCAGCCAACTTACCCTCAATCAAGACAAAGATGACAGTGAAAGTAGCACCCACGGTGACACCACTAGTGCTGTCATTCACGGCATCGGCAATGCGTCTACTTCCTTGCCAGAAGGCCAGACCGTTGGCCGAGTAGGCGATAAAGTACAAGAAACCAGACTGGATGCCCACGGCCGTCGCCTTCTTCAAGCCCTCCTGCTCGGCCGACTTGAGCGCACCAGCAAACTTGTTCTCCAGACGGGTGTTGGCACCAAAGGCCTGCACCACGACGATATTGGACAACGCCTCCGACGCAATAGATGCCGCACTCGCAGCATAATCCGACATGACGCTCGAGTATTTCTCAATATAGTGACTTCCCACAAACGACATCAGGAAATAGGCAGGGATCAAGGACAAGAGAATGGCAGCCAACTCCCAGTCCTTAATAAACGACACGATATATGCGGTGACGAAAAAGGAGATACTGGCCAGCACGATGCCGACTTTCTCAGAGGTTCCGGAGCGAATGGTCTGAATATCGGCGCTCAGTCGGGAAGCCACCTCACCCGGAGGCAGGTTATCAAAAAAGGACGGTTCCTGACGGAGGAGGTTCTGCAGGTAGCGTTCGCGCAGGCGCTGGGACAGACGAGCACCGTACATGGTCCAGCAGGTGAGATGGCCATAGATGAGGACGAACTGGGCGATGGCCAGATACACAATCAGAAGGATCTCGCTGTTGATGTTGCTTTGATCGGAGGAGTCACTCGAGCCGTCGGATTCACTGCAGGTGACATCGTTGAAGTCGTCGAGAAGCTTACCGAAGACGATGGCGATGATGGGAAAGGGGACACCGGAACCAATGGCACACACGACAGCAGAAGCCAAGGTAGCCAAGTCGAACTTGGAGGGGTTGCCGGCCAGCAGCAAACGGGGATAACCCGCCAGCTTCTGGAAGAGCTTCATGGCGACAAGGAGGGGCCGAGGTCTGCAGTGGTGGTCGGAGCCAGCGCTGCAGAATGATATTTATTGCTGGAGGAGGAGGCCTGTCAGTGCGTCATGCGCGAGTAGGGCCGCTTTTCGGCTGGCAGACCCCCAGCTCCACGCCGGCGAGGTGGGCCATCTTGGGTTCGAGAAAACTCAACCAGGGGTCTGCCACTGCTGCAGTCTGCAGAGGTCCGGATGAGGGGATCATCCTGCCGCCATCGGGGCTGCTCTGGGCTGGGCCTAATTTAGATGGCTCGACTGAAGAGTCCAGTTGTTACTCAACCGGAATTGAAGGTGTCGCAGATGAGACTGCCAGTCACTGGTTTCGAAGAAGTGGAGAGGGAGAGCCAGTGGGATTGCCACACTAGCAGGTAGCAAGAAGTGGAGGAGGAGAAGAAGACGAGAAATTGACGGCATCCAGACAGTTACCGTTTACAGTTACGTTACAGTTTACACGTTTCAAAGTGGGCCACAACGTCCACCGGTAATACGCCATGGTTCCCCACCTGTGTGCATCCACCTGTGTGACAGACGGGTTGGTGTTAGGTAACTGGTGAAGCAGGCTAAGGATTTAACCCGGGGTTCCACTACATACACGCCGTGTTCTGTACTCGGAGGTATAACGGTATGAATAATATACAGTATGGTATTGAAAGATTGCTATCTAGGGTTAGATAGGCTTCAGTGGGGCAGACGAGGGTCTCTCTACCCAAGCAGGCCTAGTCTCCTGCAATGTGTTACATACACTATTACACATCGATTACACAGTCTGCATCATCATGATGATTTCTCTTGGTGAATGTGGATCACAACTTAGCGTTCCACGCCGCGCGGTCGGCCGACTCCAACGGCCGCTCGCGCCCATCCCAGAACACCGGACACAGCTGGAACCATTTCTCCCGGCTACTGATGGAATGCACCGACCGTTTGTGGCCCAGGTCCACGTATTTGCCGATCACCAGCCCCTGCGCGTTCTCATACGACAGAATCGTCGCTCCGGTTGCCCGTGGCTCTCCCACCACGTTCACCGTCCGGGGGTCATCCAGGAAGCAGTAATGAATGCAACTCGAATACCACGCGTTGACGCGCTTCGCTCCTCGGAAGGAGGCGTCGCCCACCAGTGAATGCCGCCCGCGGTCGTAGTCACCCGCATCGTAATGCGCGCCATAGTGATCCTCCTTGGCCCAGTACAGTTCATAATATGAGAATCGCGTCTCGTTGAAGCGACCAAACAAACACAGCACATGCGGATCGACATGCAGTCGACGAAGGTACTCGCGATGTTGGTCCAATGTGCCCGTCTCGTTCCATCCCTTGGCTACGCGCGGGTCGTTCTGCCACTTGTTGAAGAGCTCCAAGTGTTCCTGGTCTTGCCAGTTCACCACTTCGAGGGAAAAGTGCTCGTCCAGCTCGGGGATATAGCGACTGTAGGCGATGGAGCCGGGAGCCGGCTTGGGACGCCGGATGGGATGACGGGCATACACCGGCTCTTCGGGGAACTTTTGTGTGAAGTGGTAGTTTTCAGGCATGGCTGGGTATTGTGACAAGGGCTCGCGCAGAGGTCCGTCGGTGCCATCGCCTACCACCCAGATGGGACGAGGGCCCATCGGGGATGCCGCACCTTGCCAGAAGGAACTGCGGAGGATGAGGAGATCGGTGGACGGTGCGATCGCGCGGTCGTCAGGACGGGTTGCAGCGGGATGCTCAATGCCCAGGCCTGTGGACAACAGCTCGCTGCGAAGAATGTCTTGTCCGGCGCCCAGCAGAGCCAGGCTGAAGTATTCGTGGGTGGGGTGGGCGAGGTATATGGCGTGGACGACATTCCAGATCTGTCCCAGCGTTGGGGGAGTGTTGTCTGTCCATTGGAAGGTGGTTTTAGGTGCGCGACGTGCTCGCGCCCAGGCAGTGTTGTTGCTGGGAGGAGGACGCTCCTCTGGAGAAGGCAGGGATAGTTCCAGCCATGAGAGAGAGTTCAGGTGTAGCGGTTGAGGAGGGGATCGGCCGGCCGCGGGCTGATCGTGCAACGTCAGACAGAGTCTGGCCGGTGTCGAATCGGCAATGGTGCGCACGCGGTATGCAGTCAGAAAAGGATGGGGCAGCTTTACCAGCGGATACTGGGCTGTGGAAGTGGAAGTAGATGCCATCTTTGCGCGCTGTGATTGATGAAGGTCACCACGTAGAGACAAAGGCGGGTTAAGAAGAAAGAGGGAGGAGAAAGCCCACGGCCGAGGCAAACGGTTATATAGAAAGCCGGGGAATTTCGACAGAACAACCGAGGAAGTAGAGATACCAGGCCGGCGATGGATAGTTGTCTCAGGTCACAACCAATGACCCGTACCATGGCTGCTTGCGACCCCCTGGCACGGTCTCGGGGCCCACCGATATCGCAAGGCCTTGTACTACTATGTATAAAGTCGGGCCAGCTGGTCCGCTTCGCCCGCGATCAGATAAGCCTATCAATCAGTATTCTGCACCATGTCGCTACGATCACTCGCTATACAACACCCGCATTTCCTGGTCTCGTTTCCCCACGAGCGGGTGGTCCAGGTGACATTGAACCGTCCAGAGAAGCTCAATTGCATCGATCTGTCTACAAATCGGGAGATTCAAAAGGTCTGGGAGCTGTTCGACCAAGATGAGAGCTTATGGGTAGGCATCATCACTGGTGCGGGGAGAGCTTTCTGCACCGGAGCAGATCTACAAGGTACACATACCTATCTACTGTTGTCTATTGATTCCCCATTTCTAACTACCGGTCAATCAACAGAGTGGAACGCAATGAACCAAGCCGGAGTCGTCAACGACATGTCGCCGCCTGGCCTGGCAGGGCTACCCCGACGAAGTGGCAAAAAACCAATTATCGCGGCGGTCAACGGCATCTGTATGGGAGGAGGATTCGAGATGGTGGCCAACTGTGATATCGTGATCGCGTCTTCGTCGGCCATCTTTGCGCTACCGGAGGTGAAGCGAGGAATTGTGCCCGTGGCCGGATGCCTGCCGCGTCTGACCCGGACACTGGGGCTGCAGCGCACGATGGACCTGACGCTGACCGGCCGGAGCGTCGACGCCAAGACCCTCCACGAATGGGGTCTGATCACTCGCCTGGTGGAGGCCGGCAACGACATTGCGCAGGCCGCCGTCGAAATTGCGGCCATCATGTGCGGCAACAGTCCGGACGCGCTGATTGTTGGCCGCGAAGGCATCCGGTTGAGCTGGGAGTCGGGGAGCGTGGAGGACGCCGTGTCGACACTGGCGGCACAGTCGTATCCGCGTCTGGTGGAGGGGGCCAACTTTGCCGAGGGGATCCGGGCGTTTGTAGAGAAACGGCCGCCACGCTGGTCCAACTCCAAGCTGTGATACTCCGCAATCAGATAACAACCTGCATGTGTTGGGCAGGCGTGTAGCTTGCTAGTGCTCGTAATTCGGCGGAATGGCCCGGGTGGAACCCACTCTGCTGCAGATTTTTCATCCGCTGCCCTTCATGTAGGCGCCCAGAAATGAAACCCGCCAGGAATTCGTCTCGAGCAAGGGAGCAAGCCATGGAATGAAGTAATAAACCCCATCGCTGGTCCACCCATGAGATTAGGGGCGTCGCATGCCTCGCCAGTGGAGGGCAAAAGTGCATCTTATCATGGATCAGATTAGATACCATCACCCACGGTTTCGCGGTGTTTTCCCGTGGTCGCCGCCAGGGGAAATTGCATTGTGTGACCAATGTGGGGCTGTTACCTAACCGGTTGGTGTGACGGTATGATACCGTCCGGAGGGGTATAGACAGGGTACGGCCAGGGTATGGAGGGTCTGTTTGATACACAGTATCGCGAGTGGACACCGGATTGGGAAGTGACCCGATCCAAGCGCCATCAGACGACTCAGCTTCACCCACTTGGAACTGGGAAGGACCACAGACTCAGAGATTGCTGGTGCCTTGGGTGGACCGCACGAACTCTCCAGTTTCCTAGTGCCAGCCTGCTCGCACAGTGGGTATCTCTGATCCCATCGGAATTCCCTGTGAGTGTGAACGCGGGCAGGCACAGGCAGCAAGTCCCCCAAATGCGTGCCATTGCCACGATCAAACTAAATGCTACGCTAACAATCTCTGCAGCTGTGCCAGGACAGTTACGTAGACCTGAGAGGGCATCTTCCTCCGAGCTGGGCCCGGATTGGCTGGATCGGATAGCAGATGGGCAGAGCACAACGCCATCATCTGATTAGATTCAGCCGTGTCCAATGCTAGGCACTTAGTGTCTCCTCCAGTCGAACGAGTCCATGGATTCACATCACAAGTGGCCGCCGTAGCCGACTTCGGGGTTATCAATCAGTGCGTGGGCCTGTCACCGCTAGCTGCTTGTAGCTGCATCTTCTTGGGTATAAGGGCCAAGACCTCCCTTGCTCCTCTTCTCTTTCTTGTCCTCCTTGGCTCTTCTTGTTCGATCATCCTTCTTGCCTTCTCGCTCGGTCCATCACCATGGCCGTGCTCGACAAGTTCCGCGAGGCCTTTGGCCGTACCCCCACCAATGAAGAGTCCAGCAACAATATCGCCATGAACACTGCCGACGAGAAACGCGATCCCGTCGTCGACGAGGCCGCCCGTGGCCCCGAGTCCGACGAGACTCTGTCCGATGAGTCCTCGGAGAGACTGCAGGTTGGTGTCTCAGATGTCGAGGCCATTACCAAGTCGTGGACCAAGGCATCCCTCATCGCCGTCTTCCTCAAGTGAGCTCCCCAGATCCTGCTTCCTCCACTCTTCCCCGCTAACTTGCTCGATCAGCATCTGGCTGCTGTACTTTGTCAATGCCTTCCAGTCCTCCCTCCTCTACAACCTCCTCCCCTTCGTCACCAGTTCATGGGAGTCTCACTCCCTGCTGAACGTCATCTATGTCGTCGCCGACTGCATGTCGGCGGCCGTCTACATCCCTCTCGCCAAGGTCATGGACGTGACTGGTCGTGCTGAGGGTTTCCTGACCATGACTGTCTTTGCTACGTTGGGTCTGATTCTGATGGCCACCTGCCACAACCTGCCCACCTTCTGCGCTGCCTATGTAAGCCCTCCAATCACCCACGACGAGAAATCTGCCTCCTAACCAACTCTCTATCAGGTCTTCTACACCATTGGCTTCGGTGGCATGACCTACTGCGTCGATGTCATCACTGCCGATGCCTCCAAGCTAAAGAACCGAGGTCTAGCCTACGCCTTCACCTCGTCCCCCTACATCATCACGGCCTTTGCCGGTCCCAAGGCCTCGGACGACTTCCACCTCAGCTGGCGCTGGGGTTTCGGTGCCTTTGCCATCATCTTCCCCGTTGTTGCCGCTCCCTTGTACTTCATCCTCAAGTACAACCTCCGTCGCGCCCAGCAGCAGGGTCTGGTCGTTCCTGACCGCAGCAACAAGACCTGGTGGCAGATCATCTGGTTCTACTTTATTGAATTTGACAGTACGTCCTCCCTGTCCCCCACCCCAACCTCAACCCCCATCTAATTCCTCTCAGTCGTCGGCGTCCTCCTCTTTTCCGTCGGTCTCTGCGTCTTCTTTCTCCCCTTCGACATCTCCTCCTACGCCCCCCACGGCTGGTCCTCAGGCTACATCATCGCCATGATCGTCGTCGGCGTCGTCATGCTGATCATCTTCTGCCTCTACGAATGGTTCATCGCGCCCGTCCCCCTCTTCAAATTCGGCTTCCTCTTCAACCGCACCGTCATCGGCGCCTGTCTCCTCGACGCCACCTACCAACTCTCCTACTACTGCTGGGACAACTACTTCACCTCCTTCCTGCAGGTCGTCAACGACCTCTCCGTCGCCGAAGCCGGCTACGTCAGCGACACCTTCGACGTCGTGTCCGGTGTCCTCCTCCTCTTCGTCGGCTGGCTGATCAGCAAAACCGGCCGCTTCAAGTGGCTCCTCTACATCTCCGTGCCCCTGTACATCTTCGCCCAGGGTTTGATGATCTACTTCCGTCGTCCCAACCAAAGCGTCGGTTACCTGGTCATGTGCCAGATCTTCATCTCCATCGGCGGTAGTATCTTCATCATCATCGAACAACTCGCCATTCTCGCCGCCGTGGACCACCAACACGTTGCCGCGGCCCTGGCCCTCCTCAACGTCGTCGGAACCATCGGTGACGCCATGGGCGCTACCATCTCCGGTGCTATCTGGGATAATACCTTCGAAAAGGCACTTATTCGCTACCTCCCTGAATCCGCCATGTCGAGCCTTAACGATATCTACGAGGATCTGGACACTCAGCTCAGTTACCCCGTTGGAAGCGCCACCCGGAAGGCTATCCAGGAGGCGTACGGGTACGCGCAAACCCGTATGTTGGCCGTGGGAACGGGTCTCATGGTCTTGTCGTTTATTTGGATCATGATGATCAAGAATATTAATGTTGCTAAGGTCGCTCAGACGAAGGGTATGGTTTTCTAGATGTGTGCGTGTATTTATTACATACATACAATGTGAATACCAAAACCTTTCTGCTGTGAAGACGATGTTAATGTAGTGGTGGTGGACCCACTGCTGCGTTTTTGATTTGATTGATATATGCTCATACCCCCATTCATACCCCCCATGTACTGAATCAGTCAGTATATACATACCCTCTCTGCTTGAACCTACACTGAACAAGATAATATATATCCTCTACTGCAATGAATGCATGTATAATACAAATGAAAAAGTTTATTTGGATAATTAACGACGTATTATTCCATCACACTCCTTCATTATATGTAGATACACAGTGTAGCATACTTATCTCTAGCACATACAATCGCCAGGGTCTTGGAGAAGAAGGTGTTGGTGGTGATGTTACCTATATTTTCCACAGCTGGGTATACCGACAAACGCTGATGGGTTCGTGCAAAAGGTCTGTAAATCCATATTTGCGATTGTCTAGGTCAGTATCCATCATCCAGGAGGTAGTGAATGTGGCCATACCAGGACTGGCAGTCATCCAGCTCTGTTTCTGTTCTATTTGCTAAGTCGTGTGACTACTCGAGAACTCGGGCCGGGATATTTGTCAAACTCTGTAGTCAATGAGTCACTAGTCAGGGCGAGCGTGCAGCTAGCTACTCGCCTCACGCCCACATTAGTTTATTCTCTCATGGGAAAAAAGGGGGGAGGGGAAGGTACAACGAGCTTCTCCCAATCTAAGCAGGTTTAAGGCTGGAATCCACTTCAAATACAATATGCCCCATCTGGTAAACAGCTATTGTCTTCGAGCCAGGGTCAGGTATTGGTTTCTGTAAAGCTCCACAGTGTATTATTGTCCCACTGATTGATTACTGGAGGATCGTAGGGACCCATACGGCTGGCTTGTTCGGAGGATTGCCAGTTAAGGGTCGCCTCTGAGATTGGGGTTGGGGGATTGTTCTATTTGTTTGAACTGAATGTCGAAGACTCGAAGTGGTCTCTTCGGAAGGATGATATGATTTTCATTAAATGTGCATGTAGAGGGTTTGAAGGGTATGAAGTCCATGGTTAAGAATCATTCGAGGGGGTTGAAGCAGCTTCAAGTAATTCCCAATTGTACAGTTCTCCAGTTGAGCTGGGAGAAACAGCTACCCGTTGACAATCAGACGATACGTCTGCTGCAAGTTGGGTAAGAGTCTGCGAAGAGCACTCGCAAAATGACATGTCTGAGCCGGATTGGTCAGGATCCGGGAGATGAGGATTTCTTTATCAAATTTCAAATGTCGAGGTGGGTATGTGGTCACACAATATTCCCCTCTAGTGGCAACCACGCAATCCAAGTGTAGTGCAGTATCTTCAGTTCTGCGTTGAACATAGCACCATTAAGGATGCCAGTTAGCTGATGCTCTTGCCCTTCCATCTCCAATACTAGTATTACTAGTGGTCTTCATCTCCTGCGTCTTACTTGATTCTGAGCAAAATGGCCTTTTCGAATTCCCGGTGAGTGGTGTGACTTCTCTTGGAACATCGACAACAACTCTGTTGTTCGGAGAATAAGCTACGGATTAGGGAACTCAGTAGGTATTCATATTCACAAATACAGGGTTCGGACTAGCAGTAGACAATGCATTCAGCTTTGTCGATGCCTCTCCGCCACCCCCGGTCTAGACCAGAGTCAGGGCGATGTTTTTTGCCGCGAACCGATCTCCGTCTCTAATCCAGGAGAGAATACAAATCAAAATAAGAAGCATTCATCTGGCTATGAGAAACTACCTGTGGTTTTCCGATACAATTCTGATATGTCTCCATAAACACTACTGGATAGAACTGGTTATATCCAAAGTACACTCACAAACCTCGGAAAATATAAATCGCTAGCGTACACCCGTTAGAGAACTGAGCACATATACATTGAAAAGAGCTTACCATACGATTACCATCTTGGATGACTCCCAGAGTTGATAAGTTTTATTCTTCAGCGGTGCAAAACGTGGTGGACATAAACTCAACCCTTCTCAGGGTGACAGATCGACACGCGAGGGTATACATGGCAAAGAGCTTCATCATGACGACATCTTGACTTGATATTTACCATCCTTCGTGGTTTAGCACAAGGCTGTGAAGGCGAATAGACGTTTGATCTACATCTGCAGTTCTGCTTTTTAAAGTTCTCCGAGCTGTCAGGGTGAAGCCGGGTGGTTCCCATGGGTTGAGAACCGGTTCTCGGCAAACCGCATCCAATCCTTCCAGGGCAGTGCCAAAGTATATACAGGTCCATTTCCACGGTTGATGAGTCAAGTAGCTTTGTAGAGGAGATCGGTCAAGTATTTATGGGTAGTCAATGTGCTCTTATCCTGATCATCGATATTCAGCAACATACACACCATGTCCGCACGCTCCCAACCATCAAGACCAATTACAGTCCTCGGTGCTGGCATCCTCGGCCGTCGGATTGCCTCTGTATTTCTTTCTGACTCGCACAAAGTGCACCTTTGTGATCCCAGCCATGATGCTCTTTCCGAAGCTGAGGCTTATATCAATTCCTCAAGAGACACGTTCTCTGCGTTGACATCAACGCCACATCCCGAGACTGGCCCGTTATCCCTCTTCACGGATCGCGCGACGGCGCTTGACAACGCATGGCTGGTTGTCGAGGCGGTTCCCGAAATACTCGATCTCAAAATAGAAACTTTTGAAGAAGTGGACAGACTAGTCCCGGATGACTGTATCCTCGCGACAAATTCCAGTTCGTTCAGGTCAGGGTCGATGGTCTCTGGGCTAAGTGATGAAAGAAAAAAGAGAGTACTGAATGTGCATTTTACCATGCCACCGGGTACTCGCACGGTAGAGTTGATGACTTGCGGCAATACGGCAGAGGATGTGATCCATGATTTGGTAGGTGTGTTGGAAAGGTGTGGTTTGTGTCCGTTCGTTGCTAGGGAGGAGAGCACTGGGTAGGTTTCTTGCTATACAGCCCTAGAGTGGGAATATTAACGATAGCTATAGCCTTATTTTCAACCGTCTCTGGGCGACCGTCAAGCGAGAGATATTGTGCATCCTCGCTGAAGGGGTCACTGTTCCCCAGGAGATTGATAGACTTTGGAAAAACATGTTCGATGGTGGGGCAAGTTCCACGCCGTGTCGCCTCATGGACCGGATTGGATTGGATACTGTTGCGCTCATCGAAGACCACTATATCCAGGAGAGAAACCTGGATGGGCGCATGACAGTGGACTGGCTGAGAGAGGAGTATATCAATAAGGGGCGGTTGGGCTGCAAGTCCGAGTTGGGCGGACTGTATCCTCCAGAGCCTGAGGGTGCATCTGCACAACTATACGTGCTGGACGTTGGACTTGGGGCTAATAATGAGCTTCACCGCATTCCGACAGCTGGACGTGTGCTTGCACTATCTCCACAAACTGGCATATTTACTACTCTCATCGGTGGGTTATCGCTACCAGATGGGATTGATGTCTCTCCTTCGTGCGGCAGGATATTCTGGACGAGTATGGGACGTGAGAGGTCTACCTTTGATGGATCGATGCAGTCTGCCAAGCTGGATGGGAGTGATTTGCAGACAATCCTGAAACCTGGGACGCTGCACACACCGAAGCAGCTCATCGTGGACGATGTGGGTCATAAGTTATACTTCTGCGATCGCGAGGGAATGGGCGTGCACAGATGCAACTTTGACGGAAGCGAGCATCAGGTTCTTGTCCAAACAGGGTCTGTGACTGTTCTCTCCGAAAAGAAAGATATGATGCGGTGGTGTGTGGGTGTCGCGCTCGACCGCGTCAATGGGTTTGTCTACTGGTCACAGAAAGGGCCGAGTAAATCCGGAACCGGGCGGATATTCCGGGCTGGGATTGATGTTCCTGATGGACAGACTGCTCGGAACAGAGGTGATGTTGAGTGTCTGCTAGAGGGGCTTCCAGAGCCAGTTGATTTGGAGTTTGATAATCAGACGCGGATGCTGTATTGGACGGACCGGGGAGAACATCCGACGGGCTGTTCCCTCAATCGGATCGATTTGAGCGGCCAGGTTGACAAAGCAGCGTTGAGAGGCAGAATGGAAATCCTGGCGAGGCAATTCAATGAGCCGATTGGCTTGAAGACAACGACGAAGGGCGTCTATGTAACCGACTTGGGGGGGTGTGTGTATCTGGTGGCCGAGGGGAAGAAGACGGTGGTGGCTCGAGAAGAAGCATGTTTGACGGGAATTGCAATTTTGGAACAGAACGCCTAAATGGCTGTTTTCACCATTCGAGATACAATTCACACCACATGTCATCGATGGCTCACCAGTCTCTTGGAATCGGCGTGCACCACATAGAACTTAGTTGGATTCATGTTTCGTAATCCAACCGTGATGTCCTGCTACTGAACTCGAACATGACAGAATACCTTTCCAACCGGTGTGCAAAATAAGAACGATATAACTGGGTGATAGTGAGAAGGTGATAGTGAGAAGAGAGAAGATGAAGATGGGAATATGGCGAGGAGGCTGTGGAGGCTGTGGAGGGAGGGCACGTGAACGATTCACTGCCACTTGCTTTCCTCCGCCAGCCGAAACTCGGTTTCGACCATGATCTTGCCTTCCTCGTTCTCCTCATCTTTCCGCAATCCATCCATCTCCACTTGAACGGTCCGCGTTGCAAGCAGAGACTCATCCCAGTCTCTAGGCTTCCTCCCAATCTTTATATTTCCGCTGGACTGCTTGTTCTCGGAACTCCCCCAATACTGTCCCGCATGGGAGCCAAAAATGCGCTGGATTGAGTGTCGGAGAAGTGGCTGCAGGGTAGGCAAGCACGCACAGACAATGCCCACACATGGCTCTACGCTGGACCAGATAAAGACATTTCCCATTACCCAGGTGATATCCAGAGACTTGCTAAGAAACGTCATGTAATAGATGCGTACGAGACTTGCCACACAGACACTGTTCGGTGAAAAATCGATCAGTCTCATATCAGAAGGAACAACGAGGAAAAAGGGTGACCTACAATCCGCCAAGCAAGAATATGCTACACACAAGGATTTTCTGGGTGGTTCTCATATGAAGCTTCCAAATGAGAGGCATCGGTACCAGCAGAATAATCACGTCGGTGGTCACATTTGCGGCCGCGTTGCCGATGTAAAATGGATAGAGATTGAAGACACATCTTCCTCCATTGGGATCAACATACTGCGTCCAGTAATATGAAACAGGCCGGCAGCAGACCAGAAATGCCACTGTGCAGGAGACCCAGTAGCCGAGTGTCAACGCAACACAGAACCACATTGCCTTGTTCATTCCAAATACACGACGGTAGAAGAGGAGAACCGACAGCTTAATCAATGGCACGGTGACGACGTATATGAGGACATAAGCGAACAAAATCTGGATCACTATTACCACGTCGTGTAAGGGAACAATCCACGCATGCTTTCCGAGGCCATAGTACCCTCCTGGGAGAGATAGGCCGGTCAGAATGCGTCCGTGCACATAGTCAGGCGAACGTACCGATAATTGTGGAAACGAAATTTGCAGTCACCGACAGCTGTTCTCAGTTCGATGATGAGCATCCCCCTTCAGTATTCCTGCGAAGGATGGGCACATACCAGAGCAACCAGAATCATCCAGTCATCAGCGGCAATCGCAGCCTGTTGCACCCGGGCTCTGGCAAGGTAACGAAGGCCAACGGCACCTGCCGCCAAAAGATAGGTCGTAATGACAGCCGCATTGTTTACTGCACGCCGACTTGCTGTCAGGTCTGTCCCTGGAGGAGGTTCACCAAAGATGCTACTGGACATGACTGACGCAAACGACGGACAGGAAAGGACATGACAGGGCGAGGAGAGATCTCATTTGCCTGCGAGATGGCGGCTCCCTCGTTTTATCGTGGTGGCCTAGTTCTCGCACCCGGTCAACCCGAGGGGAGCTGAACGAGCTCATTAACCTCATATAATATGTTGGGATCCCCGATGGGCTCCCACGCCGGTAGGCAACGTAGGGTCACGTGACACTCCTCCCTACACCGCTAGTTAGTCCATATAGATGGCCTACGAGGCCCCTAGCTAGATCATTATCCATCTCATTCTACACGGTTGAATCGCCTTAGTAGCCACTCCAACATAATATGTAAGGCCAGTTAGTACGGGTTAGCGGCGCCCTAACGCGGGCCGGCGGGTTGACAGGAATCGGATCCCTCCCGCCTCCTCCCCGGAGTCTCCATCCCAACGCTCGGACTACCACCGCGGCCCCCTCTTCGATCTTCCAAAAAATGGGGAGAACTGCATGATTCGAATCTCTTATAGACATCATGCAGTGCCGCCTTCTGGCGCTGGCCTGGATCGAAAAGGGAATCAGAAATTCGTACTCCGACTCGCTTATCCCAACATGCCAGGCATTTCAGGGGGGAAATTCCGTACGCGAGGCACTAAAACAAGTGAGTCAATTAGTGTCTGGCCCTATCAACTAGGATGATGCCGGACTGAGTAGGAACTCCGTATCTCATATAACTAGCAGGGACACCCCTGTCGACAGCTAATGTGAGTCTTTGAACCTGCTTCCCCCTACTGCACTCTCACTGCACATCTTACCTTCTTCCAACCGTAAAACTCCTTCTGATTTGCCATCAATATGCCTTCCAGAGAGTCTATCCCCGTTGAATCTACCGAATACAAGGTGGATCCTAGTCGGTATGCCTTCTCCCCCCGGAAGCTTCGAGTCGTCTGCATCGGGGCAGGCTTTTCGGGCCTGATCCTCGCTCACAAGCTCAAACACGAGCAGCCCCTGGATTTCGTGGACTTCACTCTCTATGAAAAGAACACCGATTTTGGTGGTACATGGTTCGAGAACATTTACCCCGGTGTGGGCTGCGATGTGCCCGCTCATAGTTATATTTTCCCCTTTGAGCCCAATCCGTCTTGGTCGAAGTGCTATGCCGGTGGCCCCGAGATTGAGCAGTACATCAAAGACACGGTCGAGAAGTACGGCTTGAAAGAGCGTATTGTCTTCAACACCCGACTCGTCAAATCCATCTGGAACGAGGAACGTGGCAAATGGGCCCTGGAGCTGCAGCAAAACGACGCCATCATCCACGATGAAGCCGACGTTCTTATCAATGCCGGCGGGATCCTCAACCGGTGGAGAATTCCTAATATCGAAGGCCTGAACCAGTTTGAGGGCAAAGTCCTCCACACAGCCGGCTGGGATAAGACGTATGACTGGTCCGGAAAGAATATCGCCGTCATCGGCAACGGCTCGTCGGGGCTACAGATCGTCCCTGCCCTGCAGCCCAAGGCCGCCAAGATCGTCAACTTCATCCGTCAACCAACCTGGGTGTCAGTCAATCTGTGCCCGGACGTGACCAAAGATGGAATGGGCACCAACTTTGAATATACGGATGAAGATATTATCAAGTTCCGGGAGGACCCCGAGGGTTTCCTGGAATACAGAAAATTCATCGAACGCTCGTAAGTCCAACTCTGTCTTCACCACCACGTAATCCACTAATCCGTCAAACAGAGTCAACACCGTCTACAAGATAATGCTGAAGGGATCGGACTTGAATCGCATGATTCTCGTCGCAACAGACGGGGTCATGAGACAACGTCTCAGCAAGAACCCAGAGCTGATCGACAAGCTCGTTCCCAAAACCGAGATTGGATGTCGCCGTCTCAGCCCAGGAGACGGATACCTCGAGGCCATGCAGGAGCCCAACGCCGAATGGTGCTTTGACCCCATCGAGCGCATCACCAAGACAGGCATTCAGACCACTGAAGGGGAGCAGGACTTTGACCTGATCGTCTGCGCCACTGGCTTCGACACTACCTTTATCCCTGGCTGGGAGATGGTAGGCCGAGATGAACGACAGCTCGCCCTCGATTGGAGGAAGACCCCCCAGGCATACTTCTCGGTCTGCGCCCCCGGAAGTCCCAACTACTTTGTGTTCGCGGGGCCCAACTGCCCCATCGGCCACGGCAGCGTCCCTCAAATGCTGGGCTGGAGCGCGGACTACATGCTGCAATGGGTGAAGAAGATTGCCCGGGAAGATATCCAGTGAGCACCCTTCTCCAAGAAGATTTCCATTCCACTAACGCACACCCCAGCTCCATCGCAGTAAGAGACTCCGCTATTGCACTCTACAACCGCCACGCTCAGGCAAACTTGAAACACACCGTCTGGAGCACCGGCTGCGCGGCTTGGTACAACAACGGATCTGCCGTCACGGCCATGTACCCCGGTAGTGTGCTTCACTTCAAGGGTACGTACCATTCATCCATTCGTCCCTGACCCCTAAACCCCAACCCTCCTGTACTAATAAGTATGACACCTCCAGAGGCCATCTCCAGTATCCGCGGCGAAGACTTCGACATCCGCTACAACAACACAGCCAACCCATTTGCCTATCTCGGCAATGGCGAGCTCGAATGGGAGCGAGCAGAGGGAGCAGATCTAGCCTTCTACTTGAAATAATTCCCCTGTAATAGCACAGTATGATGTATATATATGACCTAGCGATACCAGTCAAGATTGATTTTACGCATCCAGTGAAACAAGCAATACGCCTCACTAACGTTCCTGTCTGTAACCCACATTACCGTGACCATCGATGGTTACAGGACGTCGGTGACACTTGGCACAAAGGCCGTATTTATGTAGTCTTTTCTGTTTACAATAAGGGGGTCGGTTCGTAGTTCGTTTGTATATATGGTTTATGTGTGTGCTTTCTCTATTGAAATTGGAATTGAGTTGGTTTCATCGGGGTGGTTGGGTTTCATGGACAGCTGGGTATGTTCTACGATGGCGGTGGACAGACATCGCGGGTTGAGAAGGGGGTTGTTGCCTTTCGGGTATTGTGCGTGGGTCGTTTTTATTGGGATGTGTATATTCCGGGTTGATGAGACGCGTATGGATGATTAGATTCAAGACATACACGGACTGTGTAGCCAATTATGCCATCATTGGTGATAGGGTAGTATTATTGCGAGGTACGCATGTGGTAATAATAGTTGCCTCAAGGGTCAGTCAGGATGTTCACCACACAATAATATCCTGGAGATGATGGTTTACTACAGACAAATGATCCACGAGTAGACACGAAGTACTATGTGTGGTATCCTATCCATGACAAATGATGATGCGTCAGGATATCAACTCCAAGTTTGTAAACTGGCTCGCTTCACTAAATCTGACACCACAGCCCGTTAGCGATGTGATACATGGTAGGGACATAAAGAGTAAACAGTATAGTAAGATCCATCGATTGTGGAACCGGTTAATAGCCTTCCTCCTCGCCTTGCTGGTAGACGTGTCGCGAACGTCCAGGGTCTTTGCGCATTTGTTGGCCGGACCCGGTGAAGCCCACTATTTCGATTAGTTTTTGTTGAGTGGCATGTAGCAGGAGAATGGACTTACCTCGGGCATTGACTCCATCACCTGTGCGGAACATACTCTCCTTGCGGCCCAATTTTCCCTTGCTGGCAAAATCCTTCCACTTCATTTTGCCCGCCTCCAACTCCCGCGTGGCTTTCACCTTACGGGGCACCTTGGCCGGGCGCGCCGGCCCATCGCTCACCTTGCTCGGCTCCTTACGCGCCTGGTTGGCCAACGCGGGGTTGATATCCGCCGCGGCGGAGATCACGCTCGAGTGTGGCGGTTGCGGCGCGGGAGATTGTGATGTGGAGTTGCCTGAGCTTGCATCAGCCTTGCGTTTACGCGAGTCATTGCCGGAGATGGGCCTGATGTCTTTGGAGGTTAGGTTTTCCACCGTCCCATAGGACTTGAACGAGACGAGGTATACGGGATTGCTCGCAGAGCCGGTGATGGATGTGATACGGGCTGGGTAGAACGAGTTGTCGCCCGACACCCAACGGGCGAGAACGTGTTCATTGACGGAAAAGGAGGATTGGGTTGCTGGTTCGTCTGTTTGTTCGACGGTGGGCTTGCGGTAAGCTGGTTGAGACGCGTAGTTGTCCTTGGCCCTGCTATCCCTGACCGCAGAGGCCGAAGGGTTGGAAACGGGTGGCGCGGGCGGTTTGAGTTCGGCAATGGATGTTTCGGTGAGATTTATAAGTTCTTCCAGCTCAGTTTTGAGACTCTGCAATTCCGTGTTGTCTGGGTCTACCTGCAAACTCGATTGGACAGTTTCAAGCTGGGAACGGGTTGTTAGTAAGGACGATGGCTGGACGGCACTGGAGAGTTTTAGCGCGTACCTGAAGCTTGAACTCCTTGACCTCTGCCTCCAGGGCAGCGACGTCTGACATTTTGGGATGAGAGGGGAAGTGTAAAAGAACGTAATCAACTCTGAGCTAAAAGCCAAGAGAGGGGGGCAGGGATGATACACGGGGTGATGGCAGTCGAATTGGAGTGCCGGTCGGGCTGAAGCAAATCTGAGGTTGCAGATAAGAGAAGTCGAGTTGGGATAAGATAGCGTGGCGGGGCCCCGTTGCGGCTCGTGGGCATCACGTGGCCCCGCACCGCCACAGTTTCTCGGCCGCAGTCACATGCCGTCCTCTTTGCTAAACAGTCCTCCGTATAGGCGATCGCTTCTGATAAGAACACTCCTGACCCCGGCTGTTTGAACCTTACCAAGGTTACATTGAACGCCAGCATTCGAAGCCCAGAAAAGCTCTGATCTCAGGCCACGCCCGCATCCACTATGTATGGGTCAACGGGTCAACACTTAATTGGTGTCCGCTCTATCGTCGATCCTCACGTCATCCGGGCCCGGAACGAAGGGCAACCGATGGGGTTGATTATTGGCCAGAGATCCGCCAAGTGTCCGTCTTACAGCAAGCAGTATCTACCTACTGTGTATTGTGTTGTCATGTATCATGCTACGGCACGCTTGAGACGGGGATCCCGAGTCCAAAGGAAGCTGGCACCGTTGCAGCCTGCTGGACGCCAGAGGCTAAACTTTAGCATCGGAGATCCAGATCCTGGCGGGCTCACCGCTTGCCCCGGGAGGGATCGATTGGAGGGGGCTATGCACTCGTCCGAGACAAGAAGCTCTGGCCAAATTTGAGTCGCTCCGGCTTACGGCTTGTTCTTCTTGGCGGTTCCTCTCCTGTGCTGGTCCTGTTCAATCGCCTTGCGTTGAGATTCCTTGAAGAGCAGGCCGTGGACCGGTAACTGAATCGATGTGAGAACACCGAAACCGCAGAACACCGCTGCGTATTCTGCAGAAGCCCCCGAAAGTCGGAAGCCTCCATCTGGGGCTGGAGGCGGTGAGGTCCCGTGTTCAGTCGGGGAAGTGGCGCTATGAGTCACTGTCACTTTAGACGGACCCTAGACTGAGGTACCACTGGAGGTGCCAGGCAAAGGGACCGACGCCCCTTGTAGGGAAAGATTAAGCTATCTTGTAATGCCTAAGAATTCTTGCCTGGCCGGAAGCATCGTCCCTAGGAACCCGCCGTGCCGAATGGTGGAATGGTATCAGTCACGCCAATCATCCGAGGTGGAAGAGAATGGGCGAGAAGAGAAAAAAGAGGGCCCGGTTGGATTTCTAAGCAAGTCGGACGCCGTCCTTCCCCACTGCTGCCTGAGGTTCTTTCACAGGTGGCCCTCTTCACGCCAGCCGCCTCCCAGTGGCCTCCTGTGATTGGCTGCTTTGCCTCCCCCGCTACCAGACCACCAATCACAGTGTTGTGTTCTGCCGGTCGGCACTGGAAGGAGGCCAGGAGTGTCAGGGCCAGTCACGGATCCATCGCCCCCCTCCCTCCGCTCTTTGGAATCTTCCATCCAGTCCATCCGTCGTCCATCTCACTCCTCCTCCCCTCATTAACCAACTAACCTCAATCTTTCACCACTCCCCCTGTTGGGTGCCACAAATCATCCAATCCGGCTAGGCCCTCAACGACGGGTCGTCTCATTCCGGTCACCCTACTGCATCCCCCTACTGACCCTTCTTGCATCATCGCATCACCACCCTCTTTTCTCACATCCCATCCTCGTTCCACCCTCCAGCCCCTCTTCCTCTCCTGACCTGATTCGCTTTGGCCTGCTCTTTTCTTAGTTTCATCCTTGGTCTCCTCAGACCTCCCTGCGGCTTGTGCGTCTCGCCTGTCGCGCGTCTCTTCACCACGCTTTGCCACCCTCAACCTCGCCTCGTTTCCGATCCTCACTTCTTCCCGCTGCGCCCGTGTTCCGTTCCACCACCAGGAGATTTGGATTCATCTCCCACAAAAACGACTCACAGTCGACGTGGTGATTGTCGTGTGTTACATTCCTCAACACCCTGAGCCTCCTCTCAGATCCCTGCCGGTGACGTGCCGAAACCCCTCCACGACCCTTTTCTGGGGTCACTCATCGATACAACGAACGGGCGGGAAGCCCGGCCTGGATCTCATCGAGTCGGCAATCGCATCGACCTCACTTTATCAAACACCACCTTATACACCTCATCAGTTTCGATATCAGCTCCGTCCGATCAAACAATAACCCACCATGGCCGACTACAACTCCCTCTACCAGCATAGTCTTTATCTGTCCCCAGATCAGCAAGATCTGCTCCTGGCTGCACTGTCCTCCAACAATCCTTCGCAGAAACAGCAGAACAATTCTCATCCACCAAATCCCAAGACAGACCCCGAGTCTACCCCTGGTACCACAGGTAGTTACAATATGAGCCCTGCGTTTGACCCCTCCCAGCCCCATTCGGGTGGCCTGGGGTATGGAGATGATGAAAGTCCGTTCTTGGACTTCAACCCTGAGCTCGACTTTGACTTCCAGGGTTCCGAGAACCTGATCGGGGATCTTCCCGAGAGCCTACAGGCGTCGGAAGAACCCGAGCCGGGGGACAAGAGAAAGGACATGGACGAGCCCGTGGATGAGAATGAAGGTTCGGGAAAGAAGCGAAGAGAAAGTGATGAGAAGGCGGCCAAAAAGCCGGGAAGGAAGCCCCTGACTTCCGAGCCAACCTCCGTACGTATGCCTCGGTGGGAGTGGTGGGACCCTGGGGATTCTCATGCTAATCGCCATACAGAAGCGGAAGGCACAGAACCGGGCCGCTCAGCGAGCCTTCCGTGAGCGCAAGGAGAAACATCTGAAGGATCTGGAAACCAAGGTGGACGAGTTGCAGGCGGCATCTGACAACGCAAATCAGGAGAATGGCTTGCTACGCGCCCAGATTGAACGTTTGCAGGTCGAATTGCGGGAATATCGCAAGCGTCTCTCTTGGATGACTACCGGAAATGGGGTTTCCGCCATGAGTGCAATCCCCGGGGCCTATTCCAAGGGGGCGTACGGCCTGCAGAACAACGACTTCATGTTTGACTTTCCCAAGTTTGGGGATCTTCCGGGCTCACACATCTTTAACAACGGCCAATTGACAAAGACGCAGCAGAATACCAAGGGGGAGCAACCATCAGCAACGCCGCGTAATGAGTCACGCGTACCTGGCGTTGTGAGCCGCCCTCAGTCTACTGCAGCAGGCAGGACGTCCAACGCCATGTCACAGCAAGGATCCACGCCCGCGTCCCTGAGGAACACCCCGAAGGTGTCAATTTACTCCAGCACTAGCCAGTCTGGCTCCACGCATGATTCCTCCAGCACGGATTCGCCATCGTCATCGTCTGATTCCCACCAGAGCCAGTGTGTCTCGTCCAATGGCACCTCCCCGGAACCGAGCATCAATTCTCCCGCTATCAAGGCTCACAACCATGGTTCCCATGATAGCTGCACTTACACCACCATCAATGGTGAGGAATCCTTCTGCGCGCAACTTGGCATGGCCTGCGGCAATATCAATAACCCCATTCCAGCTGTCAGACATAACAGCCAAAGCGCTTCCAACACTCCTAGCCAGGATACTACACATGAGGATGTTTCCGGACTTGATGTGCTAGCTCAGCAGAACGGAGGCCAGTTTGACCCCGTACTCTTCGGAGATTGGCGTGAACCTCAAGATGCGATCCTGTCCCAGGACTTCGGAACCTTCTTTGACGATGCGTTCCCGCTACCCGATCTGGGAAGCCCATCGCACAACCTCACGGAAGCGGCTACCCAACAAGCACCCAAGAAGGACCTGATCGCCGAGATCGACAGCAAGCTAGATGAGGAAGTGGTTCCTGGAGAAGACAAAGCCAAGATGCTGAGTTGCACTAAGATATGGTATGACTCCTGCTTCTCCCGTATGCCTAATACATACATGATACTAATCATTGTAGGGATCGTCTGCAATCCATGGAGAAGTTCCGCAACGGTGAACTTGATGTCGATCATCTCTGTTCCGAGCTTCGCATGAAGGCCCGGTGTTCTGAGGGCGGTGTCGTCGTCAACCAGCAGGACGTGGACGACATCATGGGACGGGCGAAGTAGTCGAGCGAGAAAACAGCAAGACAACACGTCACTGCGTTGCCAGCCCGCCCACTGCTTTGGTTGCCATTATTCTGCGTTTCAGATACCCACACCTCTAATGCAACACCGTTGTTGACGCCGTTACGACAAAAGGAAAAATGGATCGGGAGGTTTCAATCGAACGCAAAGAATGAAACCTTGGAGTACACCAGGATATTTACCGCATCTGCCATTGGATATCAAAGACATTTGGAGCAAAGCAATAACCTCCCACTTACACTTTCCTTCTCTATGATTGTACTTTCTCTGTTTCTCTCTTCATCTTCTCTCAAGACCACTGCAGGCGAACAGGAGGCGCGGTTTGCTCAAAAATAATACCATCTAGGAGGCCTCGGATTGGCAGACTGTACACCACTACCACCATTGGAGTATTCTTCCGTCGTTCATTACCCTGGTTGATTGCGTGCTTATTACCATTTCCCATGTACATGCACCGCTGATTGATCTCACGCACGCACCTCCTAGCTATCTCAGAGAAGCTAGATAGCTAGAGCGGGCTTTGTTGATTGGAAGTGATATTTATCTATCTACCTATCTACCTATCTATCACCTACCCTGGAAAACACGCGGCAGGTATCTCTTTTTTTCTCTTCCTGCGTAATCTTGGTTCATGTTCCGGGTGAGTTTGTTATATCCGAAGCAATAATACTCAGATTATCTCTACTCTTCTCTATTGTTGCTCTTCTGTATACCTCGTAGCTGTATGCTCGAAAAAAAATGGTAGTAGATCTCCGACTTCCATCCTCACATGCGAGCCTAGCCAATTGTTTCCGTCTCCCTTGGTGAGGATTCCTCGACAATCTAGTCAAAAGAAAAATTCCAATTTGCGACCGATAGATAGAATTGCCATCTTTCTAAGAAAAGCCCTCTAATGATAATTAAATTACATAGTGGCCCGGGGGGGTTAGTAGTTAGGCTTTTACAACTGGTATTATACTATTAAAGAAGGCGGTAAACTATTATTGAAGTTTTTAACAGTTTATTACAGTTGTAATAGTCTCACCACTACAGTTTTCTGCTATTAAATTCGGTTTATAATAAGTAATGATTATTTAATCTAATTATATATAAATATCTAACTCTTAATATATATAATAAAATTTCTAACTGTATCTGTTACCTCTAACCTCATAAAGTTAAAAATATAAATAAAGTAAATATATAAAATGAGTTTAAATAAATTCTTTTACTATTATAAAAAATATTAATATTATACAAAGATAGTTTATATATAATTATAATATAAGTTATTATCGTTGTATTACTTTATAACTATTATAAGGTAGAATTTAATAGTTATAAATGAATTAGTGATTGATAATAATTATATTAAACTATTTATAACTATCTATAACTATCTACAACTGTTTTACAACCCTTTACAACCCTTTACAACCCTTTACAACCTTACTACAACGGGTGCTACTAACCCCCTCGGGCCACTATGTAATCGGCGTGGTGCGTCTTGACCTGCATGATGATCGATCGGCTGCAGATCAATTTTCTTACTAGGACAAATGGCTACCCGAAATATATATCGAACTGCTACAAACACTTGAGAACTTATAGAACTACATAAAACCACTTTGGATTCAGCACCTCAACTACTACATGCAAAAGATGAAGTTACAAGGGTATCGATATTGGTGCGTTCCTGGAAAAGGTAAAATACAAAAAGAATCCTCGCCGGTGGCCTTTTTGATTTGTTTCTCTTTTTTTTTCTGTTCGTTTTGGGTGGTGGCTCTGTCGACACCAGTTGGGGTGGTGAATAAACCGCAATGCCGATGATCCCTTCGCTTTTATTCCATTCCCCGGCCACCAACATGGAAAAGACCATTGATATCATACCAAGCTAGCACTCCTCTCCATCGGCTTCTGCTTCTGCTTCCGCTTCTGCTTCGGATCCACACCAACAACTCCTGAGGCCCTAGGGATCCGAGCGCGTCGAGATCGACCAATCAACGAAATGATCAATCCTGTCGCCAGCGCGTGTGTCTACTAGGAAAGAGGAAGATGAATGGAAAGAAGTTTTGACGCACATCTCGCTGAAAAGGACGAAAAAAAGGTGTGAAAGAGGAAAGACGTCATTTTGCAAGTATCACAACAATAGAAATTAAAATACCGATCGAAAAACGTGAGATTAATGAAGAGATGGTGGAGGAAAGGAGCCGTTTGAGGGGGATCAAGGGGGAATGGGAGAAAGAAGGGTGGACATGAACTCAAAAGGGGGAATCAAGCACAATCACACCTCAAGCATCGCCTCCAGTGGCGGACGGCTTGTCACCAGGGCCCGAGTCGGAAGTCGGAGCGCCCTTGCTGAAGCCACCGCGACCACCTCGTCCGCCGCGAGACCCGCGGTCGCCGCGACCACCACCACGGCCACGGAATCCACGCCCCCGGTTGGTCTCGCTGTCACTGGCGCCTCCGCTCTGGTAGCCGCGCTGGGACGTGTTGCCTCCGCGGTTGCTACCCTGCCAAGTACCGGCATTGCCGCGATGACCGCCTCGATCCTCGAAGAACTTGACGTTGGGCTTACGGGGCTGGCCAGCTGGGCTGGGCTTCTTGTGTTCCGCGGGCTGACGATCGAGAGCGGCCTTGGCCTCGTCAACAGTAGCGAAGTGGACAACGTGGTTGTTGTATTTGCCCCATTTCTCGATCCGCACGATCTTCGCCTTGTCTTCATCCTGGAAGAGATCACGCACAGCCTGCTCATTCTCAACGTTCGAGACGAACAGTCCGTTGCTCTGCTTCTTCTCAACCTTGGGCAGAGGCGACTCAGAGATTTTCTCGGGCTGAATAGTTCCGTTCGGCTCGGTGGTAGTGGTTCTGTCCGGGGACGCCGCGGCAGGCTGCGCAGCAGGAGCGCTAGCGGGCTGAGGAGTCGCAGGCTTAGGAATCACGGGAACGGGGGAAGTGCGAGCGGGAGCGGCGGCGGGAGCCTTGGCCTGCGCGGGCTGCTGTGCCGAAGATTGCTGCTGCGGTGGGAGAGCCGTACGGGGGGCAACAGGCTGAGCCTGACCGAACTGAGGAGCAGCACCGGGGACACGAGGAGAGGGAATGTTGACGGGGGCGGCAGTGGGCACTGGAGCGGGTTGGGTTGTGGCAACAGACTGGGGCTTGCCGGTACGGTGGGCGAAGTTGAAACCCTGAGCGCGCATTTCAGTCGCGATGCGGCCTGCCTCGATCTCGAGGACCAGGAAGCCAAACGCGGCATCCGCCAAGTTGAAGTTCCACATGTTCTTGAAGGCGCTTTCGTCGACCTGGCCAGCTGCGTTACCGGGGGCGGCGGGTCCACCGAAGGGATTGCCACCGTTAGCGACAGTGGGCATCTTGGTCACCACCTCAAGAGCGTTGTCCAGTAGAGTCTTCTGAGCCTCGTTCTGCGAGATGGCGGCCTCAACCTCACCGCGGACGGTCTCCCATACGTCATTGAAGGACGCCTTTGAAGCAGCGAGCTTGCCTCGGTAGTGGTCCAGCGAGGGGTTCACGGAGAATTCGTTGTAGGACGAACCATAACGGAAGTGGAGGCCGGCGGAGATGGAGAAATCAGCCTTGAGAGTGACGGACAGCTGGTTCAGCATACCCTCACGGGCGGGTGACGCATGTGTGACGAAGATCCGAGTCTCTGAGGGGTCATATACACGGTTTGCTGTGTCAATCAACTCTCCCATCTGCAGCAAGGTTGTCCACATAGTGCCTTGTCCACCAGCAATCGTGGTCTTGCCCTCGCCATTATCGAATAGCTTGTGCATGACCACAGCTCCTCCCAAACCCAAGAGACGGAGCTTAACGCCACCAATGTCGAGCAGTCGCGAGTTGGCTTCGTCAATGATGTGCAGCTTGTCAACCTTGTACTCGCCCGAACGAAACTTTTCCAGCACACGCACATCCTCACAGGCACCCCAGACGGTATAGACAGGAACATCGAGAGTGAGGCGCTTGTCGAGCAGCATGGGAAGCTCTGAGAGGGGAAGCTGATCCGGGGTGAATCGTTGCTTGATGGACTGCTGGGGAGGAGTCTGAGCGATTGTCCGCTTCACATTCTCGGGGAGCAGAGGCGAGTACTGAGCCACGTGCTTGAGGGTCCTATAATTGGAATTTAGATCGAGTCAGTCGATCCAATCACATGTTATCATGCATAAAAGCTCTCTACTTAGCGGGTAGCGTCACGGGTCGGGGGCATCACTGACTTGTCGGCAATGCGCTCGAGGGAGGTGTCGTCATAAAAACCAAAGTCACCAGTGTGAATGATATGGTCTGCACGGGCCTGCCTGGCCAGTTCATTCAAAGACTTCAGATTACCTGCGCCACGGAAAAAGCAAAACAGAATTCCCCAGTCAGCTCAATCGGGTCTATCACTCCGGGGGTACCACCGGGTCTGGATGCGGAACACATACCTCGCACGTCCGCAATGCACAGCACTCTGACGGGGCCATTCTGAATGATTCGACCATTGTTGGGAAGGAGAGGGGCGGCGCCGGGAACAGGACCCGAGGGAACGGCACCGTTGGGGAGGGGATAGCCTTGGGGAGCGAAGTTGTGTGGAGGACGGGGCTATATGAAGAGCACGGATCAGCAGGGGTGAACCTAAATTCTTATCTGAGCATGTAGGAGGATCGTCGAACGCGTGTGAATTGAGAGGGGGGGGGGGGCATGACGTTGGACAGCCAACAGCTGTCCGGGGCAGAAACAGAGAGCACGTACAGAAGCCATGAGGGAGGCGGGATGAGGTGGTTGATTGAAGCAAGAAGGAAGAGATCAAGGACAGTGGAATGATGCAAGAAGAAAAAGGGAAAGAGAAGGGCGCGAGAAAAGGGAGGCGAAGAAGAAGGGGACTGGGGGGAGGAGTGAAAGCAAGCACGACGAGGCGGTTTGGAACACGGCGAAAGCAAGCCTGAGTGCTGCTCCAGCCGAAGTGAAGGTACCGCTTATGTAAGCCCCAGGGGCAGCTCCCGGCCGCAAGCCGCAAGGGACAACTCACTTCTCAACCCACTTCCCAACTCACACCGTGAATGATCCTTTGTCACTAGATTTCACAGGCATACATGCTAGAGTTGAGTAACACTACAATCGGGAAAGGCACCAGAATTGCAAAATCTCCCAATTCATCCAATTTATCTCACCACATACATTCATTCACAGGCCATCGGTGCTATACTACTACTACCAAATCAGAATCAAACTCCCTTCACGGTTAGAGCTCCTCCCCCGACTTGATAGAAAACTCCTGGTTGTCGAGGAATTTTCTGTCTGGTTTGGGAGGGCCTAGATCGTAGACTTTGTTTCTCGTCGCTCTCTCGGATACCGCAGTCTGGAGGGACTTGGGTCCTTGCAGTGCCATCAGAGCGAAATGTCCTCCCACGGTTGGCCGGGCTCGACACAGCACAGGCATTCCCGGATTTCTGCCCTTGGCGGATGTGGCAACGTAGCGATCGGAGAATGGCCAGTTGTGTTTGCCGTTGGTCATGAAGGCCCATAGATCATCTACAAACTCGTCGCGAGTGCTGGGGTCCAAGGTGCCCGCCAGCCACATGTTCCAGTCCGACTTGGCCCAGTCCTGCCGGCTATCCAACGGGACTCCATACTCGGCGCGGACCTTCTTGAAGAAGGTGTTCCCCATTTGGTACGCCGCTTCGGGGAAGGTTTGCAGATCCAATAGCACGTCTGGGTAGAGATTGTAAGGGATCTTCCAGGACGCGGGCTTGTCGGGATATTGGAGTACAAAGTGTGTCTTTTTCTCGTCCGTCCCGCGGCCCTGGCTGAAAAAAAGATCCGCCCGTGCTTGCCCAATCCGAGAGTATTCAGCGAGCCCGGTCAGTTCGCCAAACGCCTTGATCCCGACGGCGGCCTTGATGGCAAGGTTAGTCTCATTGGCAAGAGCGCCAGCCGCATCGTTGGAGGACAGCTGCTCCATGATGTTGACGCCATTATTGACTAGATAGTCTGCATAGCCTTGCAAAATGTCTGTGTACTGGGCGGCCCATTGGATGTCACCCGTTGCTCGTACATAGGCCAGAACGAGCACCAACAGATTGCCACATTCCTCAATGGGCATTCGCTCGGCCCGCTGATTGTCATGGCCGATCGCATTGGGGTAATGCTTGCCCATGTCATGGATCACATATGGTTTGTGCCAGCGTCCAGCAGCCAGATACCTCATCATCGGCTCTAGCAGGAGTCGAATGTAGTCTGGATCTAGAACGTAGTAGATTGGGAAGGCGGGCATGATAACATCTACCGTGTTGATGTTTCCATCGCTGGAAAGCTCCTTGATGAACGCCAAAACATCGGTGGTGTTAAGTGTATCGTTAGGAATGGTTACCTCAATCCCTCCATAGGCCTGACGAGCCGACAGAGTGACAATGTCCGCGTATTTCTTACCCCCTGCGTCTTCGGCCTGAAGACGCATTTTGGAATCAAGGATCTTGCATTCTTCAGAAGCATGGTCATAGTCCTTTAAGAAGTGGTTGACTGCCTGATGGACATCCGGGTATTGGGATCGATAATAACCGGTATAGGGCTTGTTTAGGTAATTGATGGACTCTTCGCGGACGTGCCCTACCGCAAATGTCACGGAACGTTTTTCCTCGACTATACCTAAATCGTGTGCCAATGCCACGATTCCTCCCGGAGCCCAGGGTGGTTGATCATCTGCTAGTCTCCCGGTCTTCACAAATTGAGAATGCACTTCTTCACTCTTGCCCGATGAAAAGGTGATCACGGACGGTTTGGGCGTGGAAGATCGGCGAGAGGCGAAGATGACCTCGCCCCAAGTAGCCATATCATCGGCTTCCGAGTATGGAATGCTATCCTCCACACCCAAGGAGTAAGCGTACGTCCAATCGGCGATCGCAAACCCTTTAGTCGTGTTCTGCGGCCGCCCAGTCCATCTTCCATCAATGCTGGAAAATATTTCAACCCTCTGATTGAAAACCTCCGATGCAGTAACGGTCAAGTAGCCTTCAACCCAGAACAATCAGTTTCCAGCTAGTTGTGTGCTATGGATTGGTAGGGATCTTACTGAAGGGGAGAGACTGTCGAACATAGTTTGAGGGAGATATGGGAGACAAAAATTCCAGGGTAAAAGTCACCGAGCCAGCGGAAAGAATGAAGATAGAATGGGTCGCCGTATACATGGCGTTTCGAACAATGGCCGGACGGATGTCCTCGCCGGGATCCTTCACGCCCATCAAACTGTACGTCTGGTTACTGACGCGTGCCATCACCGACCAGGTGAGACTCTGACCCGCCCAGAACTGGGGCTCGGCAAAGGGCAATGTCTGGACCTGATCCCTGGGCATCCATGTCGAAAGATACGGGCTTCGGACTGCCAGAGGGTAGGAGGGAGGCAACGCAGGGTGATGAGTGACGAGTGTTCGCTCTCGAGGACCAAGGAGGGAGAGCGCTAGAGCAGCCAGCGAGCTCATGCTACCAGTGATGAGATGCATGGTGGGCTACTTCCCGAAAATCCAGCCGCGGAGGTAGTCAAGTGTGATAGCGAGCAGACTGCCCGACAGAACGAGGGGGGGCATGGCTGAGATGATAAAGAAGACGGATGGTGGAGTCGAGCGAAGGCTGAAAACGGGGGGGAGAATCCCCTGGCTGGAGCGTGTCGATCGTGGCCGGGTTGTCGTCAGCTATGCATTTCGTCATGGGTAGCGGGCGCTGGCGTGGGAGTCCGGCCAGGCGCTCAGGAACCCGCTCGGGCCCCAGGGCGCTTAACGACACAGTGGAGCCGGCGGCAACATGGCTCATTAACACGGTGGTGACTGCGCTTCAAGTTTCAGCCTGAAAAGATCTCAGCCGGTGGAGGAGAATAATGACAGAATTCAAGAGTCGATGATATGATGCGGAATGGAATGCGGGGGATGCTGTGCGGGAGGGCCTATTCGGGAATAGTGTCTCCACCAATTCCACACTATGGTACTACAATGTAGTACTACAATGTACGTGTGGACTGAACTTGGATGGTGACATATCGGTCATGATTTAGGACAACCCAAAAAAGCACGGCAGCACAAATAGCAACACAATACAGGGTTTTCTTCCTACAGCTGCGCCTTCTCGATCCTCCGGCCAATCTCGTCGAAATGGATCTGCTTCCCTGTCACCAACGCCTCCTGGAGATAAGCGCCAATCTCAACCGCTTTGACCGCATTGGACAGCTTGAGCGGCAGGGGTGTGTTGTCCAGGCAGCTGGCAGTAAATTCATTTGCTTCCCTCACAAAGGCTCCCCCGAAGCGCCCGTGGAAGTTCGCAGGGACCTCGCGGGTGATGCCCCCGGAGTGGTAGTAATTTACAAAGTTGCGTTGAGGGTTGATGTTGACTGACAGTTTCCCCTCCGTGCCAATGACCTCGGTCGTATCTTCCTGACCATGGGGCATCATCCGTGAGCAGTAGTAGTAGGCGATCTTGCCGTTGTGGAACTCAACAATGCCAACGGCGTTGTCGTAGTCCTTGTACTTCTTCAGCTCCGGCTGGACAGCGGTGATGCCATGGGCGGATATGCTCTTGGGGACTGAGTCCTCACCCATGAACCACAATGTGAGGTCAATGTCATGCACAGACATGTCCACGAACACACCACCCGACCATGCAGCGTAAGCGACATAGAATCCCGATGGGTCGTATTTGTCACAAGTCTGGCTTCTAACGATTGAGGGCCGTCCAATCAGACCCTGGCTAATCTTGTCGTAAACTTCGCGGTAAGACTCATCGAACCTCCGCGAGAAGCCACACATGACCTTCAAATGCGGCTTGGTCTTGGCCTTCTGAGCGACAGCTTTACACTAACAAAGAGTAAGTTCATGCCTGGCGAGAATTGATTTGGACAGGAGGAAAGTCGGGACATACCACTTCAACATCAATAGACAATGGCTTCTCACAGAGAACATGCAAGTCATGGTCAATGGCTTTCATCGTTTCTTCAGCATGCACAGATGTAGCTGTACCGATGACCACCGCCTGCAAGCCAGGGTGCTCTAGCATCTTATCGTAGTTATCATATAATGTGACTCCATAGGGCTCCAAGTTTTGTCGGCCCCATGCAATCTCGGCCGGGTCCGGAGAGAAGGCTGCAACAAGGTCGGCACGAGGGGTTTGGTGTAGGAAGTTATTGACATGGACCTTGCCGATCCGGCCTAGGCCAGCCATACCGACTTTGAGCTTTTGGATAGGCATTGTGGGTGATGGTTGTAGATGGAGGAAAGTCAATTGAAATGAATATGAAGAGCTGACGAGAGGTTAATTGAAGCCACAGGTTGGTTTTTATGAGATAGTTTGAGGTATGAATGGGAATGGATCTTGCTAGGGAGATTTGAAGGCTTTATAAATCCCATCCGCCGGAGTTCCATCGCCTGCAGATCATTCATGCTGAAGGGGAAATTTTCCTTATTTGAACTGGATCGATGTTGCTCCTCCTAAGTTGCGCACATAACTGGAGGTGTAGACGGTCCTCTGGACTCCTGATGCACTTGAGCGGAGAAAGAAGATGATGGAGCAGAAACAACACGGGTGGAGTTGCCCACTGCCGGACGGAAACACTTGCCGTTGTTCATGGAGCCGGGGAATTGGCGGGGGTGATTGGTCCGGGCGTACCGGGCGCCCCACTAGGCACGGTTTGGGCAAGGCTCTCCTTCGGCCGGGGAAAATAGCAGGATGCCCCGTTGCTCTCGTTGCTCGCCTAGTACGAAGTGGTACAGCCGGCTGTGTGACTATGGATGCAATCATTCTTACCAGTCATTGATCCGATGTTGCTAACCCATTTCTGGAAATTGAAAGCCAAGACAGTCAAATGCGGGGTATACCTCCAAATACACAGCCAAAACAATAGCGGAAAGAGTCCAGAAAATCAACATCGGGCGGACATCAGCCCACGCGCTAGGACCGCAAAGAAATAAACATTGTACGTAGCTGCTGGTCAGGTAGAAGATACTCGCTGCTGAATCAAAAGGATTGATGCGCTCGTAATCATGTGCGCCCGAAAGAGAAGTATGATCCCCATCCCCTTTGCTTCGTGTCGGAGTCTCTGTGCGATCGATCTTGACGAACTCTAGCATTCTTCTCTAGATCTGGTTGAATTGCACCGCCCTTCGTGCTTTCGGATATGGGTTGACCTCTTCCTGTCGTGTGTGTAACACTCAAGGGCCCGTCGGTAGAGTCTGTGAAGGAGACTGCTTCGCGTGTCTTCAAACGCCTCTTCTTTGCCGTTATGAAGACAGCAGTGAATACAACTAAAGAAGGTGGGGTGGTCAGCGCTGGGTTGTTGAGTTTGTTCATGTACTTGGACGTATCGCCCCTCCAGAACATACCTCCGATGAGCACAACCACGGCCACTATCGTACACAGAATTATCATTCCTTTGGAAGAAACGCTGTGTGTCAAAGACGATTCTGATTCCCCGCTGCCATCTTGACTGTCGACACTACTTAGAATACCCTGTGCAACGGCGGGGGAGGATAGCGTGACAACAGTCAGCAAAAACAGATATGTTGAGTACATGAGGTGTCAATTGGGAGATTTTCAAAGGCCAATATATACTGCGATATGAACAATAAGTACTGAGTCAGTGGTCGATTGTATAGTAGTAGTAGTGGAAAATCAAGGGAGGCAGAGGCAGGGGAGACGGGCTCGAGATATAAACCCAGGGTCAGATGGGGTCGGCAGGGGTCCCAGATCCGTGAAGAATCTGTCGGGCTACGTATGCGCAACTAGGCATTCTGGTGGTGATAGGCTTTATGACGACAGCCCAAGTCCTGAAGATAGGATGGAGTGTTTTACCGTTCCATCAGTCCGGGATCGTGCAGTTTCACTGGTTTGAAGGTGAAACACGACGTCGAATCGGAGACGAGAGACTCGGGTAGGTGGGATGCCGGCGCCAACTGCAACACCATTCCTCGCAAAACCTTGGCCAGGTGTCCAATTTTTTTTTTTTTTTTTTTTTTTTTTTTTGTGGGGGAGGGGGATAGGGTGGATGATTTATCTGCAGATAGTGGGCTGTAGCGACTGGAGGATTGTTATGACGAAGCGCAAGTATGTCCACGGGACGATAGTAAATGCATTACTGAGATGACACAAGGGGCTTGTGTGCACTCTCAGCTGAACTAATAATTCACAAATGCCATTGAAAATCTCGCCAACAACTGAGAAAACAAAGATGTATCCAGTTCTCATTTCTCTATTGACGCCGTGCATGGCTACCATACACTTCTACACACACACACGCACACACACACACACACACACGCCAACATTGAACCTAGGATGAGAATGTACCTTTCTTGGATAGCTACTATCCGCTTAGAATATAAACCATTAGTGCAGCCGATTACCTAGTTTGACACTTGCATTGAATACCTCTACTAAAAAAGGGAGAAAGCCAGGCGAACTCCACCAAAGCAAACCATGGCCACCACAAAAGCCAAACTTCAAAGCAGCGCGACACGGAAAAACAGCGAACCTAAAAAAGAATAAAATCGATAGACGCCATGTCCCAATCCATTCCAATAAGTGCACCAACAGTGTAAAGGAAATTGGGAGCCAAATGATCGACCAGGATCTTTCGACGATAATGATTAGAATGCAGTTAAGGCGGCCTCCAATGAAACCAGGGCGCGTATCAGGACCCCTGGGTGGTTATCTCAAGAGGGTTGCCCATATACCACAGTGCTAATGTTTTGAAAGCGTTGTCATTTCCGTGGGTGAAATCGAATAGCTTGGTCGGGCGCAAGACCAGCTTGTCATCTCGGAAAAACGCTTCTATCACTCGGGCTTGGAATCCCATGAGGGAGAACATCAACACCTGCAACTTATTCAGTACTCGAACATGAGAGAATGAATGGACAGGGAAGGCGCAGCTACCGGTGTGACCAGTTGATGAATGAATTTTTGCCTCCGAAGCTGTGTTAGCATAGTACGGAGGATTGGCATCAACTCGCCACAAAGGATTGTGGAATCCGTAGCAACCATATTATTGTACATGAGTGCTTTGATATGCGGGTAGGCCGGGTCAATCATCTCTGTGATGTGGTAGCACCCGAACTCGGGCTGGTTGTGTTTATACAGGCCCGAGTTGTTAAATGCAGAATCTCCAACACTAATATCTTTTAGTTACAAGCAGACTTAAAGCACACGACCAGTTGCTTACCATCTTGAAACTCAAGGGGCCCTCTTCCCTCTTGTTTTGCGATCGTATTAAGAAATGTAAGCCGAAAGGTGTATGTTCATCCCATGAGCGCGATCAACGGGACGGGTTAAAGAATATTCTGTTTCATCATCAAGACCCTTGTAGGGCTCTCGAAAGTTATCAGTATTGGGTTCTGGAATCGAGTGACCGGGATAGGAAGCGAAGTAAGTGGGCTTTTGTGGCAGTTTCTCGTCTAGTGTCAGAGGATCAACACGGATATCGAAAATCCAGTTGCTGGACGTCAAATTCATCAAGTTGAAGGCTCTTGATTTCCCGCGCCAAGTTGGTCAACCTCCAACGCACATGGCGGTGGGCAGGAGGTTCTGCAATGAGCGACATGGCGATGGGTAACTGAGAGAAGGTCTTTGATAACCCGGAAGATATAAAGTAGTTGGTCCAAAGGAAAACAGACTGACGGGGAGCTGATTTATGTCTCCAAGGATGATGAGAGTTCAGTCGCGACTTGGTTCCGGGATAACATTGGTTGCCCGGTAACTGCCAATGAGAGGGCGGACAGATGCGGACGCAGACGTCACATGTACACACCGCCGAGCCCCCACCAGAGCTGGCCAACCAGAGCCATGTTCGAACTTCTCTTGAACTACTCCGTACTATTTTTATCTTCTCATCTCAACCCAACCCATTTCACACTGGCCTGTCATGCAACAGTTATAGCGTGTGATTCAAAAATAGTATCATGTCAACACTCCCCGATTCGCTCGATTGGCGCCTAGACTTCCCCTGGAATATACACAGAACCAATTGTGACTGGACTCTTAGCGCGTGCTCTTTCTCTAGAAGTAAGAGGAAACGGGGAGAGACTAGATCCAACTAGTAGTGTGTTGAAACGGCGCCCGCGGCAAGGAGAACCCTCTTTTGATGGGCGGAGTGCCTACCCTGCCAGGCGTGGCGCGCGCCAGGAGGTGCCTGCCCCAATTCTCATATTGCGGTGAGGAGATATAATGGCATATATGAATTGAAATAGCCAGCGTAAATCCCCTGAGTTGCATGTATCACTATCCTGATCAGACTCCTCATATATTCAAAATTAAATTATCGTCGTTCATTTACCTTCAATACCTTTCGTTAGCTGTATTCTTGGAATCCCCATGTCTGGCACGCCAACCAAGCTACCTGGGGATGTGAAGACCTGGGAGGATGAAATGGCTAAGATGGGCCTCACAGGCCAGACTATACACGGCGCGGAGTTAGCTTCCGCCTCGAAATTCGAGTATAAACAGTTCCTGCTCCTGCAAGTTATCTGGGTGCCACGCCGCTTGAATTATCTGCCGACTATGCTGCCTGGCTTCAAGGATTGGATCACAAAGGCGGAGACAATGTTGAAGACCTATCAATCATGGGGCACATACTGTCAGGGATTGGCACTCTCGGATGCTGGAGAAGGGAACTTTACAATTGCCCGGCATTACCAGCTTCAGGTTGCAAACACCAGAGACGACACAGATCCACTGACTCTGGCAACCCCTATCGCACATCGGACACGCTCCCGTGAACTCGCTCGAAAGTTTGCTGATATGAATTTGGCAACATCCTCAAGATCCAACAATATTTCTAAGACACTCGACATTGAAGATACTAGCCTCGATGATCCGTTCGATATTTCGGAGACCTCGGTTCCAGTTACCCCGCTTCCAGGGACTCCAAGTCCATTCCGGGAGATAACACCTGCTCCCAAAGAATTGGAGAACGTGTTATACCTTCCGACAAAGGATGAGCAAATCGTGAATTGCGCCTTGATAACCTTCCTGAATGCTTTGACAATACCCTTCAAGCTCGCCAACAATTGGACCTTGCACAGGAAGGCCTTCAAAGCTATATTCGACGATGCTAGCTTTGAAGCAAGAACTGATGGATATCTTGATGACCGTCAAGGCAACGCCCAGGCTATAATCGAAGTGAAGCCAGTCACACGATCGAAAAAACAAGTCTTATTCAAATGCAACAGAGCGCCGAGATGGTGGCTTGGATCAAAAGCGATGGTGAAAAGCCAGATGCACCCAAGAAAGTGTATGTCTTCCTCTGTCGAACCCTTTCCACTACAAATTAACCCCATGCTGATTGAGAAAAGGCGCTTTCATATATCGGAAGACTGACACGAGATATTCCTGACAGTTGCTCAGTACGATGGTGACTACATCAAATATTTGGCAGACAAGAATCATCGCAGTGAGTCCAGGTCCTTTATGACTATGAACCAATTCGGTCCCTGTAATACATTGGAGGCGACACACATGCGCTACCTGGGCCCTATCCTGCTAGCGATATCACTGCGTGCAGACGCCGAAATAGGCCAAAGCTGATCCTGATCGGATCGAATGCCCAGTCATACATCTTTCTCGTAAACGACAAAGATAGCAATAGTCTCGCCGTGGACACCAGCTGGGCCCATATTGATTCCAATGTTTTTCAAGCAGTGCGCTCGGTCAGACCTTTTCAACGTTTGTTCATTTGTATTCGTAACTTCGGAATAGTTATTATCAAACGAGTGGAAGCTCAAAAGAATAGATTCATCACGGATAACTGTACGTCGTATGATTGATGCCAGTTGCTGGTATAAATCAGCATTGTCTCGGCCGTAAGGGGACTAGATCGGTATGTTGGCCAAAATGGCAGTCACCACTACTAGAGTCACGAGGGCTATCTTCAGTGGGGTCCGGGGACATTTCTCGTTCCTGAACGTTCTTTCAGAGGTCTACTATCGGCACACCACGAAGGAGAATGAATTGTAGAAAGAAGGATACTTAAGGACGAAGACGAACCGAAACGTCAAAGTTCCTGCCTTACAGTGATGGTCGTCCGTCATTTCAAATGTCCTTTACTCCCTGATCAGTCCCATCACTAAGATTTGAGGCTAACAAATCTTCGAGATTGTAGTAGCGCCGAGATGCAGAACGAACAAACGCCACTATCCGCTGAGGATACCCTACACTGTCCCGATGTTGTGAAAGCTACCGATGTGAGCAACTATGACGAGGTGGAGGAACTGATACTCCTACACATGGCAGATGACATCGACCCCGTTTCCCCGAAGCTCAAGGCGATTATGGCTCAAGAGGGAAGCACACACGTGTCTCTCACGGGAAACCGGAGACAAATGTCTCCACTACTCATGGAACGTCCTAAAAGTTCGGGGATTGACACGTCAGCTTTCTGCTTTGGAAAGCCCACTCAAGGTCCGAATTCGTTCTCCCTTCAGCCAGCAAAGCGCTCGCCATTAGGCACTACGTCTTGCGAAGCTGACTCTCCTCCCAATCACGGAAATAAACTATCCTCAAACCACAAAGGTCAAAGCCAAGAACTGTAAGTAGCGCGGATAAGGTCTAGAACTCTGCTAATGTTTGTCGGGATGCGCAGCTCTTCATATCCAGAGAATGCCGGGTCTGGCACTGGCACTCTGAAGGTCGCATTGCAGGACCGACAACCAGAAACGCAAAAGCCACAGGCTACAGCTCCAAGTCTGCCACACAAAGCGCTGGAAGCTGAGCACATCCTACATGTTTCTCGTTCCGACGCTAGGTCTGTGCCGCAAGATGGTCAACTATCCTTAGCCAACACCCGGATTATGCCTCCCGAAAATGCAACATTGCGTATGTGATCTATGCCGGACGCTTCAATAGACACTAATGTGAACATCTAGCGAAGAAAATAAACCATCCGCGGAAAGAGAAGGTAGGCCATTTCCTCACCACTTTCTCCCAGACATGCCAATCGAAACACAGGTTGCCGGACGTACTGGAACTACCAAGGAGAGTGCCAAACGCCTGACCACAACTCGCCCCAATGAATCCTCAATGATGTCCAAGCGATGTAATGAACAGAGCAAGATGCTTGACCAACATATACTGGCCCCTACGAACCATAAAGCCAAAATAGCAAAACGCAACGGTATACACAAAGAACGAGCCATTGTGGGTTCTACAAATGGAGGGTCTCCATTATCAGAGGAAGATCTATTCCACTTGTTGATCGACCGTATCAGGGATCGTGAGGAAAGTGCAATTGCTGCTTTGCATATCCGACAGCAAATGGAGACCGAGATCATCAAAGTGGCAGAAGAGAATGATGCGCTAAAAATCCAACTGGAACTATCTAACAAGCAAATTCAGAAGCAGGCCTCCGACCTAAAGATTTGCGAGTCTCGACTAGGAACTTGGAAATTAAAGCTCATGAGGTTTAAGGGCTTCTTGAACGAACTTGGCTGCGACTTTCAGAACCTCCGTGGTGACGCAATTCAGCTGAAAGCAACAAGAAAGGAATTGCTAAATGAGCGGGACGAGATAACCGCTGGTATCAGTGAAGCAAAAGCAAAGCTAGCCGAAGCTTCGAGCAGTGTTGATCAAAGGCGAGAACAGCTATTAAAGGTGGAGGGCCAACACGAGTTAATCAGGCAGGATCTCAGAAATGCGGAGACCAGGGCCAACTATCTTTTACACCAGTTATCTGATGAGAAGAAAAGATCCAAGCTACTTGAGTTGTACATCCAAGATTGCTCCCGGGCCCAGACAACAAAGTTAGGCCAGATCATGTCGCACCAGCATGAGATGATGAAGAATATGGACACCGCATTGGAAAGCTTAGGGCACCAACATGATGCTTTGCTCAAGACTATTCAAGGAAGTCTATGTTCTGATCTCAACGAGTGTCTGATGTCTCTTAGAGAAGTCTCGGAGAAATCGTCAAGTGGCCAAAAGGGCGTACATGAATGCAAAGAAATCATGCAGAACTTCGCATTACGGTAGGCGTTGGATCATCAGTGAGAGTGATTTGTTCTCATGAGACTAATATGGTGCACTAGTATCGACTCAATGATGCTCCAGCTGAACTCAGACATTAGCAGAGAAGCTAAGTCAAATGAAAGCCTGACCCAAAGTCTGAAAGAGCAGATTTTAGTCATCGAGGAGCATATTGCCAGCGACTGTAACCTGTCGAAACAACTTTCCATCAACTCAGACAACTATGAGAGCCTGCGTAAAACTCTCGAAGCATTCAAAGCGACCACAGAGAAGATCACTTGCTCGATGCAGGGGTTAGAGTCCAAGGAGATTGGGCTTGCTGGTCAAATGAACGCCTTCGGAATAAGCCTGGCGGAGGCAAGGATTCCCCAGCAAATCGAACCATCGAGAGAAGAAATTTGTGGTTACGAGATGAAAATACAGGGAATGAAGGACAAGATGGAGAGCTTATCTGAAGACCTCAACGCAGCTCAAGCAGCCCTGAAAGCCAAGGAGCTCGAGACGGAGGCGATGAAGATTTCAATGTCGGAAGCATCATCCAAGGCGGATGACTCCGAGTCCCGCGCACGTGCATGCGAATCAGAAGCTGCTGCCTTAAGGGATGAAGTCAAATCAGTCGAGATAAGGGTTCGTGAGGAGCTCAACCGCGCGAGTGTTGTCTCCCGCGAACAAGATCGAGCGAAGTACGAGCAGCAACTGCACGAGCTCTTGCGCGAAAAAGCCGACGTTGAGAGAAATATAGATAGGTTATCCACGCAACTGGCCGGGGCTCGACTAGCACTGGTAAGAGGATAAACGCGGCTTGAAAGAAGATGCATTCTAACCCACACAGGCTGAGTACGAGAACAAAATGAAGGAGCGGGAGAGTGAGATGCAGCTCATTCTGACATCAAAAGAAATGAAAATCGATAACCTTAAGAGTCACGCCTTGGAGAGTGCAGCTAAATTGGAGGACCAAGAGAAAGAGGTAGCTAGACTGACGGAGGTAGAGTCAGTCAGCGTAACTCAGCAGGCCTCGCTCCACAATCAACTCGAGGAAGCCACTAGTCGAATAAGGATTCTCGTAGACGAACGCTCCCGAGCCATCAACGAAAGCCACAAATCATCGCAGGATCTAGAAGCGAAGTTTGATGCCCTCGAGATGGGCTTTCGGAAAAAGGAGAAAGAGTTTGCCCTTATACAGGAAAATCTCACTGCTGCGATATCGGAAAAGTCTGACCTTGAATGCAGCCAGCAGAAGGCAAAAGAAGAGATGCATACACTGCTGGAGAGGGTTGAGGATTCGGAGAATAAGATGAATAAAATCGAAGAGATACTCAGTCAAATGGGTCTTTCTACGCCTGGCCAGTCGTTCACTGAAGTGTGTGGTATCCTGCAGACAAGTTTACTCACAGCTCAGAACAAGCCCATCGACCCTCAGTCGAATGCATCTCCGAGTGGAAGGGACGTCAGTTGCTCGAACGCCGTGACTGCGACACCGCAAAAAGATATTTTAGGCCTAGGGCAGGAGCTGTACAAGGCAGAAGTAATTTACCGAACGCAGAGTATCCAGGCAAGCATAATTTCTTCTCCCTTCCCACGAGAGGTTAAGCTGGGAGAGAACAGCATCGCAAGCCAAGAGCGTCTTTGCTCGGTTGAGAACCCCAACATTGTACCGTTCTCGAGTATTCGTCAGCAAGCATCCCCGAGAGATAGCCCAGTGTTCGGGCATGATGAAAATGATCTTGCAGCTATGTTGATGCTCACACCAGGGAAAAAGGTCATCACAGAATGCGATGCACCCAGCAAATCAGATGAAACCTTAGCGACGAAACCGACAGAGCTGAAACAAGAAAAGCTTCCAAGGATTCTTGCTCCCGAGATGGCGATTAATAAAGCTGCTTTGGAAGTCAAGGACTCAGTGCCCCTGTCGAATTCCCAACCAGATGTAAAGGGTACGGAGGTGTCTGAAAACAGAGGCAGCAGAGCGAACACGAAGCCCAAAGCCGTCACATTTGAGACCGAAAGTCCGAAATCTGCGGGTCAGAAACGCAAACAGCCAGAGTCCAAGAGCAATGATGCTCCGAGCAAAGTACAGAACATGTCGCTGATCGAAGACCAACCAGCTCGTGTCAATCGGCGGACATACTCCAGAGTTCGACATTCGGTGTCAAGAGGTGCAGCAAAGGCTACAGAAGTAGCCCGTTTCTCTGCAGGTGATGCAGCTGATGGAGACACTCATGTTCCCATCACGCGCGCCGCTGGAAACAAACGAGCAAAGGCTTCGATAGACCCCCCTGGTCAGCGACAGACGAAGTCAGTGTCTGAGTACTTTGAGCGCAAATCGAGTCCTACGAAGCTAGCTTCTGGAAGCAGCCGACCTCCTTCGATGAATGCAAATCAGAGTAATAACCAGAAGTGGCCAGCTCGTGGAAGGAGTTCAAGACGAACAAGAGGTAAGTAGGACACATAGCGCGTGAATTGACCACTAAACCCGACAGGGGAACACTACAATGCTCGTTTCAACCGCGGAGCGTAAGCCATTGCCGGTGTCATCGGATGCGATTGGTAATCGTGGTGGGATGTCAGCGAGTCAGTTTCTGCTTCAATTCCTCTCAATTTGACAGTATATATGCGTCTTCTCTTTTATCGTTGAAAAATGTGCAAAGTCATGCTATCCACTATGTCAGTCCCGATTCCCACCACCATACTACCCCAAACCACAGATGTATAATATAACAAAGATTGATTCAACCCAATTGTACTGCTCTAAACGCCAAAATACAACCCCAAAATAGATACACAGCCCAGACCTCCATCAGAGACCAACCTAAAAGGCAGCCTCCACAAGCATCCGGGCCAATGCACCCTCTAATGTACATGATCGTTTCATATCGATAAAATAATCCCGTCGCGCCGGGGTGCATTCAAAATCAAGTCGACGGTATCTCGCGATGTCGAAACCGTAGGATAGGTATCGTCCCGTCCCATCCGCTCCTCCTCCGATATGCCACGCGCGAACGATATCGCAACAAATAAAAAGAGAACGGCGCCCAGGTACGTCGATAGGTTTGTAAATTTGTAATGCAATCACCGATTCCGACCTCCCTTCGTAGCCTCCAAAAACAGCACCTTCTTCTTCACCACAGGGTCGTACTTGAGCATGCTGAGTGGCCGATGGGTACGGGGTCTGATCATCGTGCGGAAATAACCTGTCATGGCCATGGAAATCAGGCGCACGGAAATAGTACGGGACTTGGCTGTAGGTTTTGCGCAATTGTGTGGTTAGTTGGGTGCTTGTTGCTTGTTGGGGGTCCCGGGGAGGAAAGATTTTGAGAAGTCGGTGGAAATGCGACTCGTTGGAATCGGAGAGCAAAATGATGAACGTGCGGAAGGAGGAAGGGGGGAGGGGATTCAACTCACCTTTCTTGGCCATTTTGGGGGATTGAGTCCAGGGAGGGAGGTTTGGGTGGTTTCGTTGTCGATGGTGCGGAGCGGAGGTGCGGCGGAGAAGTTTGGAGGAGAGAGAGGTTGGCACGTGATCGTGATGAGTGGTGGACGGATTGGGTATAGGGGGTTTCGGGCTGGGTGGTGGTCACGTGGTCACGTGGTTTTGGGTGATTTGGTTGTTTGGTGTTTGTTTGGGAATATTATTAGAGAAGGTTTTATTGGGGTTTGTTGTGTGTTTAATCAGGTTGGATAATTTGTTCTGGGGTTAAAGTTTTGGCTAATTGGTACTGTTTGGGGTGTATAAGTCTATCGTTTATTCCGTCGTGGTAAGAAGAGTATACAGCCTCGGAAAGCATATTTCCTATCGGGTATTAAAGATGGGGTTGTGCTTGACCCATTTCTTTATGGTAATAGTATCATAGGAGCTAGGGGGATATTCTCGCTACGAAGATGTATGTTGTTTGCTTCAACGGTTTGTCCGGTTCAGCAAGCAAGGGATATCATAAGCCATGATCATCCGTTTCATTGATTGAATGAAGGAGAGACTCATGTCACAGGCTCTATCCAAGTTTAATCTGGTATTCCAAGATATCACGTGCCAAGTCGACGACGAAGCCTCAAGTATCTTTGAAAGTGTTAGAAGAGACGTTGCTCTTTTTCCCCTTGACTGTCTTTCTTTTTCTTTTCTTCATTTTTTTTTGGCTCGAATTTTAATTCTCTTGGACTTTTCTCTTATCCCAGATTTGTTATCTGGTTTATCATGTTCGAACGGTCGACGGGAAGAGTGCTCAAACTGCTGCCGTAGCAAAGGCGTTCCGGTCATGATCTCAAGCAAATCATTTGTATCGAACTGGAAGACGTTGCAGATGTTACTGAGCAGATAGCGTGATGTGAATAAAGGAGTTTAATCAGTACCAGATCTGAGATTCGTATATTCACCAACGAAATGTCGACAATGATTGAAGTCGTTGATGCTAGGATCCAGTACAGGGACTTTACCGCCATCATAGTCCTCCTTTAACATTGGATGTTGAGTATTATCTTTCTTAACAACCAGCTGCTACATGATCATGTTCGTTGGTATCTCATAGCCGTCCGATGGAATCAACATGCTTCTAGTTCCCTTGATCCACAATTGCTCTCCGGGTTCACTAAGCTTTCCCATCCACGAGTTTCTTCATAAGCCCCAAAGTCAATTCCAAACCCATGCCCGGCTTAGGTGTGTGAGAAATCGGATAATCCCTGACTAGCCGTGGACGTGGATTTCACACGAACAGGAGCGGCCAGTATTGACCATTCCATGATCCGCGCACATCCGCATTTGGCTGAAATCAAATATTGTCGAAGTCAAAATCGAGGTGGCAATCAAATACCGGGGGTGAGTTGGGTCTGTTCAATTTACCAGGGACAGCTTTTCTCACAACAGGACGGACACCAGATGCAGGACCAGCTGCGGTGTATGACTTGCAATCGGCACGGAAATTATTGAGAAAAGCGCGTAGATCCCACAGCATGGTGAAACACATCGTGTACCAGTCTGGTGTCGCATTTGTTCTGTTGGGATCAAGTCCGCGCATACAGTGGAATATTTCCTGTCCGATTGAGTCCTTTGCGTTTCTGGTCGCGCTCATGGTTATTTGTAACACCCACTTGGTTGTCCAAAAATTGAAAATATAGCCTTTGGCTATTGAGTGCGCTGGAGAAAGCTAAAGCCTTGGTCTTGTTCGTCGCAACTTGAGTCCTTGATGATACTTTCTGATGTCAAGTTTAGATCTGGCTCTCAGGAGTGTTGGCCTCGGTCCAGTCGCAGATGATGTCTGCTTAAATAAAAGATGTCACTCTGGAAGGTGACAACTCTATGACGGTTTCGACCATGATCACCGCCATTGGGCCTTGACTACACCCATCGGCCTATTTTTGTAGAGGAGCTCATGGGTTAGTATCCGACCCAGAACCGTCAAAGGGTCCTAGAAAGATGTCTGCGGGAAAGAAGAATACTTCCGGCTCTACGCGAGCTAGATATAAATCCGCTCCAAATATATGTGATCCGTTCATCTTTCCTCAACTTCACTAGTATTGAGTCAGTGGCAGTATGATATTTTTTATCGAACCCACCCCCTCATACAGGACAATTAAGAATTACGATAGGCAGGATTGAATCCAAACCATACCTTACATGATACTCCTTTGAAATGTGGGAAGGCCCTAGGGATGAGCGAATGGCCTCATCTTCAATCTGGTGAGATATACTTGTTTCCCACGTACTGTATTGGCTCAGATGTGTCTGGGTATCTTAAACAACCACAATTTCCACGGCGATTCGATGCATGCACCTCCATTGAAGCTGAGCCATGTCGGGAAATCAGGCATCTCATTCTTACCATTCTTTGCTCTTAGTAGAACGTTACCAGATATTCTACCGGTATAAATTGTGCTGTCAAAGAAATAAGCATAAATATCCGTATAGATCGGAGGCTAACCACTTCCACACTAGCGTCCTGCTGTCCCATACCACCATACCAAAAGCGGCCAGTGGATGAACCCATGTCCGATGAGCCAATTACACCACGCTATACTCCACCACCGCCGGTGCTTAATCTTTCGGCCGGACCGTCCGTAAGAACTAAAGTACGTCGACTGCCCCAGGCTGCAGCTCAGCCTCACACCAAAGAAAATCCTCCCGGCCCCCTGTTGTTTTCCTCCGCCACTTGTCATTGTGCAGCTCTGCCTGCACGTCCTCACGCGCCTCGGTCTGTTCGCCAGAGACATGGAATATCGCTACCCTTTTAATTGGCTTCCCTGATAAACGATTCAGGGCTAACAGCATCTACTGCCATGGCCTCCATAACAGTAGACTCAAATCCGGGCTGCTTGCAGCGTCAATTGACCAGAGGATTGCGTGCTGTGGTCGGGCAAGCTTGTCGACACCCCATTTACACCTTGATCGTGGCGGCCCTTGTGGCTGCGACCGCCTATCTCAATGTTTTGGAAGCGAGTTTCCTGGCAGCCAACGAAGGTCCTGGGCCAAAGACCGACGCAGGTCAATTGGACGTCCAGCCCTTTATTTGGGGCAGCCGCAGTCTTTATCTTGGGGAGATGAGCTCGTGGAAGTGGCATGCAGATGATGCTCAACAGGCCCGTCACGGTGAAGTACGACTCCTGCTCAAAATTCAAGTATTTGGTACTAACCTACCCCGTTCTCCACCCTAATAGATCGAGCAGCATTTGGCCCTTGTCACTCTCGGATTCCCTACTCCCGTCGATCACAGCATTCCATTTCTGGCGGACAAGTTGCCCGAATCCGTCGGCGCCGAAGCCATCACACAAACCTCCACCTGGTTCACATCTCTGTCCAATGAGTTCTTGATAGCTTTTCAGGTGCCATACACACAGCTAGGCAGATTTTTACAGGCTGTCGAATCGATTTCCTCCGAAGATCAGGATACTACGTGGGCGATCAATGGTTCCCACCGGGAAGACAGTCGCGTTTCTCTTGGGCGTTGGCTGGGGAACTCATGGATCTCGTTTCTCCATCGAGTCAAGCATGCAGAGGCGATGGACCTGGCGATTATTGCGCTGGGATACTTGGCATTGAATATGACGCTTGTCTCTCTGTTTCGGGCGATGCGTCATCTGGGCTCGCGCTTTTGGTTGGCGGCCTCGGTTCTGCTTTCCGGGGCATTTGCATTTGTGCTCGGACTAGGTGTAACAACTGCCTGCGGCTTGCCGGTCGATATGCTTTTGCTCTCGGAAGGGATCCCATTCTTGGGGTTGACAGTGGGTTTCGAGAAGCCCATCCGATTCACTCGTAGCGTGCTTTGCGCATCGAAGGAACTCGGTTGTATGCCACAGACTTCCGCCGGCAACGACGACCGAAAGCAACAAAGTATTCCACGTGCAATTCAGGTTGCTATCGATGGAGAAGGATGGTCGGTCGTTCGCTCTTATATCCTGGAAATTGGCGCTCTGGCCCTAGGCGCGGCGTTGCGACCACAAGAGAAATTCGGCCAGTTCTGTTTCCTGGCCGCATGGATCCTGCTCTTCGACGCGATCCTTCTTTTCACCTTCTATGCCACTATTCTCTGCGTCAAGCTTGAGATTACACGTATCCGGAACCCTGGCGTTCTCGATCAGGCTGATGAACAACGGGGCCCTCGCATGTTCGGGTACAAAGTTAAGCCAGAAAACGTGGCCCGATGGAAATCCATGATGGTGGGAGGTTTTGTGCTTGTTAATATGCTCCAACTCTCGTCTTTCTTCTATCGCATCATGGGTGGTTTCGTGACCAATGCCTCTCTGGCCCCTACCACTATAAGTCCATTCAAAGTAGCGGCGAACGGGCTGAGCGATATCTATCTGAGTGCCCTAGCTGGCAGAGTCGAGACCCGCGTGACGGTCCTGCCACCCATTCGATATGTGATGCAAGCATCTAAACTCGATGCCTCATCTGCTAGCCGCCCCGTGTTTGACGGCGTCCTGGCAGGATTAGAGAGCCAGCTTGGTCGACTGTGTCTCATCGGCGCTTTGGTCGTAAGTTTGGTTCTCAACAAACACCTGATCCACGCCGCTCGCTGGCATGTCTCTGATGCACTAAAAGCCCCTGTTTCACCTGCCGACTCTTCTGTGTCTGTATCGGACCCTCCCTCTCGGAGCGCAGAGGAAACCGAGGTTCTGCTCAAGGCAAAGCGGACAGACTTGTTGACCGACGACGAGTTGGCGGAGCTGTGTCTCCGCGGCAAGGTCCAAGGATACAGCCTAGAAAAGACCCTGGAAAGCACGTCGACGACCCGACTGGAAGCCTTCACCCGAGCAGTTAGGGTCCGCCGTGCTGCCGTGTCGCGGACGCCTTTCACTCTGGACTTTACCAGCGGCCTCAAGGACTCCCTACTTCCGTACCGCAACTACAACTACGAGCTGGTCCATGGCGCCTGCTGCGAAAACGTGATCGGATACTTGCCCTTGCCCCTGGGGCTTGCGGGGCCCATGGTGATCGATGACCAGTCGTACTTCATCCCCATGGCCACGACAGAGGGAGTGCTGGTGGCCAGTGCCAGCCGCGGCTGCAAAGCCATCAACGCAGGCGGTGGTGCCGTGACGATGCTCAAGGGCGACGGCATGACCCGGGGCCCCTGTCTGGGCTTCCCTTCCGCCAAACGTGCCGCCGAAGCCCAGCGCTGGGTCGAATCCCCAACAGGCCGCGAGTTGCTAACCGAAACCTTCAACTCCACTAGCCGGTTTGCTCGCCTCCAGAATCTGACCGTATCCCAAGCCGGCACCTATCTGTACATCCGCTTCCGCACCACAACCGGCGACGCGATGGGCATGAATATGATCTCCAAGGGGGTGGAAAGAGCCCTACAGGCCATGACAGCCCACGGGTTTCCGGACATGAACACCATCACTCTGTCGGGTAACTTCTGCGCGGACAAGAAGTCAGCGGCCGTCAACTGGATCGAGGGCCGTGGCAAGTCCGTAATTGCCGAGGCAACGATCCCCGCAGCCACCGTGCGTTCCGTACTGAAGACCGATGTGGATAGTTTGGTCGAGCTGAACACGGCCAAGAACCTGGTTGGCAGCGCCGTGGCCGGCAGTATGGGCGGGTTCAACGCCCATGCTTCTAATCTGGTCCAGGCGGTGTTTTTGGCTACTGGTCAGGATCCTGCCCAGAATGTGGAAAGCAGCAGTTGTATTACCACCATGAAGAAGTAAGTTTCTATACCTCCCTGGTATAAACCTCGGAATGATGCTGACCATGAGCCAGTATTCATGGCAACCTCCACATCGCCGTTTCCATGCCGTCAGTAGAAGTCGGTACCATTGGTGGTGGAACTATCCTCGAAGCCCAGGGAGCCATGTTAGACCTGCTCGGGGTCCGTGGAGCCCATGCCACTGATCCCGGCGCCAATTCCCGGAAACTGGCCCGGATTGTGGCCGCAGCTGTGCTGGCGGGCGAGTTGAGTACTTGCTCGGCTTTGGCGGCAGGCCACTTGGTCAATGCCCATATGCAGCATAATCGCAGTGCTGCGTCAGCGAAGAAATAGCCTCCATTTGATATACCTTCAAAGTATATCCCATATCTATTGGATACAACTGCGCTTGTAGTCCATCCCCGGATTCTGAGACATAAGAGATGAACTGTACCGCGTAGTGCCATGTAGGTCAAATCTCAACACCAGCAGAACCCCCTTTGAAGAAATATAATCCTCATCCCCGACACCATTCCCTAATCACGCAACCTCAACCTCAATAACCATCTCATACTGCTTTGGATCAGGCCAAAACCCACAAATCCGCAAACCCGCATCCGTAATCAACCTCCTCCAATCCGCCTCCGTCCGCTCCGACGCCGCCAGTAACGACATCATCTGCACATCCATAGTCGTCTGACTCATACTCGCCTTCATAGGAGGAAGAACAATATCATAGATAAGCAGTTTCGAATACCCCTTCTTCATGGCATCTTTAGTATTCATGAGTATCTTTCTCGCTTTATCGTCAGGCCAGTCATGCAGCACGGCATGCATGAAGTAGATCCTACTTCCTACACATCATTAGTACACAACCCAATCAAAACTATACGGAGTGTCAATCATACCTCGAACTAACTGCGGTAAGAAGAAATCATGCTCCATAACCACAACCTTCTCATCCAACTGCCCCTTAACCCCGGCTACTATCTCCGGAAGATCCTGCAATACAACTGAATCCTTAGGAAGCTCCGGAAGCTTCCTCAGTACATGGAATGTATCAATCCCTGTATTCCCACCCATATCAACCATAAACACAGAATCATCTTGCAGATTAGCACCCTCTAGGAGATGAGTCGTATCGTAGATCTTAGTCCAGGGTGTTTTCCACGCCGTCCAGGCTTCCATATGGCCTATGAAGGCTTCAAAATAGGCGGGGGTTTGCTGCAATCGAGCGAAGAAATTGAGCCCGTCTGGGTCGGTATCTGCGTGGTTGTTCTCGTGCATGTTGGTTGGTTCTTTGTAAGATGTGTGGGAGAGGTAGGTGGGGAGGTTTTTCGCGCAGGGGAGGTATTGGTTTGTTCTGGATGATTCATCTTATTTAGCACAGTCCTGCCTTACCTAATTCAAAAGGGGAAGGGAAAACTGAGAGGCAGATAGAGATGGAGTGTGTATACCCTGCTTGAAGCGTAGCCCTGATCTCACTACTCTCGTCACCAATTGCATATGAGAACGGAGTAGATTTGTATTTATCTGGGCCGATTTCTTCGATTACGTTGAATGCTGCGAGGAGGCGGAGGAATCGACCTATTCAATTTCAAGGCTCATCAGAATTGGTTCTCATATATGAATGAAAATGAAATCGCTAACTCACGTAGGAGATTAGTTTCAACAATCGGAGTAGTCAATTCCACCAACTCATCGACACTCATTTCCCCACCACCAAGAGCGGTCCAAGATTTCCAAAGATCTAGCTCAATACATGTCTGCAAAGCAGCGAAAATAATAGGATTCTCGAAGCAGAATCCCCAGGCTCGTTCATTCGGTGTTTCTACTCTAGCTAGGAGTCGACGTGCTGCGGCGCGGATTTCGAGGCGGTCGATTTCGTTAGTCCCGAATGATAAGGGTTGCACTGCGTCGAGGGAGGCGATTATGTCTTTGGTTTAGTGGAGCATGGTTGGTTATTAGTATTTGATCTTGTGTGTTGAGAGATGTTGGTGGATCGAGGGATGTATCATGGAGGAGGTTCTTAAAATGGGGGAGGTGAGAGCGTTTTAAGCCTCTTGGGAAACGAGACACCAACTAGAAGAGGGGGAATATTGGTAAGTGCTAGGCATAGGCTATACTTGTAAGGATTAGAAGAAATGCTTTCTGTTGTTGGCCGCGAGGATTAATTGATAGCCTTGTCGTCTCGCACATCTAACCTTATGGAGTTTAGGGTTGTGCTCGGATTACAGCCTTATCAACGGTTTTAGGGCGCTAGCCTTGCTTATTTATTGCTGTTGTCGGATCGTATAATTGTGTATTTTTGTTTAGTTGTAATGGCGGGGATTTAGATTAGTTCCTTGGCCTATGTTCTAATTTAATTGCGACCGATAAGCTAGCGTTTGAGTAAAGTTTGCTGGAACTGAATACATACTACATTCTTGGCAGTAGAGTTTAGACGATTATTTCCATATGGAACTCTTTAGCAAGCGCCTATGTCTACCCTCAAGTAGCCCCTAGATAGATCATTGACATTTCTTTTGGGAGGTTCCCCTCGGACTTATTGAATCCCATGCCTAAGGATTCAAAAACTCACGAGCACACCTAAAGAAACAATATTCACAAACAGAGCTATAATAGCAAGTCGATTGAAAAGCATTATTCTCACCAACGTTTTGCTCACTCTTTTCACACAACCACAAATAAGACACAGTAAGCTAAAACACCCCAGTATCTGCCCTCACGCTACTTAAATATCCAAAAGACACGCATTAAACCCAACACCATCACAACACCACCCAACCCCTCAATAAGCAAACATAACAGTCCGCCCCTCCCCCTTCATCCTCTCCGCACTATAACTCACCCCATGAACCTTCAACCCCTCCTGATTCAACAAAGTAACCGTATCCCCCCTCTCCGACAACGGACACATAGGAGCCTCAAACTCCATCGTCGCCCTGGGATCCACCACCGCACCCCTCGGAAACTCCTGCACCTGCCCCAACGAATTATGAATTCTCCAATCCGCCAACGCCACCGGATGAGTAGTCCGATTCCCCAACCGATGTCGTCCCGACCCCACATTAACCTCCACAATCGCCACCGAATCCTCCATACTCCGTCTTCTTCTTCCCCCAGCCCCATGCCTATCCAAAAGATCCGCCCACGTCGTCACCCCAATTTTATGTCCCTCCTCATCATCCGTATGCGCCGCCTGCGACGCAAACGCCAGAAAAACACCCACCCATTTCCCCTCCCGCGGAGAATGAAAGATCATCCCGCCGTCCTGCCACACGCCATCATCTTGTCGGAAACTGGAGATGTTGCCTTGGTTCATGTGGATATTGTGGATGCCGTTTTTGGAATTGAATTGTGAGCCGAAGAGGTATATGTCGGCTTGTTGTTCGATCGCCCATTTGATTCTTGGCTCTAGGACGTCGATTATGTCGTTATCGCGGCCTTGGATATCGTGGGGGAGGATGCGGCCGCTGTGTACGGTGAAGAGATTCCCCCGGATGTAATCGAGTCCTTCGTGGTCGATTTCATCGAGGGCTTGGAAGCCGTAGGGGAGGTTGGAGAGGGAATCGATGATGTGGTGGTCGATGAGGTTCTCGTTGACCCAGTAGACGAGACGGGATTCGGCCCGGTCGCCGGATTTGATGTTGATGGCGGCGCGGTTGAGGTTGGGGATGTCTTTGGTTTTAGTGGTGGGTGGGTGGGGTTGGTGGTGGTGTTTGGTGGTAGAGGGGTGGGAGGGGGCATCGTCGGAAGTGAAGTATAGGGACAGGTGTGGGGTGCGGGGGTCTTGGTGGGCGTGTTCGACGGTGTATTTGATGGGGTGGGCTTTCCAGACGCCGTAGTTTTGGACGGGCATGATGGATGTGTTGTGTGGTTTTGGAGATGGGTTGGTGGGTGATGGAGTTGGATGGAGTTGGTGGCAGGTGCTTGGATTCTTAAGGGATCTGAGCTGAGGAGCTCATGACTGAAGTGGAGTCTAGACTGCTCGGCGGGATGTTCTCGTGATGGTGGATATGCTTGGCGCCAAGCAAGCCATGAGCTTATTTGTGCTTCATTCCTCCAATCCCCAACCCTGCATGTCCGTGTTCCGGAGATATGTTGTTACAACTTTGGGGTCTATGGTTCTGACGTAATAGTTAGAACCGGTAGCTATGTTCGTATTTTTTCCATGGAAAGAGGCATATGACGAGGGTTTGATGGCTGAGAATTGATGGTGAAGAATTTCTTTGTTTGGAGAACACGAATGACGTGGTGTGGTGAATACTGTCTTTTGACGCTATGTTAACTTGACACATAAGATCGAAGGGCGTGGGGTTCTTATTACGGATGCTATTGGGTGAAAGGATAAGTGGATGGAAATTGTGAGCAACGAGTAAGTGAGAAGATCTGAACAGAACAAAATAATTTACATTAGGATGACTACCAAGATATCTCTATCTTCTTATCTCTTAGCATCTGTCACAATACCCACCCAGCCAGTAGTGGGTCATAACAGATCACACGTATCATGAATTGGACTGCTACACCTTGAGAAAAAGCTTGTTGGGAGACACCATACAATGTCATAGTTATATACAAAAAAGGCTCAAAACAAAATGCCTTGAACTGAAACAAGTGACAGATTCAATTGATCGAACTATGATTATCAAAGATGACGATTAGTTGCCGAAGGTATTAAATAAAGCCAGGTTTCTCTCACACTAGCCCCATGCTTCAATTGAGCTTTATGCGCATATTGCCAATTCGATCAAGGCAGGTCCTAAGCATTATAAGGTTAAGGTTCATTATCTTTAAGAGATATCAGGATGAGTGTATACCTTAGCGAGGTGCTTAAGCACAGCAGTAGGGGTAACCTTCGGGGGCACCATCGGTGATGCTGCAAGGGAACTCGCCGTCACCGCATCTCTGGTTGCAGATAGCGAGAGTGGCGTAGCAGTCCAGGGCAACGGCCTGGCTAATGAGGCCAAGGGCGAGAAGAACGGTGGAGAGCTTGAACTGCATTTTGATGGATTTAATTGAATTGAAGAGAGTTGGTGTCTTGCTTTGCTTGTCTGGTGATGACTGAGATGAAGAGAAGACTGATGCTAGAGAGGAGAGCAGTCGGACCTTTGTATAAATTCCGTGCAGTCTAGGCTCCGTAGAGGAGTATTACAGCAGTTTTACTAAGTGAGCTCGTTCGAGGAGTAGAATCCCGGCCGCGTCATGTTCAGGAATGTATGAGTTCCAGCCCCCAAACTAATGCCTAGTTAGGGATCTAGTTCCGTGATACATCCCGTGTATGGAGACAGTCCCTGCAAAGTGGGTAGATGGTGAGGGGTCTCATTGTATTAGCCCCACCATCATTCTTATCAGTCCACGCCCTGGGCTCAATCTATTTTGATCATGTTTTTTCCCAAAGAAATGATTCGCGGCCTCATAATTAGTAGTTGGTTTGAAATCATCATTGTCACCAGGATAGCCAATACTAAACAACTTCTGTATATTATCCAGGACCACCGACGGGGTTAAATAAAATGCCGTGCAAAGTTCCTATGTCTCCCCAACCGAGATTCAGCGAATTTTGGGCTGTTAATCACCCCTTGCCGCGTTTTTAGCTCGGTGGGTGGATCAAGCAGCGCATAGAGTATAGATCCTCGTTCCTATGACTACATTAGCTAAGTTACATAGTATCCGGACCCCTAAGCGAGCATTGGTCGTCATACTAATCAAGTAGCTTACGTGGGTGGTTTGAGAAATCCTATGCGCTGCTTTCGATGTGCATGTCCTCTATTATCAGGGCTATAAGACGCGCAATGTTTTCAGGCTCTTCTAAGCGACCTCCCAGAGTGAATGGGGATATTTATTGACACCTAACAGTCATTGGTCTGGTTAGAATTAGGCCTGCTGATTCTGCAAGCAGTGCTTGGTATCTACAGTCTGCCAGTTGTGCAGAAGGTACCATGATAAGTTGCAAGTCGGGTTCGGTGTATGTATCATACGATTACAGGTTGTCATTTCCGACAGTGTCAGAAAGTAGTGCGATAAGGTCCGCGGATCCATAATACCTCATCGGTCTAGTTTATCTGTAGCTTATTTAGTATCAATCATAAAACGAATTACCACTAAATCAGGTTCTCTAATATTAGACCACAATTCATTCTAGAGGATTTCAGGTTATTCATATTATTTTTCACTTTCGATCAGAGTTTTCCTTCACATATAATTGAAGCCCATTAAGTACCAGATCAAAAATCGTCAGATCTGATTCTCCTAACGGAGTGCTCCGTTCAGTCTGAAGGGAAGTGGGGCTCTTTCTGACCCTGAAAAGCTTCATGACTGCACGGGTCGTGTCGCGGCTAAACTATGAGCCGTCCCTGCAGACTGTTTATATTACCACATTAATCACGCTGCTAATTTTCGGGCAAATACCCACACGAGGCAATTTGAGCATATTTTCGGATACCCATGCTCGCATGCCGAGATAAAGAATGTCCAGCATGTCCCTTTGGACGTGGCAATATGATACTTGAAGAAAGTCCCACAGGCGTTTTTCCAGGGAGAAAGATTGATTATTATGGTTGGGTCGGGTCTTGACATTTGACGGATGGCTGTGACCCGCCTTATCAGATGAATGATATAGCAGGGTTAATTCTCTACCGGGTTGTTCGTAACGCTGACTGCGACGCTACGGCAGCATGTTGCTTTTCAAACAGTTACTGGGGTTGGTAGCCTCATAGATAGAGCTCTGTCGCTAGCAAGAGTAGGCGGCTGTAGAGCATCAAGATTCAGAACCGTAGTTAGAAAAAGTACGACCAGTCTTATCCGATGATGAAAGATTGTTTGGCTCTAGAGGGATTCGGTGCAGCATACACATATGCGATGAATGAATTGGCCATAAGAAAGGTGCTTTAGCAGGTATATGTTGTGAAAGCCATGATGCATGATAAAAATTTGTCTCTTTGACTGGTTTTTCTTCTTGCGAAATCCTCGTCCATCTGAAGTTCTCTGACAGAAGTTCTCCTTATAAGACCTTCTATGAGCTGTTCTGAAACCTTTGTCTTGTAGAGAAGTCAGGTCATGAACATTCGATCCTACCATTCTGATTTACACATTCACGGATTTTCTTTTAAGATGTTGTTTTGTTCTCCGAGTGTCATGGGAATATTATGATTATAGAGATTTCTAGTTCACGCAAACGATTAAAGATATGAGTTAGAACGGAAGAGCTATCTGTTCTGGATAACCCGATGCTCGAAAGTAAGTGTTCGCTCATCATACCCGAAAATTATTGATATGGAATACCTCCCTTAGAAAGATAAGAAATATCGAAGCGGCCGATGCCCGGCTCAGATGGGGTTAGATGGATTGTAGTTTTCGTACACAAAGTGGGACCGGGTTGATCCGGCTTTCGGGTACGGAGCACTCCGGACCCCCTGCTGAATATTGCATCGTCTGTGGCAAGCTGAGACACTGACATCTTATTTTTAGTTCTAACTTCTATCATCAGTCAATAATGGATCCAAATGTTGCAGAGAAGCCTTTCTCTATATTTTAGGGTACAGTAACCCCGCAGAACTATGATGATTGTATAACTGGGGAATGGTGGAAGTCGTGTTTCTTCTGAGAGGATGCAGGATCACGGCCTTGGGCAGCGAATATTTGCTTTTTCGCCAGCCCCTGTATGAGAACATGCAAAGTTTCACTTTTCCAGCCTTACCTTCTTTCTCCGTAAAAAATGCCACACTCCTTCTACACTTTGAACTGCCATTCTCTCCTCATTCCTTTTTCTTTTTTATTTTTATTTTTGTTGTTGTTGTCGCTGCTTTCTCCCCTGGTAGTACTTATCATTCCGCATCCGTGATGCCCTGAGGGGTTCTCAAAAATCCGATTAATGCACTTCAATCATTGGCCGAGGCTTATCAGACGCACACGATGGATGATGAGGGGTGACAGCCTCAGGCTCGGCCCGACACTGGCTCTTTCCTTTTTCGTCCCGAGCTACATCCACCCCTGCAAGCAGTCCGAATTCCCACGGCCAACCTGACAGCCCACATGCCTCTCGATCTATTTGAAATGTACCACCACAACTATGTACCCTGTGCTCCCTCCGGTGCAATCTTTGCTGGAGGGACCAATGCGCCGTCAGAAATAGATACCTAACTAGGTACAATGCGGCCAGCGTGAGGCTAGATATAATGACGTTCATACTGTACAATGTCACATGAAGCACGGTTGGACCTCTTTAGCTCCTTTTTGCTTTTTTCTTATCCTCGCTAATCAGCTACTAGGAAGCATCCCCGCGACATGGGGTTGCTGTGTTGTCGTTCAGCTGAGAATGACCCAGCATCAACAAACCCAGCCCCCCCATCCTCTGTTCTTTCTGTTTTGTACACAATTTCTCGTTGCTTCAGATCTTCACGAGGGCTACCGTTCCTGCTTCTGAGGAGATTAAACAAGACACCACTGCCCCAACTCCGACAGACAACGCAAACAGCACCATGGAAACCCTTGAGGCTGTTCCAGACCCTACCACTCCCGATCAGACCGGACACCCAACTCAACCAGATCCAAAGGCTCAGGCAGACCTCGGTGAACCTGAAGTGGACATCAATACTGCCCTGCCTGAGGAAGAGCTTAAACATCTCCGGTCAAACTTCATCAGCGCTATCGAAAGCGCGGAGCTTGACCGCGTGAAAGAACTCCTGGACCACAATGGTGCAATCGGTATTCGCGTCGATTATCTTTTCCCTGACAATCATGTAATAAATACCGGTCTTTCACTGTTGATGTTAGCAGCTGGGCTTGGACAAGACACCATTGTGAATTATTTGCTGGATGAAACAAACATTGGAATGAAATGGACAGCGTCGTTTCCCG